CGCTCACTGCCCGATTCCCAGTTGTCTCGCCTCGTAAAAGTCGTAAATAAACGTGACCAATGAGAATTCAGATTTTCCATAAATTACAAGAGTCTAATGCTCCACATATATAGGACAAGCCTTTTTAAAATAGGGGTCGTAAAAATGATGGGGAAAGTGCTCGTCTCGAATTGCCGTATACATCAACGGTAAATGTGAAGATGACACGTTCTACGGCTCGGTCGCAATATACTTATTTGGGACTCCGCTACCCTGGCACAAAGCCAAATCTCATCTTGAGAATAAAAATCTGGTGGTGAATAATTTTGCATAGGCAATTGCAAGGATCGTATCAAAAATGACATGTGGTGTGGCAGCACTCATTGGATGGCGAGAGCGCTTTTAACAAAAGTATAGTATCCGGAATTTCAGATGGGAATGAGATGAATGCTGATTTGCTCACCGGAACGTACGGAGTAGTAGAGAGTAGCAACCATGCTGACATCTCACCCTGCAAGCGTGAACGGATAGGACACAAATTCAGGGTCAAGAAATGTACTGACCAAGCAAACAGTGTAGTTCTTCTCAATCGTCCCACGGTCCAGAGCCCTGGGTTCGCGCAACAAGGTCATGAGGTCTGACCAGACCTTCTTGCGAACTGGACTTGATCAAACATACCGGAAACAACGGATGATGGAGCACAGTTTTGGCCCCATTTAGCCTGCATCTTGATTACTCAATCAAGACAGCAAGACCAGTTGAGGCAAATGACTTCCCTAAGACTTTGACCACTGTTTGGTTCTTCGTCGGTGCTCCAGGACAAGACGGTTACGAGAAATTACCGTTCCGATCCGTAGATGACGTGCAGATAGGGTAGTCGTACCAGAACGTCAACATGGATGCCACGCGAAAGCCATGTCTGGTATGGGTCAGACTCCTCCTCCGGGAGATCCAGCTTTGCCAAGACAGCGTGGAGTGTGTCGCTGTTTGAGGATCCTTCTCAGCACGGCACTCGTGCTGTGGAAATTTGACGGGAGGATTAACCTTCAACTAAAGCGGTAATTTGATGCGCAGCATGTACGGGGCGTCCGCCAAGTGATGTCTGTGATAGTCCTTTATTGTATACAACCCAGCAGATAACATTCAAATGGGCGCGATGCAACATAAGACATGAGACATTGACACCTGCCACCTCGAGACTCATTGTGCTACTCCCAGGGGTACCACGTTTTTAGAACGTGTTGACCGCAGCAGAAGATGCGCCTCTGGGATTCCGCCCGCCCCCACAACTCTACATTATCGCCGCGTGGAACTTTTCGAACACATCGTTATCAAAGACATACTCTTCAACGAAAACTATTTCCAGACAACGGAAGCGGAATGAGACTCAAAAGAATTGAGTGTTGGGAATATGGGGAATGGAAAAGCGACTTTATGCTTTAGCCGAAGAGAGTGACAATTGCAGTTTTGCAGTAAAGATTTGCTGTGACCCGGTCCCAACAGACGGAATGAACTTCAGTTCATCCCTTTCGAGATGCTTCTGTATTCTGATTGGGGTGGTGAACTTGCCACTTGGGCCGGCATGTGAGTGTGGCTTGAAGAAAAACGTGGGCAGAGCCCCATACATGGATACCATGTTGTACGTCTCGCCGCGCAGTGCATGTCGCTCTCAAGGGTGACCTTCGTGAATTGCTGTTTTGGGAAATGGAATCAGACAGTCTCGTGGAACTGAATTGGCCCCCAAAGATCGGTATACAGGCAACAACAACATGATGTACATCCTTTATCTTTCTAGAATAGTATCAGCGACAAGATCGCACTAATGACAAATGCCCGGTGTTCTTATTCGACTTCTAGATGTTGGAAGTGAGTTGCGAAGATGGGGCCAAAATACTAGGTCACTGAGACCAGTCATGATATGAATTGCTTTTTGGTGCTCTTCTGATATGGTGTCTATATTTAGATCGGGTCTAAAACACCTGATAGGTCAAGCGGATATATATGCAGGCTGACAAATTCTGTCAGCATCACGGGAATTTACACTCGTTGGGCGGCTATCCACAGGCGAGGATTTATCCTCTGTGAAAGCTATTCGCAGACAGGTAATGTGCTTGCTAGGATCTTACTCACCTAGTCATTTCCTTCCAAAAACTTGAAGCCACATGCGCAAGGTATCTACACTATCTACGGCAATCCGCACTGTAGAAGTCTTCACCGTATTCTTCTGCGGCCAACATGGTACGGAGAGGCTCATCCTCTCATTGCTCATCTTCCATACGCGGTGAGGCAGCATGCTTCGATTGAGCTGTTGTCATTGATGCTTTCGTGCTCACGGACACGGTGGAGTCGTCGCAACGTTGTAAGGAAAAAGAGGGGCAGTTGAGAATATCCTTCGGCATAGTCCGTAAGAGAAAGGTTTGAAGCTTGGTATCTGTCAGATATTAGAGAATCAATCTTAAGGACACGGCGAAATGTGTACGTGCTGGACAGCGCAGAAATGCTCGATATCAATGAGGATATATGGCCAAGGAAGAGTTGCACAGCGGACACCAGTGGCTGGCTGATACGGAGGTACCGGCGGTAAAGGCGTCTATCGGAGAGCAATTTTCCCGATAAGCGACGAACGACGTGTGATTTGACTCGGGACTAGTTATGTAATCACTCGCCTGGTCTCCACATTCCCAGTCCCTTCCAAATTGTTTACTTGTTTTGATTCAACCTCGTTGGGTTAACTAGGGAAGTGTCGGATTTGCCCATTCAGCAGTCCTACTGTACGACTAGCTATCTACATCAAATTGCTATGCTTGCGGTCTCTTCTATTATTCTTTTTGTCGTTGAGCAAAATCAATTGTACCAAAGTGATTTGTGACACTCAAATCCCTCAAGCGAAATGGTTGGAGCACTGCCAGCTCAATGCACCACACTCATGGCTAGTTGCTTGCCCGGCCAACCAACCCCTGTGTACGATCAAGGGTGCCGATACGGTTTGTTGGAAAATCGGAATTGATCTCGCTACGAACTAGTTCACGACGCAATCCTTCGATATCTCTTTATCCGACCCCTCAATTGCATGACGATTATCTCTGAAGCGCTATCCGGCCTTTACTCTATCAAGTAGGTGATTTGGCAATTACTGGACCTAATTTTGGAATCCTGGTTGCTATGATGAGAGCTACGGGAGCGGGCATGAGAAGCGGAACGTCAAAACCGGGGCAAGCAATCGTTTGTAATCCCAATGGCCTTGGAACCCCGCGTGTGGAGATACTGTAATCACGGCTTTCACAATCACGATATCGATGGCTGCAACAAAGTCATACGATCCTGAGTAATCAACTGCCATTTCTCCCTCGCGGAGTGAACATGTTGAGCCTTTGACTCACTCGGTATCAAGCGGACAATTCTCACCTAATCATCAAACAGGTTTCCGAATACATTTCGCAACTTTTGGTCCGCTCTTCTCTCAACCTGAGGACATGCAAAGGAGGCTCCGTCTGAGCTACATATGACCCTGGTGGAGGTTTCCAAAACACGGTATCATCGACCCGCAGAGTCGGCAAGTCTAGATAATGTCGGTGATGACTATCACCATATGATCGAATATGTTTGGTTCTTTTGTCACCGTGAGCCATCAGCTTACACCAGAAGCCCACCAACTTTGTATGACTTGGCTATCTTATCCCAGCCACACCCTCACTCGCACGACAACCAATCACGGTTCCGCGTCGTATTCCGTTTATTTATATGCTTGCCGTTGCAGGGATGTTGTGGCTTGTTCCCATGTGAGAACAGGGATGAACACCACTGAATGATATTTTGGGTCTGAAAAGTCAAGGGTATTGTCTTCTCTGTAAGCCCAATACAGAGGCCTGCATTCGTCTATCTCAGCCCTATACTTGTTTGGTCTCTTTATTCGCTGGAACCCTGGGTTTCAGGACGAAGCAAGGCTATGGCAGCCATACAAACGACAGAATTATATCGTTAAGGGCAGGTCATTGGATTACCTGGGTTGTTAATTCTTTAATTGGTGATCGCAAGAACAACCCTTCCCCTGAACACAGCCAGGGATAGCACGATCGCTGGGAAGCTTGCGTTGGTCGCCGTTGGTTCAGGACCGTTGGTGAAGACAACCTGTGGACGGCCTATCTCGGTGCAATGTCGAAATAACGAGTCAACCCCTGAGATGGATGCAGGTACGAGGCTCCAGCACGCTCTCTTGCTGCATCGCGATACAGCGCATGCCTTCGAAGCACGGCGTCTACCTTTGCTGCTGTCCCAGCGCTCGCTTTTCATGAAATCTACGAGGTGTGCAGCAAATCATACACGACGATCGCACCAAGATTAATTTGTGTCCGGCCAGCTTGAGCTGGTGGTCGCCGAATTCATCCTCTTTGTCGACTCGATCATAATGCGGCTTCAATCTGCCTTCCGAGTACCGTTGGAGTGAACGATTGTTCGAAGTACAGCGCCCTGGGCAGCCTATGTGTGTAGCCTATCCAGACTTGCGATCGAGGTTTCCGCCCCACGAGTCCCAAGACCGGTACCTGTTCTGTAGCAGTCCTACAGTGCTTCCTGCCAACCTGCTTCTATGCATAGAACATTATTCCTTCCGCGCAACTCGTGATTTTGAGGAATTCCAGTGCTAACGCGATGTGCTGCAGGGTAATGCACCACCCTTTCGACCCTGGCCGGCATATATGCGCAGTGCGCGCAGGAACTCATCATCGCTAATCATCCTTTGCATTTTAGACAAGACCCTGGCCGCGAATATCCTGCCCTGCAAGTCGCTATTGTGCTGCTGAGATCATCACCGTCATATGAGCCAGATTAGCCAGGCTAACTCTAGCTGTAACTACCAAGGGCGTAATTTTCCAAATCGAGCCGCAAATAGAGACTAGCACCGGGGACACCAAAAAAAGGTACCCCCAGGCAGCCGCAGCCGCAGCCTAGCTGTCCACATCCTAGGCACTGGGAGCCCCCAACCCAACGGTCATCTCCCATGCGAACGTGATTCTAACAAAATTATGGTAGCAACGCTCGTAGTTGTACGGGCCAAAAGTATACCCACGTTAAGCCAAGCCTCCTCCTTCTACCAGCTACAATCTTTAGGTTGTTCTCTCACACGTATATAATTATGGCCTTGGACGCCTGACAGGATCGTATTCTCAGTTTCACTACCACACACATTACAAATTAATCATCGGTTTCGACTATTCTTCCCATCGGCATTCATTTTAGACTTACTAGCATCAGCATCTTTGAATTTCAGCCCTGTACTACCGCAACCTTCCATTTGGACTCATCGAAAGTTTTATATAATAGTCTTCGACTCCCCCATCACTCTCAATCTTTATTCATCATCATCAACAATCATCCACTCTCAATCAGAACTATCTTCCAACAACAACACTACTTCTCAACACTACTCTTCACTCTTCCACACTCTAATATTCACAATACATCAACACCCTCAATTCAAGCTATCAATAACCACCTACGCAATGGCATCTACTACTTTCACCAACCAAACCATGCTCTTTGGCCGTGGTGGCTACAATGGTCCTGCCTCTTCATCTGAGGACGAAGACAACTCCCGTCCTTCCGCACCATTGAACTTTGGCCGTGGTGGTTACAACCGCGGTGGTGACGATGATGAGGAGGAAGATGGACGTGGTGGATACAACTAGATCACTACTTTCTCCTCGACAATCCCAGGATAGCGTCTCGCTTCCACTGTACAACAACACCCCGCCAACACCCCACTCAAACCTCACTGTCGACGGACAACAGAACTTCGACAATGACTCCTCCATTTTCTGCATTTCCAATCAACGCCCTTCAGCGAGCGAGCAAAGCGATTGATTCCATCAGCATTTTCTAGCATTTTCCAGCGCATCCAACTAGCATTTACAATCTTGCATTTACAATCCTGCATTTCAACATACAACACTTAGAAGCCTCGCGGCGCAACCAGCATCAGCGTTTCCAACGGCGCAACGGAGTTTCTCAGCATTTTCACACATTCGCATCATCTCGGAGTTTCTGCAGCATTTTCAAAAAGCATACGTCTAAACAACACATTCTCTCTTTAGTCAACCATCACGCATAGATCCGGCGTTCGAAGAGGGATTGGTGCATCATAGAATCGGCGCTCTCATTTGCATTTTCCTGGTGTCTTCATTATCTTTCATCCTTCTTCTCGCATCCTATTTCTCTCGGTCGCCTACTCTAATATTCTTTTTGGGTTGGAATCGATTGGGGGGATGGGCAGGGAAAAGGCATTGGCATTTACAATTCGCATATATTAGAAGCTTTCAGAAGCGGGGATGCATTGGGATTGGAGTTATTTGTTTTTATCATAGATTGGATGGGTTTTCTTTTCAGGGGATGATTTAGAGTCTTGTTGTGGGCATTGAATGGATATTTCTTATTAGCTAAATTATTAAACACTAAATTGACTTTTATATTACAATTGTTTAGTCTTCACTCTTCTTGAATTAAATAGTTGACTGTTTGTTATCAGTTCGTTATCTTCACATCCTCTCACTCCCATGACACTACGCAATCACCCAAATTCCTCCAAAAACAAACACCTCCCACTATTCCAAAGACCCATCCGAAAATCCCGAAACCCCTTCCCAATTCCTCCCCAGAATTTCCCACAACTGCGTATACACATCCTCAAAGCCTCCTCACAACACGCGTATCACCCACCATAACCCCCACGCTCTCCCTGACTCACCCCCGAATCTCAGGCAACAACCTGCACTCACTCGTCACCTCCCCTCCCTATTCCCCTTTCTCAATTCTCCTTACCTATTCGCGAACCACTCGCCACTAAATGTATGACTTCTTGACTCACCAAAGAATTCCGGATCTCGCATTTACGAAGTAAAATACGGCGTTGGACTTTGTCTACCGACCCCACGGCACCCGTGGTAACCTACCCGTGCCACCCAACATACGAGCCTGTCCTGCATCGATCGGCGCGCACGGCATACATCCAATCCCATCCCATCCAGTGAGCCGCCCGAAATAAGAAACCAGAGTCCTGCTCCGGAACGAGAAGCCACCCCAAACCTTCGTGCCATCTACGTAAAACACGGCCCCAAAGTAGGTATCGCACACGTGTGCACAACGGTTCCATCCATCATGAAAAAGACGCGCAGGAGTCAGAAGTCAGATTTATTCTGTGCGCTCGTAAATGTTGTGCGACACCAGAGTTCAGAAGGTGTTCTAGAAAGACGATCCATGGCTGGAAGAAGAAGGATATGGTGCAAGCTTACTCATTTTCAGTAAGCTAACTGATAAGTGATCATGCGTGCGCGTGTACGTATGAGATGGAAAGCCTGGAGACGCAGTATGGCGTCTAAGCGCAGACTGGTGATGGGAAGGGCAGCACGCGGTTGTGGGTGTTGGGTGCTACTCGGTGGGAGGGAGGGCTGGCTTTAAGCGCTATTGGAGTTGGGGTAGCATAGAGGGGAAGGAAAGGGAGATTTTGGGGCGGGAGAATGATACTGCGGAGGGGACTGCAGACTGCGGTTTAATGGTACGTGAGGTGCGTACTCGGTGATGAAGGTGCCTTGAGAGATTTTTGAAGAGTTGGGGAGGTTGAGGCGATGGCGATGATACTGGGAATATCTTGTGGGAGACGATTGTTGCTTGACGATGGTAGGCAATGCAGTGAGGTGGGATTGTGCTGAAGCGGCTCTTGCAGGTCTCTTTAGGCCTCCTGCATACTGCAGTGCTGTTGTGTAATTCGAAGGCGCACTTACATAGAATTGCTTCATTTGGAAATAAGGAGCGAGACGCATAGATTGTGCGAGCGATATGACAAGCCTTGGATATCTTGGAATGAGATAATCTCTAATGTTAGATATTCAAGAATCGTCGATCTCTTCTTCCAGATTCAAGGGGTTAGCAAGTGTTGTGAACACTTCAAGCATTTGCGCCATGGAACACCATGGTAAAAGAAAAAGCAATTAAATGGCTGAACAACAAGTGGAACGAGTCTTCTAAGCGGTGGTGAGGGTTGGTTTGAGATAATATTAGATTATTTTCCTACACAGAATCTGTTGTTGGTTAGTCACATTTTACCCAAGCAAAGATAGGTCATCAAACTTACTTTTCAAATACAACACCCAGAACCTCTTCCACATCACTCACTGTTTTGCCGGTAATACGCGCAAGGCTTTGTGCCGCATCTCTCAGATGCTCGGCAGCAATGACAATATCAGCCTCATTGCTTTCGTCACTCGCCTCCTCCAGATAGGCTTCAAGCGACTCAGAAGTTTTGACGAGAAGTTGACGTGACCGTTCCGTAACTCCAAGCAGATCTTGGAGATCAGGTCTCAGCTCTGTCATTCCTTGAAAATTAGTAGCGAGCACTTCAACTAGATTGTCGATGCCGCCCCTTTCGCCTTTCGTGCTCTCCGCTTCTCGGCAAGAAATCATAACTATACGAGTACTTGGGCCAGTAAGTTCCTCTGTATGTATCTTAAACTTGCTGATCAACTGGTCTTCTTTGTCGATCGGCACAAGATCCCATTTGTTGATTACAATAAGAGAATTCGGAGCTGCAGCGGCAAGAGAAAGCGCTTCCGGATCATACTTGAGTTCAAGTTTACCTGATGAGGCAGATTGCTCGACTGATGCAAGTGCAATGACCAGGTCGGATTCAGACGCTTTAGCTTTTGCTCGACGAATTCCCTCTTGTTCGATCGAACTAATCTTATGTTCAGTGGCTTCGACTCCCGCACTCGTCGCATTTTCTTCCGTTCGTAGACCAGCTGTGTCGGCAAAAGTGCAAAGGTAACCCCGTATATCAAGACTGACCTCTACTATATCCCGGGTGGTACCAGGCTCTTGACTAACAATGGATGCCTCGCGACCAACAATTTGATTGAGCAGAGAACTTTTTCCAGCGTTCGGTGCACCAAGAAGAGATATTCGAATACCACGACGGAGCAACTCGCCACGAGTGCTTGCATCCTCATGCTGCACAATGGACTTTTGCATATCTCGAACTTTCTCCGAGATACCACTCAACAATTCAGCTGGGGACTCATCGAAATGCTGGTCTTCCGAAAAATCAATCAATGCCTCCATTTCTCCCCGCGCATCAAGTAGTGACTTCCGCCAGCTTTCATAAAGTGTCCCCAGATATTTAGAGGACCCTTTCACAGCAGCGCGACGTTGTTGCTCCGTCTCGGCGGACAGTTGATTGCTCAAAGCTTCGACCTGTGATAAATCAAGCTTCCCATTCGTAAATCCTCGACGGGTAAATTCTCCAGCTTCAGCGTAACGGATATTGTGCCGCGACTTAACCGCCGCGATGCCTTCCAGAACCGCCTTAACGGTTGCATTACCGCCGTGTACATGAAATTCCACCATATCTTCTCCAGTTTGAGTTCGCGGTGCCGGGAGCTTGATAACAACCGCTTGAGAGTCCAGTACGTTCGTGGTGTCCGATGGGTCGTAGAGCGTTCGCACAGAAGCGTAGCGCGGCTTTAAGTTCTTCTCCAGTTCGCTGCATAGCCCTTCACATATCTAGTTGAATTTAGTTGTGCATAGAGGTCAACCAGGAGATTGCTCACATCGTCGCATGCTGGCCCAGATATCCGAATCACCGCAATTCCAGCTCTACCAGCACCGGATGAAAGGGCATATATTGTCTCTTCATCATTTCGAGTGAAATTATCGTAGTTGACAGCCTTCGGCTTGTGGTGACGATTAACTTTCGAAAGGCCGTTTGATGCTATGCTCGCTGCCCGTAATTGCGTAGGATTCTTCCATTGCCGCCATTGTCCTTGGCAGAAGTTGCGATTGCATGAGATTGCTCTTTTCAGAACATTTTGCAGCATTGGCCTTTAGCTTTGGTGAGGAAAGATGCCCCTACGGCGAATTATCAGAGATAGATGTGTTGACTTGCGGTAGAATTCTGCCAAAACAGTACTTCTTTACACCGCCTTCCACATGTCGTTTCGTCATATCTCATTGTTCGAAACCATTTCCTAGCTTTTACTATCAATCATGATATTTCACTTTTCCAATGCTTGAGATTGGCTCTATATACCTGCTAATCAATGAGGCGTTGCAAGAGAATCTACATCAAGATGGTACCATCGTCTTTTCTGATATACCGTTTTTAAACGCGTTGATTTGTTGTTCGAACCCCTTGTATTATTGCAGTCGTAGTAAATTTTCATATACATATTAGGAGTATTTACAAATGTATCAATCCTTCGATCTTGGTTTCGAATCCCCCTTTATATTATCCCTCTTTCAATAATTTAATACCAGCTAGATCTTGAATCCAGAAAACAGCAGCAGCCCAAAACAAAAGCACGAGATATTCAACTTTTCTTTCTCCTTTTCGTCTTTACTATTCTGCGAGCTTTTGTGGTTGGGTTGGCCACCTCAGGCTTCGCTTTTCGCTTCCTGGACTCCCTTTTCCAATCGTACAAAGCCGCAAAGGGGAGATTTGTTTGCTTTGGGGGGCCTTTAGCAGAGCTCCTCAGTCGGCTTCGAAAAGTACTATTCGGCTCAAATCGATCCCAAATATGCTCATCATGGTGGTCATTCCATTCGTCGATTATGTATGCATCAAAGCATTCGTAGTCATAATTGCCTTCTCCTAATATGCGATCTCTCTTCCATATCCCCGCCTCGAGATCGAGTTGGATATGGGGGACAGTTCGCGCCTGACTCAAGTCAATAAGGACTCCTCCAAGATACATGTCGTCCTTCACATCCCAGACTTGTATCCCGAGACCATTCAAGTCTCGAAGTTCTCGCATCATTCTGGGTACCATTTTCGGAACATACATCTGCTCAGACCGGACGAGCTCCTTGACGATAGCGCGAACCGGTTTTCCTTCATCTTGCTCGCTCCGGTCCCAATTTGAAATTCGAAACTGGCGACAGACATCCTCTTCATGTTTGCTATTGGTTATGATATAACCATAGCAATGAACAGCCAAATCCTCCCGGCCGGTTTCTTTTAAGCGGCCAAACGCGCGGCATTCACTGTAAAATGGATCCTTATGGTGTGCTATGGTTTTCAAATTTATTGGCGCTAGCTCACTACCTGTGTATGGATGTAGAATTCGGGGATCCAAAAATTTAAACTTCGAGACTGTTAGCCTCTACTCGGATAGACATCAAATATGCGGAGCGACCCACCATCTTCAGCGCGTACGTTGAGCCGTTGATGATGACCTCGAAAACGTGAGAATGCACAGCGCTACCGAGGTGTTTTTTGAAAATGATGTCTTGGTCTTGGCCCTCAATTACGAAGGGCCCTAGCTTAGGCCCAGTGCATGGTGGTAGGTCGCGGCCAACCATTACATATGAGACAGAAGATGTCGTTCATTATGTTGTCGCAAGTTGAAGTGGTAATATGCTTTTGTTTGGTACTTGGGGTTGAAGAAGATGGCACGTGATCATCCTTGACGCGACGCGACAAATTCTAACCGCCGGCTTTCCTCTCCACTTGTGTTGTTTCACAGCCAGATCCATTCAAATAGCACCAACATCAAAACGGGTTCTCTCACTGTCGCTCTATTGGCTTGGCTTCAATTAGCCGTATAATCAACCTTAATAAGAATGGGTTAGCGATAGCCTCCTTTCCAGTGCCAGTAGGTCCAGACGCGCTTTGCCGATTGACACACCTGTCGAGGTGGAGATTTGGCCTAACTACACAAATTATTAGCTGCAGATGAATAGGGTGTATTGACGCCTAATGCGATGGTGTACTTACGCCTACCCCTTGCACATGTTACTATATCGGTCCTCATGGTACAGCAGACTTTTCCCCGTGGTGAAGAGATGTAGCCACTCTCATATAAACCTGGGTATATGGTTGTTGGAGTTCTACACGAGGTCACATCTTCAGGGTATTTTCATCACGAGTTGGGGTTAGCCACCTTCCTGATAAATGCAAGAGAGCTAAGGGTACCCCAACATCAGGCGTTCAGGTGATAGCACGCACATGTTTACTCATTTGAGAGATTTGTAAGGCAGTCAGATTACAACACTGCTACTGTTTCAACCTATTTGTTGGAGATTAGTTGGCGTACAAAATCCGGCCTCCTCGGGGCCGCACACAGCCTCCTTCAGCTACTCAGAGTCACCGAAGCGTCGATGTTTAGGATAAAGTCACTGCTGTATCCCACCAGTAAGTTGCAAGATTGACGGATACTGTTCAAGTACAATACTATCAGAAAGCAACTTCCGAATACCCCTTCCCTAACTTGCCTGTTTGGCCCCCTTTAAAGAGACAATATAGCTCATTTACTCAACTACACTGAGTCATTATAGCTTGTTGAGCAGTGTAGAAGAAATCGTCATTTCACTGTGAGGAGTCGTCTTGTATGTCTTAGAACACACTGAAGTCCCGATCTTGAAATGCTAACCACCATCCCTTAGATACTCTTCCTCTACTACCATGGAGGGCACAATTCTTGAGGTTTTGACACAGGAGAATCCAGTGCTGAGATTGCAATCTCAAAAGTCTGGCCGTCTCACCCAGAATCCTAATTACATCGATTTAGCTCCACGGGAGGTCTCGATGAGCGCTTGGGATGACTTCAACTACGACAACATCATCGCTGCTCTTGGCAATATTCTCGACCATGGACCAGTGGAAAGCAGAGTCAAAGAAGATGTTGGCGGCAGCCAGCTAGACATTGAAGACGAAGACGACATTGATAGGATCAGCGACCACTGGTTCTATGAAGTTACCAACAAGCCCTTGAAATTCGGTTCACTCCAACTATTACAGCAACTCGGAATGGAAGAGGTCAATGTATCGTTCCGGTTGAAAGGAGCAAAGCTTAAGGATCCAGTCAATGACAACAAACTCCTCCCGGACTGGGTCGTCTACCAACATTCGGAACCCAACAAAACCAATATCGTGGTGGGTGACAGCAAGTGTAGCACGAAATGGTGTAGCGATAGAAATAAAAATATACCAAAGATCGAAGTGCAATGGATGTGGCCGATGCGACAGATCGGGTCGTATTGCAAATTCGGTGGTACTCGCTACTCCTTCATTGTTACACCGGAAGAAATAGTAGTTGCTCGTTTCTATTTAGATCATTCAATGAATGACGCTGACAGAGCTGAGTATAAGTCGATACCTTGGGGTGCTGCCTCCCCAACAGCATTAACAAGTAAGTCTCTCACTTACCCCGAGACATTTTAAAAGTCAGCTGACATGTTTTTCAGTGAACCTAGCTATCTGGGCGCTGGCGATGTTCGCACTTAACGAAGGCCATCGACCAATCAGGAGTCGAGAGGAGACGTTACCATTAAACGTCTGGTGGAAAGACGTGGCTGCCGACGGTTCGTTAACGTACGAGCATCATCTTACAGGACGGACATTGAAGAAACTACCCAAAGGCGGAGAAGCGAGGAAGCGTCCAACTCACATACCTGATGTCGTACCCGAAAATGAAAGGGAACCACCCGTGAGGTCTACTCGAGCAGCCACGCTCAAGAGGAAAAAGGGTTGAAGGCAAGAATAATCCGTGGGAGGGCATGTACATTTATGATTTATTGGAGTTTTATTAGCTACAATGTAAGATTACTATATCTCCTTTAATAGAAGAGTCAATATCAAGCTTTGCCCAACCTTCAACTGGCTACAAAGTTGCGACCCATTTCATTTACATGTTGCAGTAGGGACCTTGGATCTAGAGCTGTATCACCAGTACGTCTTAAGACTAACGGGACGCCTTCCAAATTATCCAGGCCCAATAATGTTTAGAAACCGACACTCTAACGCTCCTTGCTCAATACAGATATGTACTCTGGGTCAAAGAGACACTCAAGTGTAATGACTTGAAATAATTAGTCAAACAGAGCTTTTTAGGTAAGGTTTATCGTGATCCTAATATGAGTAGGTCTCCCGTTAGACTTATGATACACAAGTGGATCACTCCAGAGATTGTTTTGAAAATTGTTGTGTGGTCCAGCGAAAGTTGTCGGCTAGATGACTTACAATAGGATGAATAAGACTTGCGACCAATTGTGCTTAATCATTTTCACGTATACAAAGTTACAGACTTACCACGTACGTCGGAAAGCAACATTTAATATCATGCCACATTAACGACGTTACACGCAATCATTCTTCTCGGTTTTGAAGGATGCGGCGCATATGTTGTAATATCAGTACTACTAGATTAGTGTATACGCGCAACTCTCTCAGTCGACAGTCATGATACCAGAAGCGAGAACAGATTTCCATAGACGGATTTTTTCAGTGAAGCTGGATACTCGTATATGATAAGGCAATCAATTCTCATTTACTCGGTGGTCTTTGGGTGCTTTCCGGTGCCAAGGTGTTGGGTGTGTTGGAATTACGGCACCGAGATGTTGGTTATAGATTTGACTTAATACTCTTGGCATGCAACAAATACCAACCTCGTCTGGAAATTTGTCATATAATCTCGCGAGTCTCCAGAAAAAGCTAGAGCCAAAAACTACTAACAATCTGCATACTCATATTAGTAGATAGACAGCTGAAGAACCCGTAGATTTCTAATTATGCAATGTTGACCGTCATGTATAACACGGAAATGTCCATAACGTGGGCTATTTCAATAGGCCTTTCAACATTGTTAGCCTACTTCTTCAAGAATCTCTACCGACAACGCATGCTAGTAAAAACCCTCATCAAACAAGGACTCGTAAGCCCTCCCCCCATCACTTACAATACCGTCTAATCATCAACAGCCAGTCGCACCCAACCACAACTTCCTCTTCGGCCACCTCCTCTACCTAAAACGTTTCAGCGATGCCATGCCCAAAGGAGCACACTTCCAATACATGTTCAGCGACATCTACCAAGAATCCTTCCAAGACGGCGGCGTCTTTTACCTCGACATGTGGCCACTCAGCCCATTATTCCTCGCAGTAGTATCGCCCACCACCGCAACAAGCGTGACGCAGACGAATTCGAAAATCTATGCTAGGAAACCCGATTTATTGCCTAAGTTGTTTAAACCATTGGCTGGAGGACCTAATTTGTTTGATATGCCGGAGGTGGAGTGGAAACCGTGGAGAGCTACGTTTAGTAAGTGTTTTAGTAATGAGCACTTCATGTATTTGGTGCCGGGGATAGTTGAGCAGACTCTTGTTTATTGCGAGACTCTGAGGCGGCATGCCGAGATGGGGGATACGTTTTTTCTGGATACGATGACTATTAGGTTTACGATGGATATCATTGGAAAGACGATTTTGTGAGTAGATCAAGCCTGGTAGAGGATCAGCTCTAACATGTACAGGAATTCCGAGCTCGGTGCTCAGAGAGGATATAATCCTCTCGCTGATTGTATGATCAGTCAGATGAGATGGCAGCAACCAAATGGTGATATCAACCCGTTCAGTTTGATCCACTTGCCGCGATTCTTCATGCAGTATGCATTCTTTTCCTTTTCCTTTAGCTTTCAAACTCCTAGCTTCGGGAGTTGACAACAAGCTTGGTTCTCAGACACGGCTCTAGACTCCTCTTACCTCTTGAAACACACAGATACTCACAGACTAACTTCTCACAGATGGTTAAACGGCCGAAGAATGGACTCATACATCGGCCCCGAACTAGACAAGCGATTCCGCGAACATCGTGCCAGTCCTCCCGACTCCAAAAAGAACAAAGCAATCATCGACCTACTCCTCCAAGCATACAGCCCAAACTCAGAAGCGACTCCTAACCAGGAAGAAACAATGGACCCAGAGTTCCGGTTATTCGCCATAAGACAAATCCGAATGTTCGTCTTTGCCGGACATGATTCCACATCAAGCGCTATAACCTACTGTTTCCATCTCTTGTCCAGACATCCAAAAGCACTTCAACGATTGCGAGCGGAACATGATGAAACGTATGGGATGGATATCTCATCTGTCGCTTCGAAACTTTTAGCGAATCCGGCACTGGCGAATGGACTGCTTTATACGACTGCTGTTATCAAAGAAGCACTGCGATTATTCCCGCCTGCGAGCTCTAGTCGGCAAGGCACTACCGGTGTCGAGATTACCGATGACAGAGGTATGGTATGTCCGACCGAAGGTGCCGTGGTATGGGTGAACCATCAAGCCATGCACCGAGCTCCAAAATACTGGGTGCGTCCCGATGACTTCCTTCCTGAACGATGGCTGGTAAGTCCAGACCATGAGCTGTATCCCATGAAAGGCGCTTGGCGGCCTTTTGAGAATGGACCTAGGAATTGTATTGGGCAGGGCTTGGTTATGATGGAGTTGCGAATCGTTTTGAGTCTTACGGTTAGAGAGTTTTTGTTTGAGGATGCTTATGAGGAGTTTGATGCGAGAGGTGGGAGGAAGGGGATTAAAAATTATAAGGGGGAGAGAGCTTTTCAGATTGATGAGGGGGCTGCTCATCCTGCGGAATATTATCCTTGTAAGGTGAAGCTTAATGTGTAGATTTTGGCGCTATGACTTATCCGACAAATTTCTTCTAGATAAAAAAGCTAAGAATAAGATCAGCTGAAGTGCCATTTGCCTACCATTATCGAGCTTTCCGCGTTGTGAAGATCTTCTAATTTCGAAGTCACCGAGAAAGAGAAGACGTTTTTTTAATCAATAAGACCGTAGGTGTAAAGGACACCGAGTGTCCGCGATATAAGAGACCCTGAAACTGATAATTCTGTTCGGTCCCGTCGATTCTGGTGTTTTGTACCGACGTGATATGGGTGCGATTTAAGCGAGGCCTATAAATTCACTTGAACAACCCTTTACTCGACAGCAATAGTAAGGCCGTAACCATTTTGATCCATTTGACTCACTAAGAAGAGCCCTTTTTGTCATATTATCACCTCCTCTTCAACCCACTATTAAAAACAACACCATCGACAATCTCCCTGGTCCCAGATGCCGAAATCCGATAAAGTCTCTCATCCATCCCATCCTTCACACCAAGAACTTTAACAACCAACTCCCTGCCGTCAAGTCTATATAGATATCCCTACGACATATTAGCCACACCCCCAGTTCAACCATAAGAATTTGAATCGACTTACCCTGACCTCGCCCACGTCCTTCCCCTTCAACCCAAACCAACACTCCGGCACCTCCAATTCTGTTAAAATCTCTAACTCTGGAAGCCTCAAATGATGTCTCTGATGTCTACCCTTCAAATCATCTTGGATTAATTTATGGAACTCAGTTTCTAATTTATACAACGTGCCACTAGGACATAAATGCCTAATCACAGGTGAGAGAAGTGGTACGAGGTGGAAGTGGCCATGGAGATGGGCGATTTCGAGGGCCGTTACATTTGGGTGTGTAAATTCTGAGGGATCGGTTACAGTTGTGCGGAGGGTTTCTGGGTGTGTTAGTGAGAGGAAGAAGGAGGTAAGAGAGGGGAGCAACTCAGGGCTCCGAGGTCTAGGAGTTTCTGGACTGTGGCAGCTGGAGCGCCCATGAAGACCATTTGGTGGAGAGGTGTCCAGCCTGTGGCTTTACTTGGGTCGGACTGATCTATAAAGCAGGATTTAGTGAGCGTTCAATGGGAGTTGCAGGTGATGTTCGTACTTAATCGAGGAGCATTAGCCCAATTTTCACCATACTTGTCTCTTGCAGTCCTGAGAACCTTGAAAATACTGTCGAAGTCGCCAATCCTCGCAGCGTCAGACAGCTCATCTCGCAGCTTTAGATATTCGGGCTCAAATCGCTCTCGATAAGTGTCTCCCCACCAGATTTGAACTTTCCTTTTCGAGGCAGTAGATGAGGAAGTTGAGTATGCAGGCGGTGCTTCTTCAAATAACGGCACAACTTCTGACTGGATCTTACTCTCCTCATGCATCTGCTTGACCTCTTCTTCAGTCCTCACAGCCGACGCCCTAACACGTATGAACAACCTCTTCACCTAAGATCTAAAAGCAGACTTACGTAGCAACACTCAACAACACCGTAACAATCTCTCCCTCATGCTCCTTCAACCGTCCACACAACCCTTCCACCCGACTCTTCTTCATCAGCATCTGCAGTCCCACAAAACTGCCCGCCTCGCTTATTTGCTTCACCAAGATCTTCAACTCACCCATCGTCCCCCTCGTCTCTGTATCGTTGAAATAGAGTAAAAGTTTATTGGCTTTGACGCCAAGTTGTTTTGTGAGACCTCGCAGCTGTTCGAGGAGAAGACGCACTCGCTCGACGTGGGAAAGGAGTTTAGTGAGGAGCGAGCGCGCATTTTTGATGGTCTCGATGGCGCGCTGAAGGAGTTTGACGGTTTGGAGACATATTGTTACGATGCCGGCTGCTGAGGCGGCTATCGAGAGAGGATCCATTGTTAAAGAATCTAAATCCTATATATATTTCATAGATCAACTATCTCTAATAAGTTTCGAATTGAAGCTTCGAAGGTGGGATAGTGAAGATCCACATCATGTGGTGAGATTTGGTGGGAATTCTCGCTAATCTATGTCAAACCACGGGCAAGTTTTGAAATCTTTCAGTATGTCAAAATCCTGTATGATTAAAAGTAAGCAGTGCATGTTTAGATCAATTTCCTTTGCAGGGAGAAGCTGCTGGTGTTTGTGTATAACTGTCCCGGGTTGCTATGTTAAAGTGTACCCGTTTCTGAAAGTTCTTGAATGGAAAAAGAGAACGTTTCTTCATTACTGAGAGACATAAAATTGCGCTTTCTGAGATACCTCCAAAATGTGATAGGCTTACTATCTTAGCACTCACATTGGGAAGTTTTGTGTTGGTGATCTGTGCCTGAATGACGACGTGTGCTAACCCATGCTAGCGCCAAGACTTCAAGACAACCCTGAAGGTGACTGAACAGTATCTTTTAAAACTACTAACTCCTTGCGATCCAACTATCAAACACATCAATTGTTTTCTAATTACAAAATAATCAAATAATCTTTCCATCATGGCGGAACCACCATATAAACGCAATCGACGTCCAGATAGTAAACAAATGTGGGATGAAGCAGATCGTCGCGCACCCTCAGCACCTATACCCACACGCGAACGCGACGACCGACGCGATGATCGCAGAGATGACAGAAGAAGATATCGAAGTCGGTCGCCCCGACGAGATGATCGACGCGGTGGAGGTCGTGAGCGTGGAGGGCGCAGAGATGATAGGGAATGGAGAAATGAGGGCAGAGGCAGTCGTCGAGATGACTACCGGGATCGCGATGGACCTAGAGATAGAGGTATGTATGCGCCAGCGGACATTTTTGCTTTGCCATACAGACAAAAATCTGACACTGTTGCTTGCGAAGACCGGAGAGATGGGAGGGACAGGCCTAGGGAGAGATCTAGAGAGGTAAAGAGGGATCGAAGTCGCAGTCCGAAGAGGGAGAGGAATATGGAGGAGAGGAGAGATGCGGAAAGAGAATTGAAGAGAGAGGATAGGGAGAAGAGTCGATCTTTAATACCTGATGAATTACCTACGAAAAGTCGAACCGCTACACCACCAGTGAGCTTCAAAGTTGGTGCGCCTCAAGCGCAAGCGCAAGATCATGATCGGATGGAGGTGGACCTCTCACGGAAATCTAAAGAGAAACCGGTCGAAATTCCTGTCGCAGACGAGGAAGACGATGACGAGATCGTGATTGAAGACGATGGCATGGCCGACATGCAGGCAATGATGGGCTTCGGCGGCTTTTCGACGACGCAAAATAAGAAAATCCTTGGGAACAACATCGGAGCAGTAAGGAAAGAAAAGAAGACCGAGTACAGGCAATACATGAATCGGGTCGGCGGATTTAATAGACCTCTGAGTCCTACCAGGGATGAATGAGGTGACTAGTAATGCAGAAGTAGCAAGGGCATCTGAGCGGAGGATGTGTGAACTTTTGCTTCATAGTCTAAGTTGGTCTCTTCGATTCTTCGCCCTCTAGATAAATGCGAAATTGATTCTACGGAAGTACTTGGAAAATGCATCGTTGCTAGGAGCTGTTAAGTTGTTGGACGGGTTCGTAGCCTTGCATGGTTGTATCGCACTGTAGGAATAAGATCATATACCCTGAACCGCAAAATATAATAATAGACACCCCAAACTATTCTCACTGGTGGAATCATTTCAACAGATAATTCTCAATTAGTACCCTCCGTGACATACCAAAATTGTCGTGCGGAGTCAAGAACTTCCACAGCCTCGCGAACAGGCTGAACGCGTCATTCGTCCAATTGGCCAGAGCTTCACAGCGATGTGTTCACAAAGTGAACATCTCTCTTTTTCAACTTCTCTCCCAGACTTTTCCCTCCTTCGAAACATAATCTGCGAGCTTCCAAAGTGATTATTGGAGCTCCAGGATATATTTGCCCTCGCATTGACTGCCTCCAAGATGTTGCGGTCGTTATGCACCGCGTTTGTTGCTGCGGTAGTTGTGGTTGCGGCCGAGGACCTATCGAATATCCCATTTCAAGAATTCGCACGGGAGACTAACCAGAGTTTATTGTGGAATCCTTATAGACCCAATGTCTACTTTGGAGTCCGGCCTAAGATCCCAAAGAGTTTGGTGGGCGGATTGATGTGGTCGAGGGTGGACAACTTTCAAGATGTCCAGCATAGTAGGTCAACGGTCAAGTTTTTGACAGTAATGCATGCTAATTGATGATCAATACAGACTTCAGACATACCTGCGAACAGGGAGAAATGAAAAAGTATGGATGGGAAGAGTTCGATGCGAGAAGTGGTGGGGTGCAAACGATGTACGACGAGAAGAATGGAATTGATATAACGACTCATTTTGTTAAGATACCCGGTGGAAACCATGGAGGCAGCTGGGCTGCACGCATTCGAGGAATTGTGAGAGAAGATGCACCCGAAGACTTGAAGACGACTGTCATTTACTATGCGAGCTTGGAGGGGTTAGGACTTTTGGAGCTTGACAACGAGGTTGATCCGTTAGGATACGAAGGCGATGTTTCGCTCAATGGAGACTCGGATGGACTTGGGAAATACAAGTTGACTGTCACAAAAGGAAGAGGACATCGACCAAAACATTCGCACCCTTCTTACGCGTCTAAGCCACTTGACAGAACGATAGTGGCCTCCCTTCAAGCGCCAGCGGAGGTTCTTTGGCAGATGAAGCCAATATTGTTTCGAGAACTGAAAGCGCAAATCGACAAGTACTTGGAGGAATATGGTGAGGAAAATCCGCCGCCCCCACCACAGGCATACACGATCTCGAACAGCGGTAACCCTGGAAATCTGTACATGATTCAAAAAGTGTTTGAAGGCAACTTCGAGTTTGACGTTATTTTCAACAGTGGCTCGGCCCCCAAGGAGATATTCTCTCAAGATGTTAGCCAACAAATTGATCAAAATACAAGAAACTACTGGGCGAGATTTGTTGGTACTTTTGATCCAAAACCTCCATTTGATGTGGAGAGTCTTCAAAAGTTTGCAAGCAACATGTTCTCGAACCTCATTGGTGGCTTGGGATATTTCAACGGAGATGGGGTTGTCGATCGTTCATATGCCCCTGAGTACGAGGAGGAGAATGAAGGATTTTGGGAAGAGACAGCTCAGGCTCGCGCCAAGCATCTAGAACAATTAGAAGGTCCATCGGAGTTGCTTACTACGGTTCCTTCACGGCCATTCTTTCCTCGTGGATTCTTGTGGGATGAGGGTTTTCACCTAATGCCGATTGTTGATTGGGATCTTGATCTTACTCTTGAGATTGTGAAAAGTTGGTTCAATCTCATGGATGAGGATGGATGGATTGGCCGTGAACAGATTTTGGGTGCTGAAGCACGAAGCAAAGTGCCTCAAGAGTTCCAAACTCAATATCCTCACTACGCCAACCCACCAACGCTCTTTTTCATTCTTGACACTTTTGTCAGTAAACTGGGTGCCTTGAATGGTACGACTCCACCTGCAAACGAGCGTCTTACCCCGAGAATCAATACAAAGCATCTAGACGACCAACAACTAGGTCTTCATTACCTCCGCGAACTATACCCCAAACTCAAGAAACACTACTACTGGTTCCGCAAAACCCAAGCCGGAGACTTAAAATCCTACGACCGCGATGCATTCAGTTCTAAAGAAGCATACCGATGGCGCGGCCGCACCCCCCAACACATCCTCACCAGCGGTCTGGACGATTACCCTCGGCCCCAACCCCCACACCCCGGAGAACTCCACGTCGATCTCATCTCCTGGATGGGCATGATGACCAAATCACTCAAGAACATCGCCACGCTCCTCGGCATCGAAGACGACGGCGCTGAACTCACCACCATCGAAACAGCTATCCTCCGTAACATCGACGACCTCCACTGGAGCGAGAAAGAGAAGTGCTATTGTGATGCTACGATTGATGATTTTGAGGAGAATTCTTTGGTTTGTCATAAGGGTTATATCTCGCTCTTCCCGTTCCTGACGGGTCTTTTGGATGCGAAGAGTGAGAAATTAGGACATGTTCTGAAACTGCTGGGCGATGAGGAGGAGTTATGGAGTGAATTCGGGATCAGGAGTTTAAGTAAGAAGGATAAGTATTATGGAACGGATGAGAATTACTGGCGTGGTCCTATCTGGATGAACATCAACTACCTAGCTGTCGTTCAACTCCTCGTACGTCCACCCTCCCCATATTCCTCCCCTTCCCAAAGCTAACCCACCACAGAAATACGCACAAACCCCCGGCCCCCACCAAACCACTGCCACAGATCTGTACTCCCGTCTCCGCATCAACCTGATCCAGACCGTCTACACCAGCTGGCAGGACACGGGTTTCGCGTGGGAACAATATAATCCGGAGACGGGCAAGGGGCAGCGCACGCAGCATTTCACGGGCTGGACGAGTCTGGTGGTGAAGATTATGGGGATGCCGGATTTGAGTGGTGGGAAGTGGGGGATTGAGGAGAAGGGGGAGGGGAAGGATGAGTTGTAGATGGGGCGGGGAGGAAAAAGAATGGGGGAAGGGGGAAAGGGGAGAGTTGTATATAGATAGGTAGGACGGAAAAGTTGAATGGGATTTCGTGCTCATTTGTTTGATGTGAAGTCATGTTTTTTGAGCTGAGTGCAAAAATGATTCCTCTTGCCTACTACACCAAACTCCCATTGCTAGTCTTTCTCGCCTGTTGAAATACGGTTTAAACAAACGTGCGTTATGCAACTCTTTCTCCACTTACACTTCTTTAGTTCCCCGTCTAAGGATATATCGCACTTACAGTTGTGCTGACAAGCGTTGAGAGCCCCCGGTTTTAGTTTACAATCCCTTGGTGTTGAGTAGTCACGATGTCTCGTACAAAAAGATTCTCGGAGTAGGAGTTAGTGAAGTGATGATTGTGATGGGTTGGGATTTAGTTTGTATTTAGAGCCGCTCAAGCTTGATCTGTAAATCCTGTTCGGTGAAGGAGCAGATGTCCAGTATACCCTTAATCTCCATTCTACTTCGACGACGGTTATAGAATTGAATTTCCTCTGAGCCTTTGATCTTTATCTGGATTAAATTATTTCATTTCTCCACAAACCCCACATCCTCAAATCTCATCCTCCTCATCATCAAAATCCTCCCGGTCCTCCGCACCCATATCATACAATATCCTTCCTCCCTCACCAGCCCCCATCGCCCCTCCGTCTTTCTGTGCGTCGAAATACGGAAGTACAACGCCTTCCCTATCTCTCTTCTGTTTCTCGGTGAGCGTGAGGTTGAATGTTGTTTCGACTTCGTTCTCATCTTCGTTGTTTTCTGAGGTGTGTGGGGGAGGAGCGTAGAGTGGATGTGTGTCGAGGAGTATAATCTCCGGTGATGGGTGTGAGGGGATGAGGACGAAATTGTCGATTATCGAACGCCCCGAGCGGCGACGGAGTTCGGCGTGGATGACGACCCCTGAGGAAGATGGGGTTACGGGGAGGGAGAAGAGAGCGCCGGAGGGGTGGGATGTGAGGGTATAGGTTGGTTCCTGGAGGGATCTATCTCGTGCGCGTTTTTGGGCGAGGATATGGGTGAGGGGCGTGAGGGATAGGATGGAGGTTGAGAGGTAGGTTAGGGTTGTGAGGGGGGATGGGGTGTAGGGTGTGTGTGGGAGGGGGATGTCCAGGTGGTAGGTTGAGAGGAGGGAGGTGTGGGGGGTGGGGAGGAGGGAGGTTAGGAAGGGGGTTAGGTGCGGGGCGTGGAGGGTGCAGAGAGGGGTTAGGGTGTCTATTATTAGGAGGGTTTCTGGGGGGTGTTAGTTTGTGGTCAGAAGAAGCGGAGGTATGAGGTTGAAAGTTGAATGACAATCGAGTTTGAGATGAAAACGTGACAGAAATTAGGCCTTGCTTGTGGAGAGCATGACACAGAAAGTTGACAAAGTAAGCCAGGCAATTGATGCCACGGATCTTAGAACGTGACGTGGATGAACATTGAAATAACATACTTAACGCAGAGGCAGTAGTGTTCGCTGAAGGCGGTAGTGGTATGTGTGAGAGGATCTCGGTACGAAGAGTAGCCAACGGTTTCGATCGTGCTGATATGAAGACCTCAGGCTCAAAAGAGACCTTCTTCCGAAGCGTGGCGAAAGAGATAAATATGATCTTCGTCTTGGAAATCTACATTATGTTAGAAAATTTCTTGTATATGTTTGGATAAACGGATCAAACATAACCAAGAAAACTCATAAGCAGGGCAGAATCGAGAAAATGAAGAGAAAATGGAAAAAAAGCCTGCCAATACTATATTGCACTGCCACGAGGATGTATTAATGCAGATATATTCAATGAAATACTCTTGGCGAAGTAAAATGAAAGGTTTGTCGATCCAACATGAGAATCAGGAAACTCGCCTTGGCTCTCCTCACGAATTCTCTTACAACACTGCCACTTCTCTGCTCCAAATTGTCCAGAAGCAAAGTGAAAGGACTTGCGCCATCTCTGAGATTTAAGAGTTTTTGAAACAAGAGTGTATTATGCGTTCTCCGCTGTTGCAATGGCGAAGGAGCCATATTTGTATTGAATGTATCGTGGTGGTGTGGTTTGTACGAAAGGGATGGTCGTGGTGGGGTCGGAGGGATGAAATTGTAAACGGGACGTGCTCGGAGTTCGGCGCCGAGGATTTGTGGGGTCGGTAAAAGGTTGTTTCAACCTCCTCGTCTCGAACCCTACAATTCAACATTCAACAATTATCTCATCGAGGGCGATCCCGTTGCTACCGTACCTCGACAAGTACATCAATAGTGGCAAGTGATTATTCTTGACAACCGACAGGAAGATTACTGAACACTTCATGTTGAAGAGTGAGCCAAGTGGTCACGAGTATCGAAGCAATTTTCCCAGGAGGCAACCAGAATTTGTGGTAGCATTGACCCCTGAACTCCTAGGACTGAGATTTTTTATTCCTCGTATTTAATCTCGATCGGTCTTTCATGCCTAATTAGTTACATTTGCTCTTTCATTGCTGCGGCACTTGATCTCGTCAGCATTTTGATAACATCATATATTGCGTGGCAGTAGGAGCAGGCCTCTATTAAATCATACCACTATCCCCAAATTCGTGGATACCAAGGCTTGAAAATTCCGGCGTTTTTCCTTCATTCGTTCATTACTATGTTGCCTAGACTCATAAAGAGCCTCAGTTCAAATTCACTTCCGTCATTCGGGGTTATTCAGCAGGTTTCAGCCTCATTTCTGCATTAAGGATGCATCCTCACGAGCAACAAACACCGATCGCCCCCAAGTTCAAGATCTGATACGGTACTTCGTTGGTAACCGAATGGAGATCTTGTAGCTACAAGTCGCAACACAGCTTGAACGGCGATCTGAACATGCCGAAGATGGCCCCAGATGTACTTCACGGGAGCTAGTTCCTTTGAAATACCATGACTTCCCTTCTACTGCCGGCTCCCACTTTTTCTTGTCATATACAGTCATAATTGATTCCACATCGTTCGATATGCGAGGTTTTGATTCAATTGCGAGCTTGATAGTCAGCCTCACGCTTTTAACACTACCTCTGGCTGTTGCGGCGGACCCTATCAATACCAACGGTGTAAATTTCCTGTACCCGCCACCCGGTCTGACACCCAAATACCTCGATACAATCAAAGCAACTTGGACTTCGCTGTTCCAGGCACCTTACCTATATACCAACTGTTTGAATGAGACTGGGGGTACTACAGTTAGTAAGTGAAATACGCTCCGTTCTTGAAGAGCTAAAAATAACCATATTACCATAGAGAAACATTATCCAGTTCCGACGAATGGCTCCTCGGCGGTAGTGTTGGATTTCAAGAACTTGTCGTCATGCTGGTTCAACCTACGTCCACAAGACTGGTACATTCCCGATTCTGGCTCAAACAGTGAATCCTTTGTGGTTGTACCCGGAATGAGACAACCTTATCCGCAGATTTGGGAGCTCGAAGTACAAGATCCAGGACAAATATCTTCGCCTGCCACAGAGACGGCCGGTGATTCTCCAGCTACTCTCACCATATTGACCCCAGACGCTACACCGAATCCATCACTCACTACTACAATTGTTAGGGGACCTGCAACTACTCTCGCTAATACAGCATCTTCTGCTACAAGTCCTGCGAAACCTGAGTTAGATGATCATGATCATGATCAGCATGGCTTAGGAAAGGGCGCAAAGGCAGGCATCGGAATATCCGTCGCGGCCATAATAATAGGTTTCGCGGCTTTAGCATTCTTTTTGCTCGCAAGACGCAACCAACGCCGCGAAATGGCCATATCCAACCACGTGTACGAAACCGCACTTCCACGACCGCTCTTACCCATAGCTCGTGTCTTGTCAGATACACCTTCCTACAGCACGACCGCACCCATCACGCCGCCCTGTCGAGCAATACTCGAACACATCAAGAATGAAGAAGAGGGCGGTACTACACCACGAATCGAAAGTGTAAGAAGCACCACACCGCGGATCGAAAGTATGAGGATAGAATCTCTGGCGAGCAATAGTCCGCGCATCGAAAGTGTCATGAATGGAAGTCTAAGGCAGGATAGTGTGAGGGCAGAGAGTATGGTGGAGTTAAGTCATGCTGATTCCGCGTTACATGAGCTGTATAGTCCGGCGGAGGTCCATGAGATTGGACCTGGTAGATGGGAGAATACTGGGTTTGGGTTTCCGCCGGAGAAGACTGCTAGGTGTTGATATTGGTGAAAGAGATAGGGAGATGCGGTGTGCCTGGGAAAAGCCTTTTTCACGGACTTCGAATGGTGAGAGGAGGGAGGCCGTAGATTATGAGAGGAGGATGAATTGTATCTAGTTTGAGCGTTTCTTTTGTATACTGGAGAATACCCTGGTGTTTCGATTGGGAAATGTGTACATAGGGTCCTGAGTCGTATTAGCGTATCTCTGGCTAGCATTTATAGTTTAGCATGGTGTAAGGAGTTTGAAACTAGCTATAAGCACATAATCTACACTATTTTCATGACTTTGTGTCTAGTGCACAGCGAGAAATTACTTTACAAACAGTGGTTTAGAGGCACGTGATACCAACCAAATCACCAACATTCGTGCCCCACCTTGATCACCAATGCTCCCCTCACCTTCCAACACTCTTCCTTTTCTTCTCACTTCCCTAGATACTCCTCTCCGTCAATAATTTCGTCCCGTAAACCATCACGATGTCCTCGTCCCCACCCCCACCAAAATACATCTACAAAATCCTCCCCTCTCCCCCACCAACCCCGCTCCCCACCTCCCTCCCTCTCTCCGACCTCGACGCCCGCGACGGCTACATCCACATGTCGACCTCCTCGCAGGTCCTCGGTACCTTAAACAAGTTTTTCGCCACCAGTACATCCGTTTGTATACTTAGGGTCCCGTATGAGAGGGTGAAGGAGCGGGTGAGGTGGGAGATTGGTGGGGGAGGGGGAGGGGTTTGGGAGAACGAGGGGGTGAATGGCGGGTTTGCGCATATTTATAAGACTGGGGAAGGGGATGATGCTATAGGGTTGAGGGTGGGGAGGGAGGAGGTGCTTGATTGGGGGGTTTGGGAGAGGGAGGAAAGTGGGTGGAAGGTGGAGGGGTGGCCGTGGGGGGAGGATAGACCTTGAGGGTTGAAGGACCATAAAACCGTCCTGCGGATTGCGCTTTCGACTCGGATATGGCTGGATAGATTCCTGGCTGTGGAAACAAGGAGACTCTCGAGCCAAGATTCATCGGCTGTACATACTACGGACACAGTCTCCGTTGACGCAAAGATAGACTCGGAATTCAACTCCCTCCTCCTTCGTACATAGACCGCGGGAGCCACCTGGTTACGAACATGTGGCTGGACTCGAAGTCGAAAATTCCTCGAACTTTGGTGTTGTGCGGACAAATTGCTATAATTATATATTTAGATTACAGTTGGCACTAGTGCATAAGTCATCGCACGAAAGACATGGCTTTCGACAAAAATTTCTAGGATTGTTTTGTGAATTTTCGTACACCAGTACCTTGCACAACTGGCCGGACACATTCTCAACACAAAACGTTCAGAAAGCGGTATCTTAAAACCCCTTCCGGGATATTTATATTTAGCCTTCACAATAGAGACAATACCGTATATTTAATCAGAAGGATTGAGTAAAAGTAGCGTTTCGGGGATGATATTGCTATTCTACCGTAATGAGGTGTCCTATCAGTCTTACAATACACTGGTGGCACAATTTTCAGTAAACGTTTAACTTCTATAGCGCCTACATCCACTTTTCTTGGTCGATAGACTTTTGGATGTGTCTTATAAAAGAATTATGTTTGAAAATGTATTAAGGTGAAAGGGTGTTAAGATGAATTTAAACAACTTTCATTTAGTCTCGCTAGGAAACTATACAAAGGAGATTTACAATTTCATGGGCACTGTCTGACACGGGCCGCTGACCCAGAATGATCCGGGCTGAAGAGGCAATGTACTTATATATCTCTAGATTTAAGTTTTTACTAAATAGGTAAGCTGTAATACCTATTCTACCTACCGCTAATAGTCTCTATTTATAAATAAGGTAGTATTTATCTATAGAGTACTCTATTTACAAAAAACTCTACTTAATTACTCTATTTATAAGTAGGCTAATATAGTAGTCTATTTATATATAACTTAAACTTCTATCTAAGAGTTAAGATAAGATCTTAAAGATGTAAGAAAAGTTTAGGTAATACTCTGATTTTTAGAAACCTAGTTCTAAGATCTAAAATATCGCCTTTGTCGACTTAAATTGTTGTATTTGTCGATTTAATTTAGAATGTCTCTAGAGTAATCACTTTATTTGTTTACAAATAGGGTAACCAAGTAGTTTTATGGACGAACGTGGTCTATGTTACACCTTATTCGTGAATAGGGTACCCCATAGGTAAACACTACTCTATAATGGTAGGTTAAATATACTCTATTGATAAATAGGGTAATAAGTGAATAACCTGTTCACGAACATTATATGTTAGTAAACGGGGTAGAACATACCTTATCCATACACACATATTAAAGTAATTTGAAACAATGAATTTAGAACAGTAAAACATAGTAGAAATAAGTTGTCTCATCTTATTCAAGAAATGGAAACTAGATTGACTTATACACAAAATGGATAAATGGTCAACCTACCATTCCGACTAATATTCATTAGTTCATCCTAACAAATCAAATATTAAAGGGTCTAAAGGAAATGAACGATGCAAAAAGTAATGCGGAGGGTCGGTGGCTACTTGTAAACTCTCATGAAGAATTTATTGAGAATTAAATTAGGAAAAACTTAGTTATCGCTTTATCAAGTAATTGAAATTCTATAAGAGAGCCTTTCAGATCATATGTAATAATAATATTGCTATAAGAAACTTTGTTGTTAGCCGTTTTTTTAGTGCTAGACATAGTATTATTTTACATCTTTTTTGAAAGTATACTGCCACCACCATTATTTATATTGATAGTTTTACTTGGGTCAAAGAATGAAGTACGAGCTAGCTTTTATTTCTTCTCATATAACAGTAAAACAAAGTGCTATTAATGGTAATATGATACTAATAAAACTTTATAAGAATCACATATTATTTTTTATACGTTCATGGTTAAATGTATTTGGACGACGACATCAGGAGAAAAGTACCATCGCCGCCCTTAACCTTCTTTTGGCTTCCAGCGAGGTAACCGTCATACAGTCTTTTCCTTGTGTTGCTTCAGTCCAGCCTCATTTTCATTTCGTGTTACACTTTCACAGAAACACACTCGTGGTACGATAACATTGCCCCTCATTTTCAGCTAGTACGGCACTCACATATATTATATGCACACTAAAAGATGTCTGACGACTGGGTACTATACTTTTCAAATGGGGTTCAATTCTTGATATCACTGAATAAGAGTTGCCTATATCCATATAAAACCACAGCAGCAACATTCCGGTAACGATGGCTGATAATCCTGAATTCGAAATCGATCTATTTAGTGGCGGTGCTGCCCAGTCTGGTTATCATATCAGGAACGCACCGAACGAAGAGCAAAGAAGAGTGCTTACTCAATACGGATCAACTCGAGTTGTGAAAGGCAAACTTCTGGATGTAGTTCACGGGTTTCTGAAGCCAAACCGCGAACCGGCGACTCTTATTGTTTCTGAATTCAAATTCCTCGGTTCGACTCGAGAAAATCGTTTTGTAAAGGCAAATATTAAATGGAAATTCGCCTATGAGGACATGAACTCAGATGAGACTCCCGAGGTCCATAAAGTGTCGTTCGAAGAACAATGGGTCATGGACACCACCAAGATCAGTGAAGCGAAGGAGTGCTCGATGAGAGGAGGTTTGGATGGTGGTGCTTCAGGAGTCAGTGCCAATATTTCCTCAGGGAGGACCATCAGCGAGAATTTCGAAAGCACGGATAACATAGTTCTGTACGGCTCCAGCATCTTTACCAAAGACCACCAATTTGGGCAACCAAACGCAGCACAATGGATCATGAACGAAAACAAAACAGACAGGAGTGGAATCCCAGACTCATTAACGACCGCTATCTTGGTCAAACGAATTCCGGATAAGAGTTTTGTTGGTGTCATTGAAGTCAGAGTTGAAACGGTGCTAAATACGAAAACTAAGGTCGCTGAATGGTTTGGGAAAAAACCAAAAGTCGACCCGGTTAAATTCAATCCTACCTTACCAGCTCTTATTGACAAGTACGTCAGATTCAAGGACCAACTGGATGGCATTGTCTTGGAAGACATACAAGCTGTCAGACACCATATATCTTTGCCAACGGCCTGATAGCTAGGTAAAATGTTCGTGCGGTTCCGGAGCTTGATGTTGTCAGTTATGACATATCTTCTCTGACAACGGTATGTCAAGTGCAAACTGGCCAGCGGTTGAGATAGCTCACGATTTTCTGAGTTTAAGTTTGGGCGCTCTTGGGGGGAGGATGGAAGGGATTATTAAACGCACAGTTCTGAAGTGGGCTTAGGTTGAAATCTCTTGTGCAATAGTTTCAATATATTTGGAATTTCCCTAAATTACTTGCAGAGTTCTGAAGTGCATCTATCACGAACGGTAGCATAACTCTCGTGATCATCGTTGTTCACAATCAAATTTAAGACAACCTCCGTCGCTTTCTTCGGTACCATCAGCCTTTTAAATCTTCCATCATGGTAACGGGCTTTTCGTCAGGTTCAGCGCAGTAAATCTGTGTCACTTCCATTTCCGATTCTTTGAAGACAAAGTCACGCACGCCTCCTAAGTTCGTCGAAACAACGGCTCCTGAAGTTCGAAAACATATCAATGGCCATAATCTTCCCTTGATTTCACCAAATACTGCTTCCTTCCCTATCTGTTTGTTAGAATTCCTGCAATCCATAGAAGTTCGTGAAGCTTACCCAAAAGCACGCCATTCTTTGTGAAATAAGCTTTTCGGGATCGAAAGTCTACACCACATCCAATCGTGTCGTTCTGGGAATATTTTGGCGCAGGCCGCACCCACTCTGCGTTCGATACGGATTCTAGCCATTTATGTATGCTACCATCGCTGTTATATCCCCAAGTCTCACAGCCCCAACCAGGCATTCCTCTCCGCTCCGAGTCGTCTGTGCAGAAACCAAGACCAATTTCGCTGTCAATCCCTTGATCAACAATAACTCTTAGAACAGACAAAAGGGTACGATTCTTACCTTTCCTGGCCTGCTTGTTGAACAGTTATCTCAAAATAGTATGAGTAAAGTCCAAAAGGCATGGGGTGGTCAGTTCGGACTTGTGTACCTACCCGCAATTCAGTCTTATGGACATTTTCTATCATGACGTTAGAACACTCTTTTCGAAAGGTTTGATTTAATGAAACACCTGCTGAGATTATTAAGCCATCATCAGAGATGATAATACCAGAGCCGACTATTGACCTCACCCGACAGCTGGGCGATTCTCCAGCAATCTCCCAGCGGTTGTCTGTGAAGTCGTTCATAGCAGCTCCGCCGCAGAATGAAGAGAGATTATGTTCGTTGTGAGCCTGGAATATTCTCATGAAGTTCCAGCCATGAATATCAAGTAGGCTCATGTCCGGATTGTGGCAAAGTATGATCTGCAATGTTTCTTCATTTTGGCTGTGTGCACCAAAATGCAAGGCTGTCATTTCTCTACTTCCAGCCAGATTCACATCAGCGCCTTCATCCAGTAGTAACTTTGTTACAGTCGTAAGTCCATGCTTTGCTGCCCAATGAAGAGGAGTGTACCCCATACGATCTCGAGAATTGACCTGTGGGTTGTTCTGAAGGCACGCTCTTACCGTCACCACATCTCCAAGTATTGCCGCCAAATGTAACACAGCCCATCCTTGATCGTTGAATAGAACCATAGCATGGTCTCTCATGAAGTAAGAACCCACATCTTTTCTCTTGTAAGTGATTGCTAACTCCAGGGGCGAGACATGGAAAGCACGAGTTGATAGTGACGCTCCTTTTTCTGTGATTGCTTTTACAACATCGACGGTTCCGAACTTTATTGCAACCTCTAAAGGGGTTAGCGACCATTGATTCAACGCAGAGAGACTTGCGCCTCTAAACAATAAGGCGCTAACCACTTCCAGTTTTGTGGTGACCGCAGCAGCATATGCAAGAGGAGTCAAGTCAATACTGAAAGCCCTAGCTTCTATATTTGCTCCTTGGTCGAGCAAGATCTCGATGATTGATGGTTCTCCGCGTGCTATAGCTGTATGTAAAGCAGTAAAAGATTGTTTGTCAGTTAAATCTAGTTGGTCGCTTGCACTTTCTTCCAACAGGTTGATCACAATTGTTTCGTGACCGTTGGCCACTGGCCATAGTAGAGGCGTACGACCAGAAACATTGTCCTGTGAAGTCCTTTCAGCTCCAGCTGCTAACAGCATCTCAACAATCTCTTGGTGGCCACCTTCCGCTGCGTGTGAAAGGGGCGTCTGGCCATAATCTTCATCTGTAATCTCAAGATTCACATTCGGAATCTGGAGGGCTTTCTGCAGAGCCAACAAGGAAAGTGACTTCGAACGAGGCGCGTGTCGGAATATGTAGAGAACAGCTTCACCGTAGTCATCCGCCGTGGGTAGTGATCCGTTTACTCTTTCCAATACTTGTAGTACTGACTCTGGAAAATCGCCCTCAAAGGCTAATTGCAATGGCGTTCGAGCCCCACCTGACAGATTATCCTTACAGAGCGGATTTGCGTTCATATCCATGAGCATCTTTACGATGGCAGTATTACCAAGCTGAGCCGCACGATTCATTGGGTAGGAGTCTCTTCGATTTCTTGAGTCTGGTTTTGCGCCACATTCCAAGAGGGCCCTTACCCCTTCCTCAGAATTGCAACGGACCGCCTCAAACAAGGCGGTATTATTGAGTGAGCTTTCAGCCTCCATGTCCGCTCCGTATCTTTTTAATATTTTTATGCACTCCGGATCCGAGTTTAACCAATGAAGAGCGGTGAACCCCTTCATGTTGTCCCTGTCGTTTATGTTAATGCCTGGCGAGTTCTCGAGGACGTGACGCAATACGGCACTAAATTGGCCTTTCGCGGCCATGTGTAACGCAGTATCTCCGTGGTGGTTTGCTATGTTAAAGTCTGGTGCATGTTGGAAAAGATCTTTTACAGCTTCCAGATGACCCTTTTTGGCTGCTAGATGAAGAGGCGTATTTCCATCTTCGTTCCGCAAGTCTACGTCAGCTTCTTGCTGGAGAAGAAGGCTCACTATAGAAGAGTAGCCAAATTTCGAAGCCTTATGCAGAGCACTTTCCAGGTCGTGGTCTACTATATCAACTTCCGCTCTGGCCTTGAGCAGGACTTTCACGGAATTCAATTTCCCTTCGTTCGACGCTAATAGAAGTGGAGAAGAGTTATTTCGACCGACCACATTCGGATTTCCGCCGCTTTCAAGGATCAACTTTACAATTGTAGTATTTCCTTTTCTAGCAGCTAGATGCAACGGTGTCATTCGCGTTATGCTTTTGCGGTTGTAGTCCTCGCCAGATTTGATCAAAATCTTAGTTATCTCAATATGGCCCCGTTGAGCAGCTGAATGTAAAGCGGTAGGTTCGTCTATATATTCAATGCCCATTCGGTCTTCCAAAAACGTCGTCCTGTCTTTCTCATCATTACTGCTGGAGCTAGAAACCTCTGAATTGTATTCGCTTTCCAAACAAGGATCTTCTATGGTGCTACTTTCTTCATCCGCAGCAAACCCTGGATTGCATTCATCAATAACCCGGGAACCATCGTCTTGTAATTTACCGGTAATTGTTTTGTTTCCGGCCGAATGGTTCTCATCAAACTGGAGATAGTTTCGTTTCTTTCCTCCCGTCTGAGGCTCTTGAGTGCCGATCGACCTGGCTGTCTCCGGGTTCTCAGGTCGTTGTATTTCTTTATTCTTCTGAATTTGACGCAATAACGCTTGCACAATTTTCAAACTCCCACTGGCGGCCGCCAGATGTAAAGGTGTGAATTTGTCCAAATATACACTTGATGAATCTACCCCGAGGCCCAAAAGTTTTTCTACCATATGGAAGTCTCCATAATGACATGCAAGGTGGAGTGCGTGGACTTCTTCGCTGATTGTTTTCACATCCTCCCCTGCTCTTTCAATCTCTTCGATGATCTTCACATGATCATTGCTTACGGCTACGTCTAGCAGCTGCAGAAAGTTGACATGATGGCCATTCCTCTTGACCTTGGCGAGGAGTTCTCTAAACAACATTTTGTGTCCATGATGAGCTGCTAGGTCTAGTGCGGCGATCAAATCTTCAAGATCTACAATAGCAGCAATTGCGTTATTCTCGAGAAGCTCCCTCATTATCTCCAAAGAGCAATTTGATACCGATATTTGCAAAAGATTGGCTACCGTCTTGCGAGATAGTTTTAAACAATCTGGTTTTCTCAGCAAAATTCGGACGGTCGGCAGCTGACTGCGACGAATTGCTTCTACAAGCAGTTCGTCGTAAGTATATTTCGAAAATAGTGTATGGATAATGTCATTTTGTAGATTATTCATGCCTTTCACATTTTCTTGCAGAGCATCTTGTTGGAATAGCCCGTACTGCCTGTCCCCCAATCCAATGTGATTGTTTGTGTTGGAAAGTATTTTCACTATTTCTAAATGTCTCCCCAAAGCCGAGGTTTTAGAGATGTGCTGGGAAACCAAATCATCATCTCGCATAAGTGGGAAGATGCTCGCGTGTGCTTCTCTTGCTGCTGCATGAAGAGCTATTTCTTTGTGAATGGGATCTGCGGTTTTCAAAAGTGTCGTCACAACATCAACCAACCCTAAATAAGAAGCTGCGTGAATCGGGGACATATTACATTGAAGTTGAATTTTGATATTGTGCTCTATAGGTCGAGCTCGGATCCATCTTCGTAACCTTGTTTCGTCGCTGAGAAAGTCGACCACGTCTTGATGTAAACGTTTGTTGCATCTAGCATCGCTGTAATGATCTTGCCAGTAGCGAGCTGCATATGCCATAAAATCGTGTGGTTTGACTGGATGAAAGTTCGTGACCCTCAAATTTGGATTCTGCAAAGCTTGCTTCTCAGTGTCGTTCCAAGACATGTATTTCAAGCACTTCCTAGCAATCTCATCATGTTCTAACAGAATCGATGATGAGCTGTAGATTGGCGGTAGTGAGGCACTTCGTTGATTTCTTGAAGATGTAGAACTACTAGCGGTGTTCTTTTGCTTCAGTGCATTCAAGATGGGCTCCTTGAGGCATTGATGATAGAGGTGGACCTGCTCCTGCTGTATCGAGAATATAGGACCAAGATTCTGGATCAGATCTTTCCGAATATTTAGTGGGATATCGATCTCAATTTCAGCGAACGAGTTCGCTTGGTCGCTGATAAACAAGGCGATCGAAAGTTCAGATAAAGTTAGTGGTCGGTAGGAATGCAAGATCCAGAATAGACAGTCATGTATCCACAGTGGGGAAGATAAGACATGATCAACCAAGCGTTCAGGGAAGGGCGGATGACTGGCGAATATCGATTGAATTTCGGCTTGTATGGAACTGGCTGTGGACCTACATCCTTGAGCTCCAAGTAATCTGAGACCTAGCGCTGTCTCCAGCTGGCGTCCTCGAGTCTGACTTTGTCTCGACAGTTTATCCGCTAGATCTTTGTATTCTGGGGAAATGAAAGCCAAAGAGTGAATCCCCCTTTCGGCTACAGTGGCAACATCTCTCTTTATTTCGTCCGGAAATTCTTTCGCCAAGTCAACTACATGCAAGGCAGGCAAATGATGATTTGGTGGCGGCTCTGTGGCAGTGACAACAATCTTACAGCAAGCTTCTCTCTGGATGCAGCTGTGAATTAAGTCTTGTAATTCAGAGAAGATACTCCTATCTGCTCGATCAACAGCGTCTATGACGATAATGATGTGTTTAATTTCTGACGAGGTGATCAAACTGCAAAGAATCATCCAAAGGTCGCTGGTTGTCCACGATATCTGGTTTTTGATGTTAAGATAGTGTGCTCTGATGTCCTGAAAAAGCTGAGGTCTACCACCTAGTAGTTGACCAAGGACAGACATTAGAAGAGCCTTCCTTGAAACTCGCTGATGGTAGCAATCAAACGAGAAGTAAGCAGTGAGACGCTCGAATTTGGCGTTCTGGGATTCATGCTTCCATAGAAATGAAGATAGAACTGATTTGCCAATTCCTAGCGGCCCGAATATATAAAGCATGCTTGCGCTATTTCTCATCGCCCAAGAAGAATACGTTGGACTCCATGTTATCTACTTTAAGGTTTCTGGATCCTTGCGCCAGAAAACACAGCTGACAGGTTTTATGTCTAGTCGTGAAAGTGTGTGCTCGTAATCGTATTCTTCGTAAGCAATTTCATGAAAACCTAGAGCAATTAGTTGGATTCGACGGATATCCTCAGCGAATGATGGAAAGTAAGATTACCTTTTCTATCTGGTGAAGCAAGACCCTTGATTTTATCTGAAATCATTTGCAAAATTTCATCTGCATTTTCCGGCTTACTTTTGGGTATCAAGAAATCTACATCCAGAGGTACTCGCTCCACGTTTGGTCCATCGACCCAAGAGCCCACCCCATTTTCAATCTTCAAAATGTAAGTGCTGTACGGAAAGCGACATTCTCTTAGTGGCTAATACACCTTCGCGCCCTCCAGAAATGTAACACTGTCAAAAATTGCATAAATCAATTGATATAGAGAACAACTTCGAGTGTAAAAAGTGATGCAATCTTAAATTAGAAGAAAAGGTAGTACGAACTATTAAACCCTGGTCTTTTGGTTCTTTTCGAATGAAGTGGAGTATCTTATACGCTGCGGCTACTGGGAAAAATTCTTCGCAAAGTTTTTCCAGTGCGGTCGAGAATTGCTCTAATGCGACAGACAAAACGGGCGTGGAGGATTCGGATGCGACGTACCTGAGCGCTATTTTTTGCCAGGAACTAAAATCGTGAATTTGAGGCATAAATCCCAGTGATACCTTCCATCGTTAGATAATTTCATATTGCATTAGGGATAGCTACGCGTAAGCTTCTAGCTGATCTTTTTCTAGAAGGACTAAATTGACAGCTTTAATCGGACTTACAAGGCAGGTAGCTTTCCCGGCTACTGTGTGGAAATCAGTATGGCTATGTGCCATCAATAGAGCCTGAAGTAGACTTCAGCGGCGGTTTTTAAAGTGGAAAGGAGCGCTTTTTATGCTCCTTACTCTGATCGTGATCAGGAATGCAAGGCCATAGCCAACGAATTTAATTTGATCTCTCTAGCCAGAATTGTTAGCAGCCAAATGAGTTGAAATCTCTGCATCTACCTGATCTGAATACGGGTTTGAATATACAAGTTTCTGGGCAATGTGTGATAGAAGGTTGCTTGCTCGATGTCGAATTCCGGTACTGCAAAAGATACTGTCTAGCGATGAGTATTCTCTGCTTGAGACGCTTTTATTTAGCCTCGGAAAATTCATCCGCAATAAATTTGTCTAAGGTGGTATGCTCGATAGAATTATCGATGAACAGCCGGGAAGCAGACAGATCATATTTCCTGGGCTCATCATGGACGAAGACAATACTGTTCAATTAGCTTACATTATCAAAGAATATCAGAAATGGTGCTTAGCTAACTTCACTGGCATGTTGTTCTTCAAAGAGCTACTTCTCTCTCGACGGTATTTTTGTGATTGTAGTGGAAAGTATGAACTTCCAGAACCTCGAATGTTTCACTTATTCAGTGCTCGAGTAAGCTTCTGTGAAAGAGAAAACTCGAGGGTGTACATAATAAGAGGACTGGCTGGCCATCCTACGCAGTGTTCAGTTCCGGCCTCCTACATGTTGCCTAGCAAACTCGAAAGACATGTTCTCGCTAAAGCTGCCCTCGAGGGCCAATCTGTGGAGCAAAGTGTTCCTGAACATGCGGATGCGAAGTCTTATTGTCCCATGTTGGTGATACCTTGTTGGTGTTTGCTAATTTGCTGTCACGGAATTGTACATACGCCAAGACAGTGCACGGCGGTCAATTGAAGGGACTTATTACAAACTTCAAGTCGTGAGCCGAAAAAACTTGAGCTGCTGTGTATGAGAAATCCCTGACCGTTCGTCTATGTGTAGCTTAGACTTTCGGCAATAGGTATGATGGTGTGAAACAGAGGTCGTTGTGCCTAAATTGGCAGGAAATTGGCAGCCCCCGGAACCGGCTCGGATACAGGCCGGCCCGAGTGTGCCGCACTCGGCTTTCGGTCCCAGAAAAAAAGCCGACATATCATGCTTTCAAAGGGGGTCGAAATGTTCATGGCCGTTGTTGTTGCTAGTAATGCAACACCACAGTACCGATTCTTTCGCAACACGTGCCTGTCACCATAGTTGAATTTGGCTAGCTCGAGATTTTTCCGATGCAATTTATTTTAATATTGCAAAAACTCCCGCCGATATGGCGGTAAGATAACCAATGATCTGTTCAATTATCGAAACCAAAGCCAAACTTGAACCACTCCTTCTGCCTACTAGCGGCATAGTAGAAATAGGAGCCAGGAACTGTGAGGTGTCCCATTTGCGGTGGTAAAATTATCGGCATGAGCCAAAACTATTCATAACAATCTCTAACTCTAGAATATCACCGCACAAAGTGCTATGAGCCGGCTAGGATACGGATTCGATCTGGATGGCAGACGGTGCTGTAATATCTCAAGAGAAAATTACTTTCCACCCCTGGTACATGTTCGCAGGCATCGAACATCCCATGAAGTCCAAGACGAATTTGCATTATGGACCCCAAAAACACAGCATTCTAAGCGCTAAAGAAGACGTGGACCCGCGCGATATCTACTGGAAGTTAGCCACATGATCTATCATGGACGCTGGTTCCGGTTAAATCCTCTGTGGGGTTCAGACATGCCAACCTCGATCAGGCATCGAACTCTGAATAGATTTCCTCTTGAGATGAGGACTACTGATCGAACAAATTTTGTTTTATGTCATGTAACAGTGACTGGGTGACCTGCCGGCAATGCGCAGTTGAAGCTACGCATGCCGATGTTGTGTGTGAGATTTTGCGTACCATTGCTGCTAAAGGAAGTACCCCTGTCTATCGACATAACGATATCTGGCGCATGAAATAAATTAACTTACATATTAGGGTCTTTTAAAGTGTAGCCAGATAGGCAGTCCTTCTGTAAATCTATTATAGAAGGCAATCGGGACCTGATCGTATCATATGGTCATAAGCACTCGCCCACAGGATCACTTTTATCAAGATCACGTACTGCATTGAAACATGTCAACGCCTCTACCTTTCCGCAAGCGAATAGAGCCTGTTGTCAAAGAAATTCGTGAAGGAGGGGGTTACTTAAAAGAAGAAGACTATTCAGCGGACGACGACGACGATGAAGATGATGAACATAAGGAGAAGGTGCGGTTGGAGGAAATTACAAGCATACATGGACAGATAATGAAATTTTTCAGAAACCACGACAATCCAAAAGCCGATGGAAAGGCCATTACCTCTCTGCTTTCCCAAAATCAGAGGGATAATATACAATGTGTCGGTACTTCGGGAAAGAACATCTTACATTCGATGATCGAAAGGGCTGCTCCGAATCTCAGATTAGCAGTATGGCTGTTAACGAATTTCGATGATCTTATACTAGGGCAAAACATTGATGGTAACACTCCGATGTACGAGGCAATCAAAAATGACAAGGCCAAATTCGTTCATGCTGTTCTGTCGCACAGTACGAGAGTGTTAGAAGCACTTCAGCTACCCGGGTCCGATGGAATATGCTTGCATCTTGCTTTCAAGCCTTCGCATACGTATAAAAAAATCAAAAAGTGTCAGCATGAACATGTGGACAAAATGATCCTGGTCTTGAAGAATGCGAGCGTGTCTGGCAGCAGCAAAGACACAGAGACTAATAGTCAGAACCAATTTCCGAGCATCCTCAAGTTAAAAGACCTCAAGGGTGATACACCACTTCATATTGCAATTCACACTATTTCATATTGGATGATAGATTCAAAACCACCCTCTTCGGACTCTATTTTACCCGGAATGAAATTGCGAGCAAGATTGTTGATTGAGGAATTCCCCGGTGCAGTCTTTGAAATCAACAACGCTGGTCAGTATCCATATCAATGTTTTGGCTCTGATGAAGTCAAGGAATGTTGTTATGAAGTAGCTGAAGCAATGAAGAAATTATACATGCGAGAGTTCACTGAAGAACAGGTTATCAAGCTCTTTTATCCCGAAGGCGCTTACGGTACAATCCAATTTCATTTTTATCTATCAAGATTGAGTACATAGTGACATTTGACTCCCAGAGCTCAGTATATTTTTTGATATTCCTCACACAATCGATGATCATTTACCGGCTTCTTTGGATATGTGGCTAGGACATTTACATTTCGAGTCAATCCTAAAACACGTCGACTTACCAAACCTCGTGATGGAGCGGGAGAGGAATCTCCCGACTTTTGGCACCTCTAACTCGGATACTGCTCCAATCTTGGACGCACTCAATGGAAAAGTTGAGTTCGTAAAGATCTTTGACTGGTTGCGACAAAAGGGGGTTAGAACTATACTCGAAATCAGTGTGCAGGATGATGAACTGAATCCGCATTGTGATGAAGCAATTGAAGTTGCACTCCATGGCCTTGGGGTCGAGACGTTGAACTGGGTGAAGCTAGATCTAAACAGCGACGTCTTGTTCCATTCAGCCCAAGAAGTAAAAGTTTTACATCTGTACTCTAGTGGTAACAACGACGTCCTTCGAGGTTGGTCCTCTAGCAAAGGTCTGGTACGATTGCCCGAGGTAATAACCAAACCAGCCTTGCGATCTCAAGTCGAAAAAGCTGATTGATTATGTCATAGTTAACCGAAGTTCATTTGAGCTTTTGCCTGTGAGTTTGGTGAGGGTTCTAGAGCTTGTCTCCAAGCATCTAATTTCAGCAGGGATACATTACCCAAGGAAGAAGCAAGACCTACCTGAACGAGTTCGCAGCAGCTTTAAATAATTCATCTGGCAATAGAATAAAAGTAAAGCCAAAGGAATGGAGGAATAAGGCTGGTGGATATACTGGACCAGGAGACGATCCTGGGCCGACGCTGAGGTCGGTTCATTTAGACCTTATTTTGACAGCTTGATCTTCTAACTTTCTTCTACAGACATCCGTGGCTTGAAGTTATGGACGCATTTGCTCTTGCTCTCAAGAATAGTATGAGGAGAGAGGAGTTGAAAGCGTTAAAGTAGCCATTATTGATGACGGAATAGATCCAAAGCATCGGGATCTTCAGAACCGAGTTGCGGGCGGAAAGTCTTTCTTTAAACGTCCAGACATAAAAGATCGAACGATAGACTACTGGGCTGCTCCTGGAGGCCGTGGCACACAGATGGCAAGATTAGTGTGCCGAATTTGTCCTGCCGCTAAGCTCTATCCAATTCGCCTCGACGAAGGTTCAGGCAAAGATGGAGAGAGAGAGATACGACTAGATTCGGCTCTCAATGTAAATCGAGTTCAAGTCCACTAAAACTTTGTTAACTATATCTTTAGGCAACCGACTGGGCAATGCAAGTTCCAGTCCATATCATTTCAATAAGCTGGAGCATCAACATCAAAGGATGCAGTCTCGAAGACATAAGTAATTTTGACAATATAATCCTGGCTGCTATCAATAAGGGAATAACGATATTCTGTGCCGCTAGTGATAGCGGAAAGATGACGGTCAAAGTTGCTGACAACGAAAACATGCCCGCAAAAGTTTCCAGGTCCTATCACCATAGGTGCTGCAACTTGGAATGGAACTCCGTCCGAAGATGTTGGTTATCAACCTGTACATTTTTAATTCCCTGGTCATAAGCTCATTCTGGATGGAGGGCACCAAGCAGCAAAAGCTCAGCCTCAGTCCGGCTCATCTCTTGCGACAGCCATCGCCGCTGGACTCGGTGCACTTCTCCAGTATTGTGTCATCATTGATGGGAAAACTAAGAAAACCGACCCGGAGCTTTTGACGCCAGACCAGATGACAACGGTACTGAAAAGACTATGTCCAACTTACCAAAAGAAAAAGTTTCCAGAGGTTGCAAACAATCCCATGTTTAGGAATGCAGGATCGTTAGAGGTATGGACTCAGGTCTTGGATAGGGTCAAGTTTATTGCCGAAAATTGCAAAGCTGTATCCAAAGAAGATTATTAGCTCAGCCAAGAACTTCGGCCACCAGTATACTGCAAGAATGCCAGGACACCTTCCAAGTAAGATGGATTCTAAAAACAGCGTTCTCGTCAGATCTTCCCTCATTTATATCCTAAGCTTTTTTCTTTTTGATTAGACATCACTGTATATTGACCAAATAAGGTTAAGCAAATGCAGCGTAACGAGCAGAACATCGTTATTGACAGCATGGAGGTTCTCGTCAGACTTGTAACACACTGGTGGACACCAGCAAGATGCGATTACCGATTGTTGAATTTTTAAGGTCATCGTGTTTAATGCCATATAAACTATGAGCCAGTACGCCTTCGGCTCTTCATTAAGCTACAAAAGCAGATCTATAACAACCAGAAGTCGCTGTCTGTCACCTGATTAGGGACTCGCTTAGCAGAACCCACCCCTGAGGTTGTGTTCTCGACCCACTACTCTCAGAAAACCATATGATATCTAAAGTCCCTTTTCTCTCCGGGTACTCCAAGTTATGATTCAAGAAGAAAGTTTGTAAATGGACAATAGTTTGTGTCATTAAACTCGGACACAGTACCTAGAGATGCTGAATGATGGCATGTAGGCCGATAGACTGACAGTCTTTCAAAGAAAGACTGTAAGATTTGCGAATGCGAGAAGGATGCAACAGCTAGTCTATTATAATTACTATCCAGTGGCCAAATAACTTCTAATCAAATTACTTCCGCTGAACTTGAGGTGTTCGCGCTCAAAGCAAGCTGACGGTTGGCTCTCATTTCCAATAGAAACACTGCATACTTTAACAAGTCTTCCATCACAATGATAATCGAGCAGACGTAGTTTTTTAATTACAAGAGTCAAAATGAAAGTGATATTTCATTAGATGTGTTGGTGTAACTCGAACGCCCACGTGCTGGTTTACAGAAACTGTTTTTCACTGGATGCCTTCGAATGTTTTCAGAGAAGAGTTTAGATATCAGACGCTCTGTCGGCTAGCATTATCGTGTATAGCTTGAGGATTTAGCACTATCTCATCATGGAGTGCAAAAGTCATACATCTCCAAGAATGATAACATCACGTGTGATCTCGGCAGTTGGGTAAATGTATATTGACGACAAGACCCTAAGCTTCCTCGCACATGAATGTTGCATATCGGCAATAGAGAGGTAAGTACTCTATATGCAGCTTATTGAGCTTTGATTGCGCCGCCTGGGGTCTACTATTAACCTCCACTATATCATTGCAGCCCATCTATCCGACATGGCAAGTTTCAAGTGCGATCTTCTGAATAAGGTACCGACCCTCTATTTTTAGGGTAGTCCTATACTCGAATGAGACTCACGATTATGAGAGATCTGAACACAACGTTGATTGAACTATGGATAAAGATGCGATCCTTGATTATCGGCAAGTTTTCCCGGCTTGAGAGCGTACAGTACTGCTATCGAATCTGGTATATATCGGTGGTATAGCTACTGGCTTTAGCAACGTCAAAATCTCAAGCGGAATTTCAAAATCATCTGCAAACATGAAGTGGCTGGCTCTCGGTCTCGCTCTGGTCGCTCCCTCGGAGGCAGGCCTTCGATTTGGCTGTGCGACTCTCAGCGTTCAACGTCTAGATCCGCTCGTTGAGCCTGGACAAGTTCCATCTGGACATGTCCATCAAATTGTTGGAGGTAATTATTTCAATGCTACTATGGATCCTTCGATCGATGTTGGTGAGAAGGGAACATGCACTACGTGCTCTTTCTCAGAGTGAGTCTCGTTACTAGTGGTGTACAAGCTTGATACCTGGCTCACCTAATAGGGATTTCTCGAATTACTGGACTGCTGTTCTGTACTTTAAGCGAAGAGATGGAATGTATAAGCGCGTTCCGCAGTATGCAAATGCTCAGCTTGAAGGTGCTACCAAGGGCATGACGATTTACTACACCCAGTTGGACTTTAACGGGAATGGCAATGAGAAGATCACATCTTTTAAACCTGTAAGGGCTTCCTTCCTGATAACTCATGCTTACGAAGCTGACCGCCGAAGGGATTTCGCATGACAGTCGGCAGCCCGTTGACTAACAGCAAAGAACAAGCCACCAAAAACGTTGGCTTACGCTATACCTGTCTGCAAACCATTTTGACTAGAGGAGCCGAGACTCCAGATTTCCCTAAAGCTCCATGCCCTGCTGGCATTATGGCTATCCACCACTTCCCGGCGTTAGTACCCTCTTCTGGCTCTAAGGTCCTTAATGTACTAACTTACCTGAAACAGTTGTTGGGACGGTAAGAACCTCGACAGCCCTAACCACCAAGACCACATGTTCGATACGACCAAGGGCGGCTTCAGGGTCGCCGGTCCATGTCCTAGCACCCATCCCGTCCGCATGCCCCAAGTCGCCTACGAAACCATGTGGAACACAACGCAATTCAACGACAAATCCATGTGGCCGACCGACGGATCTCAACCATTCGTCTGGAGTACGGGCGACGGTAAAGGCTATGGTACCCACGGTGATTACTTGTTCGGTTGGAAGGGAGACTCCCTGCAGAGAGCGATGGACTCGACGTGTATGTTTTCGGCTTGTGGTGCGAAGACGGGTGTCTTGAAGACGCAGAGCGCGGCGGCGCAGAATAGTTGTGCGGTTAAGAACACGGTTGTTGAGGATATTGGGGAGGATGATTGTAAGTATTTCAAGTTTTGATGATGTGTCTTTGAACTAATCTCGTTGTTTAGGGATCCCCGCTCTTCCTGGTGTTCATTGAAGTTTGAGTGAAGGTTTGAGACGTCTTTTGTCAGTGCGTGTGGTTGGTTAGATATCTTAAGATTCTCGAATGCTGCCGTTTTATATGTATTACTTAACGCGAGCGAATTATGCGGGAATTCTAGAATTGTGATTTCCGATACGGCAGTCTCGCGAAGGACAGTAGTCAAAACACGGCATTTTCTTAAAACGATTGACGAAATATCCCATATTTCGTCAACTAATCTGGAACACTATCACATATTCTGCCAATTGTTTTCAGTAAGTGAACCTTCTTGAGCTCGATTCGAAGTATCTTATCCGTAGAAGTTGTCTATCTAGGCAGGCCTACTGGCAAAATTTCCACGTCTACTTCCCTAGGTTTTTTTGCGTTAAAAAGGGGTTGTCAAAGGTCGATAGATTGCTTCGTCTTTTTAGTTTTACACGAGTAATTGAATTTCCTGATTCAAGGTAAAAGAGCTGTAGAGAATCGCAAAAGGACGATGTAATAAATCGAAAAGATATCGGAGGGCGCCGTGGACAAGATCAATGGCAGCACGCCTGAGCGTATGTATTCTTATCTTAACAGTTCTTGAAAAGAGGATTCGATATTTGTTAATTTCCGAAAATAATTGACGAATCCACGATATTTTGTCAATCTGATCAAATAAACATCAGGGCGGTCGACGTGGGGGGGCGGCCCGAGTCCGGGTTCACCGCCTCACTTCTTGTGGCAAACGGTGGCAGAATTAAATCATCCGCCAAAATTTTGACAAAAAGTTCCTTGGGTCTTTGCGATTGCCACGAGCCCCTCCGCAATACTTGAGTTTCAAAACAAATCGTGACAACAGCACGAATATCACAAATTCAAGAATCATCGGCTGTTGACTCGCCAGTCAATCTTTTTCACGATGGCATCAGACGAAATTGTTTGGCAGGTTATCAACCAGCAATTCTGCTCTTTCAAGCTGAAGTAAATCTGCACGCGAAGTTTCGATATCCTGGTACTAACATTACATCAGAACTACCAAAGAGAAGAACTTTTGTCGTAACGAATACAATGTCACTGGTCTATGCAATCGTCAATCATGCCCCCTCGCAAACTCCCGCTATGCGACCGTTCGCGCAAATCCCGACACTGGAACCCTTTACCTCTACATGAAAACCATCGAGCGTGCGCACATGCCTTCGAAGCTATGGGAACGTATCAAGCTATCTCAGAACTATGCCAAAGCACTGCAGCAAGTTGATGAGCGATTAATATACTGGCCGAATTTCTTGATCCATAAATGCAAGCAGAGACTTACGCGGTTGACGCAAGTGGGGATTCGGATGAGGAGATTGGCAAAGGAGGATGAGCGATTAGGAGAGAAGATTGTTCCGAAATTGGCGCCGAAAGTAAGGAGGAGAGAGGAGACAAGAGAGAGAAAAGCAGAGGCTGCGGCGAAGGTTGAGAGGGCTATTGAAAGGGAGCTCATTGAACGGTTGAGGAGTGGTGCGTATGGCGATCAGCCGCTTAATGTCAGTGAGGCCATTTGGAAGAAGGTGCTTAAGGGCCTGGAGAGGGGAGGCGAGGGAACCAGAGATGAGGATCTGGACGAGGGGATTGAGGAAGAGGAGATGGAGGGCGAAGAGGAATTTGAGGATGAAGAAGGGGTTGGCGATGTGGAGTATGTCAGTGATCTTGGGGAGGAAGAGGAAGATCTAGGAGATTTGGAAGATTGGCTGGGAAGTGAGGAGGAGGCGGCTACTGATGAAGATGAAGAAGATGATAGTGAGAGTAGCAGTGAGGACGAGGATGCGAAGACTGGTGCTAGTGCGAAGAGGAAGAAGGGTCCTATATCGAAGGCCAAGCCGAAGAAGAAGATGGCGAGGATGGAGATCGAGTACGAAGAAGAGGCTCCTCCTCGACAACTGGCTGTCAATTGATTGTATGGAGCCTCAGAAGCCTGATAGTATGGGGGTCTGGAGTTGTGGAAAGTCATTGGAGTTTGGGATTTAAAAAGCGGTGCAAAATCACCAAAATTGCAACACTTGAAGTTGCTTACTTGTCGACAATAAATCGTATGACAGCAAATTTGTGTTCTTGTAGCTTTTTGGAGCCTGTTGTGTTTATTAAAGAAAATACTAAAAGTGTCCAAGTTGAGTGCTTGCTTGTAAGAGGATGGTGGGGTAAATCTTGGCATATGTTTCGCTTTGCGACAGCGACCTCGACTCGACCTTGAATCACAAACCTCCAAACAAACAACACAACGTTACTCCCCACGACTACCGCACAACTTTCTACCAAGTCTATCCTCTTCATCAGCGACTCCGTACATAAGAAACACATACACTACTACCCATCTGCTGCACTCCAGCACTCTCAAAATGGCAGCCCTCCTCTTCTCTAAAGTCCGCAATAACTTCCTCTCCCCCGACAGCGACGGCAACACCGTCTACGAAACCGCCGTCTGCCGCTCCCTCCGCACCTTCTACAACGAAGAGCGTCGTCCCTGGCCCGCAACCTACAATCCCGACCGCGACCACGAGTCTCGCAAAGGCCGCGACATCTACGATCCTGACGCCATCAAACCCGCCTCCGCGCCCGTCCAAGCAGTCATGGCACCGCCCTCACGATACGGTCAGGGTTACGGCCAACAGCCGATGAGCTCGAGCACTCAAGGAGGAGGCAGTCAGCTGGGGAATCTCTGGAACAAACCCGCTGCCGCAGAAGGCCTGCAGGAACCTAGCGGTGCGAATAGTCTACGCAAACAAAGAAGTCCCGGGATGCAGAACACCGCGTTTTCGCGGCCACCGCAGCAACAACAACGGGCGTACGATGAACCACAGCCGATTCCGTCGCAGCGGCCTGGGTACGAGAAGGCCAGTGTGTCCAAGTTTAGACAGGATAGGTCGAAGATGGGACGACCTGGCCAGAGGTCTGATTCGCCAGCTAATAGTATGGCGGGGAGTGCGCGGCTGAACAGCTATGGATCGTCGAATGGGGGTGGGGAGGATTATGGTGGGCAGGGGAGTTATGGGAGGAGTGAAAAACCAGTTATGAGTGCTACGGTGCAGTTTGGTGCGCAGGATGAGTATTCGGGGTATTCGGGCGGATATGATCAAGGTGCTGGATCTGGTGGAAGGAATGCTGGGAGGAGAATGGGGCTGCCGAGCGGACCTCGAGGGAATAGGAATTAGCAAGGCGTGGATGTGATTTGTGGTTTTTCGTGGAGTTTGGGCTGGCGGCATTGTTAGGTGTTTCGGTGTATTGTGACAGATCTGCTTAGGTTTGAGATAGAAATCTGAAAAGTATGTAGATATCGCAAATTCTAAAATTGATGTCTATCATCTATCTATGGGTATCGTTGAGAGGAGCTTCTATAAACGCCTGCCATATTCAATCCAATACGTTGAGTATTCCCTCCCATACAACCAGTATATCCAAACGCCAAAAGAACAACAAAAACTCCAACACCTCTATTTCTTTGTCCCCTGAAGCAAACCAAGCGTGCCATTTAATTTGGTCAACATTTCCTCCCGCTCACCCTCCGGTGTGCTAAGTGTCGTGACCGCACCACCAGCACCAACTTTCCAAACATCCATAGCACAATCATGTTTTTCATCATAGTAAATGTCGTCGTCCCATTTGAACCAGCTGCGAATGGTAACGCTCCAGTCGCCACGGCCGCCAACGTCGAGATATCCTACGACTCCAGAGTAAAGACTGCGTTCCTTACCCTTCTCGATATCCTGTAAGATCTCGCAGCTGCGTTTCTTGGGTGCTCCAGTCATGCTTCCTGGTGGTAGTGATGCGGCTAAAACGTCGAGGCCTGTGTATCTGGTTTTCCTTTCCATTGCTGCAGTCTCGGCTAGAATTTCATCCTCGATTTTGTGTGTGACGGGCTGTGGGATTGAACCTTGCACTACGGTAATCATTTGGAATACGCTTTTATACTCCTCTACCACCATAAGTCGTGGAACGGTAACATTTCCACTGCCGCAAACACCATGGAGATCGTGCCGAACCAGATCCACAATCATGAGATTCTCTGCCTTTTCCTTGGGAACATCCAGGAGCTCCTTTGCTTTTTCCAATGTGTCCACTTCTTCAGACTTGCGCACTGTGCCTTTCATCGGCCGAAGCTCGCAATGCCCTTCTGCATCCCATTTCAAGAACCGTTCTGGGGAGCTGGATATCAATTCGCCAGTACCTAAGCGAATGTAAGACGCGAAGGGTGCCGGTTGACGTTTTCGAAGAGCCTTGTACAGGTTCCAAGAAGAATTCATAGGCCTCCAATGAGTTGTAACGGTAGTCTGGTCTGTCAGGCAGAGTTCGTAGGAATTCCCACTACGAATATACTCTTGGCACTTGAGAACTTTTGACTCATAACTAGACGCTGCTGGTACTTTGAACGTTGTATCGTGTTTAGTACCGGACTCGTCACGTATGGCAGGCTCTGGCTTTTGCAGCGCAATTCGTAATATCCTGGCAGTTTCTTTCATCCATGCTTTTGAGCTCTGTGTAGCTCCATGAGGGGCAATCTCCTGTATGTGGATAACGTTAAGAACGTGGTCAACGACCAGACTCCTAGTTACCCAAGCGAAACTCAAATCAGGTTGATCATGACTTCTCTGACGACTTCGAGATTCGACTCCGATAGTCTCAAGGCCAAGTTCATAAGTCGTAAAACCCATAAAGCCGCCCCAGAAAGGCGAGTCTGAATTTCCCTTGGTTACTCGCCTTTTTTCTGTGTATTGAGCAAGAAACGGCCACACTCCTCCAAATTGTCGTAAATCAGTCTCGTGTGTAGTCTCGCCATCTTCAGTGGGATGGAATGCCGCCATAATATGACTCCAAGCGATATATTCAAATCTAACGCACTGGTCCACATCCATAGCAATAATACTGTACCGACCACGAACGTCAGCGGCTCCGACAGACTGTTCGTATGCATTAGAAGATTCTAGAACAATTCGACTGGATAGATCATGCTGCGTTGCTTCGACAACAGCAGCGACTGAAATATTCTTATCGTGCCTGAAAATCTCACTGAAGTATTCTAGCTTACAACTCCCGTCCAGCGTAGCATCTTCAGCGGCGGAGTTGAAGTGTTCGCCATAGGGAAAGGTCGCAGACCCGTTCAAGGTTGGGCGAAATTGTTCTGACTGATGTAACAAACTCTTGCGAGTCAAGGCTTTCCCGTGCAATGGCTCAACAATCTCTGCGCTGTCTCGGTCGCGGTCGCGGTTCCAGTCCTTCACAGCTTCAAACCAGTTTTTTATGACTCGTTTGCTTTCGTCGTTGGTACAAATCGACTCTGGGTGGTATTGCAGTGCCCAGAAAGGCTTCGTTTTGTGTTGTACGCCTACCAAAACTCGGGCATCCTTAACACCGGAATCGCTGGATTTTCTTAGATCGCTCTCAGCCCAAGCAATGGGAATTATTTCAGGGCAGTCCTCGGTGGCCTTCCATTTGCTTGTCTCCCAATCACTCTCCGAGATCCGGTCTTGTCCAATATCAGCACACAAGCTCTGATACAGAGTGGCGGAAAGGTGCCCAACCCCCGAGAAGATAGATCGCGAAGATTTGACAGGGCGTTCTCCTGAATGTGTAATGTCGCGAATCATTCCATGCTGCGGTCCAGCGAGCCTATTGATCTTCCCCCCGAATTCTAAGCATAAGCTTTGAAATCCAAGACATATTCCGAGGACGGGTAACACATGATCCTCGTTCAACTTCCATATCTTCCTAACAATGCCAATGTCTTCTTCCTTCTCCGGATGTCCTGGCCCCGGTCCGCAGACTACCGCAACATAATGTTGTAGCTCTTTGTGCAACTCGCTATCGGTCTTTAACTGGTAATCGTCGATTTTGACTGTTCGGACGGAGACATCGAGGGTTGTCTCGATTAGGGAGATGATGTTGTTTGAAAAACTATCGTATGCATCGATGAATAGGACCAAAGGCTTTGGAGCTAACATTGCCACACGCAAATTCTACTCTTCAAAAATGTTATTCATTGAGACAGGTTGAGTTGGAGGGGTGGGCAACTTTTTTGACAGGGGGACTCGAGGTTCTGCCAAGGCGGTCAGCACAGACCCCGCCAAGCTCTATTATCCTCTCGAGGCATCTCGCCCACCGAGCACCATACCTCCTGAACCTGAACGCGCTACAATAACAAAATATCCTTACTTATTTCCACGAAACATCTATGCACGATTGAAAGTTCACGAATACAACGATATTCTGTTTATTATGGATATAATCTTCAATATACCTAGATAACATACAGTATTGCAGACTTTGTCACAATACACCACTTTCCAAATAGCAGCTATGTATCACAGACATCGCTATCTACAATACTGTGCATTAAACTGGAATTCGCATCTATCATTGATGATGTATCAAATATACATGTCTCTAACCTTGAACTTAATGTAGGGACTATTTTCATGAATATCGAGCGTTTGAGGCATCCGGAAGTTTGATGATGCTGAGTTCCCTATGGAGGAAAGTCTGATAACATGAATATGGTCATACAATTGCCATTGCTAGACCAGTACTCGGAGATTTTCATCGTCGCAGATCCAATCAAGATCCTGAGGAGTAGAAATACGAAAACCTTTACACCGTAGGTAATTTTCACGACAACCTCCAGGGACCAGCTCCCAGGTCGGTAGTCAATTAAGTGAATTCCCCCTATTTTCCATTTGCCCCACATCATCACTCTTAACAGTCGAAGTGAAAGTCACAGCAGGACTTTTCACGGAAGTTACGAACACTGAGGTCTATTTCGAGTGTCAGGCTACCTGTCTTACAAGTCGACGTTCCTGAAAAAGACGGCACAACATGGTTGCTGTAACGAGATTAGGCCTTCGGTTGATATCATTCCGCCCCATGCGCTCAGCTCCCATCCCTCAGAACTTCCAACCTATAAATACGGGTCTTTCACATCTCGCTACCAAACTTCTCCCCCTTAACAAACCACGTTCACGACGCCGCCGAGATGGATCGCGGGTTTCGTCCATGACTGATAACTTTTTGAGCATCAGCTGCAGATTGTGGAAATGATTTGGCGTTTTTCCATTGGCTTAATTTCTTAGTCAGTCTTCACGAGAGGATTGGGAAGGGTTTAGATACCATTCGGGCCATAAGCTTTCTTTTTGTGTTCCTCCTCGGGAAAGCTATGCCTTTCGGAGCCTCATCCTCCTCGCGGTGGCGCTCCATAGATGTCCTTATTATTCGGATATCACACCATATCACACTTTCTTATAAGCTTGAAATACTACTCAAGACTTCACCAAGCCAATACTGAGTTCATAATGTGCCGTGTCGATTCGATCGATCGTAGGAGTGTATGTTTAAGTATGCCTGCTTGAATCAACATTTATTTTCCTGGTTGTTTCGTACCTGCATTCTTTTACCCCTCTATAACATCTACGAGCAGAAATTTGGACTGTTCCTTTGTTCAAATTCCTTATATCTCATCATGAAGCTTTCAACTCTCGCTCTTGCGGTCTTTTATGCTGCTTCCGTATTTTCAGCGCCCATTCCTACACCAGAGTCTGCAGTTAATAGCTCGCTCGGAAAACTCGTGAGTGCTCGGTCAACCCAAATTTGGTTCATTATTGTTCCTAATCCTCACAGATCTGCTATCGCATCCCAGGTACATCAGCAACACTTGGTCATTGCTGAACGGAATTCAACGAAGTGACGCTGTCTATACCGCACTGTTGTGCGTATTCCGTCATTTCATGCATCATGCTATTACTAATGACTCAATAAAGAAAGGTATACATCGTCTTCGATACCTATACTTTCAATGCACATTCTTGCGAATCCGGGGTTGCTTTGTTGTTGAAAGGGAGTAATGGAGTTGGGGTCGTGGAAACATGGAAAAGTGCTGGGTTTGGGCTGGGATGGCTTCGGGAAACGTATAAAAGTTACTGGGAGCGCAATACAACAACAATCAAGTGGTGGTAGAGATAATGACAAGAGACCAACCGTTGATTATTGTATGAGCTACTGTATTATCTATGTAGGAAATTGAAGAAAGACCTAGAGAAAATATGACAAGACTCTGATACGTTGAGAGACATCGAGTTCCGACGTCAACCATGGACACCCGTTGTCTGCAAATCGAAAGTAAAGCTGAAGGAAAAGGAAATTGATGTCTTTAATTTGCCAAAGGTAGTTTTCAAGTTCTCTTATCCTTCAGCGGACACAGCAATTGATATAAAACCCAGTTTGTGCTTACCTCTTCGCATTATTCGACGATATGCCCGTAGACGCGTTCGGCTCTCAACATCAGACAACACCTTAGCGGAGATTGAATACTCGCCAGTCATTATCACTAGCATCTGCTGCAACTGCTTCACCACCCATAATGCCATGAACATAAGTCTCGCCTACGAGTTGGTACACCGACCCAGCAGGCGGGAGCCTTAAGAGAAATGGTGTCTTCCCTCCTTTGAAGATGCAAACCAAATCTCCTTCCCGTGCGTTCCATGGTGCAAGTCCTATATACCCCTTACTTGTAACGTACAACGCTCGACGAGCACAAGCTTTCCGAATCCGTCGGACATACTCTCCATATTTCTTGGGTAGTTGAAAGCCTTTAGTAAATGAATCTTTAATTATCGTTGCGACGGAAGCGTTGGTCACAAAATCGGTATACTCTGTTGTCGTCGCTCGTAGATTTGCGTAATGGGCTACCATTTGTACCTCCATATCCTTTATGCCCGTGGTAAGCACAGCAGTCTCGTTGATAGTCTTGGAGGTCAGGTCAGGAAGATCCTGCTGCCACCCAACGCGGTCATACCAGGTTTCGAGCAACAGCCAGTCTCCCTCTGGAGATTTTCTCTCTCCTGCGAAATCAGCAATCATAGTTCTCCAGAGAGCGTTTTTTCGCCCGCCTATTTTTTCGTAGGGACAGTCAGGAACATCCATAACAGCTAGAGCTTCCCAGATTTCCAGTTCCTCAATACCTTTTCTTGAAAAAGGCCCACGGTCAGATTTAGGATGCCATGAACATGCAATCGATTCTACGACGTCGAAAATAAATCCTTCTAATCCTTAGATGTTCGGATCTTCTTCGTGTGCTATGGTTACGGCTTGAATATTCCCCGAAGCCCAATATCGAGGCGATGCATCCGCCCAATCGAGCAATGGAGTTGGGTCGTGCTCGGTTCTTGCCTCCCAGTTTGGTACCCAAGATGGCAAGCTGTCTAAGCCGTGTTTCTCAAGACGCTTCAACTGTTTGCTGTGATAATCGATTGTAAGGGAGTCTGGTGCAAACATCACTTTGGCCTGACCGACATTGTTCCAATTCTTGATCCACCCCCTTGGTAGGATCTTCTGCTCAGCATAATATCGCGCTTGAACAGGTTCCTTGCCTTCCAGTGGGCTCTGTTCTTGGTAGGTTCCATCGTTATGATTACGGAAGTAGCATGTTTGTCCTTCGTCTTGTATTCTTTCCCAGCCAGGAGGCAGCCTTGCCCAACCTCTTCTGAGTGGATGCTCTGGCGCATCCTTGATGAGAGCATACAAGTCATGGTAACGCGACTGGTCAAGCAAGCTATAGGCATATGCTGGACTTTGCTCAAATACGGCCCCCGAGCTTCTCCACTCCCTGACACAGTGTAGGACATCGAGGGACCTGGCTTTTTCAATGACAGTCCTGGCAAAGGAAGTAAACACCGTCGCTGGCTCCAAATTGTAATTCGGTTCGAAGCCCAAATCCTTAGCCATTGGAGCAAGACCCAGAAAACCGTATATCCGATCCTGGGGCATCTTGCAATCCAGATGACGGTAATCGTATAAGAGCTGGTACAAACTAGCATTTCGGCCACCTGACTCCCATTCATGTCGGAAGTGACATATCTTCTGGTATGTTTCATCGCAAAATAAATCCCAAGGGTTTACTTTCAGCCCAAAGCATTTTGGAAAGTTTATAGCCATGAAGCTGGTTTTGATTTTCGACCCAACATCATGCCAGTCTATTGTCTCCGAACCGCATATGAGGACCAGTTTTCGAGCCAATATTGCTTCTTGCATAATCCACACTCGCGTGAACCATGGACGATCGAGAAGCTCGTTGATCTCGCCAAATTCTTGTGCCGCGACAAGACTAGATCGGTTTTGTAGACTGATCGAGTTTTTGAGGCTTTCTCGCACCGGAAGTGTAGGCTTACCAAACTTTCGGTCGACTTTCCACAAGTAGTAACCGGTTGTCAACTTCTTTTGGATTGACTTGACGCCTACGATACTTCCATCAGTAAGTTCGCCAAGCCATATACAGACTTGTCGAGCCTGCCGATATATATCCTCCATGCGACGAACTTGAGCGCCCTTCTCATCATTATCTCTCTGGTTGATGCAGATTGCATCAATCCAAAGTGTTCGGACGCGTTTGGGTTGTCTCAGGTTTCTGAGAGCAGCTTCACAATTCTCAAAAACGCGAAAAGCCGTTTGGTCGAGATCGATATCGGTACCGCCTTCTTCTCTGCCCCAGACGTATGATAGGCATTCGTAGTCCGGGTTGTTTGAAAGATATGCATGTCGAAGTTTGCACACAAGAGCCGCATCTTGATTCTTAGCTGGATGTACATCGAGGAGACGAATCTCCCCGTTGGCCGAGTCAAGAGGTTGATATGGAACCATAATTGGTCTCACATATCAAAATCGTGGTAACCGATCCAGCGAATATTCAGGCGAGAAAAGAATTGCGGATTATGTTTGCCCAATGTAGGAGGTTGGTAGCACTTGTCTCCCATGTTCAGCTGAAGATAACGCCTGCTGAAGCCTTGCATGCCATTATCGAGGAATATGTGTTCCCATTGGTGCGGTGTTCATTAAGGACGGTTCAGCCGCTCGAGTACGACGAAAGAAGTAGTAGTGTAATATGTCTATATTTATCTTATGAACATTATGATAAATATTAATCTACTCGTAGCCCCTAAATTAATAAGACTATTGGACTGTCTGGAGGCCCTTTGAGTTTCATGTTCTTTAGTATGGAAATAACCACAAGCCACCAGTGCATTGCAAAACTGACGGGACAGCCATTTAAGTATAACAACGTCAGAAAAGCGATTTCCAACGCTCCTTCGTCTAAGAGGCAATTTTTTTCATAGAGACACCTTTATATGTTAAATCAACTGAAATGAGTAATTACAGCGGAATTGACAGAGTGTAGTTTTTTGTCGAATAAGGTGTCCCGTCAGACTTGCAATCCACTGGTGTGCTTATGTCAAAAATGGCATGGGGGAATTGTCACGTAGTTTGGCGCCAAGTTCTTGCGCCTCGACGATATAACACCCGTTAAAAACCGGCCGACTTTTTGCAGCTTTCTCGCACCGAGGGAGTTGGCGTACCAAACTTTCGGTCGAAGTAGTGCTATTCAATCATGGAATGACATAACCCAACCATGTGATCATACTAGCTAGCCTAGATCGTTCTACACCTCAATTCTATTAAGTCTCAATAGTTTCGCTTTTTTTTTTTTACAGTAATGTCTTGTAACATCTTAATTAATTTCAAAATGAATTACCTTAGGAAACTCGCCCTCGTTCGACAAAGAATTAAACGCTTTTCTGGATATCGGAGGCCAAATGCAGCAGAAAACTCGCTTTTGGCCAAGCTCCCAACAGAGCTGCTGCTGCAGATTGCCAACTACCTACCCGCCGAATCAGCCGCATCATTTTCTCTCTCTTGTCGACACATTTACCTCTTGATCGGAACTCAGCACCTTGAAAACCTAGCGACCTCGTCTTACCAGAAACTTTTGTTCTTGGAACTTACAGAACATGATCTTCAGAACCACATCGTTTGTGATTCTTGCAAAAGGCTTCACAGGATACGAGATGCTTGGAAATACACCAATAGTGGTCAGCGATTTTTGCCAGTAGCGGTCGAGCCGGATTGTCTCTCCAATGATAGAGAGGCAATGGTTACATCGTACATTCTCATAAATTTCAGCACCACTATTTTCAAGATGGTGATGAAGCATTACCAACTGTTTGGTTGTGATGCTCGAACTCGCCAGCTTTTGACTCTTCTAACAAGAAATGTTTTCCCCACGCACCGCCGGGGTACCTTGGTCGTAACCACAAAGGCAGAATGTCGAGTTCAAAATGGCTCCCTATTCACTTGCAAACGCGAATCTGTCGGTGGCACATGTACAGGTGTCGAGCAATGGGGTATATTCACTTGGATATGCCCCGCATCTCGAACTCGAAGAAACAGGCCGGTCCGCCAGTCTCCGCATCAAAACATCGTATCCTCTGTCAGCTGAGGAGAAGTGGTCAATATTACTAAATTGCGACACCAGTTCTAATATAGAGAAGATCTCGTGGGATATCTCCTCGGAACTTCAACAATGTCGATACTGTCGAACTGAATACAAGGTTGATTTTGAGCACGATAATAGTTGCAAAATAAAATTTGCAATCACTATTTGGAAGAAGCTTGGGCAAGGGCCTGAAGCCGAAGACTGGAAAGCACAATCCCACTTCGTCCCGTTTGCAGATCAGCCGTCATCTCCACAACCGATTCAGTTCCACAGAGGAGAGGTAGCCTCCGTCTTTCAAGTGAAGAAGGCCAAATTTGACTGGAGATGAAGTCTCGTACTTCTTATCAAAAGGATTTTAACTCTCTGATAAACTAAACTGAGCACTTGTGAATAATTAAGTTGATTGAATAATCAAATTGGTAAACACAAAGTGCGGTCGAGCTCAATGATTGTACATACATTGAACAAACAAAATATCAACGACGTGTTAGGAACACATCGACGGGGAGATCAAGAGCCGGCAAACGGAATTACGACTTCTCTCAAACCAGGATGTCCTTTCATCAACCGTCAACACTGAATATGCAGTTGTGTACAAGCGCTGCTACGACGCCATGATCATTCAATTTGACTGTTGCAGGTGATCATGTAGAACTTCTCGTATTTATATTGCGACAGAGCCATCGGGAATTTGGTGTGACTTCTGGCAGAGGATTGGCAAAGTAGGAGGTTCGGACACGATTGGAACGAATGGGGCCCGCGGGTCAAGCCAGCTTCAATGTCAACTTCTGGTGGCTGAATCTATTATGCAGTTAGCTCTGTACGGTCATCACTAGTTATGGCTGACTACAAGTTACCTTGTGAAGCGGGTCAAATGAAAAATGAAAGATTAGCAGCAGAGATTAAGTATTATGCTTTAGTTTGTAGAGAGAGAAAGGAGATTTGCTTTGGAAGCTCGTCTTAGCTTCATCCTAGGCTTTCCACGGTATCCATCAACAGTGGATGACTAGCTGAGGAAGGAGTCAATTTTGATGAATGGAGCGAACAAGACTACTAGTCGTCAGTATGCCAGGTACTTGCGAGCTTGTCACTAGTCGTAAAATGGTTCTCATAAGAATGGAATAACATTACCCACTTAATCCATCTTCTCGGTTGAATCTTCGCTGGTGTTAACCGAGCCGCTGTGGACGGAGGCCGCGAAGCCTAACGAATGTAGTGGTGGGAGGTATTTTCCATAGACAACTTCTGGATATCATATGATGTGCCACTCTAGTCCCAACCGACTGATCAATGAAACTTTTAGAATTGTTTCAAAGTTGTTTAACTTTCAGGTTCTTTAGTCAAGAAAGGAGCAAAAGCCGCGTGGAAGCTCATGACAAAATTCACTTCGGGGTTGTCACGTGGCTTCTTTTTGACCCGTGCACCAATCTCCTTTCGAGCTTTACAAGTGGAATTACAAACACAACAACAACAGGAGAAAGAGACGAACCTGCTACTCTCTCAGTTAATAAGAATACGAACCAGGCGGATCAACGTAAAGAATGCATTCTAGTACTGTATAACCATTATCAACATTTGCAGAAGACACTCAAGCGTGGACCCCCCCAAATCGTCGACCTCTGGCAGAATCAGAACAATATATCTTCGTTCCTCGGAGGGTAAGCTGTCAGTCCCGAATTTTAGGAGATGGCACGTCTCAAAATTGTCGCTCGATATGGTCTTGTCACGTCTTTTACACTAATGAACCAAATCCCATACTGGGCGACGTTCTCGCATATCTTAAACTGCACGGAAAAGAGGCACATACGATTTTCCAGTATTTCGAATTCGAAGTACTATAGGCTTTTGTACGTCTTCTAATTCTTTCGATGCATACTGCTATAATAGAATTAAGAATACTATGATCTAGGCAAATTCTCCTTTACTAGACTCGCGGAGGACAAAAGATGTCAGTTACTAAGCCCCTAATATTTACACTAAATAAGTCGACTTCGAACAGTGTTCAAAATGCTTATTTGCTCAAAATAATTAACGGAATGTGTCATATTGTTCTAAGTTGATCCACTAAATTACGATATTTCGTCAACTTAATCGAAGAAATATCGTGTTCCGACTACTCGATATTTTGCCCATCGCGAGCTAGAGCTCTATGGGGCAGGTTTCGCATCCGCGACAGATCTTTCATATTAACATTCACAGGATGAAGTGGTCAGAAGTGTATCTCGGAGAATTGAAATGGGCCGAATATTGCAAGAGCCAACGGCAAAATAAAGCAATCTAGAAACTGATGAGGGGATTCAAGTTCACAGGTTAGAAATTCACATTCCAATATGTGGCTTCGTAAGCCAATGTTTCTCAACTCTCTAATTTCTTTGGCTAATCTTGAAGCTGAAGAGCAATCCTTCGACATAAAGAGGCGCTCTTCATCATTAAATGAAGATTATCCCTGACCCATAAGAATCTACCCATTGACAACAATCCAAGTCACAAGTAAAATTCATGAACAGACATATATGCTTTTTGCGCGAAATCGGATCTGCCGATAGGATTCTGGAGCCGAGCAATATGTCGTGTATTTACCGGTATCATGTGTTGCCCTTGTGCTTCGTGCATAATGGAGAATAGTGCCCAATCGAGGGATTATCCGGAGTGTGGGGTAGTAGCCGCCCCTGAGCCTGAATTTTGGATATATTACTTTCACGTTATAATGCTGTTCCCCGCATTGTTTCTTTATGCGGCTTACAAGCTGTTGTGGGTTTTATTTGTCAGTCATCCCAGTGCCATGGGGTTGTTATGCAGTTGGGGGGCTAGGTCTTACTGTAAAACCATTCAATTCGCACTTTTTATGTTGACTTCGACAGCTCAAACGAAACTCGATCCTTAGTGGGGCTTTTGAAAAAAATGAAGACTTCAAGCTTTCTTGGGGGGGTTTTGGCAATTGGCCTTTCCTGTAAGTCGAATATAGTCAATTGACCAATTCCAACCTTGCTAATCAAAAACAGCTTTAAACGCAATTGTTGCTCAAGATTTTGCTTCACATGGTATTTACACCGAACCTGTCACTGGCATCACTTTCTTTGCAAGCGAAGAGACCAACGGCACCATCACCGGAGATGGCGAGTTCTCTACGGTTTCATGGGGAGGATTTACCTTTGGAGTTGCATTGCCACCAGATGCGTTGAGCAGAGACACGCATGAGTACATTGGTCTCATTGTAAGCTCATCACTCTATCTTTGGTAGAAATAAACTGACTTTCTAGATTGGTTCTACTCCAACTGGCCAAGGAGGCTGGAGTGGTATTGTTCATGGTGATGATTACTCGGCAGGAATGCCAAATCATCTTATGCTTCTTGCATGGCCAACAGGAAATGAGAATCAAATCGCAACCTCATTCCGATATTCTCCGTAGGTTATTTGAACAATTTCGAAAGACTCCTGCTTACTCGTATAGGGCCTATCAATACCCAGTTCCTTACCGCGGAAGTGCAAATCTGACACAGATTTATTCCAATGTAAACGAAACTCATTGGACTTTAGTTTACAGATGTCAGAACTGTCTTCTCTTCGATGATCCTGCCCAAGACTCTTTCAATGCTTCGACCAGCAAAGGAACCTTTCTCCAGGGCTGGGCTCAAGCATATGTCCCACCAACAGATCCTAAGAACCCACTTTCAGATTTTGAACAACATAACAACGGCATGGGAGAGTTTGTGATTCAAGTTCAATCTGCAACACATGTTTCCTATTCGGACTGGGCTACCAAGACAGCCACGGGTCCAATCGCCACAGGAACCACAACCGCTACTGCAACAATATCGTCTATTCCTGTTCCAACAGGTGATGCTTATGATTATATCGTCGTCGGTGCTGGAGCCGGTGGTATTCCTATGGCTGATAAGCTTTCTCAGTCTGGAGCATCAGTCTTGCTTATCGAGAAGGGATTTGCATCTAGTGGTCGATGGGGTGGAACTTTGAGGCCCGAAAATCATTGGTTGGATGGGACGAACTTGACTTGGTTTGATATTCCAGGAGAGTGCAATCGAATCTGGAACGGTGGAACTGCTGGTGTTGTGTGTACCGATACTGATCAGTAAGTTCTACCTGTCTTAGAAGCTCAATTGAGTGATAGAATTTAAGTATTGTGTATGCTAACTCATTTGTCATTAGGATGGCCGGCTGCACACTCGGTGGTGGAACCGCAGTCAATGCAGGTCTCTGGTGGAAGCCAAACCCAATGGATTGGGATGAAAATTTCCCAGCTGGATGGAAATCATCAGACATGGCAGGTGCAACAGAGAGAGTCTTCTCTCGTATTCCTGGGACTGATCATCCATCTATGGATGGTCAAAGATATCTCCAATCTGGCTACGACGTTATCGCAGATGGTCTAGCCAACGCAGGATGGAAATACGTCACAGCAAACGATGCTCCTTCAGAAAAGAATCGCACTTTCGCCCATGCGCCTCACATGTTCTCGGGTGGTGAGAGAGGAGGTCCTATGGCTACTTATCTTGTCACGGCCAATGGAAGAAGCAACTTCCACATGTGGCTCAACACCAGTGTTGAAAGAATCCAACGTGATGGCGGTCATGCCACTGGCCTGGATGTCGTCGCATTTAATAACGGTGGTCGTGTTGGAACGGTAAAGCTTGCACCCAAAGGTCGTGTTGTCTTGTCCGCAGGCGCATTCGGTACTCCCAAGCTTCTGTTCAGAAGTGGCATTGGCCCAACCGATCAACTTCAAGTCGTTAAGGGTAGTAGTGACGGCGACAAGATGATAGCAGAAAAAGACTGGATCAACCTCCCAGTCGGCTACAACTTGAACGATCATCTAAATACCGACACTGTGATTTCGCACCAGAACGTCAGCTATTACGACTGGCCTGCAGCATGGCTTACCCCTATACCAAGTGATAAAGATCTTTACCTTTCATCGCGTAGCGGTCCTCTCGCACAGGCTGCGCCAAATATCAATCCAATCATGTGGGAAGAAATCACTGGTCCAGACGGCAAAGTAAGAAGCATGCAATGGCAAGCCCGAGTCGAAGGTTCCAACAGAATTCCTAACGGTATCTCCATGACTCTCTCGCTCTACCTCGGTCGTGGTGAGGTCTCCAAGGGTCGAACCACCATCCAGAAAGGTCTCAATATGCTTGTCTCCACCATTCCATACGGTGACCCCAACGATCTTGCTGCATGCGCACAAGCTATCGACAACATGGTAGCCATCCTGTCTAAAGTCCCTGGTCTGACTTGGAACCTTCCAGCTCCAGGTGTTTCCGGTGCTGATTACCTGAAGTCCGTCGAGCTCTCATACGCAAATGTAGGCTCGCGACGTGCTAATCATTGGATGGGTACTGCGAAACTGGGTACTGATAGTGGATTGACTGGCGGTACTAGTGTTGTTGACACTAACACTAAGGTGTATGGTACCGATAATATTTTTGTGGCGGATGCTAGCATCTTCCCGGGCCAGGTCACTACAAACCCTTCTGCGTTGATTGTTACGGCGAGTGAGAGGGCTGCGGAGTTGATTTTGGCTCTGCCGGTTTAGATCTGGTGACGAAGAACAAGGGGAATGAAGCGCTGAAGGAATAGGAAGATTATATTCACTCTCTAAATCTGAGAAAACAGTCTCACCTAAGTGAAACATCTAAGCACTATCTACCCCTCGCGGAGGACAAAATGAGTGGCGGTCGAAACATAATATTTCTTCGATTAAGTTGACGAAATATAGTATATTTAGTGGATTAACTTAAACCATTATTACTATTCCGTCAATAATTTTCAGTAAATAAGATTTATTAAGCTCTCTTCGAGGTCGGCTTATCATTTAGTCCAAGATTGCTGAGTAGGTGACTGACACTTATTTTGTCCTCCGCCAGCTACCAATACCTAATCTTTTGGGTAAATACACAACATTACCTCTACTACAAAGTATAAATATAAATACAAATAGTTAGAATTGTAAAGAAAGTCGGTTTCCGGCATCAAAACGTTAGAAGAGTCTCTGGTCAGTCTTGTGATGCACTAGTGAATAAAATTTAGGAGCTCAAATCTTTTAGCTTACGCAAGTATCTGTGTTCCTTCCATCAAATATTTAAGTTGGTATCCATTAATAGCTGCATTTAAAATGAATTGAAGGTATGTTAAAACTATGATCTCTATTGTGTCCAATATTGCCGTTCTGGCTTCCCTTATAATGATCCTCCGCATATTCAATTTGTTTATCCATTAGGAGTTGCGTCCAAAATAGCTGTAATCAAAGAGAAAAAGAAAGAAGTACTCGTCGTTTTCCAGGTATGTCGTAATCCAATCTAGTAAAATAAATACTGAAGGTCTAAATGAGTGTGTTAAAGAAATAGTGTCTCCCCTCCAATTACTGACAAACGAGATAAGAAGAATCGCAAACCCTCCTTCTTGCAGCTGATCTTCTCCAAGTGACCACGGCGCATCCTAAACGAAATGATCATGAAAAGGACAGTCATGATCGTGATAGCTTCTCATGCCACACTCTCCACCAACAGTCTCGGAGTGTTCGAAAGTAACGGTGAATGTAGTTGTCTTGCCCCTACCACAACCCCTAACCAAGTTATTCCCTCCATGTCTCGTAACAACACTTCCCTCAAATGGCTCAAACTCAGTGAAGAAGCCTCTGCTACTGCCATTTGGCTTGCTGCACAGAGTCATTGGCATATCCTCAAATACAGGGGCCATCACGCTGGGGTCTCTAAGTTGAGAGTATGCACGTTGTGGGCCTTGCCGAATCGTTCTCTGGCTGCCAGATAACGATTGCGGATGTTCGCTTTGTAGGCCGATTCGGGAGTTTGAGGCGGAATCTTGGGGACGTAGAGTTTCCGGGTAGTTTGGCTGTGCGTTGAAAGAAACGTGTCTTGATGAGGTTCTTGGTCTTCCAGAGCTTGATGCGGTTCGAAAACCTCCTGATCGCAATGATCCTAATCGTGAGCCGAGTCTGGAATTTCGGGATCCATGTTCTGAGCCCTGAGTGGCATCTCGAGATCGGAAACTGAACTCTTCCGGTTCTTTAGAGTGAGATCTAGACGAGCGGATTGATTCTGATCTTGGGGTTGAGAATCGTGTCTCGGATCTGGAAGCCCATGGTCTGGTGTCGAAGTTGGAACCCATTGCAAGTTACTAAATAGTGTGAGTGCTAAGAAAAGAATTATCCAGATGGGGAGATCAACTTACATGGATGAGGAAACGAAGGAGTGTGGATATTTTCAGTACTTGAACGACTAATAGTCAAGCGATGGCGCTAGAAATGCGTTGCAAGTACTGTTGGAGAAGGGAGATGGGGAGAGGTGAGGATGGGTGAGGAAAGAAGAAAGAAAAGAAAAGTGAAGGGACGGTCTCTTGTATTTATACACAAGCTATTGTTTATCAAACCCGACATATACCATCCATTTACAGTCACCGAGTATAATTTTGTATCTGATACGATATCCTAACCAAGACTGCCACAAGGAGTTGCTGAGGGATCACACTTGTTGAACAAGTGGTCACCCCCACGTCGAATAATAGCATATGTTATCGTTACACAGGCTCATGAATCTTTAGGGATGAATATATAATTTACGCACAGTTTACAGGTACAACAGCGCTTCAGTTTGTTTAATGCCCTACTGTGAGATTGTAACAAGACTTCTTAAGTGCATCCATTGTTTTGCCCGTATCTGTTAAAATTATTACCTACGCCAACGCTCGATAAATTACGAACGATAACATTAAGAGTGTATATCAGATATATGACTACATGTTTTGTATTTCTCCAGAGGGTCAGATGACTCAAAGTACAGCGTTCTCCATCCCAAACCAACTCAATAGAAAACAGTCACTTTTTGAAATCCAACTTAGTGCACCGAAATCAGGCCTTTTACTTGGTCCAGATAAGAAGAACAATGTTTTGGTGGTCAAATGGTTGATCACATGAACTCAGTGTATCGTATCGCTGCTAAGTCATCTTTGCCAGATTATCTGAAATGTAGAAAGTTGATACTATATACGTTTCATCGTGTGTTCGCTCATGTCTTGTTTACCAGTCAAAATACAACTACCGCATTATTTACCCAACGTTACGACACTGTTACCTTATTTTGTTTGGATATTTCATTCCCTATGAATAAGCGAGAATTAAATGAAAAGTAGTGTTCGAAACACTTTTCCCCCACGTCTACAAAATGGCATTGGTGGGCATGACTGTTTTTAAAAGCGAAAGCTCCTTCGGATTGTCTAACTCGGGTTGTCATTTCTGTAGTGGGCTGGCTTTTAAGCTTCTTATTATTCTGCTGGTATAAAGGGGGTCATCTCACGTGACGAATGACCGACTTACTATACTAGAATCTGTTCGAGAGCGACTTTGATCAAGGATATCATTAGTTAAGTCCGCTTTTGATGTGACCTTTCTGTGTATATACCAATGAAGCGAGTCATAAACCTCTATCACACTTTCGGTCTCAGTTGTCTCTATTCTCCTCCATCACCTAAAAACCAGCCGATTTTCAAGAACGGAATAACTATTTATATCACACAGACCCAAATATACTGATTACTCATTTGAGCGATGTCACGAAAATAATATCATTGATGTGTACCACCACACCCTCCGCACATTTCTTCAACGGTCTATGATCCTCCAACACCAACACCAACCCTCAAGTCCCAAACCGACAACTAACCAAATAGCCGCTATGTTTCATACATATCATAGAGTCATTTGATCAAACTCAACTCCCGCACGGCAAATATTGGCTGACCATATCTTATGTTTGAAACCCACGCCTCCATGTAGCCTAGAAAGAAATACTGTAATGAACAAGAAAGTGCTAATAGCATCTTGACGGAAGGACTTCAGACTTACTACTCTAGACCGCAATAGTATGTTTTTGACGACGAAGAGAAGATGCTAAATTCTAACTCCAACAATCTTCTTCGTCATCTTGCCATGGTTAAGCACACACCGGTGATTCTTGGGTACCATAAACAGCACATAACTCGATGTGAAGTCTCCAAGGCAGAAACCCAGAACCGTCCTCATATCTAGGCGACTTACATAAACATGGAAGAGATTACTCTCAGGCGTTTTCTATCATATGGGATTTCGAGTTAGCTTACTTATCAAATAGTGAAGAAGGTATGTCCATCTTATTGATCAGTCTAGTCAATCAGGTTCCTTCTGCCGGACTAAAAAGAAAATGCTGGTTCGTCAGGCTGTGGAGTTCATGTTGATGACTGGAATCGAAAGCCAACCGACTATGATGTAGGACGCGTAATGACTATTTGGATCAGGTAGAGCACCAGTGTGTTGCAAGAGCGACGGGACACCCACCAAGTATAATAATGTCAGAAACCACTTTGCAACACTCCTTACCTAAAAGTAGATTTATCCTTTGCTATAAGAGACATCATTGTATATTCACTCAAGTAAATTGAGCAATCATAGCCTTTTGGGCAGAGAATCGTTGTTCTGTCGGAGGTGTCCCATCTGACTTGCAACACAGTGCTATAGTCCCGTGAGCGTGGCAAACTTGTACTTTGAAGACTGGAAATCGCAGAATCTCCTCGCGATTATGGTTTTGTGTTCGGAGTCCGAAAGTAAATTAGGGGAATCATTTGTACAAAGTAGTTAACACAATTTCATGTGTATCCCATCCATCTCCATCCGTTCGATGCAGGTTTTGATATTTCAAATCCCCAAGCACCGGTATCTCCTCTCCTACCACCCCAACTACAGCCTCAGAAGAACCTCCACCAGATAAAAACCAAAATAAACAGCCCTAACCCCCCCAGCGGTCCATACTGTTTCAACAACAACTCCCAATTAATCCTCACAGCCGCCTTTCTATACTTCTTACTATCCTCTCTCAGCCGACTACTCATATCGCCCATCCTCTCCAGACTATCCCCTCTATACAGCAAATCCTCAATATTCTTCGTCATAACCTTGGTAACATCCCTCAGCTCATCATTCAGCTTATCCAAATTCTGCGTCGCGCGACTATCCTCATACGTAGCCTTCGTCCGCGAGATAAACGTATCAAACTCCATAAACGCATACGGTCTGAGTATCGTGCTCATAACCTGCTGGCTGGGATATGTATTACTGAATTCCGTCGAGATGTCGGAGAGATATGTGAATGCGAGCTTCCGCGGGTATGATTTTTCGGATATGCAGATGTAGATTATGTTGGCGGAGATGAGGTAGTGGATTGTGTGTTGCCCGCTCTCGATGGAGGCTTGTGGTTCGGCGTTGTGTCGTAATTTGCGGATGATCATCTTGACTTGGGATTTTATTTCAGAGAGACTGGACTCTGTCGCGGAGTCGTCAACCGAGGCGCAGAGCATGAGGCCATCGAGCCGGGCGATCTGCGTGGATTTGATCATGTTGTGTGTATGTTCCCAGCTCTTCTTGTGTTGTCCGTAAAATGACCCACGAAGAGCTCAGCTTCCCACTATGCCTGCGCAGCTCGAAAACCCCAATTTGTTGTCTCTTTATGGAGAATTCGTATTGGAAATCAAGATATCTGGCGAGTTGCTGGAGGAAAACTATATGGTGCAGTTTCGAATGCGACGTGCTGCTTTGGAGTGGTGGTTGCGGAAATACATAGCTGTTCAAATTGAAGCTCGGCAAGTTCCGGCCCGCTAAAGCCTCACTCCAGGGCTTCAGGTATACTATTGGTACAACCACCACAAGAACATTTCTAGCAGATGCAGTATTAAGTTAAACTATTTCAGTTGGATTTTATGCAAGCAAAAGTAGTAGCAATTATTCCTTTTCAACACTTTCTTCTTTTGGTTGGAAATCTTCTTTCATTCACAATGTATTACGGAACGTACCTCTAGCGAAGCAACTTTTATGAAAACTTCTGCGTGATTAGGTCAATATTCTCGTAAATTACTCATATCTCCCATGTTAAGATATAATTACAAAACCACCTCTTCTACTTTCTCTTAGTAGCATTTCCCTTCTTGGCGCTCCCACTCGCCTTAGCAATAACCTGATCAGCAGCCTTATCAGCCTTCGCGGCTCCCTCGCTCCCAACCTCAACACTAGCATCTGCTCCAGGAGGTGCGCTCAAAGGCTTATTCGCAATCTTCTCTTCTAGCTCCTCATCGTCACCACCTTGACCAAATTCGTTGACACGAGTGTAGTCAATTTTATACTTCCAGCTCTGATAGAGGTAGACGAAGAAGATGACGTCGTCTCTCAACGTCGCCAGACGATGTAGTGTAGGCATCTTGATCGTGAAAGCGAAAAGATCATCGATGAAAGTGTTGAGAAACTTGTAGGTCATGGCCCTTGCAGGCATGTGCGCCACGGACTTGAGGCGGTAATTGATGTAAAGTGATGGAACCATCATAAGGAAGCCGTATGCGTAGACAGAGCCAACGAGAGTGGCGATGACGAACGAGTACCATGATTTGTGAGTTTCATAGTACAAAGAGTAACCTGCATAAGCAAGCAAAAGAGGAATTGCTACCATGTACAAGTACTTGAATGCAACCTCGTCGTATTCCTTGGTCTTTTGTTCAGTTTCAGAGAGCACGTGCTTGTCTTCGAAAGCAATGCGGTATGGAATGAAAGAGCCTGGAGCGTCTCGGATACGGACGTTGACAACAGTTGTAATCTTCCAAAATTCTAGCACAATACCCATGCCTTGACTGAAGAGGATCATCCAACCTATTGAAATTAGCAAATATCTTCATATTTCACTCAAAAATTGACTTACTAGTATTTTCATTGTTGTCCATCAAGTACAAGAAGATCACTCCTTGCATGAAGACATTGGCGAGAATAGAGCGAACGGAGATGCCAACGTTATTCTTCTTGTTACGATAATGGCTGATATCGGACTTGAAAGCAAGCATTTCGAAAATCATATGGAAAACACTGACAATGACCGTAGTGCCAAGAAGCCATGGATTGGTATCAAGTAAGACCTCCTTAATCATTTCGAACTCGCTTCCATCTCCACCACCTGGCGAGGAAACACCAGCGGCAGCATTTCTGGCGGCTTGCTTCGAGCCTTCGTCCATGGTCGAGAGAATGCTGAATTTCCAGTTTGCAAGATTGTATAAATCGATGTGAATCGGTAATCGAGTGACAGTAGAGTTCAACGTGGTCATGTGGGATTTGAGTTGCCAGAACGTGTTGACAAATAAGATGGGATAGTACCATCCATTCTGTCCGGTACCATCTCTTGCTCCCGTAGCTTCCAACCGGAGGTATTGACGTGTTGCTGGCGCCATCTGGGGAAAGCTAATAACTCCAGAATCTGGGATGAACGACATTGAGATATTAGGATGATAATGTGAAGTTATAATCGGTCCAGTCGGAACCTCTTCCTCCTCCTCCTCATTCTTTTCCGAAGCTGAAAGAAGATTCTTCGTCTTCTTTACTTTCTTCTGAGTAATATACTGCGTCAAGGGATGAACGAAATGGTACGCTTTGCTGGTGTCATATCCAGATGCCTGGGGATCCAACTCAGTGCCGGTAAGTCCAATAAAGAAATGAGCCCATAGTGTCCCATTATTTTGCACCTCCTTCGGCACAGCAAAACTCGTATCAATAACCCGATTCTCTTTGAAATCGCCATAGTTAAATGCAACCTCTTCCACAATCTTCCTTTCCTTCTCGACCTTGGAAATCGGCTGGATAGCAAACGTAGGCGAAACAACAATCGTAATATCCAACGGGCTATTCAGCGGCCACATAGGCGCAATGCGCTGAGGAACCGCATTCCACGTTGCGCCATCGTTTAGAAATTCGGGTCGATCGTGGTATGGTGGAATTTCGGCCGTGTTCGCAGGCACTGAAATAACGGTGCCAGATTCATCCGTCACTGTTGTGTTCGCTGCTTTGTTCTTTCCCATACCCAAGACATTGTTCATTACAAATTGCATGCCGAAGAAGATGGCGAGCCCTTGAACTGCGGATTTGAGCATTGGCTTGCGAATATAAGCAGTGTTCAAATGTATCTAGAAGAAGGCTTACATTCATGCCACTCTCGCCTTCTTGTGCGGCGACAGCCGCAGCTGGGGGAGCTGTTGGGGCTGGCATAATTAGTATCGCCTCTTCCTGCGAGGATGAAGAACGATATGTGGATGGAGAACAATAGTATGTTGATGTTCTTGTTGTATGCGCGTAGCTTCGTTAATAGGAAGTCTTGCTAGAGGAGCACTAGCAGCAAACCCCGACCACCAATCAGACCCAGGGAAGGGTACATGCGGATACGTAGTCTTGGCGCTACGTCAAAGCCAATTATGGCTCAGTAATGTGAACATCGCCAACGAGTCTAGATTATTGTCAAGTGACTCACTTACCGACCAAGTCAATTGTATAAAGGCATTGATTCTCCCATCCTTATTGAAGAAATCATTGCTACCTAGATACCTTGCCAAATTTGTCACAATTCAAGCCTTTCTCGGTCATAACCTCTCCTTGACTTGTAACAAGTAAATCATAATCTGTCTTGACTTACACAGACTGTTCCTCTTTTCAGCTCTCAAGTAATTCACTAAACTCCAGTCTGTTCTGAAAACTCACGCTAACGGTGATTAACAGTTTTCCTCTCATATTTTTACTATAAATTAGATTATTCGTTGCCACTCACCTAATCCCTTACATCAGCACCTTCAACACAGCGACCAAGAACTTCAAACCCAAATATTGAAATCCCCAAAAAGCAAGAGAGACAATCAGATCAGACTCTCATCATGGCATCCGGTGGAGCATCTCCCGCTCTTTCTACCAACAATGGATCTTCGACTCCATCAGTCCCAGGACTATCCCCTCTAAACCCCGCCTCCACGCCCATCACCAAAATCTGTGTCTTCATGGGCGCCTCACCAGGGAAATCACCAGCGCACATGGAAGCCGCCGCTGCTCTGGCCGAAGTAATGCACGCCAACAACATCCATCTAGTCTACGGTGGTGGAACCGTAGGGTTAATGGGACAGCTAGCACGTAAACTCGTCGAGTTATCCGGTCCAGACTCTGTACACGGCATCATTCCAGCTCCATTAGTCAAATATGAGCGTGGACCCGAGGAGAGCGCGAAGGAAAGTAATGATGTGAGCGGGATACTACCTGACCCTTTGTCATATGGTAAAACGACCGTGGTCAAGGATATGCATACGAGAAAGCACATGATGGCACAAGAAGTACTCGCAGGAGGGCCCGGTTCCGGATTTATTGCACTTACTGGGGGCTATGGAACGTTAGAGGAACTCATGGAGGTGGTTACTTGGAATCAACTTGGGATTCACAACAAGGGGATCGTGGCGCTGAACATTGAGGGATATTGGGATGGGCTTTTATCTTGGATTAAGACATCTGTGGAGACTGGATTCGTTGGAGAGGGGAATGCGAATATCATCGTGGAGGCGAAGACTCCGGAGGATGCGATTAAGTGCCTGCGGGATTATAAATCTGCTGCTGGCCGATTCAAGTTGAAGTGGGATAGCAGCTGAAACTGTTAGCCGCACTTAACCAAAAGAAAATAGACCTCGAAAGCATTTGGCGTGAACTTACTGCGTTGTGGCCTATCCATATTGCGAGACTATATGGTTTGTTAACGTAGAATGACTTGACTTATTATATGTTAGTTAGAGGTAGCCAACAGACAGCTAGAGCAATTTGGACAATAAGAAAATGAATGAAAGTACAAACATAAAATAAAACAGAACAACATGGTTCAACTTGATGATTACTTGGTTTGAGGATATTGCCACATATTTGTGAAGCTGCCTGTTCCATTAGACTCAAATCTATCATGAAATTCTTTTAGTCATGCCGCTATGATCTTACAATTCGCGCAAGTAAACGGGTATCAGGCTTTCCGCCCAAAGCAATATTCCTTCCCTCTATGAGTCAACATCCATACCCTCCTCTGCAGTCTCCTCCGCTCCTTCAGCAACCATGTCAACCCACTGCTTCACATCCTGACCATCGAAAAGCTTGAACCCCTCAATAGCCTTCATTCCCTCACCTCTAACACCGACAACACCCACGCTACAGTTCTCAACCGTTAACTCTTTATCCTGCGCCAAACTCTCCTTCAACGCCTTCAGTCCGTGAACGACCAATTCTTCCCGTCCCGCATCCGCAAACTTGTCCAAATTTCGCTCTAGGTATGTTCGGGCCATCTGACTCCTAGCTCCAATCGCGCAGGCTACCATCTCTTGCGTCATACCACTTGGTTGGAATTCAAAGAGATGAGGTCCTGTCTCGTCAACACCTGCTACTAATAGTCCTACACCGTATGGTCTTTTCCCGTAATGCTGGGTGTTTGTCTGCGCTCGGTCGCCGATGGAGTTGACGAGACGGGAGAGAGGAATAGCTCGGCCGTATGTAAGACGTGAAGAGAGGGACTGTTGTTTCATGAAGTTGGAGAGGACACGAGCGTCAGAGGCTAGACCGGCGAGGGCAAGTCCGAGATGTTCATCAATAGCGATGACTTTCTTTTGGTAGGATGAGAGTTCTTCGGCATTTCGCTATAAGTCATTAGATGATTCAGTCTTGCGGAACGGGCAAAGGGTCTGCAAACCTTCAGCGCAACCAGCACGGCGTGTGTTTTGCTGACGAGTCCTACAACAACACTTCCCTGCTTGACAGCTTCAGATGCATATTCGACTTGAAATATTCGTCCTTGCGGTGAGCTAATTGCAAACATCAGCCTCAGCTCTTCTACGGTCTGTTTTCAGATGGTAGTTTTTTCTAATTTGACTGCCACCGCTGACTACGTAGATTGTAGTAACTCACAAAGTAACAGAATCGTTGTCGTAGTTATTTCTGAACATCTTGTTGTTTTATCCCTTGGAATTGTCGCAGATCCTTCTTGTTATGTGCTGTAGTTGAAGAGTCGAGAGATATGGTCGTGAGGGAAGTAGAGTGAGGTCTTCTGGGTATCTTTTGATTGAGGTTGGCTTGAACGCGGTTTGGCGAGGCAGATGCGGTGATGAAGCTCCAGAATCCGGAGAGCAGGGTTTAAGCCGCCAGAGCTCCAAAGTTGTTAAGCGCGGTGTACTAGCGAGTCTATTCGCTAGTAGCCGCGCTGTCAAGGGTAGGTCCAATAGTGCTCTGCAACCTGAGGCTGGACCGAGAGCCTTGGAAGCAACGTCAGCTCCCCTACAGAAGTGGAAGACGAGACAACCAATACTTCGACGACGATATAATTAATCACAATACGCGACGGTAGATCTGGGCAGTCTGATAAATTCTGAATCGGAGCATCAGAACGCAGCTCGCACTAGAAACTGTCCAGCACGCGCGAGGGCCACGACGAGCGTCGCAACTGGGCTCGAACCACCACCTTCAACACGCTATAGACGCAGCGCAATATGGCAGCCGGACTCAAAACTATCATCTCTCTTTCCTTCGTAAGACAGAATCTCTGATATGACCTTAGTAACTATTTCTAACTACTCCCAGGTCCTAGCGATAGGCTTCCTCCTCGTTATCCTCTCTTGCGCCCTCTTCAAACAATACCTACCACTTCTTGTAGTGGCAACCTACGTGCTTGCTCCATTGCCAAACTGGATATGCGGAAGATGCTCTAATCCTGATGACTTTGGGGATAGTGGAAGTGGGAATGCGATCGTTGATTTTGGGAAGTTCCTCACTGGGTTTTTGGTTGTTATGGGAATTGGTGAGTGATCCAGAACCCGGACGTTAAGGAACGTCATATTATGCACGCGGATTATTGTCGCGTTGAAAATTTTGAACAAGGAGAACTTTGAATGGATGCTAATAGTGTCCAATAGCGCTTCCAGCAGTACTTGCACACTCAGAAATCATCCGTGTCCCAGCTATGTTGATGTCAATCATCGGTGGTGTCCTTATATACGGAACAATCATCAGCTTTGGGATGTTCTTCCAGGAGGAGCAAGAATTTTGATCAATCCAAGGCGGACATCTGAGGGCAAGTTTGGAATATGGTCATGAGAATTAGGTGGAGGGGGTTTCCGGATGCGTGAAGAGCCAGTGCGCCACACGCTACAAGTGGGCTAGGTAAAGCCGAAGCAATGTATGATTGTAGCATATCACACGGAGTAAGCAAGTCAATTTTGGAAAAGCCATATCTATTAATCGAATAAGCCGCATGCGTGCAAATCAGGATGATATGAGAGTTTATTGCTGCTTCTCAACTATGTGGGGAAGTCCTATGAAGCCTGGTATCTGAGTTCCTGTCTGCCTAGGTACTATCCTCGTGGTGGAGAATAAGTGGCAGTCGAAACGCGATATTTGATCGGGAAATTGCGAAAAAAAATACGATATTTCGTCAATTGACTCCACAAAACATGGTAATTCGTTTATGATTTTGACCAAATATAACATTCTCACTCTGTCAAGAACTTTCTGACTATGACTTAGAAGAACTGGCATGGCCGGCCGTCCACGGGTGACTGCCATTCATATCGACCACCGTCAGCCATCTCAGCACTTGTGCGACAAACAATCCCTTCTTCTCCTAACCTCAGAACAATCCAACACGCCTCTAAACAGGCGTGCTATTGACCACTGTCTCAGTTCTCGTTCCACTCGTATTGTCAGCTCGATAACACAGCCGACGCCATGTTCGACATATCCAATTGCTTTTATCCAGCAAGTGGGCTTGCGCAATGTTTCTTTGTGTTGGTCGGCAAACTTGACCAATACTTCTGCGGCGCGGTCATTTATCTTATCTCCTATCAGTGATGTCCTCAGGATGATTTCTCGTGTTTCCGTGATCCAATCTCGTAAAGAGCGACCTTCTGTCAACCACCCTATGTACTTTATTATATCGTCTGCCTCATTATTCATGAAGATGACTGACAGTCTTTTTCGCTGATCAGCTGCCAGTAACAAATACAGTCAAAGGCCACAGCCCGGGTCCAAAATGTAGCAATGGGTGGGTGACAGCTTGGGCAAACTGTGAATATGGGACGTTGATGCTATCGATTGCTAGATTTACATAAATCGGCGGCCAGTTGCCACCAGAAGGATGTTCTTACGAAAAATCGTGCTCTAAGAGTTCGTAGTCTCTCTGCGCTTCGATTCGAAGGTTTTGGTTGATGTGTAGAGCCACTGGGGTGTTGACTTGCTGAATATTGAGCTTCCAATGCTCTGGAACCGCCCAGTCGAGGACGATGATGCGGGGCTCGTAGGTGAAATGGAGGATTTTGAATTGTATTTCGTTTGGCAGATCTGTAAAGATGAGCTTTTGCTTGTCATGGAGTGCCATGGCGAAATGTCGTCGTAGTTTTGCAATAGAGGCAAGATCGCGTATTCACTCAAAAGTTTGAGTAAATGTAGCTTTCTTAGGCAGAATATCCTTAACCTATTCCAAGGGATGTCACGTCAGACTTGGAACACACTAGCGGAGTGGTTATTGCACATCTGGTTTGGTGTGGTGGAATCTCGTTGCAGATCGATGAAAGTGGTGTAAAAATAGAGAATTTTGTGTTCGAGAAAGATTTTTTATTTTGTCCTAACAATGAGCAGCGGTGGCGGGCAATTCACAGGTGAATCAACCCTGAAACCAGCCATATGCTTTTAATCTCTCAATAACAACATTGTCAATACGTCCTAGTCTATGACCAACAAGTGGTCTTTCACTAGATGCTGTTACAACGAAGCCCACACCCTGCTTGATATATCCAATTTCAGTGATTGTGAAGTAGTGCTTATATCTTGCCTTATGTTGCTCATAATAGCGTATCAACTCTTTCACATGATCTTCCGATTCATAACCCTGGCGTCCTATAAATACCATCTCCCGTATATTATGTAACAGTGCCGCCAATTCCATGTGTTCGAGATTAAACATGTGATTTTGTAGAGCCTTCGAATAGCCACCGTAACCCGAAGCGATGGTTCCCTTGCATTCTTCAAAACCACCGAGATTTGTTTTCTCTGGATTTCCTTGATTAAACTCAGCAAGTCTAATAAGGTTAGCAATGGCTGAAGCCGACTATATTCGACTTGTCCCCCACTAGCTAGGCAGTGACCCACGCGAATCGCGTCATCCAGATCTAGAGGATGAGGAGATAATTTGATATTGTCCGTCGCTAAGTTCATATAGACTCGAGGCAATGTTTCTAAGGCAAGCTTTTTGGTTGTTTCGTCTGGGAAGAGTTCTGGTATGTCCTCGTAGCTCAGCAATTCGTAAAACTTCAATGCTTCCTCTCGCCATAGGCGGTTGACGTGTAGAGAAACGGGTGCTGGTGTTACGTTACGTGGTACTGTTATGGCCTTATAATTGGTTTCAAGAACGATAATTTGAGGCTCATATGTGAGGTGGATAATCGCGAGTTGTAATTCGATTGGTAGCTTTGTGAAGTTGAAGTACTTCTGGATTCCTTCTGTGGGAGTTGCCATTGGCACCATTCGTGAGGATTCCGGGTTACTTGCTGATACTTGTATCGCACGGTATGGACTGTATACACTGTATGAGTAAAATGGTACTCGGGGCGTGGTAGTATACCGTTGTCTTGTGTGATGAAAATAGGTCTCGTAGTTGTTGTAATTGTTGTGACTACAGGACAGATCGGAGACTGCGGAAATTTATAGGAACTCGGTCGTATCATACTAGGTGAATAGCTTAACTTCATTGATGCGCGCCATGGGTGATATGCGGGCGTGAATATACATTGATACAAACCACTAGTGTGTTACAAGTCTGACAGGATGCCCCTTGAGAGTAGAATGCCGATTGATTTTATGTAAAAGACTTTATCCACTTAGTGGTCTTCTGTAAGGATACTATATTGTCTCTTAAGTTAAGAACAAATATTTTCATAAAGGAAGGAGCGCGGAAGTGTGCATTTTTAAACTTCATTGCACTTGATTCATTTCGAGGTCGTCCTGTCAAACTTATAATGCACCGGTGAAAGATCCCAAGTCTATCTACTTTTCAACTAAACTTCTTAGGGAATGTGAATTTAATTGATAGTTTATGACCTATTCTAAGAGGATGTTTAGCTGTTCTGCTAAAAAGCATATGGAGGTTTCTTGATTATAGATAATAGAAGGAGGATCATTTAACAGTCTATAAGAATCGATATCCCTTATGGGGTGACCATTCGAGGATTTAATTATTGGGCGAGGACGATAGCTGGGTACACTCGGATAGGCTATCTGAGAATCTTCCCAAGTCCAGTAACTTCGACACCTTGCTACCTTGCCAGTTAACATGAAGGCTCTTTCTTTTGAAACAAAGAAGTGACGCATTGGATACAGATTAATAAAAAAGAATAAAAACTTTCAAGCACTGTGAAGTTTTTGTTGTTCGCTCAACTCGGATGTCATATTTGAAAGGCGAATAAGTTTGAGATTTAGTGAGCTCGAACATGCGCTGTCTCTATGTACCTACGATTAACTACTAAGTCGTAGGTCTTGAGGAGAAACTGTTATGGCGAATGAAAAATTGATTTACGAACGGTGGATTCATCGAGACTTAGGAGGGTACTGTCTTAAGGTCGGAGTTTTATTAAAAAACAAAAGTCATGTATTTACAAACCACACAGCACAGGGGGATCGAGTGACTAAACTAGGTTATGTTTTAATAGTTATATAAGATCAACTAATTACATTGCTTTTCTCAGACCTAGGCTAGCACGTACGCTCACTGCTTCTACTATTCCTTCATTATATATGGCAGTCGAGAAACGAAACCTATTCCCAGGTTGAGCCGTCCAGCTGTTACTATGACGTGGTGATCCGGAGGGTTATCCTTCTGTTTTTGCTCTTCTTTCAAGCCAACCAGCATGTTCACAAAATCCTCGTTATGGCTCTTACTTTTTTCGCTCATAATCCACATAAGGCCTCTCGTTTTGGCTAGAAGTTTGTTCAGTTCATGCTCGAAAGGAGAACACATGATTTCGACAAGGAGATCCGCCGTGAGGTCCTGGAATAGTACGATGAGACGTCTCCGCTGGTCTGCCGAAATAAAGTTGACGAATGATAGCAGAGGGAGATACTTGGGAAAGGTTAAAGGTATAGGCTCCCCTGTTGACGGACTTGTTCCCGCTTCCCGAGCAACTCGGTGTGTCAATCCCACAAGGTGGTTACTCAGGGTATTCAGCCGAGCACTTCGCAGACCCAACGTGAGCCTGTCCATGTCCATATTTATATAGATCCGTGGCCATTTTTCAAAACTCTTGCCAGGTGGTCCTTCGTACTTCAACAGCTCGTAGTACTTCATAGCTTCCATTCGAAGGGCGTGATTTATTTGCAGTGCCACTGGCGCAGGTGTTAGGTTCCGAGGGATGTTGCCAGCGAAACTGTTGTGAATTCTCCAGATAACGATCTTTTGAGGTTCGTAGGTCAGATGGAGAATCTTGAATTGGATCTCGATTGGTAGATCTGTGAAGCGGAATATTCCGATCTCTGGGATGTTTGTCGTTTCAGTTTTCGAATGTTTGAACTTCGCGTGTCGTAATTTTTCGCGAATTGCAGAGAAGAGAGAAGTTTTCACATGTGATGTACTGAGGGAGTTTCCTTCATTTTCCATCTTCGTTTCGCCCATCATAGCGGAGTCTGACGTTTCATTCATGTTGTGAAGGTATTGTTGTTGTTTTTGGTGTGTTTTTGGGATCAAGACTAGGAGAGAAGGAAATGTTGACCAAGTTTTCCTGAAAATAATGACAAGGGTGCTCTGTGGTGAATACCAGCTAGAAATCCGATTAGGTGTTTGTGCGTGAATGACATGTAAGGTGTTTTTTAACCAAAAGTAGTCTGATGAGAAGTCATGCCCATTACTTGATCTTCGAAATTCGTCTAACTTCGCTAATTTCCTATTGCTTCTCACAGTGTATAAAATTTGTAGTGTCTCGCGGAGGACAAAACAAGTGTCAGTCACCTGCCTAGTAACCTTGGATTAAATAAAAAAAACTTCGGATAGAGCGTAAGAAGTCTCATTAACTTAAGATAATTGACGAAATATCTCATATTGTTCTAAATAGATCCATTAAATAACGATATTTCGTCAACATAATCGAAGAAGTACCGACTTTCGACTGCCATTTATTCTGTCCACCGCGAGAGTGCTCACAAAACCTCTCACCTCAATACTTGAATGAAACTTGGAACTACTAGCACTATGAATCAAATAGTTGAAGTCTCCTTAAACTTCAGAACGTATTTCTAAATTACCAGATGGTTTGAGTGTCAGATAAATTTTCTAGGCTATAGCCTATTTGCTAGATCAGTGATGTTAAACGAGGTTTCAATTGCGATGGAAAAAGTATTTTACAAATTACTTTTACGGCTGGAAACTGATGCTTTAAAGCTCTACGAATCAATAAGGTATAGAATGACAGAGGAGTAGTTCTGGAAATAATATCCTGCTCCGAAATAGTGAGTCTTTATCTGCTGGTTAGCGGTTTAAGCGAATAATTAATCAATGAAGTACTTTTTGAATATTCGAGATGGGATACAAGACAGTATAATTTGCAATGGCGACCAAAGAAAGAGCTAGTGAAAGCGAATTGCTGATCTTGGACAACATATGCTTGAACATGAATTATGATACGGTATCACACGGGGTCAAGCCCAGTGATTAGAATTTGTTTTGTCGGTGCACGCAGAAGGACTCAAACACACGAAACATGGATAATTCATGGAAATGTGCACCTGCTTACTTTAAAGAATGAAAGAACTGCTTTTCCAGGAATTGATCAGGTAGCGAGACTTGCTCGAAACAAAATCGATTTATTCTTTACTTCTTTTTGGTTGTTGTTATTTAACTTACTGAGAATCTTCGCTTTGTTTCTCGATTACTCTCATCATTGTAGAATTTTGAAGAGGTGTAGACATTGTGTAACTTAGTAACTGTGTACGCCTTAAGGTAGGGAAAATCAATTAAGAGATTCGAATTAAATGGGTTTATGTAACTCGGAAGAAATCGAGTAGTAAGCAGGGTTTCCCATTTAGTATAGTATACCCTAGTACTAACCCATCTAACCTCTCTTAGGTACTAACCTAAGCTAATCTATTTAGGTATAGTACTAACCTATAAAGATATACTTAGGTATAGGGTATACCCTTAATTCTAGTAAATATATAGTAAATACTAAGTTAGGTTATAGTATTATAGTATTATAGTAAAAGGTATAGCGAAAAGTACGAAAATTACTAAGACTTAACCTAATATAGTAGTTAATTAAACTACTTTATAAGGTACTTAAATAAACGATTAAAATTACTCTTATTTTATAATTAATTAGATTAGATCTAGATTTAATTAATTATTACTATCTAATCTAATTAATTACTATCTAATTACCTCTTACTATCTATCTTAATTTCTACTATTATAACTCTTTTTATCTACTCTTATTCTATTAATCTTAGTTTATAGTTGTCGTTATTATCGCGATTACCTTCGCTACTATTATTATTATCGTCGCTATTTATAATACTATCTAGATATTAGCTTAAGCTTCTTTAATTAATTATACCGACTTACTTATTAAAATTATCTACTTCTTTCTATATTCTCTATAAGTATAAGTAAATTAGAGGTCGTAGTAGTTATAGAGCTATTCTTATTCTATTTCTCGTTAATATATTACTACCCTATAAGAAGACTCTTTTAGATAGTACTAAAGTTATAGAAATTACTAAATAATCTACTATAATCTTTATAAGAAGTAGAAAGTTAATCTTCTTATATTACTAGTAATCTCGAACCTCTTCTAGTATTAAGGTAACTAGAATATAGTAATCGTTTAGATATTAAGTAGTTTCTAAGATAACCTTAATTATATAGTTATTAATAAAGTCTACTATTAGATTATACTAAATAATATTATCTTCTATATCTCTTAGTACTCTATAATATAGTAGTAATTAATACTTAATCTTGTCCTACTTAAGTTCTTAATTTATAAGATCGATTACCTTTTTACGCGCGCTATAGCGGTTATAGACTATATTAAAATAAGCTTTTATCTTAAAGAGGTTTAAATCGCGATTTAGATAGTTTTAGAAGAGCTTTTAAAAGTATATATACTTATACTATAGGTTAATAATTATTATAACTACGTAAGGTCTTGTCCTAAGGTTCTTCTTATAGTAATTCTTTAATACTTTTAAAGCCGCGTTATAGACTAACTTTAATAGATTACTATTTATTATCTTACGAGTTCTATCTAATTAGCGTTAAATTATAATAAACTATAGAATTATATAATAAAGAGTAGAGTACGTGTCTACTTAAGCCCTAACTAATAGTTATACAAATATTAGAAAGAACCTCTTAACGTTATAAAGTAAATTCTATTCTAAAGGAGTTAGAAGTAACTTCTCTTTTATACCTATAGGCTCGTTAGTAGCCGTAAGAGTAAGGTAATTTATAATTAGAATTTAAAGCTTTAGAAACGTCTTTATTATATTATAAGTAGAGTTCTACCTAACTAGTATATTAAGCCCGAGTATATAGTACTTAATATTCTCGGCTTTATACTATCTCTTAAGAGTAATCTTCTAATATCGTTTATTATAGAACGCCTAAATAAGAGATCTTATCTTAAAGAAAGTAGTATAAGTAACTCTATTAAACTTACTAGCTAGAATTATAATATCGCGGTTATTAAATTAATAAGTATAACGAGCTTACTTAGCCTCTACTTTAAGCGCCTTAAGCCTAGTGTCACGACTAAGGCACTACCTCTAAGGGGATTCTATAGCGGGAGACAAGAGCCTCTAGGACGGCATTACGTAGAGAACCGAAGAGTACGTAATAGAGCCCTAGGGCCTTCCCCGGGCTCCTCTAGGTCTAGTAGGCCCGACGGGTCCTTATAGTAGAAGGGATCTAGAGATCTAGGGAACGAAGGTTCTATATAATAATTATAATTTCCTTAGATAGAAGCTTTATACTTAACTTATTATAGTAATAGTATATTATCTATTTGACTTATACTTATTATAACAAATATACCTCCGAGTATATAACCTAATAATCTTATACGTACTTACTTATATACTAACCTTACAATACTCTAGTCTACTATCGAGTAGAGAACCGAATCGTTACACCTAGCTTAAATAGTAATATTATAGATATATAAGACGTAACGGACGTTACTATCTATAGTATTAAAATAGAAGTAATTTCGAGCCTTCTCGAGGTTATCGTTAATTAGATCTATACGTTCTTCGATCTTAGATTAAAAGCGCCGTAATAGAGAGTTGTTAATAGAGGCGTTATTATAGGTAATTATAATAACTAAAGTTACTATTTCTTAGTAATTAGTTATTCTTAAAAGCTTATTATAAAGATAGATGTAATTATAATTAGCTTTAGGTAGAAAGATAATATCGAGAATAAGGCTCTATAACTTGTAGTTTAGATCTAAATAGTATACTGTAATAGCTATATACTCCTTTCTATTTCGAGTAGACTAATAATTAGTTATTAATAAGATCTAATAGCTATTCTAAATAACTATCTAAAGCTTAGCTCTTTTAATAATAAATAAAGCCTTAAACTCTCTTTATATATCGTAATAAAGAGTATTAGAACTTAGCTAAGTTAATCTAGGATTTATAAAGCTAAAAAGAGCTTTCGTTACTTTAGACTTAATAACTTAAAGTAAGAGGTTATTAGCTATAATCTAATTAACTAAAAGCTACTAAAATTATACGTTCTTAACGTCTATTTATACTATTAATCGTCGCTTAATTATTAAAGATTAAGAAGTAAAAAATCCGTAGGCAGTTACTTACTAAGTAATTAATTTCTCTTTCTCTTTACTACGTAATAGTAGAAGTTTAGGGTAATAAGACGCGTAATAAGACTTATAATTATTACCGCCCTCTCTACTACGCTTAACGCTTCTTTTTAGGAAATTTATATAGTCTTCTACTCCGTAGTTAACGTATATCTTCTTTAGATCTTTTAAGTCGATTTCGCGTATAAAACGTAGTATTACGCCCTTAAAAAAGAAGTTCTTACTAGGTATAAGTAATAGTAGAGGACGAGGACGTTATAGATCGTATAGTATAAGATTTTAACGTTTTAATATAGTCGTAGATAGTAGAGATAAAGAACTAGTACTTCTACTTACAATAGACGCTCGAGGTAGCCTACTAGGAGGTTATAGTACTATATTATAAATTTAATAGTATATTCTTAAATAATTATCGTAGTATTATTAACTAGAATCTTAATTAAGATCTAGTAGAATTACCCTAACCACCCTCGGACCGTAATAGGAGCGCTTAAACCCGAGTCGGAGCCGCTCCGGACCGAATACTCTAGGGTATCGGAAGGGTACCCTAGGTACCCCTAATATTTTTTAGGTACTATACCTAAGTATATCTTTATAGGTAGGGTACTAACCCACGGAGGCCTTAGGTATAGTTTAGGTTACTAAATAGGAAACCCTGGTAGTAAGTGATGTAAACTTATATATTTAATAATACTGACATCCAAATATAATTACACCACCGCATAATCCATGGCCCCCTCAGCTATGTTATTCATACTTATCATTAGGCGCCCAGCTACTAATAAAAAGACACCACTGGCTAGCTGCACCCTGCCGGGGATTCCCAAATGTTATTATTCCGTCATGAAAAGAGTACAAGAGATTCCATAACCCGAGGAAGATGTAGTGCCCAATCGGCTTTCTCACCTGTTCGTGAGTTTCAGAACTCAATTTCATAATAGACGAATATTTCCACCGAGGAAGGTAGATTACCTTTAGGCTCTTCAAGAATTATGGTTACAGTTGAATCGTCGCAACGTATTGGTCTGTTACATAGTCGTTCCCGCTGCTCCCATACGACATAATCGCCCCAACCCCACACCGCTCCTTCATCTGGTCCATACTTGAATGAAAATGCGAACTCGATGGCATCAAAAACAACTCAGCTAGTTTTATAGGAGGATTTTGGACTAAGTGAATTCTGTCGGTCTTGAAGTTAATATAAATGCGTGGCCATCTGTCAAAGTCTATTCCAGGTGGACCGAAATACTTCAATAGTTCGTAATGTTTTAACGCTTCTGCTCGACAAGCGTCATTAAGACGAAGAGCTACAGGTGTAGGAGTCTTTCTGCGAGCTACAGTATTAGGATCGAAAGCGTTTTCGATAACAATTGTTTGTGGCTCGTAGGTGAGATGTATAATTGCGAACTGGAGCTCATTCGGAAGGCCCGAGAAATTGAATAGTTTTTGGGAGACAGAGGTAGTTGTGGCGATGTTTGTAGACGCTATGTTCATAGTGCGAACCGATTCAGATGGAATATCTTCAAGGTCCATTTTGGAGTGTGTTTGTTTGGTAATTATGTGGATAAAATGGAGGAGAAATTTGTGTTTATACGATCAAGATGGGTGAACATGAGTAAGTGGTGAACTGTGTTGTGACAGCAAGGACTGGTTTCAGAAGCTCGTAACAGTTTACTGAAAGTGGTTGGTGGCTGAACATGAATTTGTAAAAAATCGTGAACTTGATCTAATATACAAAGTACAGCTGAACCGATTCATTATTCATATATTAACAACTATGACCACACTTTGTGATAGTAAGACCTGTTGTATGTTTCTTGAAGGACAAAGAAGGATATTCCCTAACTCTAACCAGAAATGCTTTATAAATTGATGAACTGAGAGTCTCCTTGGAAAGGCATATTCCTTAAAACAATACGGAAAGTCGCAGGCCAGAAAACATAAACTTGTGAGCAAGAAATCCACAACCCAGACTAATAAGAGGTTATTTTGATAGATACGTAACCTCTCGCTAAAGGTCTCTCTTTACCCTATATAATACATAACCCATCAAACTAGACAGCTCTCTTCAAACGAACTCCCACTCTATTCCCAATCCTAACAGGCCCACTAAAGCAATCATCCACAGGCTCAGGAAGATTCTCACTTTCCTCTTGCAAAGTATGAAACAAAGCATCTTTTTGCCTCTGATCCAGCGTAGCCTTCAACTGCCTCTCCACATCAACAATATCCTTATTCTTAGTATTACGAACAAGCAATATAACCTCCGCAACCTGCAACTCATGCAGAATTCTTTTCACATCACGAAATCCTTTCCGGTGTTGTAGAACAAGCAGCAAAGTTTCCAGGTCACACGTAGAGTTATCTTGAATAATGATCGAGAGCTTCGATAGTTGTATGCAAGGCTCCAAAGCGCGCACAACGTCGATCGCGTAATTCGTGAAAGCCCATTGGGAGAGCCGTTGGATTTCTAGATAGTCCGTCGTGGTATTGATGTATATGTAGGGACAGTTTTTGATCTTGATCCTAGCATCAGTTGACAGTTCCCAGCGTGTGAAATGTTTTATCGCCTCGTTGCGGATTTCGCGGTTGATTTGGAGTCCAAGTGGTAATCTCAATCCACGTGGTTCATTCAAGGATAGATTGCGTTGATGGATGAGTAGGATTTGTGGAGAGAAGAATGATAGATGATATATCTTGAACCGTAGTTCCATAGGCAAGCCCATAAGGTTAAAGCTCTCTTCCTGGAAAGAGCTTGTGACAGGTGCGGGTGGTAGGTTGCTCGATAATGACTCAAAGCCGGTTGCAGTCTCTACGGGCAAGTACGAGAGCTCGCCTGGCATTTCTGCTACGCTAACTAGAGGTGTTAAGCAAAAGATTTATTTGTATGCTATCAGGGTATTTCCTCAGAAACGTGAGGAAATATAACTGCGCGCCTAAGTCACGTTTCGTGGAGACCTGTCAGGTGATCATGTTTGTTAGGAATGGGGGTCTGAAGATTGTCGGTCTGTATATCTTTATAAGTGAAGAGATCTACGCCTTCTTTTGAGAGCAGATTACTGGAGGGATGCTAGATGAGGAAAAGAAAATTCTCTAGCAGGGTTGTTTATAACAACTTTTGTTAAGTTTAGCTTATTATATTTTAATTCATTCATTTAATAATCTACAGATATTTTGGGAAGAATACTATATTATAATTATTCACACAGTATGAATCATTGATCTTCATGTCACCAAAACTTAAATTGTCGTTAGGAAATTTGTAGGTTAGGAAATATCTGTTCATGTCGCCCTCCTATCGGAGTCTTAGGGGATAGAAGGATCTCAGATTTAAGTATATATAACGATTGGGGGTTAAGTTGTATTCTGATTGTCTGAAGGAAAAAAATTGGATTGTTATAGTAGTAATACTGATCTAGAAGCTACGTCTCTTACGATCATTTGGGGGAGTAAAACTTCAGTACCTACATTTACCAGTAATACGAGCGCGGATGGGTTGGAATAGGGTAATCTGCTGTCCTCCTAGTGAAAACAAGACCACGTTTTTTCCATATCCTCGCGATCCCAGAAATACGAATGTCTCGAAACCATTTGACGGTTCGCTCACTGTCATACATACACTCACTTTCCACAGCCCTCATTAAATCCTGCTTGGGATCATCCCCTTGATCATTTGCGTCCCTTTTTGGCAATAGTACAACTTGGTCTACACCTAATTCAAGAATGAACGAAGCAATTCCCCTCATGAAATCTTTGTGCTGATGATCCTGACCCTCACTGGCAATCAAGAAGAACTGAGTTGCCGGGGTGTTCGAAATGATAATTCTGAACCTGCCAAGGTCTTCCTTTCTACATGACCTTTGCAAAGTCGACACTGTTAATGACACGGTCTGCCAAAAATTGGGATTGGCTTTGAGATCCAACTCTAGATGAGGGATTCCAGGGTTTACGTAAATGTGGGTGTCGAGACTTAGGCCGTCGCGATAGCACTTGAACTGTAGCTTTTGGTAGCACTCTAACGCTAACATGCGTGATTCTCTGCAGAAGTAAAACTCAACTGGTGTCTTACTTCTCGTGATAAGTATAGCGACGGGTGGTGTACTAGAACGCCTGGCTTTTCTGTTACCGGGCCCTCTGCTACCGAGAGAGATGACGTGTGGTTTGAAGAATCCAGCGAGCGAGTAAACCTCAAGACGGAGTTCTGGCGGAAGCTGCATGAAAGGGAAGTCGGTAAACTTGCGACTAGAGAGTCCACGGGTAGGCGGGATATATCGAACCAAGCCCAGGTTGTCGATTAATGATTTGCTTTCGCTCTTGTGCGTGTAGTTTCTCCCTTCTTCCCACCAGCTGCGATATGTGGTGTCTGACATGACTGATTGATTGATCAGTTAGCCGGTTGATTAGCTGATTTGTTGTCTGGTTGATGATTTATCTAATAGATAATCTACTTCCTCGAGAATAGAAGAGCAGAGGGGAAAATCGAAGGATTATAAGCCCATCCGCTTCAGGTATAAGTAAGCTGTTCACAACTCAAACCTGGCCGAGAAAGAGTCAAGTCATGAATGAACAAAGCCGAGTCACGAATGGTGCGGCTTTATTTTTTGCTTTGACCGATTCACTTGACAACAATTTGATTGAGCTCTTTGTCAAAATCTGTGTATGCTACTTGCAGTAAATGTTCTTTCATGATTCTTACCACAATGCCATTGACAGTTCGAAAATGCTTTATTCTTTATCAAGCGGGTATTTCAGACCTACACGTCGACCATACGAGTATTCATCCTAATGATTATCAGCAAAGTTGTGAATATTACCGGACAATTGATTTAATACCAATTCCATAATCTCTTGATAACCTGACCACAAGTTCGAACACTTCGAGATGACCATCGTGAGGCTTGGAAAAATATTTATCTGCTGATATGTTTCATTAACTTGGCAGGACAAGAATGTGCAGAGAATAAAGCTGTTGTACTGTAACAGGATTTGTTAGGACAGGCGTGTTTTGTTGTTGGAATCCATGTCTTACCTAGGTAGTCATAATAGGTCAGCAAATTATGAAATAGTGTTGTCACGTGCCGAAGCGGAGACTTGGCTAAGTTGTTAAAAGTACGCAGAGTATGTCAAGGTGATACTGTCAATGCTCAATAGCTTGCGCCTTGAATAGTCGTCATACTGAAATATATATGCCAAACCACAAGTGACTCAAACTGTAGCTTCAGAATGTACTGGCAAAGTACAAAAATAGCGTTTCAAATCAATAAGTCATCGATAAGTTCTGGGACAGTGTGAACTATACAAAATAGTATTACAAGGAATAAAATACATTGCGGACGCCGTCTAATCTATTTCGCTATACCTCAAAGGTATTTTGAGGTAGTCGTAATACTCGTGTTAGCAAATCTCTCACCCATTACATCATCCCCTTATTTTGTAGCAGCAATCTCAACACCTCCAACAGCTCCCAAAGCCTTCTTCAAGTCACCGTAAATTGCGAACTGTCCTGCGGTCAATGTACCGACCATGCTGTTTAGAAATTAGTACTTGACTCTCCTCAAATCTGCGTTTCTCTGAACTCACAAAAGTCTTGCACCGATACCAGCGTACGATCCTCTAAGACCAAGTTCCTTGGCGATCTTGATGAGACGGGAGGTGGTTCCCTCTCCAGGAAGTCCCTTAGTCTTGTTGATTTTGCTCAACATGGTGTCAGCTGGCTGGGAAACGATAGCGGCGGCGAAACCAGCGATGAGACCGGAACCGAGGTTGATGGTGGTTTGGAGACCAGGGGAAGCGGTGCTTTTGTCAACACGCTTGTAGATAGCCTCGGCGACCTTCTCGTAGACGACGAACTTGGACATGGTATATGGAACCCTTAATCGCCTGTTAGTACCGAGCTTTATAAATCATGCTTCCTTCCAGAACTTACTGTTTGAACAGGATTGGTCCGAAACCAGCATAGAAAGCTCCGATACCCTCATTCTTCAACATCTTGCTGAATCCTCCGATAAGACCATTGGCATATGTGGGCTCGGAGACGAGACGGATACGGGTGGCCTCGAGAGGGCAAAGGGCAACATCGGCGAAGAACTCGGCGATACCAGCGGATGCGAGGTAGACAGCGGTGCGGTTGTTGGAGGCAGTCTCGTATCCGAGGAGGTTGATTGACTGTTGCTTGAACAGCTCATAACCTCCAAACTTAAGTGCGCCCTGAAGGAAGTAACCAGCAGCAGTTGGACCGAAACCAGTCAAAAGAGCACCAGCACCCTCCTTCGCAATAACCTGACGGAATCCTCCAACAAGACCTTTGTTGTATGTGACTGGGTCGAGTTGAATTCTGGTTTTGACGCTGCGAAGATGAGAAGTCAGTTATTTGTTGCGTTATCTCGACTTGCGCAAAAGCATCCCATTTCTAACAATTTCGATCTCAATCGCAAATCCCTTGGAAGAGAACTTACACATCAACAGGTGTGAGACCTCCGTGGGTTACTGAACAGCAGACTGCACCAGCTAAGGCGAATCTGGAGTAAAGAGCAATACCGCTCAGCTTTTCTGGTGTGTTCGCAGCGACATTCTGGACAACGGCGTCAACCTTGGCCGAGCCTGTCGATGTGGCAGGTGGTGCCATCGCGATATATGTGTTCGTAAATGTAGAGAAGGGATATTAGGTGGAATGAGAGGAGATGTGAGAATGCGATTCTCTTTCAATTGATGGGAGGGAGATTAAAACGACGAGAGTGGAAGCTCGAAATTTTATGACGGACGGCTAAGCAGGATTCGGAACTATTCGGGGGCTGGCGGCGTTAGAGCCCGGGCTTGCGAGTGGATCTAGCACGTGTAGAACAATAGTTCTAATTGGTCAGCATGGCCCCACCTGGATATATCTCGCAAATCCGTCTTCAAAACTTTCAAGACGATTATGACTTCAGAATACTTCACTTCGTTTGAGATATTCAAAAAAAAATGTATTGCGGACTTTTTATCGCGGAAAAAACATTCTGAAGACACTAGTGGAAACTCGTGAGCTGATTTTGCACACATATACTGCTGGAAACCTTCGCTTTCTTCCTTTCATCCGCTCTTCTCGGCTCATTATTTCGGGATCAAGTACACATCCTTTTAAGAAACTAGTCTTTGCGGAACCGTGAGTAGTTTGGACGCGGAACAATCTCTCAACTTCGTGGAGGAAATTACGATATTTCGTCAATTGTTTTGAGCAAACATCATGTTTCGCCTGCAATTTGTCTTGTACTCCGCGAGACTATGCAAGCGCCTTCAATTCTGCCCTAACGAGATTTCGCTGTGAATACGGTAACGGAAAGGATGTAGCATCGCTTTTAGGACAGATCAACGTCAAGAGCAGAGATAGTCATATGCTCCAGCGCGTCGACAACAGCATCTGTACCAGTAGATAACCACATTGCTCAAATTGGCTACGCAACAGAGTTCCATCAGTTTTTTAAACTAGGTGTTACTAACACAACCAGTAGATACATATATGTCGCCTCATGTACTAAGAGATCGGAAATCAAAATCATTACCCATCCTATATTTGACGCTGCTTAAGTCACAATCTCAAAAGTCCAGCTCCTCATCCTCATCATCAGTACTACCACTAAGATCAACGGGTTCTCTATATACCGGCTCCACCAAAATCTTCAGAGTCTCGCTCTTCCCCAGCTTCCTCGCCTCCGATTTCGCCTTCTTTATATTCTCCGCCAATGCTTCCTTTGCAGCCACCCACGAAGCTTCATCATTTTGATATACCGTAAGCTTTGTGTGCGATGTGGGAGATTGGAGGTTCAGCTTGAAATGTTCGAGGATGCCATGATTCTGCGTGAAGCTGGTTACGTTCGATGTGAATGCCTCGAGAGAGATACCTTGGAACTTGAGTGTCGAGCAGAGTTCTTGCGTGTATTGAGGACTGTGGGTTATGATCCAGGGTTGGATACGTAATGGTCCGCTCTTTGGATTTGATGGTTTCGATGGTTCGTTTGGCGGAGAGGACTTGATAGGAGTCTTGGATACAGGTGGTTCCACGCTGGGCATTGGCGTCGTCAACTTTGTATTGTTTTCGAGTGCAAGTTCTTCCTGCAAGTGGTATTGATCTACTTCGGTGACTTTATGCGAGTTACGATGTGGTGATGCTGCTTCTGGCTGCTTGGTTGCTCTCAGTCTTTGTTCGGATTCATCCGTGCTTGGTCCAGTTCTGACTTGGACGCCGTAGGTACTAGCACTTCGATCTACATCGTCTTCGACATATGGAACATGATACTGCATGCTTATTGAGTTCGAATTTTCGGTCACTGGGCGGTCTTTCTTCGTAAAGTATGCGATCGTTTGCTCCAACCACTGTTGCTCGCCAAAGTCCGTAGCTGTCTTTGGGCTCGATGACTGCGGTGACGATGGCTTTGCGACACATTTCAACTTCATTGGTCGCGTATTAGGTTCATCTGCGCTAGCATCGAGTTGCGGGATATGCGAAGTAGCAGTCGATTGTTCTCCAATGCCCATAGGTGCTACAGGCGCGCAAGGAGCCTCCGCTTCTCGATATTCGCGCTCCAGCGATGCAAACGGACGGGGCTGACATGATGCTACCTGTTCCACACTTTCCATCACATTCTGATCAGGTTCTGATAGAATATCATCCATTTCTTCTGTTTGGACAAATCCAGGACGGCTTGGTGCAGCTCGTTTTCTGTATGTTCGACGTGGTGAAGTTTCAAAATCATCATCACTTCTCCCCCTTTTCTTCGATGGAGTCGTTGCGGTAGGATCAACCTATGCTCTGTCAGCTTAATGTCCAGACAGGCGAGATATTTTCTCACGTTTGAATCGTTTGGACCGTCGAATATATCGGAAAGAGCAGGTCTCGTGGTCGATGTGCCTTGCCCGTTTGTCGTTGTGGATGCGGGCTGCTTGTGCTTTGCAGTAATGTTACTACTTTCTGTTATCGATGTCGAATCAGTGCAACTATTAGAGCTGCAATATGTGTCAGTCTACTGATATGTATGTTCTCTGCACTCTGCACCAATGTGTTGCAAGACTGACGGGTCAGCCCTCAGGGTAGGATAACGCAAGTGTATATTTCCCTAATCCTTCTGAGTGAATATACGATATTACCTCTATTCCAAAAGGTAAACATAATTGTTTAAAGAAGTCGTGTTATAAAGTCGGTTTCTAGCATCGATACGCTAGAAGGGTGTCCCGTCAGATTTGCAACACACTGGTGTTGATTTCTGCAGATTGTCGTTGTGCGCCACTATCGATATGTTCTGCTCCGAACGAGACAAATGGGGTTCTTAACGACTCGGTCGTGCGAAGGAAAACCCATTGCAGTGCAAACATACCTTGTTGAAAAGACATTTGTTTTCGTCCTGGCAGCCTTTGCAGATGCAGAAGACGCGCTGGATCCTCCATCCCTAAGCGAAGGTATATAACTCGCATTCTTCTCCGCGTATTTATTTTGTCTCCAGAACAACTGTTTTAGATTGCGGATGATTCTACTGACATTAGTTCCTGCAAACTGTCATCGAGAACGTAATGATATCGCGACATACTCCTCTTTGTCGTCAGGATACTCAAGTTCTGAGCCCTCGAACCAGTCTCGCTCCGTTGACCACGCCAACTCGCCGGCGAGATTATACTCGACAAACTTCTCTGCCATGCGCTCGAGTTCATGCTGAATTTCTGGGTTATTCCATTGTAACAGCTCATTCCCGGGAAGGCCCTTCTCGGTCTTGTAGTTCTTTCGCCATGAATGCACTGCTCCGATGAAGGCGTCCGACTCTGTACGAGCAGAGGGTTGAAACCCAAGGTTCTCGATCAGAATGCTAATTGCTGGAACATGCTTCATTCTTACGTCTGGCTTGTTGTTGACTTTTGTTTTTGGTGGCATCGTTTCTTCTCTGTGGTTGAAGTATTGTGTTGAATGTTTGTATTGATTAGAAGCAACAGGTGTGTACGATAGAGGTTTGGCTTTTTTTGACTGGATATCGAGGAGACTTAGAAGGGTGGAAATTAAGCACTGCCAGCATGCTACTTGCTAATTCTTAAGCATAGATACGCCACACGAGAGGTGCGTAGTAGAGATTTCGTCGCAGCAGTATGGCCGCACATCCACAGGCCATGAAACCCCTATCTTCTTTGTAGGCACATTTGTAAAGCTAAGACCATTACAGGGGAACTTTGAATGTCTTCGGTGTGCTGCATACGTGCATCTGTGACTCAATCAAATGCCACTTCGGCCCAGCTGTGAAATAAGTTTCTTACACTTTTCCAAGAATTCTGTAAAGTCGAGGATGAATTTTACGTAATACGATCACATCTACTCTCGAATTTCCCTGGTACATTTGTTAGTTTTTCTCGCCAACATAGAGTTCAAACTATGCGACATTTGGTGATGTTCGCAACCAACAACAGACCAACAGACCCCAAAATTGAGCCGGAATCTGCCTTGTAGCCTACGGCCTACCTTCAAAGCATGAATTTGAAACACCCAGTGTACTAGGGCCAGGATACCCAAAGATTAGACCAATATCAAGATTTATTAAACGTAACTGGTTTAGTCAGTTAATTTCCTCTACTATAAAGCTTTCGATTGAACCACTCAACTCTCTTCCATATACCAAGCCTTAAAACTACCATACATTTCTTCGATTGCCCTCGCTCAGATTCCTTTCTTGTGGGAAGTCGGTCCACCAACACGAACGCGCAAAACAGGTTACAATGTCATGGAATACGAGCATCAGTCTCATCAGCAGTATCTTCTCCATCGGTATGAACTTGATATTTTCCTTTCAGAATAATTGTCAAATAGACGTGCGAAATTCCATCAATTTACATCTGGGACCTGTGACCTAACCCGAGAATAAGCTGGTAATCTCTGGGTCTTGACCCGGCCTGCACCACAGCCCGTGGTCGCGGTGGACGCTCAAACCACCACATATTCGGAGAAAATTGAAGTCTCAAGAGACGATTCTGGTTTCGTTGTTGCCGTTAAAAGAGAACATTCAAATCCTGACGATGGCCCGGGGAAATGGACATTTAATAAAGTGGTTAGTTTAAAGACATCTCTCTTGCTCTCTCACACCTTGTGTTTCGCAAGCTAATGGGTCGGGGGTACTTTACAGTCTGTGAACTACACGAGTGCACGAAACTAGAAAGACGAATATTTCGATACGATGAACGTATAGGGCAAATGGTAGTACTGCGAAAGGGGAGAGTGTATATGGCTTAAAATTAGGGTTAAATCTATTGTAGTAAATTGAGGCGTCTTAAAGGTAACAGGAGGATGAAAGTACACAGTAGCTATACTCTACAAGGATATAGATAGTGTAAAATTTAGGATAGTATTATGAGAATAACGAAAAATAAAATACACTTAATTCTTATAGTAAATATACTTAATTTATTATATAACTATTTATTTTAAGCTTAACTAGTATTTCTAAAATTATACTTAAAATTAGTTATATCTATAATTAATTATTTTCTATAGAAAAGCTATACGTTATATTATTTTATTTACTTCTCTCTAGATATAAAATACTTTTCTAGAAGTAATTATATACTTAGATTATCTTACTTAGAATACTTACAATTTATACTCTTTAATCTTCTCGAAATACATCTTATAGAAAGTCCCTTTATGTACAGTTATATCTTCGCAAAACAAGGCTCAAAAGTCTAGCGACCTCACCTCCCTAGACCTCCAATCATTCAGGCATCATAGAACTACCCTATTACCCCGCTCGAACTCCACAAAGTACAGGTACAAGAAGGTACATGAGCCAGAGAGTCCTATCACGTGATAGGTCTGTAATTGGAAAACCTTCATCAGAGGGCGTGTGCCATTTTGAAGGCATTTGATAAGAATGAGATGGAATTGGAAGTTCCCAATAATGAAACATATTGCGCTGGAAGTCAATTTGGCAGTGTTGTCCAATGACTGAATCTTCCGCTTAGTAATGTCAAAGTTGCAGATGCTGTTGGAAAGACACTTCGGATTTTGATTTCCGAAAGAACAAATCAGATATAGCTCGTAACGCGATCCCAATCCCTCATATTTGAAACTGAATTCATGGTTAAACCATAAAAGCCCTATTTCACATACCCTTCTGAATGACAGTGAAAATTCGTCCCTCCCCCCTTAATGGCTTAGCGAGACCCACTTCCTTCCAAGGTCAACTTTTGCGTAAATATGGTTTGATTTCAACAGTAGTGTTAGGAAACGTTTTAGAGTTTTTTGATACATTTTTTGGAATAACAGAGTATCGCTCTCGGTAATTATGGCAGAAGAGAAAAGTAAGTTGTTTGTGTCAAGGTTTACCTTTTCAGTCTAACAGGCCGTACTGCTTTACACGTTAAGTAGCTGTATTGCAGCGCTTCTAAGTTTTCTCGAGAACTTAATACAACGTCGTTCAGCCGCCTTTTGATACAGAAATTGGTGTACTTAATTTGCATCCGAACCCAGAAAATCTACTCATCCCTCTTCTCCACCCTCGGCAAAACCCACCAACTCACCCCCATCGCCACAAAAAGTCCAATACAGACAGGATGCAGTACAAAAGTGCCCACACTCTGAGCTAGAATGCCCGTCACGAACGGCGCCACCGCACCGCCTGAACTACCCAACGAGCCGATTACAGAAAGCGAGGAGATTAACATCTCAGGTTGGATGAGTTTCTGGAGGACGTGGACGGCACAGGGATAGATGGGACCGAGGAGGAAGCCGGAGAGCGCGACGAAGACGGAGGCGCCGGGGATGGAGGGGATGAACCAAATTGTGAGCTCGAGAATGAGTGCCTGGGGAGGTTAGATTGTAGGGGAAAAGGGCTATGGGGGAAATGGGGACTTACGCCGAATGTGGCAATAAGGACAAAGGTGCGTTCGCCGATGCGGTGGGCTAGGAAGGATAGTGTGAAGCGACCTATGAAAGATTAATGCTTTGGAACGGCAAATTGTTGTGAAGTGTAGTGTAGATACCTAGTGTAATCCCGCCCCAGAAACCCGAAGTCACATACCCGACTTTACTCGGATCACTATGCCGAAACTGTACCAAAAATGAAATGATCCACCCGGAAATCGCAACTTCGGCGCCTTGATACACGAAAATGAAGGCTGATCCGAGCAACGTAGGTTTGTTCTTCAAAAGCGTCTTGAACGACTTCCATCTCCGACCTAGATTCTTCGAACTGTGCTGACGACTTATATTCTCATCGCTGGTAGGAGCTGGTAGTGCTATCTCACACTCTTTCTCATAATTCCAGAATGACCAGGAAGCGAAGAAGAGATTGAAACTCGCGAGACCCAATTCTAGGATATAAAAGCGCGACCAAATCCAGCCGTTTGATATCATGAGTGTAGCTATCAAGGGCGATACGACACCACCGATTCCATAGGCGCCTTGGTAGACGCCGATTATGGCGGTGTTGTTTGCGAGAGAGGCGCAGAATACTTGGCTTATTGCGAGATTTATTGCCATGCCTATGCCTGAGATGAAGAATCTGGAGGGTTTTTAGAAGGTGTTATGGAATCGGTTGTGGTTGGACTTACGAAAGCGCAACGACGGGAAAAGGAGGTGTAATTGCAAGAATCGTGTAAGCGAGTATTAAAAGGCTCTCCGAGATAATCAGCGTTTTTCCACGTCCAATTCTGGTAGCCAGCCCGTTGACGAACGTCGCTGCAGCAATAAAACCGAGAGCATTGCAGATGAAAATCGTAGATACTGTTCCGTATCCGATGCCGTAGTGTCTACCACTCATTAGCCAAATAAAGAACTTTACAAAAAGTCAACCGTACGTCTCAATACTCGAAATCAAAGCCCCAGGAGCAGAATCATTCATCCCATTCGCGAAACCGGTTAAACAACATCCTATTACACGAAACCTGTTCATATAAGGTTTCCACAAAGTTTGCTTTTGATCGAATACTGAGTCTCGAGGAGGAATGTTCGACTGTTCCGTTGTCGGATCCGTTTGATTATCACAGTGGTTTTCAAGCGTACCACCGCCCGAAATTCGTTGCAATTCAATCGACCGGGTTGGTACTGAAGGATAATCATGAGGCACGATTTTCTGCGGTGGAATCGGCAAGGAAAGAATGCCTTCGTGCGCTTCAACCGTTAACGTAGTCGACGTCGTCATTTTGATGAAAGTGAAAAGGTATAATCACTTCAACACCTCGAATGGTCGGGATATATGAGAGCATTTCTATCATCTTCAAGAGGCGACTCACTTTCATACCATTTATACCAAGCCCAGACTTTGCAATTCGAATGACGCTGAAGATCTAGATAATTATTAAGCGATCGACGTCTCTCATCCCCTTGCATTAGGCGAGACCATCCATCACAAGCAGAAAGCTCCATATGGTTTCTAGGCAAGTTTCCCCGCATAAGCTATCAATACTGCATTAGCGCGACAAATCGGAAAACCTTCCAATCTCATTTGCGTCTTTATGTCAATCCGAACATAGAGACAAATACAGTGGTTAAAAGGTGGGATGTTGAGTGGGATGTTGAGACAGACATCTCACTAAATTCAACTTTAGAATGCATTAACATAAGCTGAATTTAGATAGATACTAATAGACAACTCGAAGTGATCTCCTAGATGATCATATTGTTCTTGGAAATTATCTCTTGAGATTTCCGGGGGAGTCCACTCCTAAGCACCATGAGGTTTAGGATATAGCTCTAGATTGATGGCTAAGTAGCTTTTAATCCCAGATCTGGGCTTTTTGAAAAGCTATCGCCACAAGTTAGATATTTAGTGTGTAGAGTATGCGGAAAGATAGAACCCAAGTCCTTACGAGCGCCCCAAATCTGCGCAGGGAAAACGCAATTAAATAACAATTTCTTCTATCCACATTCTTGGCAAAGACAGGCTTCATCCTACTTAAGAATCGCTCTCCCAGCCCTCGAAACGCCATAATGCAACATTTATCTATTTTCCTCTCACCTCAAAATAAATCCTGCAATGCGCGCACACACATACACACGCACTCACACTCACACTCACACACAACGTACCTTTCACCTCGAAGGCCACATCTTCCCTTCACACACCAATTTCACCTCTCAAACAATTCACATCAGCACTCAAATCTACCGTAAAAACCAATTGTATTTGCACAAGGTGCTCGTGCATCTTTCTTATTTCCTGAGAACTTCGAGTTCCAAATCTCCACAACGCCGACACACCCATTACCCTCCCTTGGATCCATGCTACAAAGTTGCCATATCAAGGACTGGCCCATCCACCAGCCACATCTACCCATTCTGCTAAGCAGGATCCTTGTTTGCCTTCTACATCGACAATATCAGTGTCGCACCTACATCTGCATCCTACACCATTCTCCTTGGGTGTATCCCACGAATCCCAATATTCATCTTCTTCTTTGCGTTTCTTCTCGTCTACAGTTGTCGCTTCCAAAAATGGTGACCTTGCTAGTTGACGGGATGGCGCATTTGCGGGACAATGTTGGATCGTGGTGTGTCTATAACCGAAGTCTCGGAAGTAATGGATGTCTCGAGGAGCCAGAAGAGCACCAGCGGCGAGAGAATGAATCGGTGCATCACCCCACTAGATATTGTTAGCTTGGTTCATATATTGAGATTGGATCGCATACTCTTTCCATCCAGAATCCTCCACTACGATCCATCATTTGGAAAAAATCTTCATATTCCTTGCTTCTAAACCAACTAAGACGAGCGATCTCAAAATTCGACCAGAAATGGCACATATTGTATTTCTCGCCTTCCATTGCTTCGCCATCGATAGGAGGTAGATTTGCGCGGGATGGATCGCCATTAAGAATTTGTTCGGGAAGGTTGTGGGTGTTGGGACTGGTATCTGGCTCCTCCTTTGGCTCATCTGGTTGCGGCTCCACGAACATTTCCCAGAGACCTTGGGATGTGATATTATTAACTCTCTTGTATGCAGAAGCATATCTGAAAATGTTTGGTACGGTTTCCTTCAATTCCTTGACCGCGATCGTAAAGCCGTAAGTTTTGTTCGTTTCAATCATCTTGAGGAAAGGGTCGCTGTAGAATATTAGCAAATGCTGGGTATAAACAGACCAAGGCTTCTTACTAGGTAATGTCGCAGAAGTACTTGATCTCTGGCTCCAACCGCCAGTACCATTCGTACTTGTCCAAAAGATGGTGCTTGTAGAAAAATCTATCACATGTTAATCGGCCGTCCGCGGAACGTGAAAGTGTATCATACCCTGAGTAGAATCGACACATGGCGTGGTAACTCTCCATTCCACCATACATGATTGCGGCATCTCCTTGTTTCGCAATACCCTCCTTGGCAACCTTTGGATCGATCCAGTCCGGGAAACCCCAAGTTGAAGGGTCAATAAGCCCGAACTCCACTGAACCACTGGTGTAATTCTGAATAGTAGCTTTGAACGTCTCATTGAACTTCTCATCGTTCAAGAAAACATATGGGTAATGGTACCACCGGTTGAAATGTCTTTCGATCGACTTTACGGATTGTATCACACCATCCAGTTCCTTATTTCTCGCCAGCACCACGAATGCCGCATTCGCCCTCGGTTTCGACGTATCTGGCTCCATGCACCCCGTTACGAACACCTTGTCATGCTCTTCACTGATCTTCCTGTTGCAAACTGTCAGATCTTGCGCTTGCCAATTCGCAGAAAATGAGCTCAACATACCTAATAGCTGGTGGTGCTCCAGCGGGCATTAATATGCCGACCCCTGATTTAGGATGTCGGACAAACAGCACCAATATCAACACAACAACAATACATGGAAAAAGGAGAACAACGCCGAGTGGTACAGAAATCCTGGAATTGCCCTTTAACCTGAGCGGCCGCCGAAAAAACGCCAATCGGGATGTGTTCTTGCCCTTCGACTTTCCCTCATCGAGTATTGGTACATTCTGCGCCGAAGGCAGACGCCTCATAACTCGTTGCACAAACCCCATGGCTGCGACGGCGTGAGAAGCTCAGGGAGAAGTGATTCTGGAAAGGGGGGCTTTTGTCGGCCCCAGGATGGAGAAGAGAGGTTGACTGTCGAGGATCGATATTATAAATTGTATTTCGGAGAAGCGGAATTGGATCGAAACAACGACTGATTATATAAACTCAAGCAAACGTATATGCAGACCCGACGATGCTGGTAACGAGCGGCTAGAGGAGAGGTTCCTCGAGGAAAGAAATACTTCTTTGCGATGACGCGTCGGATGGAGGTGTCGTCTTCAGCGCTCTTATGCGGCAGACGAAGAGTGGCCAATCTATGGCATTCAATGCGGGCGTCGCGATGATCGTGGGCGTTTGAAAGTGTCGTCCAAAGGTGGTTGAGCTGTTGACGTTAATGTTGAATTGGAGACAGAGATTTGGATGTCCACGATAGGAGGTTCTGCCGTTGCTCAACCTGGGAATTTAGGCGAATACAGATTGGTTCTTGGCAGCATATATGTACAGCAGGGTAAAGGGGAAAGGCCGCTTCTGTTGGCAAAACAATTGTACAAATAATTATTTGTATGACCCTTTTGTTTCGAAATTTGATACAGACTTATTAATACCTAGGTAGGTATATCATCCATACTTGCAGCACACGCTTTTTGGCCTAGCCATCGTATCTGGATTCTAGAGCTTGCTCTTGACATCTTCGAGCTCGTACTCCGTATTTACAAGGAACATCCGGGGTGGCGCTCAAACGGCCGAGAACTTTTTAATTCCCTTTCAAGACACCAATCCATTTGAGAAGATCCCCATTGGATGAGATGCCAAGCTCTTTAGCCCATATATTTCTTTTCTTATCGGATGAGGCTGAAGCATAGTATATGCTTGCATTTGCTTCACACCAACCATACAACATCGAAACAGCCGTACAACATCACATAAGCTTCTTTCCATATTATACCAGTCATTGTACCATTTCCAATCCTGTATGCAAGCCATTACAACCTTCAAAACGCCCAGGAACCAACCAACAACCTACATTAGCAACTGTCAAAAACCCTCCCGTGGATCGAGGCTACGATAGCGCGACCCTAAGCACATTCGATGCATCAGTGACATAGCAAAAACGTACGATTCTCCTGCCACACCAACCTCATTATCTACCACTGCGTCGTCCTTCAATCACGCTCACAATGTCCACCCCCAAAATAACGCCCAAAAACCTATCCTACAACACCTCCCTCCCGCCCTTCCTCGCCCGTCTCCAGGCCAACAACGCAAACACCTCCGGGCGCCATGAATACACCATTGCACGCGCGAAGAAGAACCGGACGGATGAGGAGATCGCAGATGACGAGCCTGTGTATTTTAATGAGGAGACGGGGGAGACGTTGACGATGGGGGAGTGGGAGGAGAGGGAGAAAGATGGGGAGGAGGAGAAACCCAATGTAGAAGAAACCCTGGACGAGGAGAAGGAGGAGGATACGCAGGAACTAGTCAAGGCAAAAGAAGAGAAAGTAGCAACCATAGGCGCGACCAAAAAGCGAAAAGTCGGGAAGGTCATAGGCGGGAGTGAAGATGAGGGCGAGGCGTACGTGAAAGCAAAGAAACATGTCACCGGGAAAGCCGACGACACGAAATCTGAAAAGAAGACCATTGGTGATAGTGGGGCCAAGAAACCCGCGACGGCGAAGAAGAAGGCGAAGAAAGTGAAACTGAGTTTTGGGGATGACGAGTGAGAGGCTTTAGGAGGGGATGGATTAAAAATATCCAGCGAAAGACATCGTAAATTTCCTTGTAGATGGGAAGGGCGAGGGGGAGTCGTATGTGAAAGCGAAAAAGCGCATACAAGAGCCCGGAAAATTAGATGTACCAGCAAAAGTTGAGAAGAGTGGACCAAAGAGACCAGCGATGAAGAAGAAGGGGAAGAAAATGAAATTGGGTTTTGGAGATGATGAATGACTTCACGAAGGAAAAGTGGGTGGTAAGGGGGTATTGGGATTGGCGTTTGACAGGAATTGGACAACTGGTAGGGCATGGGTTTTGTTAGCATATACATTAGATACCCGTTTCTGAAATAAAAACATGATTTTCAAGCTATAAACTATACTCTAAATGGGAAAACCCCGTTCAAAGGAGAATATCTCACACCACACTTTTGCGTTGACCAGCCATATCTTCCTTTGCTTTAATCCACATCAGAAAAATAGCAAGGGATACAAACATATTTTGTCAATTCCTCAATCAATTCTTCAACCCCAATTCATCCTACCTGCTAACTATCCGGATATCTTCAATAACAATGTATGCTCCTCCCTCCTACCCCACTTTCCCTTCCCCATGTTATTTCACCACCTACCATTCCCCCCCACTAACCATTGCCCTAGATTACAAGCTCGAAGAAGTCCACCCCACAGCCCATCATCCCCCATGACGCCAGTTCGAGAAAAAGAGTTAGAAAAGTGCGTAATCAAATGTAAAAAAACGCTAAATGAAAACAAATCAAGCAGCGTATTTCTCCCATTCGCCGCTATGCAGGCGCGCATGTCAGAGCATTCGACTCTAGCACCACCATTGAAGCAAGCAAGAAATTGAACGCCATGAGGGTACGTGGAATACTTTTTGAAGAAGTGCCGAAAATTGTAGGAAAACCGATGGGACTTGAACGCCGCTAGATAAGGATCGAAAAGGTGTCTCTTTCCATCACGAAGGAACTGTTTCACAGATATGGGAGATAGAGAATCCACAGTATGTAAAACCTTGCGCTTATCGGGGTATTTCGAGGTCGAACTATCGAGTGACTAGCTGTTGTGTAACATAATCCCAAAGCATCTTCAGCAAAGATTCCGGAAGCGTGTAAAGATCCACGTGGAATTCTCCCTCTGTCCAAAAGTTAGCCAAAGTCCAATCTAAATGTATCTCCTGACCGCAGCAGTAGAGGGCAACTTACGCTCAACGTCATTCTTAGTGTACGTCTCCTCAGTCTTATTATCATGAATCATCTGCACAACATGCAGCAGCTGTTCCTCATCCAACTTCGGCAGGCTCTCGGCCAATTTCTCCATATCCACATTCCCCGCCGTTCTTTTCCTCTTCTTATCCTCCTTCTTGCGGCCATTTTCGTCACCGGGAACTGGCCCCGTTTCCTTTAGGATGCTCATGAGCGCGGCTGAAGGATTCTTGAACGAAACCTGATGTCTCGACTCGTATTGTGGTTTCGCGAAATTAAGATCGTGTCCTATGGTATTCTTGCCGCCTTTCTCAGTCGTGTAGAGATCAATGGTCATGTCAAATTCTCCCCATCCCTCGTTCTCGCAGCGAAATGGTGGTTCTGTGAATGCTATTTGCGCAAACCGTGTTAGCAATTACCCCTCTTTCTGAATGTACCCAGGGGATTTCGAGGGTGTGAATGAAATTCGTACTTTGAATAGGGTTTGCGAATGAGGGATGAAGGGTGTAAACTGCTTTGGTGAAGCATTTTGCTGGCTTCTCGTTCCCTGCTTCGTCTAGGAGAAATATTTCAATGTTCCATAGCTTCATGGGAAACCCTTCTTGCTCTGCAGGCTTATCGCTGGTATATTATAAGCTTATATTCTCCAAGAGTAGTCACAATCGCCCAGAATCGCACTTACATATTATGCTGCTCCGTCACCAGCTTCACTGTGCGTTTAATCTGTTTTCACATCATTAGCATCGTCGCGAAGTAGGACGCGTAGCGCAACTCGCGCGCTGTCGCAAATTGGACTCGAGAAAGCTCAGTTTTCTGGGGGATGCCTCTTACTTCCACCATTTTGTTTGACTTTTGGTTCTATTTCTTCTTCGGGTCGTGGGTATCTGATTTGAATTTGCGTAAAGTCACTGGCTTGGTGGTGATATTGTGCATACAACTTGATTCCCGCCCCTTCGCGAGTGGGGGATCCGGCCCGGGGCCCAAGCTTAGGTCCCGGCTAGCTTAGTTCAGATTACTGCCACCCCGGTGAGGACAAGATATACCTTATATTTTCTTCAGCAAAACCATCACCCTTAACGTTCGCAGACGTTAATATATAGCAGTATTGGGATGGTCTTTATAGCGTCTTCAAGATGTCCTTACAAAAACAAACTTTTGATTACTGGGATTCAGCAGATACTGACGAAAATAAGAGTTTGCTTACGACACTAACGCTCTGAAGTTCTCCAGCACTAGGAACAAACTTAAACATTCACTTAGGACAATTCCTAGGTATAACATCAAACTTTAGAACATCACGACACCGTCCAAAACCAAACCTCAAGTTTGAGCCCTCAGACCCCAACATTGAGTCGATAACAGCAATAATAAAAGTTTGCTTATGACTCTAATGATACACAACTCAAAACTGCTCACTCCAAATCCTTATATTTTCACGTCACTACAACAAACGTAAACACATCTCGGGGACAAAGAGGGGGGACAGTTATTTAGTCTAATTACAATCACTATCTGCTCCTCTCCTCCATCTCACCAACGACCCGAAAAACCACTAGTCCTATCAAACCAGCAGCTTCTTTAAATCTTGCGGCCGTACCCTTTCCATCCATCCATCAGACCCAAAGAGCATCCCACGCATGACTTCGCTCAACAATGCAGGAAAATGAGGTTAGGTAGAGGAAGATTCAAGACCGAAGACTGTCCGCACCGAAGATTTTCGTCGTTTTAAGACACAGTAACGATTGCGCTGGGGGAATTTGTGTGTGCTGACTGGGCAAAGGAGGGGGAATCTCGTAGATGAAAATGAAGTGGGGTCGTTACTGTGGGGAAATCGGGGAAATCGAGTCTTAATTTATTTGGTTTAGGATTTAGGACTTGGCGAAAAGAGCCTCGTTGTCTTGTTGGGCCTTGATAAATGCCTCCTTGAATAGGTTGGCGTCTGTTGTATCCTGTTAGTATCGTACGCCAAATAGCAAACATATTGAATTGACTTACTCTCAGAGTTGGCAAATCGAATAGCAAGAGTTTGTGCCTCTGGCTCTCCCTCGCTGACATCTGCGGCCGCTGTCCAAACCCAGCTGCGGTCCGATCCGACGTTAGGAGATAGCTTCATTTCCGGAACAACTAACTAATATTAGCATTTTCCCAAAACTACAAGACTGCTTAATCTACGTACTGTAGTGGTTCGCGCAGACTTTCAAAGTCTTGTCTCTTCGCATAACCAATCTGGTCTTCTGGTTCTCCTTGTGCTTTAGGAGTCTGACATCACCAGTTCCACGCTCTTTCCACTCCTTGTTGCTATTATCGAACTTGAACAATTTGGCGCGCATCTTGAACATCTGCTCCTCGAGTTCCTCATTGGTCTTGACGTCGACTTTCTCGGTAAGTCTAATGACTGGCTCGAAGTGAACATCTTCCGACTCTGGTGCCTCATCCTGTGTTGCCACTCGTGTTAGCCACCAGACTTTTACGTCTTTATCATACTAGTTATAGACATACCTCTGGGTTTTCTGCCGCAGCAGCCTCCTTCTGAGCCTTAGCAGATCCAGAGTTATCACCACGGTCCTCATCCTCAGTCTTCTCCTTCTTAGCACCACCACCGAACATTGCGAAAACATTGTCCTTCACGCCAACAGCAGCAGAGGTAACAGTCGCAGCGGCGGTTGAAGCAGCACCAGTGGCCTTCTCAGTAACAGTCTGCATAGCAAGAATAGTTAGCAAAATCCAGATACGATCCGCTAAACCACCCCTCGATCACCGCCCCGCAACCTCGACCCCGCGGACGCTTTTCCATCCCATCTCCATCTGAAAAGAAATCGCACATACAGTAGTATCCTCACCCTCCTTCTTCGGATCCTCCGTCTCCTTCTTCTCAGTCCCCTCTCCGGTACCGATAGGATGCGTAGCCATTTCCGTCAACTTTGGCTCAAGCTTTGGCTCAGAGCTAGCACTGGCGCCTGTAGTTGGATCCGCCATTTTTATTTCTAGAAGTCGTTTTAGGGTTGAAATGTAGTGGCAGACACGTGAGAGTGCGGTCGTAAGTATATGAAACGAGAAACGCGGGCAGACAAGTTGTGAAGCTTGTGAGTTGTCAAAAGATGCTGTTCACAAGGCAAAGACAAAACATTGGTTGTTGAGTCCTCTTCTGTGGATTTTGGCCTAAGCGAGCCAGATAGCGGCTTAGCGCGCTGCCTATCGGGCTCCCTGAATGCCCCTCACTAAGCTCCCCTCTCTACCTGAATTTAAATCCTTTCACACTACCACGACGTGAACCTCGAATTGTAATTATGAACAGATGAGATAGATATTCATCACTACTCGACAATTCACAGTTATGTTAAACTTCATTCTATAGAAAAAGGTTTGTGCATCAAAGCCCAATATTTACTACCAGCACATTTACCCCACCCCCACTTTTTTGATTAGATGCTTGACAAACAAAAGACGGCAATCACTCATAACACAATGCTATTATCGTCGAGGAGGGTATGTTGCAAATAACTAAGAAAACTATGCTACCTCAATACACCAGATGACTGTCACGCCGTACCTGTGCCATAGGATATTCCTCTGAGTGATATGCTGGCCAGCTCGGCCCCTTGGTATACCCTGATCCATCCCACCCATCCTTCAATATATCCCACACCCTCAATACCGTCCAAAGATACAAACGCCAAAATCCGCATGTGGTAGATCCTTATCCCATACACTACTAAAACCCAAATTTAGCAGTGCTCTTACGCCTGCTAGATTTCTTCGCCGCTCCAGCGTCCTTCTTTGCCGCTCTCTTAGCCTCTCTATCGAGCTTTCGCTTCTCCTTTAATGCTTTCTTATCTGTTGCACCTCGGACACCACGTTTCTTCTGCTCAGCCTGTTGCTTTGCACGGATTGCCTCCGTTGATTTCTTCTCGTACTGACTATGCTCTTCCGTTTTGCCCTGCATCTTCAACCAAAGAAGCTTCGATCGAACTTGAGCCTTGAGAATGCCATCATTGACAGGCTCTTGTAGCTTCGCCAATTCCTTCATCTTTTCTGAAAGTTTGGCCTCGACCTCTGCGATTTGAATGCCGACCTCTTTGGAAAGAATGGCGCTACGTTTGGCAGCTTCAAAAGACATGGATTTTGCCAACTCCGCCAAACCTCCCGTGGCAGCTTCCGTTTGTTCCTTGGCAATCTTCCGAGCTTCTTCAACATGCTGTAAGGTAGCCTGTGTATGAGCCTGGGCATTCTTGACTGCCCTGTCAGTAGCGGCACGAATCTCAGAAAATGACAAGTCATCTGAAAATATTGAGGACATTCTGTCCATCACAGATTGCCATGCCTGGAAAGCGGAAGTGCCGAAATCAATCTCGAATGTCTCATTGACTCTTGGCTTTCTTGTGGTAATGACAGCAATTTTCAGAACGCCAAAGGCCTCTTTCTTGGGAAGAGAGAGGACAATGCCTTCATCGGAGCTGTAGACTCGCTCTGTGTCGATGCTGTCACTCCCGCGAGATATGTTGACAGATATGGCTTCCTTTGTGAGCCAGCTCAGTTTGGTAGAAGAAGGAATTCTGATCAGAACCTCTCTGTCACCAAGTAGCTCTGCCGAACAGACTGATTTGTTGCTCTTGGGTGTCGCGTTGAATTTTGGTGCCGCCTTTCCAATTTCCATTGATGGGACGACAGAAAGGCTGTTTGGACCTGCGGAATGTGCGTGTGTAACTGTGACTGTGCGTGTGGACGTTGACACCGCTACAGAGCTTGGAGGTGTGACACTAGGTGCTAGCACCGATGAAACAGATGTGGAGGTGCACACCATTGGAATGTCCGACACTATGACACTGTTGATAGAAATAGTAGGTTGACTTGAGGACAAGAAGCCTGGAAGACTGGTCAAAATCGTCGATAGGACACTGATAATGAGAAGGCCAGCGGGAAGAAGGCTTCCCCAGTTCGCGGCAACGTTGTTACGAAGAGCTCTCGCACTGTCTTTAATACTAGAATGTGACTTCTCGTTTGCATCACGAATAGGTGAATTCTCAGCTTTCTTGTATGTGCCTAGCTGAGCCTCTCGAAGTTCCTCAGGAGCATCGAACAACCCCGTAAGAAATGCGAGGTGTCTGTTCATCTGCCTTGCGTCGATGTTCAGAAATGAGGCAAGATCAATTGGTAGCCTCTGGTGGATAATATTCATTCGACCGTTGGTATCTCGAGATTCAAGGCACATATGGACTGAATGCTGACCCAGCTCCACAAATCCATCTCGACCAAATAGAGCTGTGTGTGAAATGAGAATGGCAGGAATGGCATGTCGTTCCACAAACTCCGTAGCGTTCTTTCGAGTTTCAATAGCTTCGTTGTCATCGTTGTCGGAATAGTAGAAAACTGCAATGTGTGGAAGGTCCCAGTGAGGCTCTACAATAAAGCCGTTGCCATCTGAAACGGAGTGGTATGATCCATCTTCGGTTGTCAACTTCAGAATATCCGGCTGCTTTGGAGAAGCTTCCTTTGCAAATCTGCGTACGTGCAGACAATCTTCAACCTTGATCTGGTACGCAGAAGAGTGCATAAGCTCAATCTCTGGTGTTCGTTCGGAGCCAAAGTCGGAGACAGGGACGACATTATACAGTTGAGAACTCCACTGGCGGGATTGTCTTGATCTTTTGTCACTTCCGGCAGAAGCTGTGACAGTGCTAGCAATCTTATGGATGATGTCTTGTTTGGCGGAATGGCTGCCAACGTAAAGTATACGTAACGGTTCTTTGGTAGACAGGCACTGTTTAGTCATAGTCTGGCGTATGGTAACAATCAAACGTTTCGGTGAGCCCTGATAATCCCCGCTCTCATTAAGTCGTGCTGTTTCCTCTTCAGTAAACTCCATAACCGTATGTTTGACCGAAACGTTCCCTGCTCCGAGGCTGAGAGGTTCCTCGAATTCGATGGACTGAGAAAGCCGACGTTCCTCATCTTCGATTATAACCGTAGAGCTTCTGCCAAGGGTAGGAGTATCGAAAGCCTGTTGTACTGTATGCTCGAAATCAGGGAAAGGCTGTGCTGGAGTTTGTTCTTGTTCCTCCTCATCGCTTTCGTCCCCACTCTGTTCTGTGTCTGCAAGGCTGGCAACATCATCTGGACGCCCAAAGTCTGTGGAAGCAACGGACTCGGTCGCATTATCTTCTCGATCGGTATCAATCTCTTCCACGAAGTCGTAGGAAGAATCCCCGAGGGTACTGCCGTCCTCGCTGTGTGCTGACATTCTGGTGGCCGCAGTACTCTCAACCCACGTACTTACCCGTTCGTCTGTAGCAGGTGCTGGGAAGCGGAGGATACTCGAGTCAACTGAGGAAGTTCCAGGAGTGTTTGTATCCGCGAGGCTTGATTTCTTATTTGGGGTAGAAGAGGAGAGCTCGCTGGAGGTTTCCATGTCGTGTTAGCCTTCTAAGGTCATATCATAAACGAGTCGGTAGCCGATGGGAATGTCAAGATGAGTAGTAGCTGAAGGAGGCAAGGTGAACTTGGTAAACGAGAAAGCATGAAGAAGAAGAGAAGGCCTACTGTGTGACGAGAAAAGTTCAGTGAATACCTTTCGTTAGGCGTACGGGTGAACCGTCCGAAGGTTCGCAAAGTAGCTTGTGCTGCTAGTAGTCGTGCCTGAAGCGTTGCCTGCTGGCACGGGGCGTAATCGCCAGGACCGGGATGAAGGGTGTCTCAGGAAACGTGAGCGAGTCTATTTGGTAGACGGATGCGATCTGGCAATGAATATCTACGCAGGTTCGCGCGGGCACAAGAAGCGTGAGATGAGAATTACCAAGGTACAGACCGGAAAGGAGGGCATTCGTAAGGTAGGCAGGATGTCCATCTATGCGTACGAGATGGAGGTGTCCAGCGAGGGGTATTACATGGCGCTAGCGCCTGGGGAAGCTCACTCATTGGTGATAAGGCGATAAGAGTCACCCTCTCGCCATGCCGCCTCGAGGCCGCCTGTTCACTTTCGGCATAGAAGAACACGTTTCGTAGCATTGGGTGGTAATGTATCTCGACTAGTATGTCTTTATATCTGTCAACAACTACTATCCTGCTCGATACTTCACGATAATGACAGCAACGCTGGTGGGGGTGAAGTAAGTGACGTTCCTTATCCAGCCGCATCGGGGTTAACATGGATCTCCGAACGATAGACTACTGTGATCGCGGGGCCACTGAGTACGGTCGTGGTGGGGCAAGCTAGGCTGGTGCAGTCCAAATCCTTTGAAGCATCTGCGTCTACGGATATTGTATGTCTCTAATCCAATTTATGCTGCCAATATTCTATGGAAGTAATCGTACAATCCGACCGAAGCCGTGACGAACCAGACGCCCAGCTCATACCTAGGTAATATGCAAATTGCCTATTCAGCAACCCAAACCGCGGCCATACCCATACCGGTCCCCACACACATACTCGTGACCCCGACCTTCTCCCCTCTCCGCCTTAATTCATACAGCAATGTGCTAACCTGTCGGGCACCTGTGCATCCTAGGGGATGACCGAAAGCGATAGCCCCTCCCTTGGGGTTGATTTTCTTCTGGTCAATCCCCAGCTCATTAGCGCACCAAACGCATTGAGATGCGAAAGCCTCGTTGATCTCGAAAATGTCAACATCGTCCTTGTTGATGCCAATTTTCTCGAATACTTTGGGAATCGCCGCCCATGGACCGATACCCATAAGTAGAGGGGCAACACCTGCGACGGATGCAGCGACGTACTTTCCGAGGATCTGTTGACCGAGCTTTTCAGCCGTTGATCGCTTCATCAGGAGGACAGCCGCAGCCCCGTCTGAGATTTGACTCGCATTACCACCGTGGATGGAGCCGTCCTTAGCAAAAGCAGGCTTGATCTTTGCCAGACTCTCAGCAGTAACTCCAGGTCTGATACCATCATCTTTGGAGACGGTGATAGTTTTGACCTCATCAGTCTTGGGGTCTTCCCACTTGACAGTCAAAGGAGCGATTTCCTCATCAAAAAGTCCAGTTTCCTGCGCCTTTTGTGCTTTCTGATACGAGCTAGCCGCAAAAGCATCCTGAACATCCCTCGAGACGTTTCGATCCTTGGCCATCTTCTCCGAAAGCACACCCATAGGAACCTTGCAATTCGCAGCTTCAGGATGCGATTCCAGCAGCTCAGAGAACTCAGTAACAGCACCAGGCCTAAAAACTCATTAGCCCTATACCCCCATCTCAAGCTCTATCTCAGATAACACATACCCATACTGCAAACTCATACTCTCCACCCCCGCCCCAACCCCAACCTCAATCATGCCCGCAGATATCTGATTCGCAATATCCACACACGCCTGCAGTCCACTCGAACACTGCCGATTGAGACTCCTCACCGCAGCACTAACCGGAAACCCCGCAGCCAGCGCCGCAGCCCTGAATTCCGTAGCGCCTCCACCAGGAGGCAGCACGCTGCCCACCGCGATATCCTCGACGAGCGCGGGATCGATCTTCGAGCGTTCTAAGAGCGCTTTGAATGCGCCGATGAGCAGGTCTGCTGCGGCAGTGTCTTTAAACCCGCCTTTGCCGCCTTTAGTGAAGGGCGTGCGGAGACAGGCTGTTACGACGATCTGAGAAGTCGGTGTTAGCAACATGACGCAAACACGACAATAAGGGGACGTACATCATCTGGATTCTTCTGCAATAACTTCGCGCGACCAGAACCAGCAGCTCCTCCTTCCGTAGGCGCAATAACGCTCTTCGAGCCCGCGAGATGTCCGGACACCTGTCCGAGTCGTTTCTGTGCTGTTCCCGAGTTTCGTCAGCATTATCGCTCACTCTTTTCCCTCCCTCATTCCTTCTTCCAATCTAGAATATACTGTAACTCACCAGCAGACATCCTTCCCAATCCCAAATAAATCTCTTGTTTCGTAAAATATAATATCTCAATCTGCAAACAAATAACAATAGTTCGTGAGTTTGGGAGAGAAGAAGAGGAGTGTTGAAGGAAGACCGAGGATTACTTCTCGTACTTCAATCCATGGTTCAAGAATGCCGAGGCACCCCTCTCATTGGTTAGAGTTTCAAGGTGGGTCCGGCCGCTTTCACATGCTGTTTTCGAAATCTGGGGAAACTTTCATCATGTGGGCGTCGGAGATCGCGAAATCAGCTGCGTGACCTCGTGAGTGGAAGGTATTGTAATCAGAGAGGTCGTTGATTTGCATGTGCTAGAGTTTTGATTACAATCCAAGAAATATTTGAAATGTAAGGGGTTGACGTCCGAATCCCACCAGCAGAATGGTCCCGAAAGTCGATACAGTAGTACACGAAACATAAGACTAAACAACATATCTATAAACTATTAAAAGGTATTCGCTCTCCATCCATATCACCACCGTAAATGATCTAAGATATAATACATAGATATCATGCATATAAACCTCTCAAAGCCCGTCCGTAGACTCCCCTGATCCGATCCCCATCCCTCATTACATACCCAACCCTCACCGCGTTGCCGCGCTCTTCTTACTCTTCCGAATTATCCAACACCCATCCTCTACACATCTGCACAGCCTGTTCCCACTTCTTAAACATCTGATCGCTCTTCTTCGCATCGACTTGTGGTTTGAAGATCTTGCGATCTTCTTTGTTGATCTCTTTCAATTCGCTGAAATCTTGCCAGATACCCGCGGCGAAGCCAGCTGCAATGGCAGCTCCGAGTGCAGTGGTTTCTCGCATTAGTGGTCGGTCAACTGGGATGCCGATGATGTCGGCTTGTGTTTGCATTGTTAGGTCCGAGTTGGACATACCACCGTCGACAGCGAGACCTTCAAGCTTGTGGTTTGAGTCTTTCTCCATAGCATCCAGAATTGCTTTTGTTTGGTAGCAAGTCGCTTCCAACGTTGCGCGAGCGATGTGACCTCTCTGAGTGTGTGCTGTGATACCAACTACTTTTGTTAGCCTATTTTCGTAGTGTATTGACAGAAGGTACTTACACAAGGTTCCCTTCGCGTCGTCAATCCAGTATGGCGCAAAAAGACCACTGAAAGCAGTGACAAAAACGACCCCACCATTATCCTTCACAGTTTCGGCAAGCTCGGTAATTTTGCTCGAGTGTTTAATGAAACCCAAGTTGTTCATCAAGAACTTGACTCCAGACCCGGCTACTGCAATACTACCTTCCAAAGCATAAATTGGTTTGCGACCAGCGCCAAAGTCATATGCGACGGTAGCCAAAAGTCCATGCTTAGAGATGACAGGCTTTTCGCCAACATTATACAAAAGAAAGCATCCAGTACCGTAGGTATTCTTGGCTTCCCCAGGATTGAACCCACATTGGCCTACCAAGGCTGCCGATTGATCACCAAGACAGCCAGTGATTTTGGTACCTGATAAGATACCAGACGTAAGCTTGCCGTATGCTTCAGGGTCGGACGAAGGCACAATCTTTGGGAGTTTGATCTTGCTCTGGTCTAGATCGAAGAATCCAAGAAGTTTCTCGTCGTATTTCATTGTATGAAGGTTCATAAACATAGTCCTAGAAGCGTTTGTGCTGTCTGTGATGTGGATGTTGGCATCCTTGCCGCCGTTCAGCTTGTATATCAGCCAGCTGTCAACAGTACCGAACGACAGTCTCTCCTCATCGTAGGCTTGCTTAATAGCATCCACATTTCTTAACAGCCATAGAAGCTTCACACTAGATGGGTATGTTGACAGAGGTAGTCCACAGATTTCCAAAAGCTCATCTGCGCCGGCTTTCGCTTTGAGTTCTTTCACAATGGAGGTTGTGCGGGTATCTGGCCAAACCACAGCGTTGTACAGCGGCTCTCCGGTGTTCGTATCCCAACAAACGGTGGTTTCTCTCTGATTCGTGATTCCAATAGCCTTGATTTGGTCTTTCGAGTGGCCCTTTTCAATGAAACTCTCGGTTGCTTTCTCAATACACTCTTGGACAGACGAAAGAAGTTCCATAGGATCGTGTTCATGCCAGCTTCATTTTTCAATTAGTAGGGGAAGACTCGCAAGATTGTAATTAAACTTACCCGGACTCTGGATAGATATTTTCGAACTCTATCTGGTGGCTAGCGACGGGAGTTCCCTCGCCATCAAAAACTAAGAATCTCGACGATGTTGTTCCCTGGTCTATACTACCAACAAACCACTTCTTCTCCTTCTCTTCCCCCGTTTGACTCAGACCCCTTGGTAAATGTTCATGGTGTTCAATTGTCACCGGTTTGGCGTCCTCGACATGGCTTACTTTGGTATCTGGGTCGGTACTTTTATGCACCGCGCTGTCCAGCACCGTTAACGAAACATGCTGTATAGGTAATGAATCCATTGCAGTTGTGTAGTTGTGTAGGTGACGGAAGTGGGAGGATGGTTGAGGCTGGTGAGGGGTAACTGCGCGAGCCAAAGGTTTAAGAAGGTAGCTTTGAGTTTGTGCTAATTGGCGAACGTCTGATATACGGCTGGGCCGGTACGGTGTTGTGCGTGAACTTGAGCCGCTGGCAAAGAACAGGAAGAGACGGAGGAGGATTGAGAGGTTCGAGGAACGAGCGGTCGACGCGGTTTTGAGCGGATGGAATTGGCATCGCGCAAACATATAGAACTAGAGGACGATCACGGCCCTTGACGTACGGAGGGGGAGGTATCACAACCCCACATTGGCTGTACCTTTCGTACGGGCTCTATGAGTGGCTGCCGTCGCACATGTGAAGGCGGAAAGATGGAGGGGTGGAGAGGTGGGAGTGAAGTCGGCGTTGGCGAGCTTGGAGCGCGGGAGGCTGTTGGGCGACGTTTGGTTGGTGGACAATTTCAGAATCTCCTCGGCACAATTCTGTCGCATACAGCCCCTGGAAACGTCTCTTTCAACGACATCTGCTTCTTCAACAATCATGAATTATCTCAAAGAAACCCAATTTTCCGTCTCCATTATGGCGTTGCGGTATTCCACAATAAACATCACACGCTATGAGAATTATCACCAATGTGTGAGACGGCAAGTTATCCGGGCCTCTCGCAGATCCAAGACCGAAGATCCTTCCTGTTGGGTCCGAGATCGATCGATTGTGCCAATGTGAAGGAGGCTCCTCCGCTTCCCAGGTCTAGACAGCTGCAATATGGCTCTTGGATGCTTGGGAGCAATACCAATTCACATTTAGTTTTTGTACCTGAACACTAAAAGCTCACTTACTCCATGTTTGGTCGATACGCTGACCTGACTTTCCACTTTTCCCTTGAACTGCATATACTATATAGAGACGCTCCCCTTTCTCGCAGATCCCACTTTTGAATGTTGGAGAATTGTATCGGTATTAGCAGCTTGTGGATTGCAAAGTCCAAATCGATTCGAGACCATATCGGACACACGGGATTCTCATGTGTACTAACAGCGCCTCACTTCGACTACAATAAATTCCATTTCACTACACAACGTTTCCTATCACCATCTATCAATTGATATGTCCGCTTCACACAACTTCTTTGTTTCACCATCAACCCGCTTTCCCCCGCGTTAGCGCTAGAACTATTGTCCACCTCCAGCTTGGGATACTTGGAATACGAGCCAGACCGTGGGCGAGACCGGACTTGTCTAGACATCCACGGAAGCATCGGAGAGATATTCAAAATATTACATTCGGATATTAGGGTTATTCATTTACTCAACGTGTATGAAATTACTACAGAATAAGGAAACAACTGGAAATCCGACTCCATTTGCGGATGTGTACTGTCCAACACAATGGTGGTACCAAGAACCAAAGAGGCTTTCAATACAATACTGTTTGTGCCATCCGAATCAGAAATGAGAACATGACTCCATGAAGCCTCTGCCTTGAGCAGAGATCGAGCCGGAGGACTCGGGGGGCATCCAGTGTCCGACAAAGTTCAATTCTCTGCGCACCCAGGACATCCATTGGTAAATGTATCAACACCACAACCATATATTAGAGATCTGAGATGACAGAGATGTTTTTCAGGTCTCAGGATATAGTACAAGAGAAAGTTCTATGTTGAAAGAGATGTTGTGTTGATGAAATGTTGGTTGCGATTTTGGACTGCGCAGAGAATGGTGTCGGACACTGATGGAAATTGTTCTTTGCTCATGGAATGGGAATTTGAGTTGGGTGGGGAGAATGACCTCTGGTTGAACCCCTATTTTTGGTGGAAGAGATATGGTATTCGAATGGACTTGACTCAAGGTAAGTTTCTCTTTCTCCTTGGCGCATTTAGAAAGATCATTACTTGAAAACGTTTTATTTTCTGAAATTTGTAGACGAAATATCGTCATTTCGTCAATTGTTCTGAACTATACTATGACTGAAGATCTTAGAAATTTCCCTATCGCAAGCCAGCTTCGTCGTGGACAATGTGACCGGTAGTCGAAACGCGATATTTCTTCGATTTAGTTGATATATTATCGTGTATTTAGTAGATCAACTTGGCACATTATTAGATATTTCGTCAATTATTTCTGGCAAAAAACCCTTTAAGCTCTATCCCAAAAGGACTTATCTAGTCTGAAGATTAGGTGGAAGTTTAATATAGAATTGTATTAAACAGTCTTATTGTGTGGGAAGTCTTATTTACTGGGAATAAAGGACGAACTATCTATAGTGTGCCAACTTGATTGACGAACTATCGATATTCCGTCAATTGTTTTGAGTAAACTTATATTTCGACTACCGATTATTTTATCCACCGCGAAGGCTGTCTAGCGGTGAGCAACGCTCTGACAAATCACTCAATTTCTATCACATTAAGGAAGTCCTAGACATATTCAAAATTCTTTCATTATCTGAAAGCTATAGACGAAATGTGTTATATTTTGTCAATTCAATTGACGAAACATCGTCATTTCGTCAATCATTTTGAGCAACTACATTACAACTAGAGATCGTAGCAGTTGGAGGAGAATTCCCCTTTTTCTTCGAGCCATGTAGCGGCTGCCACGAGCATCGTCAATGCTTGCTCATCACTCCCGGCCTCCTTTACTTCCGGCTCACCACTCTCCTCCTTCTTCACCACCGTCGCTCTCTCAGCTTTTTCACATACATCCGCGAGGAGCTGGCAGGCTTCCGTGCCAAAGACTCCATGGCGAATGGCCTTGTTGTCCACAGCGGCTGCCCGTAGCCACTCATCCCTGTCCTTCCGAATGATATCACATGCCGCGCGATCCAGCAGGTGGACCTTATATCTATACCATCTACGATTCCCTCCATAGTAACGGGTGCAATTATCAATGTACTCTTTTCGCACTTCCTCCACGTCCACCGGGCAGTTGCGTTCCAGTTGTGCAGTCATCGTCTTCTTCGTGCTTTGTGTAGTTGGCTTCATCTTCGTATTCTTCGTAATCTTCGTTTTCTTCGCTTTTGGCTTCTTCTGATTGCTCTGCCAATTCTCCATTATCTGCCCCATCTGCGCTCGTGCTGATAGTGTTCTGGTTCTGCCTGATCTCTATATTTTGAAGTCAGTATCTTCTCGCTCACCAGTATCAACACAGCTAAGATTACCACATACCCTTGGTTCAGTAAGTTCGTTTGTGCCTGCTGGAAGAGGAGCCATTGTGATGTGGTTTGGAAGTTGTCACGAGAATGTATCTGGTGTCTGGTGTGTGGTTTGTGGTGCATGAGTTTCTGGAGGACTTTGCTGCGGAGCGTCACCCATTATAAGCAGTTCGTCTGTGATTAGGTCCAGCGTCCGCTAAACCGCATCATTAGCTCTAATGATGCCAAAACTCTTCGAAGTGTTGTGGAACTAAGTCTTAGTCTATCAAAACCTTCGTGCCTACCAACACTTGATTGCTCAAAATCAATCAATTATACCCTTTGGCGACTGGCTATGATGTATAGCGAGATCAGAACCCCTTCTTGAGCTGGACTACCAGCCTTTCTGTTAAATACATGGTTCTCTAGCCATTAGCGGTCGGCTTTTTCCACTGTCTACTTTGAGAGCGATATGTTTACTTTAGAATTGGTTTATTTTCTTTTTGGTTATTGGGACATTGTCACTTCCAGGCATCTGATATCTTCACATATTTCACACTGAATCACCAGCTCTAGAGTGCGCATCCTGTGATGCGACTTGAAAGCAGCTACCGATCGGAATCATCGATGGAAGCTCAAAATTTGCTTATTATGATCGTTGCGGGTCTTGGCCATGTCATTAAAAGGTTGACGATCCACAATGGCTGTGAATGAAATAAATTTGTTTTCTGGTTCTAATTAGACTGGCTTAGTTGCTTTTGGGCTCACTCCTTGTTTTGATACATGATTGAAAGGTTCGGAAGCAACAGTTTCCAGGGAGTCTGTTTGGGTGCGAGGAATTACGAATTCTCCTTGCTTCTCTTTCAGCACTGCGTTCAAAGTGAATGTACAAGTATATGAGACTTTTGGAGTCGACAAAGACCTCACGTCAGGAGTCGATGTCCCTGCGGCACTGAAAACATTCATTGCGATGTTCTGCTACAAGTGGGCGAGGGGTACGCGCATCAAGGCTTCCATAGACCACAAAATCGGACTCGGAACAAAACTGGTGGACCAGCCATTAAGCAAAAGCCGTACGGCGACCCAGATTCTGTTCGGCAAAGGTACAAATTTTCAATAGACGATCCAGAGTTAAATCAGTGTATGTTTGGTTCTGTGTCTCAGATATCACAACTTGATCGCGCTTGCGGTTTTGGAGGCTCGCTTAACCCCTTTTCTGATAATATGACGACAAACCCACCCCCAAGACACTGCGTCGTGACTTCGAACTGTACACCAAAATATAGTAGTTTGTGCAGCACACATCACGTCAACAAAACCAAGACAAAACGCTCTTTTTATTTCGAAGTATTGATTTCTTGCAATTACTGCCCACTGTACTTGTCTTGCCGCTGCGTGGTACGGTACCGGAACTCGCCAATAGACGCCGTATGCAGTGACGCATTTTCTTTTCACTATCGCGGCTATGGATACCTGTAGCTCTAGAAGATGGCTTACTTCTTAGTTTTTCCTCGGTCCGTTCAACACCCGGGCCCGAGGACAATATTCTGCAAAGGTTTTACAGAAGATCTTTTCACTTCACGATCAAACAGAAGCAGTGTCTCTTGCATTTCCCATTAGTACACTGTTGGTTCAGCTGTGTGTGTAAATACATTTCAGTTCACGAGTCGAGAGCCGCTTTGTATTGATAGCAGGCTGAGAATCTGAAGAGGTGTGCCAGCGGGAATTTCCCATATGCCAACCTATCTCCTGGGGCCCCATTGTACACTACTGGTTTCTAAGAGCTTAGCAGCAATCCACATACGTCGGAGTTACCCTGCTGGTTAGGTATGAAAAACCTGTCGTTATTCTCTATTGTCTAGAGTTTAGAAATGATTTTTCGTGCATTTTTTTCACGCGGACTCGGAGATTGAGACTGGTGCGTGGAAAGAGGATTTTTCTGTTGATACGTCATATGGTTCTGAATTGTAATTGATGAGTTTCGAGTCAATCGCAGTTGTCCATGAACTTCTGAGAAGTTGTTTGAGGCACAGGGCTGAGGTAGAGCCCGTACGCCTACACACGGCTATCGACTACGCTGCACAACAAGGAGGAACCTTACATAAAGATGTCAGATTGCGATACGCTCCGGCGATTGAGAGCTAAGGTAGGCAAGAAAAGTGCCGAACTCTACTGGATCGCGCTTTAGAAGATGGGTTTAAAGCGCCACTATGAGGTAGCGTGACTTGGAAAAGAATATGGTCTATACGCGTTCAACGAAATAGCCATGCTAATAACTTTCTAGTGTCGGTGATCGGATCTCAAAATCCGAAGGCACAGGTTAATGAAAAAGATTGAAGACACGGTGCACAATTTTTGCTTTCGTGCCGACGCTAGATTTTAGAATAACAAAGTGAGTAGAGATTCCTCAGAATTAGATCCAATTTGCACAGCCTCTTTTAGCGTTCACAAAATAATACAGACATCGCATAACTCTACATTTCCTTATCCACTCATCCTCCATCCTCACCGGTTTGGACCAGCGCTTCTTCACTAATTACGCTAAACACACTTCAACCTCCCCAACCACACCATCACACTTCTCCCCATCGCCCAACCACCACCCGCTCCAACCCAACGCACACCTCACATCCCGCTCCCACCATGGCACTTCATTAAAAACTCATCCAACTTGTCCTTCTGCGCAGCGCTAGGATCTAGGTATCCTGACACCAAAGCTCTACTTCTTACTTGCAGCTCCTCTAGGTCGGATTCGCGGTTGAGGAAGGTGAGAACAGCGAGACTGTATTGTGCTACTTGTTGAGTATTTCTGAAGGGGGTTTGCTTGGGAGCTGTTGATGCGCTAGGATGGTCATTCTGACGGTTGTCGCAGGTCGCTAGTGTAATTTGGGAGAGAGGTGCTGTTTGAGGGGGTGGTTGGAAAGATCGGATGAATGTGAAGGGTTTTGAGGTGGTGGTTTGTGGTCTTGGTGGATGTTGGGTTGTGTGAGAATGTGTCGGTTTATGTGAGGTATTCTGAAAAGTTGGTTTCTGCGAAGTGACGGTCGATGGTGTGAACTGACCTTGCGCCATCGTATTTCCCACAATTCTGCTCTCCGCAGTATTCGTGCTAGCTTGACTCCCAGCATTCGTTACCATCGTATTACCATTACGTACATCCGCGACTCCCCGTCTGTCCTGGCTAGTCTTGGACTTTTCGAATGGTCCAATATACTTCATCCGCCCACTCACCCTAACCTCACCACACCTCTCCGGCTCGAAAATCTGCTGCCAAATCAACCGTCCCGCTTCCTCTAAAAGTGATACATCTCTCCGATCTTCAGATTGCGTGAGCAGATAGTGTATTCGTAGCCCGACTGGTGATTTATCGGCTAGTTCTGTTACGGGGACGGTGGGGAGGGAGTCGATTGCTCGGAGTTCGTTGGCTGTATGGTAGGTTGGTAAGTAAATGGGAGGGAAAAGAGAGAAGAGTATTAGTAGAGGGGAAGGGAAGGGGGAGGGAAATGAGACTTACGTGATGGTTTCCGACCGTAGCGTTCTTGGATTTCTTCGATTCTGTTTCTGGGTTGGACGTATCTGTATCTTTGGAGAGGTTCTTTCCTTGGCGTGATCTTTTTTTTTCCCAACGTGATAGGCTGATGAGACGATGGGGAGGGTTGTGTTTTGGTGCTGGGATGCATTGTGATTGTGGAATAGGTTGAGGATTATAGGGGTTTTGGTTGGTAGAAGAGATTGCTTTTCATTGTGAGAAGTTCACCTTCATAGGAAAAGTTACGGGGTTTGTTGTAGATGGCTTCGAAATATTGGAATATTTCGAAACATGAGCAAAAAAAACATATGAATAGATAAAATGTTTTGTTTCCTCTGAGGTGAATTCCAGTCATGGCTTACCAAATCCATCCTCTACTCGCCCACCACCTAGTAGATTGCCTACACAGAATCTATCTCTTATGTATTTCATGATGTCTCTGAATTGAAGACGAACGATCGCTAAGCTCCCCGTTGAATTTGTTTTTCATGTATTCCAATTTGTAATAATCTGCAGGACGGCATAGCTTGCACGACAATAGAGCGGGTCGGACTGTAGATGTGATAGGAAAATGTTCTGCAAATCAATTACTATGTAGCTAGTGAAAATGTATTTCGCATAAGTATAAACAAGTCTGTTATTGGGTTATTGTATCCTACCTAGATACTTATAATGGTCATACTGGCGCTCATTAGTCAGACCTTGATACCATGACAGCTTATCTACAATTCCTTAGCCTCTATATGACCTGAATGTGTGTTTAGAATTGATGAAATTCATATCCAATATGCTAACGTGTAATTGCAAAACACTAATGTCTTGTTAAGCCAAGCGCTGAAGAATCCTCGTCAAGCATTTTCAAATTGAATGAAGACGTTGGCTGTGTGTTACTCTTCCTATCTTAGATTCATAATTCTATGGAAAGAGTTTAGAAAATCAGACGGTCAGAGGTTGTGCATGTCGTCTGGAATAAAATAACGCTAGGCCGCTTCAGTGACCTTGCAGCTTGCCTAGCCGTGGTGGTTTTTGAAGATCCAAACCCTGCAACTACTTCTACCATTCATTCACGACTTCAACATGGGAAAAGGTTAGTCGCATACGATATCCAACAGAATATTTCGTTCATGCTAATTAGTTTCGTGTCTCAGGTACTGACAAACTTTATGTAGGTTCTTGCGAGCATCCTCTACCGGGATCTGAAAATTAATTGTTCTACAGATTACACATTCCGAGTGGTCCTCCTCCGACGCGTATTCGGCCAGTGCGGGCTCGAATGTGTCGCAGAAAGCCCCAAATGGCGCATCCTTCAAGAGGTTGCCGTTCAACTTTTGCGCAGCCAGTCTGCAACCTTTTCTCAATCCCGTCTGCACACCAGAGGGCACCATATTTGACGTCGAGGTCATCAGCGAGTGGCTTGCCAAACATGGCACGAATCCAGTCACCGGAAAGCCATTGAAGGATAAAGAATTAATCAAACTGAACTTTGCGCGCAATTCCGATGATGGAGGGGTTGATAATGGGAAGGGGGATATGGTCGATCCGATTACGTTCAAGGTTTTTACAGACAATACCCACATTGTGGCAATACGACATGGCAGCGAGGCCAATGTTTTTGCATGGGAGACAATCGAAAGACTCAATGTGAAGGCAAAGATGTGGAAGGATCTAGTGGACGATCGCGAATTCGGAAGATCAGATATTATCACCCTGCAAGACCCTCAGAATATCGAATCGCGAGACCTGAGCAAGTTTAAATTCATCAAAGAGGGCGAAACAGTCTTGACAAAGGAGCAGCAGGAGGAGCGACAGAAGGGATCAGTCAATATAGATGCTCTTGGTAGGGTTGGCGATAAAGTCTTGAGAGCGAAGGAGGCAGTTGAGAAGGCTAGGAGGGAGAGGGAAGCTGGTGGGGATGTCAACCGCTCAAAGACGTTGAGCAAGACGGGTTCCGGCAACACAGCACCTAAGCCCTCTTTGATACAGGAAAAGAAGCTGGCATACAATGCTGCGCAGTATACTACCGGAAGAGCAGCGGCGAGTTTTACCAGCACCGGACTCACACCAGAAACTAGTGGTGAACGAGCGCTACTTTCCGATGAAGAGTACATGCTTCGACCAAAACGAGTCAAGATCAAAGGATATGCTAGAATTGAGACCAATTTTGGCGCGTTGAACATTGAGTTGCAAACGGAAACTGCTCCCCGGGCGGTTTGGAATTTTGTACAGCTGGCGAAAAAGGGATATTACAATGGAGTTGTATTTCACAGAAACATAAAGAATTTCATGATCCAAGGTGGTGATCCGACTGGGACTGGAAAAGGAGGCACGAGTATATGGGGCAAGAATTTCAACGACGAGTTTGATGGCCCGCTAACTCATGACGCGAGAGGCATCATGAGCATGGCAAATAAGGGGAAGAACACAAATTCGAGCCAGTTTTTCATAATCTACCGTCAAGCAAAACATCTTGACAGAAAACATACCATCTTCGCCCGCGTCGTGGGCGGGTTAGATGTTTTACAAAAATTGGAAAATGTACCAGTTGATTCGACATCAAATAGGCCGTTAAACGATATTGTTATGGAAAAGGTTGTGGTATTCGTTGATCCCTTTGAGGAGTTTCAAAAGCAGAAGCATGATAAAGATGCTGCTGAGAAGGAAAGGGAAGAAATTAAGAAACAAGGCGGGACAGAGGACGACAAAACGACATGGACTGGCAAAAGACTTAGGGCTGATGGTACTGTTGTGCAAAACGACCAAGCTGGCGGTGTTGGTAAATACCTGCGAGCTGCTTCTGAGAAAGAGGCTGTCGCGACTAGTGTTGATGATGATATGCAGGAGTTCGAGCCTGTCAAGAAGAAGATCAAAGCTGGAGGGTTTGGCAATTTCGATGGCTGGTGATGCTTTCGGCTGCCGACACGATTGCCCACGGTACAGCGTTCAGTCTTCTTCTGGTCGTATTCTTTCTCGTACCGATCTAAGTAGGTAAAGAGGCGGGTCCAAACCTCGGGAACCTGCATTGACGTTCGAGACGCACAAGGGATTGCGCAGAAACATATTGCATATATCTGGCTGATATCCGCCAGAATACATATCAATGGCAGTCTCTAGGACTGTGGTGACACAAACCTTACTGTGTCAAAAGATGTGCGTACGCATGTAGATGCAAGATAGAGCACCAGCAAGTTGTCGTCGCTTAGCGGGCAACGCATACGCTTAGAAGAAAGGCTGGATATCTACGGGTTTTACATAACAACCTACAGCCCAGTACATTGAAAGCAAGACAGGCTGGTTTGATGTATCCCCGTATGTGCATCCGGTTTGGTTTGTGCTCAGATGAGAAGGGCTCCAGTACAAAGGAATGAGAAAAGCATGGTCATACAGGAGTGATTGTCCTACAAGCACAACCCCACATCTAAAATCATTCATGGAATAACGACAACCAATATTAAGGTGTTATTATCATAGCTGTAGATAAGACTAGATTGTATATTTATGATTAAATTGAAAATCGTTGACAGCTAATCGTCCTGCCCTCAATAATGGTGCGTTGTTCATGTGACACAAGATATAAGTCCTGCGAATGAAAGAGGGCTGAGCTCAACTGATAGACTGCACGTCGTATAGCAATTCGCTGTCTTGGAGATATCCATCATTTTGACGAACTTGAACATATGTTACGGTTACCAACCCGCGAAAACCAACTGAATTGAATACGGTTAAGCTAACTGCTGTGCGGACCGGCACAGTTTCATCCTTGCCTGTCACTTTGGCTGTCACGCAAAGTACCCACCACGCCCACCTTCCCCTCCGCATCCAAGCTTCCCTAACCTAAACCGCTGTAAACCGCGGCACTGGCACTCTTCACTGTGGCATCTTAGCTGCGACTTCGAAATGTCGACAGCGACGGGGTCATTGCACTCACAATATCCAGTACAACTAGACGGCTCGTTATTGCCCGGTCAGCAGCCACAAGATGTGCAGCCGGCGCAACACAAGAGGGTTTATCAGGCGTGTATCGTGCGTTATCTCCCATTCTAACCTGCCGTAGCTCGTTGCTAATCCGCATACCTGTCACAGCCATGTAGACGACGCAAAGTGAAATGCGACCTGGGAAGCGTCGATAATCCGGGCGACCCGCCGTGTGTACGATGTCGACGAGAAAGCAAAGAATGCTACTTTTCCGCGACGCGGCGCAAGAGAAAGAACGATGAAGGAGAAGGCAGCCTCGATGGTCTCGACTATGGAGGAGATGATTACACAATGAGGAACGGAAGAAAGCCCACGCATGCTTCACCTCCACGACAAACATCAATGGTACCTCCTCCTTCACGACCGGCTGCTTCAGCTTCATGGCCGGACAATGCGCCGCCCAACCCAGGCCCTCCGTTGACACCAGGAGGCTCGATTGGTCGACCACAGCCTTTACGAAGACCGACGACCTCCGGCAGAGACGAAAATGGCCGGAACACGAGTGACGAGTCGGGCAATACACAGCTGGAGAACCTCGAGGCGCAGGAGGTGATGCGACGCGAGGTATACGGGCCTCACGATGCTTTAGACTTGCTATACAAGGCTGCTACCAATAGGTATGTTTCGCCCGAGTTACTGGAACCTACCGTTGTTAACAGTCTGCATAGTCCTGGTCATATCAGAAGCGCCCGACCAAGTAGCAGTCATATGTCTCCTCTTGTAGCGGGTAACGTCCCAGGAAAGCAACAGCCATCACCGCATCTCAGCAATAGCCAACCATTTCAACCGAACTACTTACCCCCTCCAGGTAGAGACACCACGATTGATCCCACGCTGGGTGCTTCTGCACCAAATGGAACTGCTACTTCACCGGAACAAGGTTACAAAAATGCCATCAAGGCATGGGCAAGGTTCAAATTTGTCAGGGCAGGTTGGTTTACCCCCGCGGAAGCTATCGAGTACATCAGCTAGTAGGTTATTCACAAATCATCTGTGGATTATTTCTGACAACATACAGCTATTACACCTACCTCTCGCCTCTAACACCGATTTCTCCCCCTACTTTTCAAGATCCTGCGACACACCATACACTACTCACCGAGGAGCCCATCCTGACTGTCACGTTATTAACGATTGCATCAAGATATAGGCAAATACCTGGTGCGGGAAGCCAGTCTCGTTCAAATGCAATTCACGAAGAGCTGTGGAAGTACCTTCGTGGAATGGTAGAACGGTGCTTGTGGGGTCAAGAGGCTTTTGGTGGTGGCTTCTGTGGAACAGAAGTGGGTACTGGAGAGGCCCAAACTTCTAGCACAGAGCCATCAAGGGGGCTGAGAAAAGGCAGTCTTCGAACACTCGGTACTATCGAAAGTCTCATGATCTTGACGGAATGGCATCCTCGAGCTTTACATTTTCCTCCAGCCGATGCAACAGATGAGTTGATGCTGCCTTCTTACGAAGGACCAGATAATATCAGCACTGATGACGAAAGTGGGCATCGTTTACCTGGTGGAGTTGGCGGAAAGAGGATCGAAGGTTGGCTGGAACCTGCTTGGAGAAGTGATCGAATGTGCTGGATGCTTCTGAGCACCGGAATGGGCCTTTCCTACGAGCTTGGTGTTTTCGACGATATAGATGATCTTTTAGCTACTAGCGGCGAAATGACGAGACCAGAATATGAGGACGAAGCTTATCGATTGAGAGCCGCAAGGATCAAGAGGCTTCTTCTCATATACGTCACCCAACTGGCTGGCCGGTTGGCATGGACGAATATGGTTCCGGAAAATTTAAGAGATACAGACCCTGTGTTTGCCCCTAGAAAACGAAGAGCTTCGAATGACGGCAAGACACCCGATACAGCAACATCAATGTCTTTAAACATCAATTCGTTCAATTATATACCGGACCTCGATCTCGATGATCAGATTATTCATTGCTGGGCTGGAATTAGCAATGCAATGAGACTCGGCAATGAGAAGCTCTTTCGATCGAGGCACTTTACCACAAGGATAATTCAGGATGGAAGCTACATTGAGCTTTTGAAAGAATTTCAACCTATGCTAAGCGCCTGGAGACAAGAATTTGAGCGATTTCGACTACCTCCGTTCCAACGACATATTCTATCCATAGAGTATGAGTATGTTAGAATCTATGTCAACTCATTGTCACTCCAGGCCGTTGTCGAACGATGCACGAACAATCCAATTTCTCATGTACATGACGGAAATCACGCAAATAGCACTTCAGGTCCGTCACATGGCGAGCTTTCACCTGAGTCGCGGAATTACTATGGAAAACTACCGCTCGCAAAACTTGGCAATTATGGTGCAGCCGATCAGGGATACGTACGGGAAGTTGTTAATGGTAGTAGAAACCTCCTTCAAACAGTTGTAGAAGGGCTTCTGCCTGGTGGTTACCTCAAGCATGCACCCGTACGGACATATTTCCGCATCATTAGTGGTGCCATGTTTTTACTCAAGACGTTTGCACTCGGTGCCTCAAAACAAGATGTCGAGATCAGTATTGGATTGATGGATCGAGCAGTCAACGCTTTACGAGACTGCGTTGTTGATGATGTACATCTGGGTATACGTTTTGCAGATCTTTTGGAGACGCTCACAACCAGACTCCGTAGTCGGTTTATCAGCGCTACGAGGACACTACCGGGCGCGACGAACAACAATAGTAAGAATCTGCACAGTCCACGAATGCATCACGAGCCGGATGCAAAGCGGATGAAGGTAGACCACAATGAACAGATCCGCGATTGGAATGCTTCAACTCCAAACTTTGCCAATATGCCAAACGGTATGATATTCCCAATAGGTCTTTTAATTCCAAGCTAACGTTCACAATAGACACTGGAATATCAGCTACCCCATTCGACCTTAATCCGGGGCCATTTTTTGGGCCTAGCACACCCTATAGTCAAGCTGGTGGCTCAGCCTATGGAGGTACGGGTACTCATGCAGATATGTCTGATGTCTTTGGCGGAGATTGGAGTAGTGGCAACGAGATGTGGTATCTTCCACCAGGAGCCGCGTTCTTCCAGAACGTAAATGATTCAGCGATCACACAAACTGCTGAGGGCGTCAACGTTGGCGGAATGGATTTGCTTGATTACATGACACTTGACATAAATCAGATAGATGGTTTCCAATGAGATATTGGATCGTCTGTCTAATTTTGTTTATGAGATTTTCAGGAGTATAGAGACTGGGTAGAGCTCGGGCTTTTTGCGCATTTCATAAGGGGGTAAGACTCTGTGGTGCAGGGTACAGGGCGCTTTTTAGGGGTTTTGGCGTTATTTTATTTGCATTTTGTGGAATTGAATTATGCTTCTGCTGCTGGCCTAGCTAGCTAGATACCTTGGGTGTTCATTGGAGATATGGGGATAAAAGTGGATTAGGCCACCTATTTTGAAGCGCGATATGTTGCGCTAAGCACTACATTAGGCGCGGTCGAGGTACATTGATTAAATACAAAGAATACAATCAGACCATTGAAATATTGCCCTGATTTGTGCAATTCAATTGGAGAAGTTCCTGACTCAGATGCGTGAGGGCTGGCAAGCGAGATTTCCTGTGGTTGGGCCAACATGTCGTGCTAGCAGCGTCTATTGCGTGATCCCCTAAAAGATTAGACGACGACACAAAAGTTAGATTGTTGAATTGTTCCAACGTCTTTCAAACATTCTGTCTTTTTTTTTGTCTAAATATGTAATATCTCGTACTAGGTGGGTGATACAACGGGTTATGATAAACAGCTAGGTCTTTACATGAGAGTTTATAAAGATCACTATTGACTATCTAGGTAATCTTCGTTACTTTGCTTTGGCTTGGAGTATTTTCATATCTTTCTTGAGCAGTGATTTGAAACTAATTACGACACTAGCTACTCAGGGTGACAAACTCATCCAAGTGGATGAGCTTTCCCAATTTCATAATTCATTCAAAGAACTTCCGTCGTATCAGCTTCTCTGTTCCATATCATCAATCACTTCCTGGGAAAAACATGTCGTGTTATCTCCATAGTAACCAGAATAAGGATCTTTCTTCTCCTGACCGTTCATCTGAGCTTTCGGAAGCATTCTTCGACCCTTCAAAAACTCATAATCCGGCATCGCAACCCTAACAAGCTCCTCAATCTCCTTACCAGCCTCCTCGCCAAACTCTACCTTCCACTTCTTCGCCTCAACATCGATATCAATCCCCTTCGACAATTTATCAGTTTGAATCCCCGTCGAAGCATGCAACGTCCCCAACATCGACAACATTGGCGTCGGCAGCCCATCCAAATACTCCTGCGTCGCCTTCTCCCACGTAAACCGCATCTTCTCCCGGCCCATCCCCATCAACTCACCCACCTCCACCACCAACTCCTCATGTTGAATCAAATCATCCGCGTCAATGACCAACGGCCATTTCACCCCATCCGCCGCAGGATGCTTCTCAAACCGAGCCGTAAAATACGCAAACAGCGAGCGTGTGAATTTATACGTCATAGCGATTCGACGCTCGACCTGAACAGATTTCACAATCTCATACGGCATCCCGCGCATCTGGCGCTCAAACGACGGAAATGACAACGCCGGGTGTCTGATCAAGAAGACAGGCGAAATAACATTCAAAAACTCATCCGGCATAACCGTCTCATTCAAACTCGATCTCGTCCCCTCCCGTCCATCCTGGAATTTCATCATCCACTTCCCCTCCTCCTCCACCCCTGGACTCACAATTTCCGCAATACTCGTCGGGCCAAAAAAGAAATTCGCATGTTCCTTCGCAAACGCGTGTTTCCCTGCCGCCGTAGCGTCCGCGTGGTAGGCGACGAAGGAATCGAAGCAGGATTGGTAGATCGAGGCCATCTGGGTGTGTTCGGAGGCGGTCCAAAGGGAGACGGGTTTTCCGCGTACGTCGATGGAATTGGCTTTCATGAGGGCGGGGAAGAAGTAGTAGCCTCCTAGGAGCTTTGCGGGGTGGACTGACGGTTGGGCGGTTGGGTTTAGGATTTTGACTGCGAGGTTGGAGGCGGTGCGGGTGTTGGTTATGAGGGTGTAGAGGGGAGGGGGTGAGGTGGAAGACATGTTGGGTGGTTTGGTCTGAGATCGTGAGGTTGGTGATGGTTGTTTGAGGGAGATGGTTGGAGGTTGGATGTAAGAGGAAGAGGTGAGGTGTTTATATCTTCAAACCCGATCTTCTCGGATACTTCAATATCCGTAGATTGACTTGTCGATATTCACCTCGCTCACAATTTCCTTCAACCTTTCAGGCCAACAACCATTCATCTGAATATTCGGAGCTTCAGAAACCCGAACTCCATCTAAGCTGCCAAATGACCGTCCAAAATCATCCCACCTCCTCAATACCTCTCCATCCAAAAGTGGGTCATACACCACCGCCCAATCAAAGATGAGGTTGCGTGCATATAGAATGTTGGTTTTCCTCCATGTGCGAGAGCTGCCGAATTTGGTGGGTGTCGTGATAGGCTAAATAGGATGGGGGGCTGCTGATGCACAATGTGGTGTTCGATTGATTTTTGTACGGTGCGAGATTTGGACGGTGCGGTGTATGGTTGGGGATGAGAAAATGAAGGAAGATTGGTGAGATGTTTGTGTACATCAGGTAGGTGATGTTGGAGAAGAGGTAAGCAGGTTGTTGATTGAGAGGTTTGCTTTGTGGTCCAATCGGTAGTAAATTGTGCTTGTATCCTCTGTTTTATTCTCTGTTCTCGCAATCCTCACAAACCATCATACATCCTCGACTCTAGGATTTCTTGACTAATTTTCTGGGCATTAGTATGCAAAATTATAAGCCATCCTAAAACTGTTTTTAGAGTCGGTAGAGCTGCTCTACCAGAACACTTTGTGAATCCTGTGCTGGATCCAGCAGCGTCTTTAAAATGTATTTCCTCTAGAATCGTTATTTCTCCTTTGCTCTATCGTACAGTATTTCATATAGAAAAGGGGTATTCGGTTAAAGTGTGGGTCGTCATAAGCCTGACTTTCACTCGTTTCCTCTAGTGTGTTGTATGTTTGACGACATACCTGGCTATACTAGGATTACAATGAAGCCTACCTAAAAACTTATATTTGCTTAATTCTTTTAACCAAGTATGGTACATTGTCTCTTTATCTAAGAGTAAATATAATTACAGAAGTAAAGAATGTTAGAACATCGGGTTCCAAACATAGTTACATATTAGTTTGTTACAAGTCTGACGGGACACCTCGATACGGAAGAAGACTAATATCATCCCCAAAACGCTATATTTACTAGATCCTTTTGATTAAATATACGATATTGTCTCTATTAGAAAGACTAAACATATATTCTACGGAAGGGGTGTTGAAAAGTTGTTTTTTAGAAGCGTTATGTTTAGACGGTGTCCCCTCAGTTTTGCAAAGCACTGGTGATACTTACATAATTTGAAGAGCGTTCCGTCAGTCTTACGTATCGGTAGACAGGCCTAGTGCCATCGTCCAACACGCGCATCCTCATACGCGTTCTCCGAAAAATCAGCCCATGAGCTTTCGGGGGCAGCAGGCGTATCAGATATCTTCCGCCCACTGAAAGGTATTGCTTCGCCCACGCAAGGAAGAGTGGCCTTTCCGGTGAAGCTGGCCAAGTTTCCGTCTTTGAACGTGATAGTCCCTTGTTCTGCCTCGGATTGAATCTCGCCCTCCCCGGTCTCACGGCATTTCAATCTTAGTAGATATGTACGTGACTGGGCAGGTTCGCTCTTGGACTTCTTTGGTGGGCGGCCTCGGCCTCGAGGAGCTTCAGACTTTCTCTTAGAGCTGCGGGCACGCTTTTTCTCGTTCTCGGATTCATCTTCATCCTCATCATCGTCCTTGTCTTCTTCTTCGTCTTCTTCCTCTTCCAGGTCGGATTCATCCTCCAAATCTAACTGAGAGCAGTATTGCTCTAGAGCTTTCTTTTCCGCGCCGATAATCATGACTCCTTCCAGAATCCCGAAATTGAAGCTGGCTTCAAAAATGCCAGGTTCCTCAGTCTGGCGTATATCCAAACTTAGATCCTCTGCCTGATCCGGCCACTGCTCTTCGATCTCTTTGCAATCGATGATATAGCTGCCAACGGGCGAATACCTCTTGGAGCTCTTCGGACCTTTTTTCTGCTTCTGGGTATTGAGATAGTCCGTATGCATCTCCTCACGCTGATCCTCCCGCTCATCTCCCTCCGCCTGGACTTCCTTCGCCTCTTTAGCGGGATGGTCCTTCGCAGCCTTTTTCACAGCTGCCGAATTCCAGCCCATGAAAATGGTCTGCGTCTTAGGGCCTCTACCCGTCTCGTTGTGCAGGCCTGCGACCTTGCTGGCTGCCTCACGTATCTGACCGGCGCGTTACGTGCTATATGGATCAAGGGGTATACCAACAACTGTGGCCGTTTTCTTACGGTCGGGTTGGCCGGACGATAAGAAGTATTTCTCCATGACCCAGTCGGGGAAACTAGAGAGTTGCTCAGGGGTTTGTTTGTTGAGCCATTCTGCATGCAGCTGCTCGCGCAGTCGAGTGATATGGTCGGGAACTTTGTCGCACTTCCCAGCTTGAAGGACTTTCTTCATCAGAGGAGTTCCATTCCCAGACATTTCACTCTCATCAAATTTGACGCCATAGTGCTTTAGTTGGCCACGAACGAAGTTGCCGGAACGGCCCTCCTTCAGTTTCTTGTTTGCTTCAGCAGTGAGTTTTGGTAAGAACATGCTCCTGAGAGAGGAAGCTTCAACTCGCTCTACTCGACCAGGAAAGGTGTAAAACCTGCCATATGAACAGGTGAAGCCGTGCTTAGCATTTTCTTCATCATTGTAGGAAGACATGGCGACAGATGGCTTTGATCGCTTTTGATTATGAGTTAATGGACTTCGCAGCAGAGGTTTCGAGCATCGCGTCCCCATAGGTATTGTTGAATTACACGTGCTAGGGGCAGTAAGCTAGTCCTAATTTGATAGTCACATGGTGTATCACCTGCGGTACCTAAGCTCGCGGAGGATAAAATAAGTGACGGTCGCAACACAATATTTCCCTAATAAAGTTGACGAAATATCGTAATTTAGTGGATTAATTTGGAACATTATTACTATTCCCTCAATTACTTCCAGTAAATAAGACTTTAAACTCTATTCGAAGTCGACTTATTATTATTAGTTTAAGTTTATTAGCGGGTAGGTGCCTGACCCTTATTTTGCCCTCCGCGAGCTGAGCCACTCTAGGTTCCGCTATACCTTAACTATCCACAAGATAAACCAATAACGCAACTCTGTTAAATGACGCAGTAGACCCGCGCCGTGCAAGCCATAGGACCTTAGTTCTAATGAAGTGGCAGCTAGCGTTACACAGAATATATGTACACACGGACCTCGGCGCTAGCATTGCCAATAGGCAGAAACTGCCGACCAGCGATCACGAGCGGAGGTGTAATATAATTTGGCGCTACGGCTGAATTTTTATCTTCATTCTCCTACAAGAAACTGCTCTAGCTTCGCCAATTAAGATTTTCCCAGTCATTAGTCTTGCTGTCCATGTTGTTCCCATTATGAGCAATCTTTGTGAAACCTGTCAGCGGCTTAAAAGAGGGGAAAAGATAGAGAACAGTTCTAGATGGCTTGGGAACGTTGAAAATTCCTGCGATGGTTGCGAATTGCTCCGGCAGGTGAAAATTGCTACCAAGTTCGAGTATAGCTACAACATGATTGAAATGATCTGCAAAGATAATAATGGCCGTTCGTTTGCTCGTATCGGTGGAGCGAACGCTACGGTAGACTTGTTTGCGGTCCCAGGTGAGTGACATCAGGCACGGCGATCAATTGAAACTCATCATTAATTCTTTAAGGTGTTCCTAATTGCTTTGGACTGACCTCCACCAATGCCGAACCACAAACCACAAGCTCCCCGCTTACAATGGCTCTTATTTCCAAGTGGTTAGAGAATTGTTTGGATTCTCATCCCAAGTGTACACATGAAGGCGATCCAACTTTACCTACGCGCGTCCTAGATGTTGGTGGCATTTCTTCGAAAAGCGTCAAAGTTGTAGAAACGTGTGGAGGAAACGGTCGTTATTTATGTCTCAGTTACTGCTGGGGAAAATCGGAGTTCATCAAGACGACTAGAAAAAATCTCGATGATCATAAGATTGCGATTCAGTTTGATAGCTTACCTCAAGTTTTCCAAGATACTATTGAAATTGCTCGTACTTTGGGTATAAGATATGTTTGGATTGATGCGCTGTGTATCCTTCAAAACGACGAACAAGACTGGGAAGCAGAATCTAAAATTATGGCTGATATCTATCACAGATCATATTTGACCGTTGCAGCTGCGTCTGCTGGAAGTGTTGACGAGAACTGCTTCTCCGCAACAAGAGATACAATTATCACCGGGCCTGTTCAGTCACTTTTCAGACCACACTTTCCGTATCAGGCAGAAGAAACGAACGAGTGTTTTCCTATGCGTACCAGGGCATGGACGTACCAAGAACGATTACTAGCCCCTCGAGTATTGTATATCAGTCGCCAAGAAGTGTTGTGGGAATGTTTTGAGGAGAAAAATTGTGAATGTGGCTTTTCTACATGGTATTTCGGCGATGTGGTGGACAAGAGCGGGTTTTATGACAAGTGTCTACAGCCAGCACAAGAGGACTACATGCTTCAAAATATGTGGCGGCAATTAGTTATGGAGTATTCAGCATTGAATCTGAGCTTTCCAGCAGACAAGCTACCAGCCCTTTCTGCATTGGCAAATACCATCTTTGATCGCAGAGGAGGTGGGTACGCTGCGGGGCTTTGGATTGACACGCTGGTCCTTGATCTATGCTGGTCCGTAACAAACACCTACGAAACGAAGTGTGACTTCCCCTGGAGAGCGCCAACTTGGTCCTGGGCTTCGATCGACAGTCCTATCTACTTCCATATAGTACGTTACTACCAGCAAGAGATTGGCGAGCATCGGATACACGCCGAAGTGCGTGAAGTCTATTGTCCTCGCCAAGGATCTAATAGAACGGGAAGAGTGGTCGCAGGAAGCTACATCGCCTTGAATTGCGAGCTGATGCCTGTTCAACAGAAAAACATCGGGATGCAAGCTGGGAGTCTGGATCTAATATCGATACTTGACGGGAGAACTGAAAACGATGCAATTGGAGAAATGTTTTTCATTCCGCTATACTCATCTGATGACACATTATCGGGTATAATTGTAACACCAAGCGCTAATTCCACGGACAACCAGTTTGAGCGGGTCGGATTCGCTTATTTTGTTTGCGACTCTCAGACTGAGGCATTTGTTAATCGGGGAGCGGGGAAGCGACTGATTAAACTAATTTAACTAGCAGGATTATCTCAGGCTTATACAAACCACTTCTTCTAACTTATAGTTACTGTAATAGATTTTTAGCTTGAAGCTTCTTACCGAACATAAGGGAATACAAGTCATAACACACTTATTCCCATCAATTTCCAGATTGAAGCTTTAACCCGATTATGAGGAAATATATGTTACAACACACAAATAAAGAGTTAGTAAGGTTGCTATCGTGGCTGGTTACCAAAAACAACCCCACGTAAAAGTTTATCTAGCTAGGAAATTTTCCAAGGTTCGGAAGGTACAAAGTCCCGTATAACGGTCTCCAAGCTCACCGGCACCTAGACAAAAGAAAACAGGCACGCGTTCTCAGTAATAAGCCTCCGTCACTTTCGTCAGTTCATTACCAATCTCAATCCTCAATAATAGTAGACATTAATTTAACCACTTTTCCGAAATGCTCCCAAAAATAGCTATCACTGACAGCTCAAAACTATTTCCATACACAGACGTACTGCCCATACAATTTTGTATGATGAAAACCTCAACGATATTGAAATTAGTCAGTTCCGCACTCGAATTAGTGCTAGATTAATTCCAGTTAGCTGCTACATAAGATGAATAGTGCGTTCATTGCGGTAATTCATCAGACAACCGTATCAATCGATCAATGAAACCCTGGCACTGCGAATAAATATTTGGTTTCCAAAGAGACAGAATTAGAGCCTGAGCTTCAGGCTATGAGCTGATCGAAAGATAATTAAACTTTCACATCGTTCTAGACAAGGGGTCCGAAGGGGACAACCGTAAGATGTCCAAGAAATCGGCGTACCCCATAGGGATTGTTGGGCTAGTTTTGGCTGTTTTGGCTGTGATTTGTGAAAAAATAGTGAGAGAAGAGTTATTCAGGACCTCTCAAAACCCATTGAGCCTAGAACTCATCAACGCCTCTTGATTTTATTCCTTCTCCTCTTCCGTAGTTCCACTTACTTTTTCAACTACAAGAATTCTAGATTGAAAGTATTTAAATAGTAAGTACCACACGAAAAAAGTTGCGCTCTTAGGAGCTGTATAGATTAACAGGTAGTTCATTTTTAACACCGGCGATTGAAACTTCTACTTTTTCCTCTTTTACACAGCTATTTCAATACATCTTACGAGTTGTTCTTTAGTCCTCCATGTTTCTTAATATCGCTCTTTCGCTTTTGGACAAATGAGCTTTTCTGTGGACTTTTTGTGAGCACTAGACAGATGACTCTAATATATAGTTAAGGAGTTTTGGATACAACTGTTTAGACACAGAGTTATCAAAAACGACAGACATCGTTAGATACTGAAAATAAACTCGAAAGAACTACGACGAGTAATTTCATCATCTGAATATTAATTTTACTAACGTATAATACGAGAAACAATACGCGAATAAAAGAATTCCGCATCCTCCTTAGCGTAAGAAGAACAATTTTAATTCACATTATTCAACGTGGTAGACATTAAGTAAACTCATCAAACACCTAACGAGCTTAATCGAAAGCAAATCTCCGCAAAGTTATCAGTCCCTATAGGAATAAGAGAGCCCCGGGCATAACGGGTGGTGTCCCAATTCTAGATAGTCTTTGTAATTAGATGATTTCTGAGGAAATCGGCACTTATGCTTGAAGTCCTTGGAAGAAAGATTTCTCGACGAAATTGCCTACGGGTACATTTACTAAGTTATCTGTTCTTAATGAGAAACATCAACACAGGTTATGCATCTATATGAAAAAAGTCATTACCGAATTCTGAAGTCGCTGAAGATAAAGAGATGAACAATGGAAGAGATAAAAAACGAGTGGGTATTTGTTAACCCCCGACGTAAAATTCCTCCAATATGTCTAAAATTTTACGAGGGACAGAATGACTTCATGTTGTGAATTGCGAACATGCTCGCTGTGATCATTAAAGGAATTATATCAGCGGAACTATATAAACTATTTCAAGCTTGGAGCCAATGGTCTCAAACACATGGAGCCAGGGATTCAAATATTCGAACTCCTCCTCGAAATGTGTCGTAAGACACCAGCTTTGATGTATGGTATCAGTCTGATTACTGTCATCCGCTATTGACAGCATCAGAAATCTCTTAGACAGATGGCGAGTTCTTGAATCAAACAACCCCCTTAAACACCAATCTAACACCCCACCCTCCTCAGCCTCAAAAACCACCCAACTCCCCATATCTCGTTATCAACAAAATCTCACCACTCCCCTGGAGATATAATACAGAATTCCCACAGTACACTGACGCAGAAACCCGTCTGTCGGTATCAGAAACCCAGAATCACAAACCAGACAACAGAACACCCCACTCTTCACAAATAGACCATTATATCCATATCCAAACGCCTATCCCGTCCCAACACTGATTCTCAAATCTTCATAAACAGCGCAAGATCTCCATACTAACACCTCCGTCTCCTCCATCCCCTCCAAACATCCCGCACACAAAAACACGAAAAAGAAACATGGTCAAACTCAAGTTTCACAATGTTTCTTGACCTAAGTATGCTTATATCATCTTCAACGACCAAACACGGTCGATTTGGGGGGCAGCGTTCTTGCTTATGTGAGGTGTTGAGACTGGGATTTCTCTTGATTGAAAAGATGAGAATGAAATATGGGTTTCTAATTAGGATCTTTTCTTCTTCTTATACCAAACTTTCCCGCAGCAAACTGAACTCTAACCAGATCCCTCGTCTCACAGTAACTTAGCACCACCACCGCCATCAGCTCCATTCCTAGTCAATATCGCTCGTTCGTTGCCCGCAAGCAGTCTATCAAATTCCTTTCACGTGGTAGACTGAAAACACATTCATACCATGAACATCTCCAACTCTTGGGCGCGTTGGGAAGTAGATTTATGACAACGGCAAGAGTGTTGAATTTGAGATGTGGTGGTGTTAAATTCCTCATGATGGGAATGGCTAATTTATGTATTTTCTTGAGAGTGCTATGCAGATTGTGGTGTTCTTATACTGGATCTTGCAATGGCTTTTCATCCACACACCTCCCACCAAAACTACCTCAAAACCTACCACCACACAACTGACCCCGTTCAAACACCCATTTATCACACCCTAGGCCATTACGGCCCGTCTGTCACAACTTCATCTCCCTCTTTCCACCCTCCTTCCCCCTCGCAACAGCATCCTCCACAAGCTTCATCCCCTCCACCAGCCTCTTCTCCTGCAATCTCGGCGCAACGACTTGGACGCAAAGCGTCGTATCTAGATACATCTGTCTATCCACTTTGCCTCCGTTCCCTGTCGTGTGTTAGTTTTCACTCTAAATCCTCAAAAGCTCCCGAAGAAAGACAGGAGGCAAAAACTCACACATCCCCCGATTAACCTCATCCCAACTATTCCCCAGCACAGTTTCTGATTCCTTGAATTCGAGAGAGGGATCAGAATGCGAGAAGTCTCGCACGGGTATAGTGCCAGCCGCACAATCAAGCAACACCCAACTACTCGTATACCCCACGCCATTCCATCCATCGACTCTGTATCAGATCAGCATACACCTCTTCACGATCCAAGTCCACAGAGACACGAGCAAAATGACAAAAGAGGACATACCCAGGCGTCGGATGTCCCGCAACCGGACACACAACAACATCAACCACCCTCCCATCCCCCGTCCTCCAAACGCCCAACATCTCCCTCTCCAGCTCCTCCCTCTCAGCCCGCAGGCTCGCCAGGGTATTAACCTCGACCTGCTCTTTCCTCGCCACCTTGTTTTGAAGCCACGGACTCAACGGCTCTCCCGTCTTCTCAAGCAGATCCAGCACGAAATTCGCACCGTCGATGCCGAAGAACTTGTTAGCGAGGGAGTTGCACTTCTTGAATACATCGTTTGGGATCTCGACGACCTCGACGCCGGCGGTGCGGAGGGCGTGGCTGGTTTCGTCTAGGACTTTGGCGATGGGGGGGAGAGGACGGACGATGCCGTCGCTGCGGAGGACGCCTATGATTGGTTTTCTGCTCATCGAGCCTTGGGAGTCGAAGGCGCCGAAGACGACGGCGGGGTCTTGTTCCCATGGTTTCGCATCTGCGAGAGTTCGCAAGAAGAACTCACAATCACTTACATCCCTCCCCAACGGCCCAGCACAAGCCTGCATCCCCAACCCGCCCATCCCCGGGCGTCCTCCTCCTTCTTGTCCCATAAACGGCACGCGTCCCACGCTCGGCTTGACACCCACAAGTCCATTACACATGGCCGGAATCCTGATACTGCCCCCTACATCCGTTCCCACCCCAAGTATACTCCCCTTCATCGCAATCAGCGCGCCCTCGCCACCACTCGACCCTCCCGCCGTCACGTCCCGATTCCGAGGATTGAGCGTGCGCCCGAAGAGATGGTTATGCGAGTCCAACGCCATGAGCGTCTGCGGGATATTAGTCTTCACATACACCACGGCGCCGAGATCCAGCAGGATGTCCACGAGAACCGAGTTCTGCGTCGCCGGGTTGAATGCGAGGCTGGCGATGCCTATACTCGCATCATAGCCTTTGACTTTGAAACTGTCCTTCAGAGAGATCGGGAGGCCGTGGAGAGGGCCTACGACTTTTCCCGTTTTCTGGAATTCGGAATCCAACCACTTGGCTCTTGCAATCGCATCCTCAAACATGATTTCCGTCAGACAATTCGTTAATTGCTGCGCAATCGCTGCGCGTTTGCAGAATGCCGTCGTCACGGCCAGCGCTGTGAGTTCGTTCTTAGCGATCGCGGATGTGAGGGCGACGGCGGAGTAGGACTCTGTGATATGTAACTCCTTGTCCGTGAGGATGCCAGAGGCACGGGGGATGTGAAGGACGTTCTTCTGAGGCGGGTCGACGAATTTCTGGTCCAAGAGCCATTCTTTTGGGATCCGAGATTTTTGCTCCGCTTGTTTGCGGGCGGCGATGGCGAGGTAGGGTGGTTCTCCTGAGGGGGCCATTGTGAGATGTGTCGTGGGTGAGGAGGGTGGGGTTGGTGAGTTTGGGGTATCAAGATTTCAGATAGGAAGTAAGAAGGGACTTCGAGAGATATTGACCCGCGTCGTGTGGTTTTGGGTTGACGTTGATGAGTCTGAGTTCCCCGGATCTCAGAAATGTCGATATGAAGATATATCTAAGTGAGACAAATATCAGGATTTGTATGAAATGATGAATGTGGACGGTAATACCATTTGCTTACGGTAAAGCTTGCGAGTCGATACCCCGCTTTATAATGTTTGTCCTAAGATAGAGACGAGCTTGTTATCTTTGCTTTATTTAAAATCTCTGAAATGAGTGATATGGGTATATATTCAAGTGAGATAAATACGCGCCTTTAAATGCAGAAGTTGAATGATGTTGTTACTCACTTGATCACAGCTCGCCCGTTATAAATGCTGTCTTGGGGTTAATAACATCCCACTACCCCACTTCTTGATAAGTAGCACACATCTGGAGCTTCTTCCGCTCAACATACCAATGTCCTTACCGCTTCCCGAAATTGCTGTTCCCAAATCGAACTTTCCATACCCGCGACGTTGTCGAACCTGCCGAGGTCCGGACGTTGATGTAGGGCCCCACTTCCATATTGAGTTGAGCTTGCGAACAATTTATCACATTTGCACATCACGACGCTGAAATTAGTATGAGTGTAATTGCTATCTTCATAATATGATTGATTGTAGACGATTCTATACAGATGATATGGAGGACCAATTTGTGATCATAACGCCATGAATTCGTCCCTTCCGCTAAAATTCTTCCCTGTTCCAAGCCCTGAATATTTCCCAATAATTTCCTACCACAAGCCTAGATGACCCCCTATTGTAACAAAAGAGATATACATGAAAAGACTATTGTTGTCTATGTTGAATATGTTGAACGCCACAACCCGCCGACCCTGTGTAATTAACGCTAAATCGCAGCAAAAGTAGAGCAAATGAAACCGTTAATGAACAGGTTAGAAATTCATCGTCAGGTTCGACAGCCTTTCGGCTACCAAATCCATTTGAGAAGTCAACCGCTGGTATTTCTTCATTGCCGCGTCAGTGCAACTGTTGTCAATTTGTGCCGTCACAAGTTCGTATTGAGATGGCTTGGCGGTTACGTCGATCGAGGCAAGGTCAAAGATAAACTCCTTTGGTTCGGCGACAGGAGTTGCGGTGACAGATGAGGAGCAGAAGAGGGCAAAGGTTGGATCGGCATCGAACTCTTCATCCACAACCTCTACGGACTTGACTGGTTCCTCGACGACAGCAACTTCTGGGACACGCTCGACTGTAGGAAGCTCAACCTTCTCCTCCTGGCAGGCGAGTGGAGTGAATGGTGTGTTGGTCTTGCCTGAGAGAATTTCTGAATCAATGACGGTCTCTGGCATGGATAGAACAGAGAAGACTTGAGGTTGGTAAGAGTAAGCACCGTCAACGTTCAAGTCGAGCATGGAAAAGTCCATGTTGTGCTCTGGGATCAAGGTCATCCCGATTTGCTGTTGTTGCATCTGCTGAGCGGCAGCGGCGTATGGGTTGACGTCTTTGCGGACTTGGCGTTGTGGTTGTTGTTGTTGCTCGACACGAGGTTGAGTAACTTGCTGAGCCGTTTGAGCGGCAGCAGGGTTTTGAGAAAGAGTGTCGAGGAAACCAGAGAAGGACGGGGATGAGAGAAGCATGCGAGTAAGATCTGAGAGACGGGTGTTCTCTTCCAACAAAGCACGGTTCTGTGACCTGAGGTCTTGGTTCTCATTAACCTTTCCGGCAATCTCTCCTTCAAGTTGGCTGATATATTCTAGAAATTGTTAGCGGTGCTTTCATCTGATCGAAGTGATAGTTCTTACCCTTGCGTCTTGATCGGAAAGCTCTGGCGGAAACCTTGTTCCGGAGTTGTCTTCGCTCCTTGCTGCTGAGCTTCTTTCCCTCTTCACTTGCGAGTAATCTCTCATCCTCATCCATTTCTTCCTCGTCCTTGCGCATACGTGATGCGTGAGTCATGTTGTCGCCATGGTTGTCCATATCCTCGCTTCCAACACTGCTTTGTCTCATAGAGTTGAGCAATTGAGAGATCTTCTCTTCCACGATAGGGTCTGCTGGTGGATGAGATGCGCGAGCGCGTTGGCTTGAAGGCTGTCTTGAGTGACCAGCACTGGCGGCTTGACGTTGTTGCTGGATGATCTGTTGCTGTTGCTTTTGTTGAGCCTGCGCCTTGGCCAAAGCTTGTTGTTGATGCATTCCAGGCCAGAGACGACCTACATTGCTACCTTGTGTTGGAAGGGCAGTTGAGCCAATGTTGCTTGGGTCGACGAAGCCAGTTGGACGATCTGGATAGAAGAAGGCTGGCTCGGTGTTTGGCGAATCAAATTCCATATCAATATCGGATGGGTTGAATGAACCGTTGCGTGACACGGGCGTGTTGAAGTCAACAAAGTCATCGCTTGGACTCAATCCCGACAGGTAACTATCGGCAAATCCATATTGTGAATTGATGTGGACGTTTGATTGATTGACGGCGAGGGTGTTTGCAATGGCTCCTTGTGGGATACCGGTTTGCTGACGGTACAGGTCATACTGATGACTCGGGCCGGAGAGTTGAGGTTGTGATGAGGATGGGAGAGCGGCGGGTGTGTTCGAGACAGGTTTCGTGACGAACTCGTTCTTGGTGGTTGTGGATGGAGAGACGGACGGTGATTGATATGATACCTGCTCGTAACCCGAGAAGTCGATGAGAGAATCGAGCGGATCGAGGCAGCCGGTCTGAGAATTATTCGACATGGTGTCGGGCGAGGATGAAGTAGACATGGTCGTGTCGAGGTGGTGTTTGCTCTCGCAATGAATGGCGGGTTGTCGGTGTTTTCTTCCTCTCGGTGAGCTGTTTGTGACGATGACGATGAGATGGATGGAGTGAACGACGGTGATGGTTGATGGACGATTTGAGTTTGGGTAGTTCGAGTTGGAGTTGGGAGTTTCGCAGGAGTGTTTGCAAAAGGTTGGGTCCTGAGGTGGTCAAGAGGGTTTCGGTGGTCGGAGGCTCGGTGCCTTGGTTGAATCAGGCTCGCTGAGGGAGAACGCGCGTCCTCGCTCTCGCTAAGAATGCACGACGACTGGAGACTGCGACGGTATTATTTCCACAAGGGGGCTGTGCTGTGTGCTTCGACTCGTATGGCCTGGGAGTCTGGGAGAGCGCTGATTTGAGCAGTTCTTCTGCCAGGGAAAGTTGTTGTGATGTGTTGTTATTGTGCTAGATGTGAGGATAATGTGAATACAAAATTCACAAGTGCAACAAGTGATCAGGTGAAAAGCTAGGGAAAATGTGAAGCAGAAGAAGGTCAGAGATGCGAGGGCAGTGCGGACTTCTTGACTTCTTGAAGAGCAGCCCTTGTGCACTTAACTCCGTATTTTCAGTTCTGGTGCTGGCGGCTCATTTGCTTGCAACGCCTCTGCCATCAATGCGCATCCAAGAACCAAGCACAGCCCTCTGCCCAAGCTGACCCCAGACCACAAGCTAGCGATCAGCAGACATCCGCCAATCAAGGACGCTTAAATCGACTCAGCCCCATTTTTTGCCTCTTAGGGCTGTAACGAATCTCGAACCAAGTCCACCAGCCGCCGTCCACCCTCCGTCCACGTATGGGAAAACGGCTTGTCCCATTTGCAGCCAGCAGCCAGCAGCCAACGGAAGTGACGGAAGATAATAATCGCCGAGACGGATACAAAGATGATTGGTGTATGAGCAGATTTATCGTCACGAAAAGAAGTCTGTGGATCCTTTTCTTGCTCCGACACCAGTCCGGCGCGGCTCCGGTCTTCAAAAGAATATCCGTCATTCATTTCGGCATCTTCCGCCCACGTGCTGTCCTTCCACGACCCTTCTGGAATTCTACTTCTTCGAGCTTAAAAAAAATGGAGATTCCCCCGGTCAAGACTTGGCTGCGAAGTTGAAACATGGTAGACGATCAGCGCCAGAATAGTAACATGTTTCAAGTCCAATCTCAACTTCATCTGGCTGTTCTCATCAACCGCTAACAGCATCGTCGACTGCTCTCCATTGACTCGGATCCGCTTTCTGCGCGTAGAACACAGTTCAAATGGAGGTTGCCTCTTCTGAATTTGGCTCTAGAACAAAGTACCATTACTCATACAAACTTCCTCATGGCCAAGGCAGTATCAGAACTTCATCACAAGCTTCGTCATGGCGTTTTGTGCTCGTCCATTGGTTTCTTATCGCCTTGCTTGGAATCTTGGACGGGGGTAAGTTTTCAGATTGGAGAAGTCATATTTCGTCTCAGATAGCTCTCCACCACTCACCCTTCGAAAGAACCCTCGCCCTGTTTGGATTATTCTGACAGGAGGGTTTTCTCCAGCAAGCATAAACTTGCGAATTTCAACCTTCAAGTCCTCAAATAGATTGTCATGGTCCACAAGGCTGGGCGGCCTGGAATTATTTACCACTTTTCGATCACGGCACCCCTTCCCTTGGACGTTGGATGCCGGTAGATGCGATCCGATCTGAACCTGTCCTTGAGATTAATTGACAACAGTAACAGCATCCCAACATCCTTGTTTGACACTTGCTACATCCAGCCCGGCTTCTGTGGACAGCGGTTGACTTGGAACGGCAGAACTGACTTGCTACACATGCGTCCACACCACTCACAGCCGCAAGCAAAGCAGCAGTTTTATTGCGAGTATTGCGTGTTCGAAAAGTCTTTCAGCCTCTCAACCAAAGCTATCGCAAGCCGGCTGAAACAGCTTGATATTCATCATTGGTCTAGAATTGCACTCTAGAAGTGTACTGGACCCTAAAGAATCTTTCAAGCCAGCGGCTTTTACCCGCTTTGTTAATACTGGGAAAAGCTTGACTGGCTAGTAGCTACCGAAAAACACCATGGCGCCCAAATAATGCCACGCAATTATTCACGAAATGCGTGGCTTTAAGCCACTGAGATCAAATTGCAAGAGGATGTACCCTTCCGTCCATCATGGCGCTTGAATTCGCAAGTTAGACCTTTTCAAGTATCGCTATTGGACAAACTTCGGGACGCTCTTTAGACTCGGATTGGAACTCGGATGGAAGAGAAGAATGGTCCACAACAATAAAACTAAAATTAGAAAGTTCTAGGTCAAGAAACATCGCAACTACTTCGCAAGAACCCCGGATCGCGATGTCATCCCATGTATCATATCATGCTCGTTATGTGGACGACTCTCGACTCCCGACTCGACGAGTGGACGTCGTCTCGAGTTTGAACCTGCCTCACATCGCATTAATTGTTATGTCCGGTCGATGCGAGGGCTGATATCTCTCCCGGAAGCCTACTTTCAGATATGCCATGATCAACAAATATGTCCGCCACAAAAGTTCAGACAAGTCTTTGTTTCAATCAGACATTCCACGTTGTTCAATCACTAGCCAGTGGGATCTACCCGTTGACAGCTGCATCATGGTGATCTTCCTTAGATCACCACTCCCTCGGTCGCCGATGAAGATGCCAATCCAAACATACCACGCGGTGGAAAGAATTCGCCGGATTTTTCAAAGTCGTATTTCTCGACATAACACGACCACCGATTTTTTTAAAAATCGGAAAAAAAATACTAGATTAAAGAAGAGGTGCTCTATTGTCTTGTAACTGAATCTTAGAATTATTCGGAGTATCGTTGTCGAGTTATTCGAGCTGTAAGCAAATCGCAAAATCCGACGAATTCTTTCCACCGCGTGCATACATAACATTCAAATCCGATACCGTCTCGGCGCGTTGTTGAAAGGTAAGATGATGTTATGATACTTACATGTTGGCAGTTCTTTCTCCTACGCCGATATATTCTTGACACACTCCATGAAGAACGGAGCCTATCGTCGGTTCTCCGATCTAGATCGCGCATCCCAAACATTGTTTCATCATCCACCTCGAACTCGCAACGAAAATCGACGTCTGCGAAAAGAATGATCATCGGACACTACACTGACAATTCATCCTACAGTATTGAGCAATCGCACCATCATCCGTTTGGAACTACGCCTAAAAGCTAGAGCTGCAATCTCAGTTGAGGTTCCGTTCGATATTTCGACACTTGCGATCTCAAATACAGACCCAAGCAGACCATATAGTTTTGGATGCTGACACTCAAATACGTGCAGTTTTGCTCTTGATTCCTGGTCCTTGAAGGTTGCACTAGTCTTACGGAGCGCGCGAAGAGAGCTCTCTCCTCAGGGTCTGCCTGGACAGAAGGACTTCATTGTAAGTTCGAACATTATCAAAAGAATGAAAAAATTCTCCTTATGGCACATAGAAATTATTCCTCTCCGTCTTACTCTTGGTGTTTTCATGTTCTCATTTATATAAATGTAATTCGATTAATTTCTCTTTTGGTCGTGGCCATATTCGTGGCGTCCGTAATCAAGCCGTGCTTCCAGCCTCACGGTCCCAAAGAAGATCCTCGGCTGACTTCCGATTCAACAATTGGATGATCCCCAAGTCAATGGCCCAGTATTTACGCCACGACCCTTGGAAATGGATCTATTTTCTAGAGATGGCTTTCCATGTGAGGCTGGACCGCCAGGCTGCAGAATTTCGTCGCAACTTCATGAAACCCTTTTCTATCATTTCTTCATGTTTGCGACAAGTCGTTGTCTCTCACAATGCGGCGGTCATGGTTGAACGACATCCACTCGCTGAACTGGCGATTGATATTTCTTGTTACGGTGCTTTTTATGGGCTTTTACCTCCTTATCTTTGACGATGCCCAAGCCCCTCGGTCTCCACCACCGATACCAACTACCAAAGGAAATATAGAACAGGATTTTAATGCGCAGGCGCAGTATGATAGACCTGAACCTGAACCTCAACCGACGATCCAAATTCCTCATCCAGTTTTAGGAGACAAATATGACTCTCCCCTTGATGCGGTACCTGGGCGCGTGAGACCTGGGGGTGAGTTTGGGACGGATAGCCCAGTTTTGGAGCACGTCGAGGAATCACAGCCAGAGACTGAGGAAGATTCAGAATCAGAGTCAAACGATGAGCCGATGCAAGGAGAAGAAGCCACAGAAACACCAACCGAGTCGACCCCACAATTCGGAAATGGCAAGGGGAGTCAAGATAATAAATCACCAGAATCACTTGAACCTACACCTATAAATCCTTACCTTCAAAGTACAACTACTTCTCCTTCTTGGACGACATCGGTCTGGCCATATCAAACGCATTTCGTCCCGGATACGGTCACTAGCTCGACAAAAATTGCAGTTCCAACTCCGGTGTCAGGTACTGGGGAACATGAGGAAGGGAAGGAGAAAGATTCTGGGCATGATAGTGTTCAAAGTAATGATGGTCTTACGGCAGAGCCAGGGGACTTTTACGAGGACTATACATTCCCAGATTCGTCTTCTTCGGGTCTTGATGAGAATTTACACTCAACTTCCACAACAGCCTCAGAAGCAGCGGAAACTTTCCATCCTTCAATCGATGAATCTGGCCATGCTCATGATAATACAACTAAGCTGGGCGGTGAAGACGACTTGTCAAACAACCCTCTACACACCCAAAAGAAATCATACGTAGCAATCTGCGCCGCCCTAAAAGATGTCCCCCAAGACCTCCCCGAATGGCTCATCCACCACTACCACCACCTCGAAATCCGCACCTTCTACATCATGGACGACGGCTCTTCACCCCCTCTCTCCACCTTCCCCCTCCCACCTTCCATCCCCACTGAATCCGTCATCTTCGACTACCAAGACCCCACCCAACGCACCGACGGCAACAGCCAACAACTCACCATCTACAGCCGCTGCATCGAGAAATGGGGTCATCTGCACACCTGGATGGCCTTCCTCGACGGTGACGAATTCCTCGAGCTCACCTCCCCCTCCGAAACCTTCCCCCAGCTCCTCGCCTCCTTCGAACACATCCCCAACGTCGGCGCCCTCGCCGTCAACTGGCGCATGCACACCTCCTCCGGTCTTCTCACCCGTCCCGAGAGCGTGCGCGCCGCTTTCGTGGAATGTATCTGGGATGGTCCGGGGGATGGTCCGGAGGATCATAATAAACATGTCAAGAGCATTGTGCGCACGGAATTCGTGGAGGGGCCGCGGAATCCGCATCTTTGGGCTTTGAAGGATGGACGCGTGACGGTGGGGGAGAAGGGCGATGTGGTTGAGAGTGAGGCGTTCCGGTTGCCGATTTCGAGGGAGAGGATTGCGTTGCATCATTATGCTGTGAAGAGTCGGCAGGAGTATGAGGAGAAGATGGGGAGGGGGAATGCTATGGATGGTAAGTCTCTTCGTTTTTCTTTTTGTGTAACACTATTTTTTGCTGGGGTGTTTGAGGGGTTTGCTAATAGAAGTGATAGATCCTAAAGGAGAATTCTTCTGGGATAGCGTAGAACATAGACTTCCCAAGGTTTCGTGTCCGGAAATGGCGCAGTATCGTCCTTGATTAGTCTGAGTATCCTCCTTGTTTTGTGTTAAGGTGGGAGTTATTGTCTGATATTGGATTTAGAATTGGATATAAGGAATTGTATTTATTGTATAGATAGAGTAGGAGTAATGGTAATTTAGAATGTTTAATAAGTAGCTAGGATGGTGTTATGTGTATATCTCGCTTTGTTTCCTAAAGAAAATCTATATAACTTTCCTAATCACTCTTAACAAACCGACCTCTGAAACGAAGGAAAGCGACAAGGAGTTGTACAACACAAAAGCTGTAAGCTAGGACTTAATTATCCTTACCTATCCCGTAGAACCACTCCAGAAAACAACTCCTTCCCTCTAATTTACAACCGCAAAATTCACACCTAGCTCACCCAAAACAATCCACCCCTCCGCGGGGTCTCCCAACTCGAAAACGATCTCCAATTCTCTCGTCGTGTTTCCTTCCAAAACATCTCGATCTCAAAACTACAGAAAATCCACCTAGAATTAGAAGTTCACTGCGAAATGAGAGTCTTAGGACAGGCTTGAAGTGTTGGTTGGTTGAATGGTGTAGTAGGGTGTTTTAGTCTAACAGGTAGTAAACCCTTCTATCTCGGGAAATGATTAAGAGGAAAGAAAGAAAGAAAAGGAAAATATGTGTATTTGCACGTCCATCTCTAACCACCGTTTTTCGAGGACGGTAGTTCTAATTTCTATTAATTTGAATTACTTTGATACGTAGTTCTTTCAAAAGTTGTGCGTTTTGGAATCTTCCACCTAATCTCGTCCCCCACCCACTTTCTCCACTTTCTCCCCCTCCCTTGCACATTGCCACATATTTTCAAATATTGGAAAATGTTCTCATCCAATCAGAACACCACAAAGTGTTCTCACAAACCGGGGAATTGGTTTAGTGGTATAATGTTCCCTTAGCAACGTCCCCTTCAGGGCTTGTGTTTGGGAGAGGTCGCGAGTTCGATTCTTGCATTCTCCAGTTTTTTTTTTGGCTTTCCTTCTTAGGAGGCCATTTTTGGAAAGGAGAGAGCCGGTTGTTGTAGATTAGAAAATGTTTTTTTTTTAGGCTTGGTAAGTAAACTACGATTCGAGTCTAGGGAAATTCTTTTTTGAAGGCTATAAATCGTATTCCTATTTCTACACAACCTCCTCGAACGATCTAAGCCCTTCTTATGTCTATAAAGTACGCTTTCATCTACTTATCGACCCCTGTTTTTGACATAAATCCAATACTTATAACCAGAATCATCAAACTCCTTTAGCATTACGGATAAAAGGAAGCTGGGATGACGAAAGAGGGGGGAGCGGACTTGCGGGAAGTACCACCCCAAAAAGCAAACGCCTATATCATTGGTTGAAGCTTCTTGAAGACTACAGCTTGATTGGGTGCATTTTATAGTATTTTTGGTCCACGGCTGTTCCGGGTCGCATTTGAGGGGATAGATAGTCTTTTCATTTTTTGTATGACTGGTAAGGTTATCTCTTTTGATTTTCTGTATATATATCAAGAGCTGCGCGCGCAAAGGTCTTTGTAGAACGTGTTTTGCGCTAGGATACTATTTCGCTTATGAAACTTGTCATGCAATTCTTACGTTCTCCTTGTTAACTTATTCTCGTATTCTCACATCCATGCACATTATCCTGTTCTCACGTCCCCCTTATTCAAAACTCATCGTCTTATCCTCACATACCCACACCATCCTGTTCTCACATTCTCACATATCTGTATACCCGCTATTCCCCTTTCACCTATCCAACAGAGATCGCCAATCATTGTATTCGGTTCTCGGATTTAGGAAATCGAGTCGAGGTAGGCAGGGATTTACAACGGTAGGTTGGATTGTTAGGGACAGGTGAGGGGTGGGATAGGGGGAGTTCGTCGGATTTGTGTGGGGGATGGGTTTGTTGGGAGGGGTTATAGAGATAGGGTTGTTATGGGGGAGGGTGAGAGGAGGTTGGATGGGTGATGAGAGATGGGAGATGATGGTTGAAAGAGAAGGGTCAAGAACTAAGGAATGGCTTTAAGATAATGGTATAAACTACATCCAAAGATCGAGGAAAATACACATACTCCCATTCCACATAATCACACTAATTCGAACACCCAACTCCAAACCCAACAAATTCAATCATCAACAGTGCCAGGTTTATACTTCATCCCACTCCAAGCCTCCACCCCCCTCCTCTTCCGATCCCTAGGCGGCGCACTCCAACTACGACTCCTATCCCTCCACGTCCTCCTACCACTCCACGCCCTTCTATCTCTCCTCCATCTCGGCCTCCCCCTCCATCCCCAAACAACCCAATCAAACACCCTCCCCCTCCTCCCCCTCTGCCTAGGCCTAGTCCACCCCTCAATCCCCACCCCGCGCTCACTTCCCCGTCTACTCCTCCCATCACTCCCCCTTCCACTCCTCCCCTCCCAACTCTCATCACGCCCCCTCCTCCACGTCCGCTCGGGATACCTAATCCCCCTCCCTCCCCACTCCCCGCCGCCACCCCTCTGTCTCATCGGCGGCGGGCCGGGAGAATAATAACTCTCACTGTCATACGAGCTATAACTGATCGTATCCCTCGTATCCCAGAACCGATAATACGGTCTGCATTTCCAGAGGAACCAGAAGAGGAACAGGAAACCGACGACGCTGCCGATTACGGCGCCGGCGACGGTGCCGCGGTTGCTGGATTCGCCGACGGGGGTGATGAGGGCGGCGGTAGGAGTGGTTGTAGGGGAAGTGGGGACGGAGATGGGAGATTGTTGGATGGGAATGGTTGTGGGGGAGGAGCCGAGGGGGATAATGGTTGTGTAGACTGTTGAGTCGCGGGTTATGGTTAAGGTGACGATGCGTTGGGTAGGTTCGGCCTGGCGATGTTGGCGGGGTTGAGGCTGAGGAGGTGCCATTTTGATTAGGTTTTGGTGATTTCTAGTTGTATGTCTGGTTTCGAAACGGCATTGACAAGATCAGACGAAGAAACGAGGCCAGATATTAGTGATCTTTGGTCGTTGGTATGACTCTGAAACAACATCGACGAGATCAGTCGAAAAAAGTCGAGCCTGATGAGGAACCACGACGTCCAAATAGTCCCCGCGAAGGATCATATGCCAATATATCCGCCCAGTCCTGACGTCTCACCACATTACCAGCGCCCAGTTCGAGCGCAGCCTTGTTGGTGAAGTCGAGGAAACTCGGTAGCAAACGCACCACCCATTGGTGCGGGACGATTAGGTGATGCGAGGAAGCAAACGGATTTGCTTCTTCGTACCGGGCGTCATCATAGCTCAGCTTAGCTATCGTGTGAGTGGTCTCGGATGTCATTGATCACGAAGGAGGGGTGTGCATATCGATAGTGCTCTTGCATATGCAAGTATGTCAAGTATTCATGCGTCTTGATCAGATTGCCCAATCAGAACTGCTTATTCTGAAGCTGTCAAACAGAATCAGAGCCTTATCTGACATCCTATCGGGTGTATAAAGCGCTTTGCTTTTTTGGGACGATGGTGGTATATGTGACAGAATCAGGTCTTAATTGAAATAACTCCCGCTTTCTGCGTCGTACGATGAATCTCCATCGAACAGGGTTTGCCAGTATTCCCAATCAACCGAGTTAATCTCAGGCATCTCTACATCAAGATCCAGATCGATGTTTGCGAATTGATTTGCATTGTCCTGGAGCATATTTTGTACCGTTGCTGAATTTTGAGGATTGTAATTCGGAACTTGCGCATATTGGGCTGGTGGTACGGCCTGTCCAAAATTGTAGCTTGGTGCACCTGGTTTAGCGATCTCTGAGCCTTTCCTGAGCTCTCGAAGACGTTTGATGAACTGAGGAGTTTCCGATTCGTACCCGGTCAAACCAGTGAGTCCGGCTTCTTCTCTCCTACGCCATGCTTTAAGACACAAGTTCCCGATTGCAACATACAAAGGATTCTTCATGTTATCAATCATGTCAGTGTGGTACTCATAGGTAGCTTTGACGAGGCGCCATGCTCGATCGACGTCCTCTCCCGTGAGCCGGACTCGTAATTCTCCCAAGAGAAAGATAAATCCATCCTCCTGAAAATACTGCGAGATCTGCCAAACAAATCCGCGAATAGCTTTAATGGTGTAACCAAGATTGTCAATCTCAAGCTCGGTTATACTCAATTGAAATAGCATATCTCGTTCGCTCTGTGGCATACTTGCTCCCTTATCTGGATATTGCCGCGGATGATGAGCCATAAGCCTCATTGAGGCGATGACTGAACTTGCCATATGTTTAATAACAATGTGTAATGGTATTGACGGATCACAGTATTTGAGATACTTTTCTTTAAAAGTCTTGTCAAGCTCGTCAATGGCCGCGTCTTTCTTGCCAATGAGAGAAGCGTCAGAATGTTTGTCGAAGACAGTACCAATTCCATCTGTTGCAAAGGCACCCGCTCTTCGAATTGCAGCGGCTACCTCGTATCGCATACAGCTAAACATCATCTCTGTTGCTCCGACCTTTTCTTCGGGCAGAATTTTCATTTCGGGGTTCAGATCGCTATCACTGAGGTTCAATGGGATCTTGGTATCGAAATTTATAAGCCACGAAGGAAACCCTGCGCCAGCCAGCTTTGATGCATGGCCATCCAAAAAGATGATTGTCCACCAGGTCCTTCTCCTCATTTCAGCATCGAAAACGGATATTTTCCAACGAGAACCATCACGATGGAGTCCAAGTCGTTGAGCAATTCGGACAGCGGAGCCGGTTAGAACCCAAATCGAGTGAGCATCATAATACTTGCGAACGCCAAGCTGAAAAATGCTTAGTTGATATATTTTTGCAAGTGAGCTTGAGGGGTTAAATGTACTTACAAGGTAGTAAACATAAGCTTGCAATGTATAGAGATTGAGTGACTTCAGAAACTTGGAGTTTACGAGAGCTTGATGTGTAGCGCGCGAGTACTTTCGAATGAGACTCGCTTGAGATTCTCCAAACATTGATTCGCAGGCCGAATCTTCTAATGACGTAACTGCCAGAAGATAGATGCTGAACATGAGCGCTTCTACTGGCCGAGAGACTGTTTTCAAATTTGCGGCAGCATCAAGAATAAGCTGCTGTACAGTTGGGGCATGAAACATGGTGATGAGAGGGTTGACATTGTTGAGAAACGTCTGCCATAATCGAAAGATATGAACCGGTTGTGGATGCGCTTCAGTCAGTTTTCTTGAAGGTATCATATGCCCAAGCAGGAATAATTCCGCTTCCGGATACAGTTCGCCCTCGTTGGATTCATCCTCAGACGAGGAGTGATCCGTAACGTCGTCTTTGGTATCTGCAATTTCCTCTTTGAGATTCTCCCACAAAGTACTTGAAGACTGTTAGCCTACTTTCAATGTAGCTTTTGAAGACTTTATTAGTCGATGGAAAAGACTTCTCATAAGGAAGTTCTCAATAATTAAGGCGGGTTGACACTTGTGCACACCAAGACTGTCTAACCAGGCTTTGGAACAAAGCCTTGTAATCCGGAATTGTGCGTGAGGAGTTATGCACCGAAGTTGCGTACTGAATAGCTTTATAGGATTATTGAAAGAATGAAAAACATACTTTTCAACATAATGAGCCTCTTCCTTATGAATAAACAAAGTCCCCGTCTCGGCGTTCGGAGGTCTCGGCGCTGTAAGTCCGATAGTTGTCCTGTCGTCCCAGCTTCTTGGAGGCTGGGGCTGGAACACTTCGCAGGTTGCTTTCGTAGGCTCTTCACTTGGGCGAGAACCTTCCTCGTCTTCGTCGATTTTGACACCATGGGTCTTGAGTAGTTGCTCATAGCGTTTAAGCTTGCCCATGACATCTGTCTCGGACGTTTTTTGTCTTCTTCTTCTCGCTAGTGTGGGAATGCTAGCAATACATTCGACTCTAGCTTTGACACAATTCGAACATGGTTTTTGTCTGTCACAACGGACTTTCCTCTGCTGACAGAGAACACATGAGTGGCCTCTTGTGATTTTCGAAGCTATATAATAAGTCTTAGCGATGAGGAAGAATCACATTTGAAGTTGTTTGCTGAGCATCCAAGATCAAGACTCATGTTATGGACTAGTGTGGACAGATTGCTAAACATACCAGGAGTATAAGCTGGTGGAGCCGATTCAGGTGTTGCTGAAGGCGAGGCCAACATCTTGAATTGTTACAGAGCTCATTCGGCACCACGATCGCAAGTCTCTTTAGTTATCAGTCGTATATCGAAGAATTTAACAGTACCAGAAGGAGATATTGTTTATTTGGCGCCGAATCCGCCGATCGGGGCCACGGAAATATCAATTGAAGGGGTGAATTTCAAAGGAATCGACAAACCCGGTATTCAGTGACGATGTTTCTTCGTAATTGGGTAATTCACCCCAACAACATCTTTGATACATTCCGAAGGAGAGGATCGAATAATATGCATCGACCTCGCGGCTACGAGCTCGCAGCTTCGGATCACAGACGGTTGCGAAAAAGCGGGTCTATATCATGTGATAGCGTATCCACAAAACCCTGCTGCACCAACCAACACTCAGGAAACAGCGCTGCCTCTTCCTCGGAAAGTACTTCGGTCCCGAGCTTAGAGTCTAGACCATTTCCCCCTGTCTTCACCATTCGCGCCGCAAATGAGTCGACAATCAATATGCTCATGACCGTCAGATATTGACCCTTGCCTTCAGGTCTACCTACTGTTTTGCGAGATGTTCCACCTTGCGTATTGTTCTACTTTGCGAGATGTTCCCATGTGGTATCGGAGCCGAGACGTGGTGTCTATGTTCGTGACCGAGTAACCTATGCAGCGTGCCGCGATTGGTGTGCAGGCTGCAAGAGCAGCGGTGGCTTGATCTCGCTGAATGCTGCACTTTTAAGGAATATATTTATATGACTTGGCGGTCCCGTCCAACTCGAAATGTGAATATTGCCAACAACAGTTTTTGTACCTTCTTATATTCTTTGTCATTACTTTGACTCGGTTGGTTTTTTCAAGCTCGGGGCTCCTCCATTGTAAATACACGGCATAGCAAAAAGATTATAATGGCTGTCGCAAACGAACCCAGAATGTCGACGGAAAAGGTTGTAGATGTGGAGAAGGGAAGCGAAACCCCAGCAACAACGGATGTCGCAATCAAAGAAGAAGATATTCAGTATCCAACAGGGCAGAAGCTAGTGTTGCTCATGGTAGCCCTCTACCTATGCATGTTTATTGTCGCTCTAGTAGGATATTTTCATACAATCCTCTATCCATCTCGTTACTAACCCTGACTAGGACCGTACCATCATTGGAACGGCAATTCCAAAGATCACGGACGACTTCAAAAGTATAGGCGATGTTGGGTGGTATGCTAGTTCATATCTCATCACCATGTGTGCTTTCCAGCTCATCTATGGCCGGATTTATACTTTTTACTCTCCGAAATGGGTACTGCTCTATGCGATTGCAGTATTTGAGATAGGAGTGAGTATTATGCTCCAAGTTGAGCCTCATTGTGGAAGTGTACTAATGTTGAAATAGTCAGCCATATGTGGGGCTGCGCCAAACTCGGTTGCATTCATCATTGGACGATCAATTTGTACTATACCCTATTGCCTTATATCAACGTGTGCTAATAAGTCTTTGTTTAGCCGGACTAGGGAGTGCAGGTATATTCTCTGGTGTTGTCATCATCATGGTATTCTCGGTCCCACTCGCGAAGAGACCTGTTTATCAAGGCCTTTTCGGAGCCGTTTTCGGCATCGCTTCTGTCACAGGACCACTATTAGGAGGCGTGTTTACGACAAAAGTTTCTTGGAGATGGTGCTTCTATATCAATCTCCCAATTGGCGCCGTTGTGGTGGCCATTGTCATTCTGATACTAGACTTACCACCTACTAAAAACAAGGATTCTTTGAAGGAACAATTCTTCAAGCTCGACCCTTACGGCACAGCTGTTTTCTTGCCAGGAGTTGTGTGTCTCCTACTTGCCTTGCAATGGGGTGGTACCGTTTACGCATGGAAAAGCGCTCGAATAATTGCTCTGATCATTCTGGCAGCGTTTCTCCTCGTTGTCTTCGCGGTCATCCAAGTCAAATCGGGCGATCGAGCGACAGTCCCAATTCGCATTATAAAACAGCGTAGCATCATCGCCGGTGCCTGTTCATCATTCATCAATGCTGGATCTATGATGATCACAATCTACTACCTCCCGATTTGGTTTCAAGCAATTAAAGGTTACTCAGCGGTCAAATCAGGAGTCGATACGCTTCCCCTTGTTCTGGCTCTCGTAGCAGCTAGCATTGTTTCCGGGGGGTTGACTGCGAAGACAGGATACTACACAGGCCAGTTAATCGCCAGCTCTATCATCAGCTCCGTCGGTGCTGGTCTTTTAACCACCTTGAAGGTAAGTAGTCCGAAATCCACCTGGATTGGGTTTCAGTTTCTCTATGGGTTTGGTCTGGGACTCGGTATGCAGCAGCCTGGCATGGCTGCGCAGACGGTTCTGGAACATAAAGATGTGATGACTGGTGTGTCCATCATGTTCTTGTTTCAGGGTCTTGGAGGCGCCATCTGGGTTTCCGTTGGTCAAACGGTTTTCAACCAAGCTCTCCTTACGAAGTTCAGCCATATCGCCAATCTCAACGTCGCTCAAATTGTCAACACCGGTGCTACAGAGATCAGACACCTTGTCGACCCAGCCATGCTTCCAGAAGTTTTGGTAGCGTACAATGGCGCATTGATGGATATCTTGAAGGTCGCCGCTGCCCTATCGGCTGCAGCTATCATCGGTGGCTTGACAATGGAATGGAGGAGTGTCAAGAACAAGAACGGTGCTGGCGTGAAGAAGAACGTGAAAGCTGAAAAGAGCGTTGAGCCAAGCAATGAGCAGGAAAATGGGAGTGCGAGAACGAGCAGGAATAGTGTGGTCGATCCAGAGCTGAATGAAAAGCTATAGAGTTGCGTTGGAGGATTTCTTTTGTTTGTATTTCTGATAGCGATAGAATTTCTGCTCAATAGCAAAGCGGACAATTAGATTAGGTTAGTATACACAGTCTCGCAGTAGACAAAATGACAATAATATAAAATATTAGAATTTTACCTTCCTGTACCGTGCTGGCACATTTATTTGCGCTACTTTGTGTTCGGGTCCGTGGATCTCCCTACTCGGAAGAATTCGTCGAAGTTATATTCAGGAAGAAGTTGTCGGACTATACACGTTAGAGTGTTGTAGGACATCCGATAGTAGAGTATAGATGAATTCACGCTTCCGCACATAACCTTTTGCTAAGACGATTAGATAAGGCTTGGCCCTGCGTTGACAAGTCGGCGATACATGACAAGGCTTGGTGGTTATTGGCAACCTTTCGCCCTGACATTTTAGAATTGCTGGTGAAATGGTGGTCCTTGGTGAGGTACCCTTCTTACGTATCACCAGCAGATGAAGGCACGGCAATTCGCTGCACGTCTCTGGTGGCGTCGTACGGAGTACAAGACCCTCATTCTTATTCTCCATGTGGGATGGATGGTCCATGAACCAGCGTCTCGGTCGTCACAAAGAGCCGTGATTCTCGGGTATCGTTCGCCGTTCGGAGCGGTTGTTCGGTATCGTTAGAATGTATTTATACCACTATTTGGCCTTTCAAAGCATGGAGGAAAGGATAAATGTTGTTTACTCGAGATGTTTGCCCCCACGACTCCAAAACCTGAGAAGCCGACATGCGTGCAAGCGAGGGCGGTCATTGACTAATCCCGATGCAGCTATAAGTGGGACCGCAGAAGCACAGGCCAATTGACATGACGTCTGGACAGACGCTCAACAAATTAACTATACAGAAGTTACGGTGAGGATATATGCTTTTAATTGTATTTCACATTGTAAAGCAGTGATAGATATTCTCTATCTTAGCCTTAAACTCTTATCATCTATATGTTGTATGCTAATTAACTGCTTTTTGTTAGATCCAATTTCTCATCTGATTTTGCAATCTAAGGTTCTCGAACCTCCGGGGGTGGCTAGTCGGCCAAGCATTCATCGATCCGACTTCTCTGCTCCACGTGCATACCCTCTTCTCGGGCATCTCCCCAATTATATCTTCGAATTCGCATTTCTTCCACTCTTTTCTTTCTCGGCGTGCTTGGCCTCTCTCTTCCACTCTCAAAAACAAGTCCTGCCGACTCTTGGTACCAATGCTCAGCAAACATAAGAACGAAGCTTAGTCCCGTCAAGACGCTTGGGATTTTTCTTTGCCTCTTGTCGAAACTAGTCGGGACCTCCTAGTCGCCCTAAACTCGATCATTTCTCTGCCCTCACCTCCCCGCAGCTGGGCGAATCTGGCACATCACGAAAAGCAGTCGGTTCAATTATACGAAGACTCGAATAACCGATACCCTTAGGTCCCAGAGACGTCGGAACCGGTGTGAGGACGGCTTGGACGATACCAAAACCCTTTTTAGTTGGAAGGTGCGGCGACTGGGCGCAACCAGCATCTGAATGCTGCGAAACGATATCTTTACCTTGTACAGAGCGTTTGAAGACTGGGGAATTGCGAATCCAGCAGAGAACGGTTGACGATACCTTCTGCCGAGCCACCGGGCTTACTATTTACGAAAAACACGAACAACCAACTGCAGAAAGGTAGTTTGGGAAACATAAAAGTACATACGAATTACAAGTACATAATTTCAAGATGGCTTGGGATCACCTCTCGATCAACCGGCCGCATTTGGTCTACATCATTCTTGGTGGGTTTACATCGCTGTTCATGCTTTGTTCGTCCTTCATCAAGGAAAGACTGTATATCGGTGAAGCGACTGTCGCCACTATATGCGGCATCATATTCGGTCCACACGCCGCCGATTTGATCAATCCGCTGGAATGGGGGAACACCGATCAGATCACGCTCGAATTTTCTCGAATTGTTCTTGTGGTGCAATGTTTTGCCGTTGGGGTCGAATTGCCCAAATACTACATGGAAAAGCATTGGAGGAGTGTGGTATTTCTCTTGATACCTGTGATGACATTTGGTTGGCTGATAACCAGTCTTTTCATCTGGTGGATGGTGCTACCGCTTACCTGGCTTGAGAGTCTCTGCGTTGCAGCTTGTGTGACTGCTACGGATCCTGTCTTAGCCAGTTCCGTTGTTGGTAAAGGCAAATTTGCAAAGAGGATTCCAAAGCATTTGCGAGACATTCTCTCTGCAGAGTCCGGATGCAACGACGGCATGGCATTTCCTTTCGTTTATCTGGCCTTATACTTGATTGAATATAGACCGGATGCCAACGCGGTCGCCTACCATTGGATTGTTCTGACCATTTTGTACGAATGTGTCTTTGGTGCTGTGTACGGTTTCTTGATTGGATATATTGGAAGACACGGTATCAAATATGCTGAAAAGCATGAGTTGGTAGACAGAGAGAGTTTTCTTGTCTTTTACTTTGTGCTTGCCTTGTTTTGCGCTGGCTCTGGGAGCATTCTTGGTGTTGATGATTTACTGGTCGGTTTTGCTGCAGGGGTTGGCTTTTCAAACGACGGTTGGTTCTCGCAAAAGACCGAGGAATCTCACGTTTCCAACGTTATTGATCTGTTGATCAACTTGGCATATTTCGTCTACTTGGGAACAATCATTCCTTGGGAGCAGTACAACAATGCGGATCTTGGACTTACACCATGGCGCTTAGTCGTCATCGCCTTATTCGTCATCTTTTTTCGCCGCATACCGATTATGTTGGCATTGAAACCATTTATACCGGACATTAAGACCTGGCGCGAAGCACTTTTTGCAGGACATTTTGGACCGATTGGAGTAGGGGCTATTTTTGTCGCTATTCTCGCGAGAGCCGAACTGGAAACAGAGACGACCACACCTTTGGCATCTTACCCCGATCCAGAAGCACACAACTACACTGTCGTAGCTCTCATATGGCCGATCACGACCTTCCTTGTTATCTCCTCGATTATAGTTCACGGCTCCTCGATTGCAGTTTTTACCCTTGGCAAGCATATCCACACCCTAAATCTACAATTGTCATACACTATAGGAAATACCGACGGCCCAACCTGGATGAACCGACTGCCTCGCATATCATCCACATCAAGATCCCAGGCCAAGTCCTATACTTCAGACACTGAGGCCGATGAACCTAGGGCAGAAGACTTTCCACCAGGGACATTTCCACCGGGCACGTTACCTCCAACTGGGGTACCTGGGCAGTTCTTGAGACGACAGAGGGAGGAAGACAACCCCAGTCGCGCGGGTAGCCGTGCCTCTTCACTCATTTCTCGACGCCGAAAGAAGAAGTGGGATGATGGTCGCGGTCCTGGAGGCCCTATTCAACAGTCTGCAATCTATCCCGTCAGACGAAACCAGACAAACCAGACAAACCAGACCGAGCAGCTTAGCGAGCAGACCTCTGAAACTTTGACGCCTGGAAATGGATCAAGTGAGAATGAAAAGGAGAGCGATGAGGAGCCCCATCGCAAAGAATCGGAACGTGATCCAGAGAAAGCAAGCGAGTACTTCAGCAAAGCTGAACGTCATCCAGATCGCCGAGAGGTGTTCGATGAAGGTGATAATGAAATTATTGAGAATGAGGACGGCGACGTGCTAGATGTTGAGAAAACTCCTTCGAAGAAAAAGCAGGAACTCCCACCACAGCTCGACCCATCACACAAAAATTTCAAAGGCAAATTTAGCGCTTGGAGGCATCGAGGAGAGCCCGTAGAGGATGAAGCGAATAAAACACAAAGACGTGGTGCTGCCTTGGCTTACCAGTTTGGTAATACGGTACGCTACTCCTTTCCATTTGATTTGACACTCACTAATTGCGGAAACAGATTATTGTTGAAGATGAAGACGGTGAAGTCGTCAAAAAGTATGCACTCCCACCGGCTGTCAAGGAGCCGAAAAAGCCAGGGGAGTCAAGTACCGTTCAACAAGGAATTGACATGATGAGTGGCTGGGTTGGATTCGGGCCTAAGAAGGTTGAACCTAAACCTGAGATGGCAGAGAAAGGCGACGCTACTCAAAGCAAGCGACCTACGCCAAAATCAAATCCATCTGCTGTTCGCCAAGGCTTGCAACGGATGGGAACTTGGGCTGGAGTTAAGCCGGCAGAGCAAGACGAAGAGGACGATAGACAAATTCGATTCATGATTGGCGGTGCTGGACGTCGTCTTACTAAAGAAGATTTCTTGAAGGAGATTCAAAGTCTCGATCCCAAGGCTCGTTGCGAGATCATCAAGGAAAGCGATGCACCAGAGGAGATGAAAGAATTGGCCAGAAAGGACGCGAGCAAAGATGCTCCGGGATCGAGCCGCCTCTATGCTGCCAAGAATCCACAATTTGTCACAAGATCAGCTGGAAAGCAAAATACAAAGGGCCGGACAATCGATGAGGAGGAAGAGTCACGGCCACGGACAGGGAGAGGTCGACCAATACCTGAGATCTCGAGACCAGTCTCATCAAATTCAAGAAAGATTTCAAGCTCACCATCAGACGATGATGATGATCTCGTTGAATCTGCAGCTGAGCGTAGACGGCGCCAGCAAGCACTGAGAGGTGTAGACGACGATGACGAAGATGTCAGCCCAGGTAGAGGACGAAGCCGTCAAGTGGAGGACGAGGAGGATGGAGAAGTCGAAGAATCAGCAGCAGAACGAAGACGGAGAGAAGCAGCTCTTAGCACTGTCCAAGATGACAGTGACGATGACGATACGCCGCGCGTGCCGCCACCAGTCGCAAAACCTAGCAGAGGTATCAGATTTGCACAAAGTCCAGTGCGAGGAAAGTAGACCGCACATGTCTATAAATTGGCAGCTGGAATTAGAAGATTAGTTTTGGAGCATTCATAGCAAGCGTGGGTGTTTGTAGTATGATGTATATGGCTGTACCTTTGTTTTTAATTGATTAAAAATATAAATATAGTTAGACATGACTATAAGGATTGATCTCTGAATGTGTATACGTGCAATGCATTTGAATTCAAGGTCCATCAGCTGCTTGCGTTTAGCTCTAGAGGCGTTGGCGTCGAAACTTGACCCCATTCTTAGTCACTATCTTTATCGTTATCATACGCCGATGCGGGGTTATTAGCGATCAACTGTCTGTCTCAAGCTCAACAGCCAGACTTAACATTCTTCTCAACTTATAAGCAACGATACAAGTGTAGCCCAAAGGCTTTGAGGTTGTACACTTCTTGACAGGATTGTGTAAGGATTTTCTATGAATGGGTAGAAATATAATTTTTTAGGCCCGGCGAAGACAGGACAAGGCAAGTGACTCATTACAAGGCCTTTCTTTACTAAACTAATTTACTGTATAGCTCGATTACTGGCAAGAGGCATCTAAGTACTATTTGGTTGTCACACGTGACTCGTATAACAGACTTGATCACATTCCATCTTGAAGCCGAGAGAAAAAGCACGACGACCACCATCAGCCAGTGCCAACCACAGACCCTCGAATTCACTCGTAAGATGATATTGCTCAGCATACCGGTCTTAGGAGTCATCCTAATCGGTTGCGCTGCGATATACAGATACATTATACATCCTGCCTTCATCTCACCGCTCGGAAAGGTTCCTAATGCTCACTGGTCGGCTCCTTTCTCAAACCTCTGGATTCTATGGATTCGATATAAGGTTAGAGAGAACCGTACCGTTTATGCTGCTCACCAAGCGCTGGGTCCGGTTGTCAGACTGGGCCCTTCGGAACTGAGTGTTAATGATGTCAATGGGTTGAGATCCATATATGCTGGAGGGATGGAGAAAGGGGAGTGGTATTCTATTTTTGATAATTATGGGTAAGCCATTCAGTTTTATGAATTTTCGAGTGTTTTTGGTTAACGCAGCTGATTGTTGATAGGGTACCTTGTATGTTCTCTTCGTGGCACTCAAAACCACATTCCGTTCGGAAGCGAATGATATCTCACATCTACTCCAAAACCACAATCCAGACTTCACCAGCTCTCCAATCTCAAACTCAAACTATCATCTATGACCGTCTTCTTCCCAAATTATCGTCTCCAGCAGCAATCTCTAACGTTGGCGTCGATGTCCATTCCATCTTCAACGCAACCACTATGGATTTCATAACGTGCTATCTATTCGGACTGAAAAATGGAAGTAACTTTCTAGATGACCCAAGGGAAAGAGGAAGATGGTTGGATCTTTATCACAGTCGAAAGACCCATACCTTCTTCAACCAGGAATTACCAAGATTTACCAAATTCATGAGACGGTGGGGAGTGGATCTGGTGCCGAGATGGGTAGATGATGCAAATGCTGAATTGGAGGATTGGACTATGAAAGGATGTGAGAACACCAAAGCTTACTTGAAGACTTCTCACGGCAATCACCAAAATGTTGGCGATGAGCCCGTCGTCATAAACGCCATCCTCGCGGGAATTGAAAAAGAAGAAAAGACCAAAGGTTCAGAATCAGTTCTAGCGACCGAAACTCTAAAGTATCAAGACAAAAGCATCGCCTCAGAAATGATCGATCACCTCGCCGCCGGCCACGAAACCTCTGGTATCACATTAACCTACATCGCATGGTACCTCTCTCAAAACCCTCGTCTCCAAGACGAACTTCGAGCCGAGCTCTTAAATCTCTCTCCATCTTTCAAAATCTCATCAAACAACAAAGACCTACCGCCCACCAAAACCATCGATGCCCTCCCCCTCCTCCACGCAATCATAATGGAAACCCTCCGTCTCAACGCCGCAATCCCAGGCTCCCAACCCCGCCAAACACCCTTCCCATCCACCTTCCTCGGTCCCTACACCATCCCCGGCGGCACCCGCGTCTCTTCTGCAGCTTACACACTCCATCGCGCCCCTTCCGCCTTCCCTGACCCGGAAGTCTGGGATCACACGCGCTTTTTAAACACTGGGAAATCGGAGCAGCAGATTAAGGATAGAGATAGACATTTTTGGGCGTTTAGTAGTGGAGGACGCATGTGTGTGGGTAGCAATTTCGCGATGCAGGAATTGAAAATGGTGGTTGCGGCTATTTGGACGAATTTTAGAACGGTGGTGGTGGATGATAAGGGGATGGAGCAGGAGGATGGGTATACGTGTGGGCCGGTGGGAAATCGGTTGGTATTGAGATTTGAGGAGGTAGTGTAGGGTGTTCAGTTTAGAAGAAGGGATTGAGAAGATGGGGAGTTAGGGAAGGGGGATTAAAGGGAAGGGGCATTAAAGGGAAGGGGGATTAAAGGGAAGGGTTGGAAGGTTGACATCACAGGGAGTGTTTTCGCTTTTGCTTGATGTTATGATAAGAAGGCATACACAAAATATTCGGCTCTGTATTGGATGTTAGATTATTCTCTGCTAATGGAAGTTTAAAATCTGCAATCGAGGTTAAGTGAGGTAGACGTTATTTACCACGCAGGACATGCGGTTTCTTTTCCTTCGATAGTGGGAAAAGAACACTGGTTTAATACGATAAGCAAACAGTGAGTTTTTCTCATATGGCCTGCCTTAAAGTTCCATGCCCAAGTATGCGACAGTAAGAGGAATTACGTGTCTTGGATCAGAAACAATGAATTCGCTAGTTGTTGACATAATTCTCATTACAGCTAAGATTCTCAATGGTTAGAATTCAACGCTATAAAAGAGAGATCTACGTCCTAAATTTACTGTACTTCTTTCCAAAATTTAACACGTCCCAAGTTTTTTCACCAAAAGAAAAGTTGGGAGTGTGGCGGACACACTGAGTAGGTGATTACTTCTCGACTCCTTAGGGAATTGTGCAACCCCACTGGTAGTAATATGTTTTGTGCCAAATGTCACATTTTTAAGCAAAAGTGACATCAGAGTAACCCATTAAAGATCATTCTCCCCATTGCTATCAAGAACACATACTGAGCCCCTCTTTCCGTTAGTTAAAAACATTATCCTCGTAACCCACCAACCCATTTCTCTAAAATAAGCGAGATTTTTCACATGTCAAAGCCCCCCTCCAAAACTCCCAAAAAAAGGAACGTCAGAGGTAGTTTTCTAATCTTCCTGAAACTCTCAGCAACCCAAAAAAATTGCAAAAGGTAATGAGCCCGGGCGGTTAGTCCCTTAGCAATGCCTGGTTTCGATCCAGGGACCTCCGGGTTATGAGCCCGGCGCGCTTCCGCTGCGCCACATTGCTTTGTTTATCGCATCTCATTGGTGGAAATAATGCTTTTTTAAATATATATACAAATAGTTTAAAGAAGAGCGGTGTTCTACGAGCCCTTGGGTAATAAATCTAAGGTGTATTTATTTGTATAGTAAATAATTCACAGGAGCTTGCTTGTTAATGCTTGAGGTCACTACTTGGGGTGTTCTTTTCATGTATTAAATCTTGTTTTCTTTGGAGAGCGGCAGTAATACGTTTCTCGTACTCCATCTTTTGATGTACCATGTATTCTCCAGATTTGCATGTGCGTCGAAACCCCTTCCGTTCTGTGAATTAATCAAAACTGGAAAACATTTTCCTGTTTCAACCCGGTTCTCATGTGAATATCACAACAATTCGCTGATCTTAACTCCCAACTACCAAAACCATCTCGGAGGCGCTACATCTAAAGAGCAGGTGTCGACTACTAGCTTCACTCCGTTCCCCAAACCCCTAATCCCCAAACCCAAGACCATCCTAACAAAACACCCCTAACCCGGGGAAACTCCAGGATCCGGCATCCAAAATCCAAATGGCATTTTCAACCCCAGAAAGTCCACCCAAGAACATCAGGACCCTGCCTCCGTCCGAACCGACGCCCAAAAAAAAGCAAAAAAAGCAAATACCGAAACAAAAAATCCTCAAAACCTGGTCCTGGGAGACGGAGTACCATAAAACGAGGTAAAAAACCCACACCAATAGCCAAGTTTCGAAGCACCCCCCACGGCATGTCACCTCGGCAGCTCAGACGTGTAGATTGGGGTCTACGTATCTTTTGGAGGCGACGTCGCGTATGGCCATGCACTCTTCCCAAACCGTTGCGACTTTTTTTGCTTTTTGGAGGAGAAACAAATTGGAAAGATTCGAAACGAGAGGGGATGCGGATCTCTCGTGTTGTTGTCTTAGTATAGTGATGGAGTCTTTATGCGTTACCGATACAAAGGAAAACTTTTCTACGCGCAAGTGAGAAGCGACGTGGTACAGAAGTTTCGATGCAGCAAAAGTATTTCAAGACATTAATGCCTATATCTAACATCCCAAACAGCTCTTCTGTAAGACCCCATCCCAATTCGTATCCCATGCATGGAAACGCCAACACATTTGGTATATGACATAAAAGATAATGCATCCATTTTTAGACACCCGTTGAATGACTCCCAATGCATCCCGGCCCCCCATCTCTGCTCGATCAGTTGGTACAATAAGTTTGTATGTACAATCCTTCGACTCCATTATTGCCTGAATAGACTCTTGGGCCATTCTTATCGGATATGGTTACCACTGAAAGTCTTTACCGGAATCCTGTTCCCCAGCGGGGACTTCCGTTTTTGATAGCGAATATTTTTCGCCAAGGAAGAATGTTAAATGATATTCGTAATGCTCATCCTCTCATTACCTTTACCTCTTTCCCTCCCACTGTCTCCTCGTGGCGGCGCTCCCTGCACTCCTCTAAAACCCGCTTGTTGATAGGCACTTCCTGACTCCCTAGCCAATATACTGAGTAAGTATTCAACTCTTTCCCAGCCACCCCAGTCCCTAGCCTCTACATCACTCAATATGGCCGTCCCATTCTCGTTCCCACCCCGATGTAAAGTAGGACTAAGACCTTTCGTCCCAATGTTCGCAGCAATATCCATGCCAGTCTCGCCGCCGGTCCAAACCCAGCTATTTTCGGTACTGGCTTGTAAATCTCCTGAAACGTACGCAATGAGCTCCTCATCTATTTCACGCCCATTACTTGGACCACCAAACCCAGCAGAGCCTCCACTGCGCCGTTTTTCGATGAGAACGTCGAGGAAGAATGCGATGTTGCGCCCACAGGCCACATTGACGTCTCGAAGCGTGGCTATGATGCTAGACGCCCTGATACACGTCAGTGCCGCATCCAGTTGGCTAGCAAAGAGGAGGATCAGAGTACAGCGCCAGATATGCGTGCAGGTCAGCGCGTTAGCAGTGGACCCGAAAAGCGGTATCTCAGGGGTCGGAGAGGCTGGAAACGTCATGGCTCGAGCAAAAAGTTTCATAGAGTCGAGGGCGACTCTTATACATTTTTCAATGGCGTTGCTTCGTACTTCTGGCGGACATGAGGTAGTGAGATTATGTCTATGCAAGACCAGTCGAGCATTCATCAGGTAGCATATCGGTGCTAGCATTATTGGATTGAGCGGTTCTTGCGCTGTGGGTTGACATTCGGGTGGAAAAGCGGACATGCAGGAATTGAAATGCGTGTCGAAGGTAGCGAGGGTGGTTAAAGAGATGATCGGTAACTTTAGTGTTTTGATAAGCTGCGAGACAGAACGTACGACATGAATTATAGGAAGAACAAAATTCGTCAGGGGAGATGCGCCTGTCGGGACCATTATGCCAGCATCATGTATCCAGTGGTCATCGATAGCTGCCGGTATACCCGCATCGCAGTCCCCGTCTTCAATCAGCAGTGGCTTTCCAAGCTCAAGAGACATGTGGCGATCCCAAACATATATACCCCACCATACCCGTCGTCGCATCTCTCCCTCGATCATAGGCCACGGTCCTGTCTCGCAGTGTAATCCAATGTCTTGCGAAATTCGTACAGCAGAAGCAAGCCAAGTCCAAGCTGCTGATTTCAAGTTCATTTCTGTGAGAAAAATGCTGGTTAAAATGGCTGTTTTTGCATGATCGATGACAAAATCGTCGTTCCACATATCGATCAGAGTCCTAGATACTTCAATAAAATCTTTGCCTTGCTGAGGGCGCCGTATGCTGGAATCCGAACTAAAAAGCACACCGACCGCGAAGACTGCAAACAAAAGCGAACTCCAAACAGGGGGCACTCCATGGAGACTACCAGCTTTATAAACTGCTTCATACTCTTGCTCAAAAGTAGGCCAATGGAGAATCGGGATGATCAAATGCATTGATGAGTAGTAGGACTTGAGAAGATGGTCTGCCACAAATTTTGGGGGTAGATCTGGTCGCGGAGGATTGAAGTGTCCTTGCGCTCCTATCTGTCGGTATAGAGCTGGGGGCTTGAATATTCCACGGCCGAAATTTCTGATGTTGGACCGCACACGGGAGAGATCGTGAGGTGGTGGAGGTCGGGGACGTTGTTTGGGATGTGATCCGATCTCAGGAAGTTTCAATGATGGCTGTTGAGCTTCCCCGCTCGCCATGAGTTCAGACTCCCTCGCGTTCAGCAACGACCGCAGATGCGAATTCTCCCTCTTCACCTGAGTTATTTGCTTCTCCAGGTCTTGGACCTGCTTGATTGAAGACATCCTTCGGTTGGTTTCTTTGGTAAACTGACATTTTACATTGCGACTTGAGCATTCCGAACAACTTGTTGTCTCTGTCGCGTCGCATTTCACTTTGCGTTCTCGACAAGCGTCGCAACTGGGATCTTTTCTCCTTTGTCTGTATGCCCTCTTCTGTGCTTGAAGGTTCGCGGAGGACATCTGCGCACTTGAGACTCCTGGCGTTCCGCTCGAAGAGCCAGTTGAGGCGGCCATCGATTCCATTCCTGGAGGTCCCGGCGAAGTGGTAGATGGACCATACGGGTTTTGAAAAGCACTGTGACTTAACGGAAGATTAATATGTTGCGGATGTCCACCCATTCCTCTGGAAGAAGCTCCCATTAGTCCTCCATCATATCCCCCTTGCATTCGAGGTGAAGCGGCAGATGACACTGAAGAGGAGTCATAGGATGCTGTAGACGGAATTGGAGATCTTGCGTAGATGTTATGTGATGACCCCGCCATAGTAAGGGTCCGAACTCGGTCGCTTTATCCAGGGAGACAGGAATTGGGTCGGAAGTGCCTGCGAAGATAATTGAACGACGTGAGGTCGAAGCGAGTATTCAAGAGCCTCGTCCCATTGGCAAGAAAGCGGTCTTCTTCGCTTAACGGACCAGAAGGCCTAAATTCTTTTCTTCCACGAGGAGTGAGCTTGATTGAAGTTAGATTAATAGAAGTAGATTGCGGAGAAAAGACACTGTCTTGGTCAGAAGACCAGTTGCTTTCCCGTAACACTTCTAGAACGTTTCCCCAGGTTTTACCAGATCCACGAGACAGTCGCAATGCCTACGCTTTGGTGCAACCGCAAGGGCTGCTATATTCCGACGCAGGTCTTCAGTTGCTTGGGCAAGAAACTACCCCACTCCCCAGCAAAGCCAACGAATCCAATTGAGGCCAGGTGATCTGTATGGCAAGGTTTGTGTACTATGGCAGGGCATTTATCAGCTTGGTGTGGTGAGGAGAACTATCGTTGGCTGAACAATAGATGACTGCGAGTTGCAAAATGACATTGGCGCGGTAAAAGGAACGTTGGGGAGAGAAAATGCCGACAGTTGAGAGAACGATTTTATGTGAGGAGTAGCGTTCATAGGTGCGGGTTGTTCTAAGGGGGGTATATGACAGACGCACAGGCACTGGCCATCTGCTTTAAGGCTGATTTGGGAAATCTGGAGTATTTTCATGCCAAGCGTGGGAGCACAAGCATTTGAAGCAGAAATATTTGCAGGCCCCTGGACACCTTGCCCTGCTACCCGAAGACCCTTGTGTCTCCGTGAATGAGTGATGATATTGACCCTTGCATGTCTATCCTCGATGCCCACTGGCAGAAGCAGGGATACTTTACTGTATGCATCGAGGAGGTAAAAGCAACGGCGAGGATTCGAAGACCCAAGAGTGCTTCCCTCAAACCCTGGGGTGCGTCCACTTTTCTCCGAAGCATTCAAGGGTGGTCATGCAGCGAGCCCTCTCCAACTGCGAATCAAAACTCGCAGATACAATCTTTGAGTTGGTAGCCGGGTCGGTAAGTTGTTCTGTCACACACCGGGACATGATATGCATACTCCGTTTTGGTGATTGTTTGCGTAAGAGTAGGTAGTTTTCGGCACATGAGCCGCCTCAAAACATTGCGCAGACAAGGGACGATCGTTCAAGTATATTAAAAAAAACATACCGGGAATCTGTTTCAAATCTCGGTGAAAGCGTAACTCTCGGACAGCTGCGGCGAATGGCGGGCTGGGTTTCGAAGAGAGTCGTACGTCCTCTAAGATGGCGTTTTTGTAACGTTCTTTGCATATGTACGTCTGGCAATCGAGCTGCTTCGGGAACAAGCTACCGATATATATTCGCGTGTTGATGGGATAGCAGGTTGCTGCTGGTTCTGCTGCTGGCGATGTTACGGCTCCTGAGATAAATAGTCACTCTTTCATGCCATCGATAATTGTTCAGCATTGACGAATGTCCGCATACTATTCTTTGAGACTTTGGCTGCCAAATGGCCTTCTCGATCGAGTTTTCTTTGCTAACGTTCCGTGGAAGTAACCCAAGTGTTGATCTGATGGGCTAGCAGCGTCAATGTGGAAGTCGAATCGAAATGACCTAATAGTATGCGTTCTTCGACCAAACTATACTCTAACGTATTTTTCAACCACAACTCTCTGCCTGCACAAATGTCAGCGTCAGCATTGTTCTTGAAAGCTCCTACACACTCGCTTCAAGTCTTTCAAATATCGGCTTAAGTGGAAAAGAGTTGAGCCAGGCAACTATTCTACGTGAGAGGCAAGTCAGACGTTAGTTGGAGCAAACGGGTGGAGATGCAAGACGGAGTACATTACCGGAAATTTCAGCGACGTCTGATTACAAGCATTGAATGGACGCTCGACTTGTCGCATAGGAGAGGCTAAAAGCGACGATTGGCGTATCTTAAGCTAAAAGCCCAGAAGAAAGTTGGTAGCGGACTGTGACAGTGAAGATAGAAGTGGCAGCGTTGTGAGGGTTCTGCGTTGGTCCCTGCGCTGCGCGGAGGAGCAATTGGTTAACATTTGTTATTATTGGTCCAATCGTGCCCTGATGAAATGCGAACGATGTTATATTGCGATTTTGCTTTTTACTGCCGGCGAGTTGCGCTGATATGATACCGTAATTCTGCATTGTCCTTCGAAGCCGGGCCCCGCGTCACTAGTACTATCAGACAAGGGCCATCCCGTGGGGTTCTGAGTAGATACTAGGTGCAGACAGACCCCAGGGTTATTATATTGGTATTCAAACCCATGGATGATTATCCTGTACATTGTTATACAAGTGATGACAAACTGGTACTGATACCCTCTCCTAACGGCCCCGTGGCGCTACGTATTCCATAAAGTCTGTGATTGAACGTTCTCAGAAACCAGAGTTCGCTCAGCGCAGGGAGGGTATCTTCAATTGCAATTTGCCTAATGTTGGTTCCCACTGGGATATGATGGTAGCGCCCGCTAAGCACATCGCAATAACGATAATAGAGAAGTTTAGCACCGTGAATTCCTGGTTCGAGCTTACTACGTACTATATATTAGTACTACTAATAATAGGTTAGAATTAAAAGCGATAAAAACGAGGTTTAGTAGAATATAACTACCTATATCGATTTACTACTCCTTAGTATAAAATTAGGTATAGGGGAGTCTATAGATTATAGCTTAGTATATATTATACTAATATTATTTAGTAATTACTATTTCTAACTACTCTTAATTCTTATAATTTTTAAAGTTATTAATATTAATATAATAAACGTATTAAATCTATAGCTTACTCGAAAGTAATTATACTATTATTATTACTACTTATTTATTTATTACTTTTATTATTAATAAATCTAAGCTAAAGATACTATAATTAAGGTAATTAGATTCTTAATTACTAATAATATAGAAGACTCTATAGTAATTTAATAAAGAATAAGAAATTATTAAGCTTCTCTATCTTCTTTAAATACTTAGTTTAAATTAGATAACTAGATAAATTCTTAGATAATAGTTTAGCTTTAGTTTACTAAAGCCTAAATAAGAGAAATATTACTATATCTTTATCTTAATCTAGTTTTATATTAATATTATTATAATTCTTATAAATAAAAAGTCTAGAGTAGAGAAGAGTTCTTATAATTATCTATAATTAGTTATTCTATACTTCTTATATTAATATACTAGGTACTCTAACGTCTTATATTTTTAGTTTAACTTCGAATTTAGATATATTATTACGTCTAGCTTCTTTTTCGAGTATACGACGACGCTTAGCCCTCTATAAGCGAAGCATAGGTGATTCGCGCCTCTTGTCTCCTAGTACTCTTAAGATTAAACCTCCAGGGTTAACGCCACTTTCTTAAGAGTCTAGAAGAGTAAGTTAATCTCTCTTCACTTGTTCGGTAGCGCTCGTGCATACACAACCGGTTAGCATGCTTGGTACTCACAGTCATTATCCTAGGGTACTTGTCGGCCTACTCAAATCTGTTATTCGTCGACTCCAATAGCTGCCTCGCTGATTAGTCATGTTTTCAAACCTGCTTTCGAAGTAAGCGCTCCAAAATCTTAGTCCATCAAAAGGACCAGGGCAACTCATTCTCCAACGTTGTTTGCATTGATACCATATTCTAAGAGTTACAATGTTCATTCGCATGATAATGGGAGATCGCTTGTTTTGGCCCTCTGCTTAGTCTGTTCTATTTTTAAGAGATAGCTCCAAGGCAAACCTTATCGTCCTAAAGCAGATCATTGTTCGATGGAAATCTAGAAACATGCTGATCTTCAGTGCCTTGACGCCAGGTCTGGATCTTCTTCTCGCTTGACGGTTGTGCCACCGCCAAGCTTGAAGAAGGTTCAGCGAAGATGACTTGTTTCAGAAATTTAGCTTCCGGATACGGCACGGGGTGTTGGGCGAAAGACTCTCAGTTCGGGCTTTCTCCGAAGCCACTACTCGAGTATGCCACGACTCTTTCTTTGAAGATTACTACAGTGTAGCAGTGGCGACTCTGAGGCGTGGAATGACGCTAGCTATCGCTCAACGCTGCTTGAGGCACTACAACAATGCGTCGATTGCCCGTTGCATAATGGCTTGTGTCTAACTCCAACAAGCTGGCTTTCCCGGGCGGTGAGCCATGATCCGAAAGCTCAAGGAACGACCATCACCCTATATCACGATCTGTATAAATACTCATAACCCAGCCGAAATGGGCCTCATGAGGCAGTCCTCACAACCACTTGCGTGAGAGGCAGGCTGCATGCATACTGCAGTTTAGCAATTTCTCTCGCCAGCGAATAATGGATGGTGTCACAGTCAGCTGCCGAAACCCAGCCATCAGAACATTCTCAGCGTTGAGGAAGAAAATACTGCACCTGGAGAACGGTGTACGGTACTCCGCCTTTGTTGAAGCACCTTCGTGAAGGCTCCGAGCCTCTGATCTTGTGATTGCATCACATGTTCCATCGCAAATTGCGCAGTTACATGCGGCAAAAAATGAGTTTTGCCAGCGAGGAGCATGCGGTATAACACCTGTGCTGAGATGAATACTAGAAGTTTCACCCCTCTTCGATACTTGAACGATTTTATAGTAACGAGGGGAACAAAGCCCCATGAACTGTGACCGGTAACCTGGGTGCCGAAACAACCCTGTAAGCATCCTAGACAGAATAACGTAACCCAATTCATTTATGGGGATATTCCGACGACGAAGGGGTATTTGTATTCGGAGTAGCCACAAAAGTAGGCCTATAGCCTAAACAAGTAATACTAGTAGTTAAAGAAATATTCCGACACTCTTCTAGTAATTCTTAACTCTCTCTAGATTTTACTTTTACTACTACTAACTCGTCCTCTTCTAGAGTATTAAAAAGATATATAAGTAGAATCTATTAATTATATTACTTAACTTCTTATATAAGATAAAAGATTATCTACTATTATATAGACTAATAAGTAGTTAAGAGAATTATTTATATTAACTAACTTAATAGTTATTTAATCTAATATTTAATACTTTTATATAATTTTAGTATTACTTAGATAAATATAAAAATAATCTATTTCTAGATTTAAATATTTTTAATAAATCTATAGTTAAAATCTTTAAAAAATAAAAAACTAAAGAAGAATAATATATTTAATAATCTTTTTTAAAGAAGTTTTAGTATTAAGAAGCTAGTTATCTTTAAGAATCTTATAATTAAGGTTAGAGATCTCTATAGTAGTAATATCTATAAAATAATAATTATAGCTATAGTATAGTAGACTTTTTATTATTCTAGTAATAATAATATTCTTATTATTACTATTATTATACTTCTATTTCTTCTCTTTATTCTTATTTCTAGCTATTTAGTTCTTAGTCTTTAATCTCTTCTTCTTTAGTTTACTTTTATTTATTTAGATATCTAGATAAGAGTACTTAATATAGTATTTATCTTTAGTATAGCTACTATAGTTATAGTAGATATAATAATTAATAATAGTCTTATTAGTAAAAAGAGTAAAGAGAGTAATTTCTAGTAAAATATCTTTAGTTATTATAGTAATAAAATAAACTACTTATTTATTCTTATAAAGTAGTTATTTTTCTCTAGTAAGAGTAGTACTAACTAATTTATTAAATTTAATAATATTAATCTTTTTTTTCTTTTTTTTAGCTATCTCTATAGTAGCTATTTACTATACTTTAGTAGTATTAGTAAAAAGAATTACTAGAGTCTTTAGAGTAATAAAAATTCTATTTTATTAGTAGTTAGTATTACGAGTAGCGTCGGCCTCGGCGTCGTAATACTTCTAGGACTAAAGGTTCTAGAATTCGGCGAGGTTACAGAAATCGAGTAGTTCCCGGGACCGCCGTCTAGTAGTTTAATCTAGTTAATATTAGCTATATTTAGGTTAGCGGATAGGCCCCGGTTTAGGGTACCGTCACGTAATTAGGAGAGTTCGCTAGTTCGACTATTAAACTTATAAACCGAGAGAAGGTTCGCTAGTTCGACTAGCGAACTAGCGAACTTAAGAGTAGAAAGTTCTATATAATAATTATAATTTCCTTAGATAGAAGCTTTATACTTAACTTATTATAGTAATAGTATATTATCTATTTAACTTACTCTTATTATAATAAATAGATCTCTAAATCTATAAGTAATAATCTTACGCCTACTTCTTAATATACTAACCTTACAATAACCCTAGTCTACTCTAGGTAGAACCGAATTATTATAGTTAGTAATATAATTTAAGAAGCTTAAGTTAAGACTATCTATAAACTTAAGAACTATATTAAGAGAAGTATAGATAGTATAAAATAAAATATATTTAAGATTAGTATTAATTTCTAGAAAAGTAGTAATATATTTTATAATATTTATATAGTTAAAAAGACTAAGATACTAGAACTTATAGATAATATTAATAAGTATTCTAGTACTTTAAGTTTTATAATATTTCTTAAGCTTACTTATAATACTCTTTATAGTAGTTTCTTTATTTAAAAAGGTTAGTATAGCTTTATTAAGTTATATATAAATAGTATAATAAACCTATTTTATACTATTATTATAGAGAATCTTTCTTTTATAAAGCTAAGTATTAGTCTCTTCTAGTATAGTATCTTACTTAAAAAAAGTATTCTTATATTATTTAAAGAACTTAAAGATAATAAGCTATTTCTCTACTTAGTAATTAAAGATATACTAGTTATTTAAGTTAAAAATAAAGATAATATTAATTCTACTAGATTTAATTTAGTCTAAAGAATCTATTTCGACTATAGTAACTATAGATAAATATAAGGTTTAATAAGATCTTTAGCTTTTTAAAAAAGAGAGATTCTAGTAATAAAGTACTCTTCTTTATTAAAAATTTAATAGTTATAAAGATTATTAAGAGAGATATTTTCTTATAAGAGAAGTTTTAGCTTTATATTTAATATTAAGTAATAGTAATATTATTATAGACTAAGTAGTTAGAGTAATTATTATTAGTAAGTAAATTAATCTCTAAAAACTAATAATTATTATCTTATTTATTAGTAATAACTTTTTAAAGTTATCTTATTATAGTCTTTTAAAGATATTAAAAATAAGATAAATTAGATTATTTCTATTAAAAAAAGTATTAATATTATATTTTTTCTATTTAAAATAAAACCTAAGATTTCGATTAAAAAAAGTTTAATTTATAGTTTACTCTTTAAATAAAGTCTATAAAAAAGAGAAAGAGTCTTTTAAAATATTATTTTAAAAAATATAAGTTAATATATTTTAAAAAGATTTATCTCTATAATTAAAGTTAAAGTCTTTATAGCTCTTAGAGAAGAGTTTAAGATTAGTAAATCTATAATCTTAAAGGTTAGTAAGATAAGTAAAAGTAAGAGATTAGTTAAGACTATATACTAATTATTTTATTTTAAAGTTACTTAATATCTCTATAAATAAAGTATTTATAATACTTAGTATCTAGATTATACTAATAAGTTAGTCTAGTATATTTAAGAATACTAATAAGAGATAATTCTTCTAATATAAAATAAATTTACTATCTCTTCTAACTATAGTAATTCTATTTATAGTAAATATAATTATATAAAAGTATTTAAATTTACTTCTATTAAGTAGATAAACTAGACTCTTTTATATTCTTATAGTAATAGTATCTAGTTTTCTTAAATATTTATTTATAAAAAATCTAGAAGTTTTCTCTTATTAAAAGTTTACTTTATAGAGTAATAAATATAGGTTTATTATAGACTATAGTTATAAATAATAGTTTTAATTCTTAGTTCTTATTTTTTAATAGAGTAAGATACTTAATATTAGTATTCTATATTATAAGTAGCTAAAAGTATTAGTAGATTCTATAAGAAGACTAGTTTTAGTAACTTAGCTATCTTTATAGATAGAGTAGTCTAGACTTATAATCTATTAAAAAGATATATAAGTAGAACCTATTAATTATATTACTTAACCTCTTATATAAAGTAGAAGGTTATCTACTATTATATAGACTAATAAGTAGCTAGGAGAATTATCTATATTAGCTGACCTAATAGTCACCTGACCCAATATTCAATAGGCGCAAGGTCGCAATAGACATAGGAAAAGAAGAGAGGTAGCCGAGGTGCACAGCTTCGACGTAGGCTGAACTCTAAACACTGTTTCCAAGGAACGATTTATAAGATGGGTTCTTGTTCACATTCATAAGAAGCGGAAAGCGCTGCTGAATAGGTAGCTTCCTGCGGCGTACTTAGCGGGTCAACTGCCGAGATGGTGAAACGTCTCGCTGCGGCTGCAAGCAGAATAACGAAGTTTTGTCGTAGTTTGTCAATATCTCAACAAGTAATCCAGTCCATAGGACAGCAGATTCTGGGTATCGGTACGAAGCTGCTAGTGCAATGACAGAAGCAAGACAGAAGTGTTGAGAGGTCTAGACTTTCGAAAATCAAGCGAAACGGGGTACTGTAACTTATGCTGTGGGCAAGTCGATGTCGTCGAATTCGGGAACGATCTCGGCAGTACCCCACCTACGGCGATCAAACCCGCTCTCGTTTGGTGGGATTTCCGCAAGGAATTCTGGAATAAGATGACATTCCCGATGGCTGGAATTGCAACGTTGGGGCATGCTCCTGATATCGTCTACGCTGCCACAACAATTAGGTTCGAGGAGGTAGGACGGCTTGGCAGGAAGCCTGAAGGTCAGAATTTGTTCGTGGTCGTGGCCCGAGCCGAGATCAGAGACTACGATATCTAAGTCATCAGTGTGGAACATGACGGGAAGCTTTGCGCTACTGACGAATTCCGATGTTTGCTCATTGCTGTTGACTTGTTGCTGTTGTGTATTTGAAATTGCCGCCCCAAGCGCGTCGATATTATTGTTGTTCCTGTTTGAGCCTGAACCAACAATCATTATCGGACCTTCTGGATGTTGTTCGCCCAGGGTATGAATACGAATGGCCCTGCTGCAGTACACGTCTTTTTGTTGCCCTGGTCTCCTGGGGTAACGTCCAGGATCTGAAGTATATCTCACCGAGCTGCACGGCGTTGCCGGTGTCGAAAATTGTTCGATGATAATCCTTCAAGCAGATCGCTCGGTGGCAGACTTCCAAAGATGGAAAAAACATGGTTCATCTGGCCCTTTGAAGTCCCATTTCTGCGCTCCAAGTCCATGGCATAAGTGCATATAACGCATAGTCGACGAGCATCTCTTGCTTTTCAGATCTTGATGTATCCACTAAGCCCAGTGCGTCCTTGCGGCCTTCTCCCTCGAATCAGCACACACTGCACCCTGAGCTCTATCTGTATGACAACTCCTCCACGAATCATGCTGAATATCCCGTGTGCTTCATGGCGAATAGCGTCAGGAAGTATGGCTTCTGAGGCCGACGGAAGAATATTCGAGAGACATTATTCAAATGCTGATATAACCACATTGGGAAACTGATGGGTGCTTTCCCAAAACGACTGACCCTTCGCCGACCGGGTTCTCGGAGTGAGCGAGAGCATTTCTCAATCCTCTGGAGGAGCGAGTGTGGAGAAGATTTGCCGTGACGGATTGAATCCTTTCTTTTCTTAGATAAACTATGTCAGTACAAATGCGTACAAAGGTTTGAATGATGTCCAGGGTGGTTTGAGTATCTGTCATTATGTTACATAATTGTAGCTTTGTCTGAACTGGACGTATGTGAGGTACCTACATGTACGGAGTAGATATCAGCATCATGCTTCTCGACTAGGTGTATTGCCAGGGCGGTGAGACCTTAGTCTCTGCTTAGTAGGCGGTGAAGCTTGATGGCAGTACTCCCCACTATTATCGATTCTGGACCCCTCCGACTCAATCGCGACCTCTGAATGCAAAGTACTGAGCACTTGAAGTACGAACAGCTGGAACAACAACATAACCGTTGCGATTTTGAGCCTTCCGATTTCGAGCCTTCCGAAAATGTACAATGCAAGACAAGCTTACGCGCCAACGCCGCACAGCTACATACCAAACACCACCCTCTCTGCAACTATAAATTTGGACGAGGTAGGTAACCACAATTGTCATATTGCTCGAGGCTAACGTATGACATGTAGGAGGTCAAACTTACGGGAACGAGAGCTGAAAGGGATCTTCAAGACTCTCTCGCAGAAGTCTTTAGTATCGTTATTACACTCGACGAGATCGAAAAAGCATATCTGAAAGATGCGATTCCGGAAGCCGATTACACCGAAATATGCGACAGGTTACTAAAACAATACCGAGCTATCTTGACGGACGAAGCAGTCGCCCGGGCTTTTGTTGACTTAGAGACATTTAAAGCATCATGGGATGTGAGTAACGGCGCAAAGATTGATTTCATGCCAAATCTGATATTCCTAGATGGAGGTCCCAAGAGCCACGGAACGAATTCGAATTGGGATGCCTAGTACAGTCACTGCACCTTCGCACAACGCGACGGCTACGAACAGTAGCGGAACAAACGGCCCTCTCATCGTGGAAGCTGCACAGGATTTTATCACTTTCCTAGATGCGCTCAAGCTTGGACTTCTAGCCAAGGACCAACTGCACCCTTTGCTCACAGACGTCATTCAAAGCGTGAACAAGGTTACGGACGGAGATTTCGAGCACCGGGGCAAGATTGTGCAGTGGTTGATAACCTTGAATCAAATGAGGGCATCGGAGGAATTGACTGAAGATCAGTCTCGAGAATTGGAGTTGGACATGAATGCCGCATATCAAGGCTTCAAAGCCACTTTGACATGATCACAAAAAGCTTGAAGCGACCAAATCCATTTCTGGACAGATTGGAGGCTATCGACCGAGACCGCAAAAGGCACTCCTCCAAAGGTTTGCTAGGTTCGGGTATATTGTCTCGGGAATTATGGACGTCGAGAAAGGTCAGAATAGAGTGGCATGCCACAGAGGGTGCAGAGATTCGCACGGCGACTTTGTAAGCGGAAATTTGCCCAAGAAGAACATCGAAACTCGGCAACCACGGTGTGCCAACGGCAAATAGCTACCGGTGGCACCCATGGGCCTCTAAATCTTATTAACAAGTGATGAGAAACACCTAGAGCAGCGTCAAGGGTATTTTCTCAAACCTAGGCGCTTGATTAAGAGGCCGACTGCTGATCGCCCCCGGTATGGTCAAGACGAGGATACAACGATTATTTGATGATCATGCTCAAAGATTACTCCGTGTTGCAGAATAGTAGAAGAACAAAGTTTTGAACTTAGCTGTGTGGTTATAGTCTTGCTAATAAGTTGTCAATCAATACATATTAATGTTCAGCTTGATATATACCTAGAAAAGACCACGCAACGACGAATACAACCTCAAATTTGTTTCCATCCATGTTGTGATGTAATCGTACAGATGTTGCACTCGTGTCTTCAGGTATCAATTACAAGAAGGAAGAATATAGTTGCCATGGGTTTGTGGACAATAGACAATCGGGGTTTAATATGATAGATCAAAAAACAGAAGAGTTTCCATGACCATTATTTCGTCTCTGTAGGTTATGAATTCGGACGGTGAAAGGTACAGTCACTGTCGATACAATAGTAGAGGATAGGTAGGAATCCCGAAGACTAAAAAGACGGATATTTGAATAAATAGAGTGGCTGCGAAGTCTACGGCCATTTAAATATCTATCTAATACTTAATATGTGGCGAACGATGTTCATTCCACACGTTGCCTGTAGACAGGCGAAGAGGTCTGGCGAAAGGGTTCTTTTACTAGCTTTACAAAGTACAGTTATGTGACCTTAGCTACCATGACCGAGGGGGAAACGAATGGGTAGAATTCGTTGTGCGCCATAGAAAGTAACATTTATAGCAAAAGGTGGGAGGTCGATCTCAATGTGACATTTCTCCCTTTCAGCAGTCAGGATTGAGAATCTCGGTACCTGCTAGCTTCAGCAGTTGGTGCAAAGTGACAGGTTACTCATATATGCTATAGAACGTAGGGTCCATAGCTGGCAGAAGAAAAAGATGTAGATATTGAATTGAACTTTTGCTGGGGACAATTCATATCGTAAATTTTGTGAAGATTGTGAATGACATTTTCATTTCTCAGGAAGCCTTTGATCTCTCTTGATATCACCCGGACGTAAAGGCCAATATACAAGCATAATGACTTATCCTTTATATCGGTCAAAGGACTTTTGCCCCTCAGATATCCATTCTGGACGATTCTGTTCCCAGGAAAACACGGATCGTGCTCATTTTGTTTACAAACGCTGATCTCAATCTTCACCATCAATTCAGCCTAGAATCATAAAGCTAGTGTCTATATCAACTGGGGTGTTGGATAGATCTGTTTTATCCAGAATTGCTGCTCAAATCCGTCTACTCTCAGGTCACTAAACAAGTTACTTGCCACGAACTACTGGAACATCTTACATGAAAAAGATTTCGATTGTATTACAGGCTGGTAAGCGTGTGGGAGGTAGATGTTAGATAAAAATTTGTTGGGTTGCCGTGCTTTTGTAGTAACGAGATATTAGATTTGTTTACCAGTTGATTAATGGAGTTTGGCTGTTAGTGAGAAGTGCAATACGATGTAGTGTTTTGAGCAAAACTGAACCGGGCGTTTAGATACACAAACTCTTTCTTCAATAAGTAGATAGTTTTATATTGGTTGTTATTTAAAGCTCAGACGTGTAGTGCTTGTAATCATGCAAAAAGCGTATGGTGCAGAAAGCCGGCGACTTTTAAGTCATGTTTCAAAATTATTATTTTGCTACGTCTGTTAGAAATTTTCTGCTCTAATCCCAAGGACATTCTGCCCAGGATATATATGTACCTAACAAAGCGGGATGTCATTGAAAAGGGAAGAGCTATATAAATTAGAACAGTCTTGTTTGAAGTGATAATATTATGTAATTCAGAGGTGTAGAACCAGGACACCTAAAGTCATCCAGCGTGTCCATTATGAAGACGGGATCATTTCAGACTAAGAATGTCCAAAAACTAGGATACACAAACTCATCCTCAAAAATCCGTCTAACCTGCTCCAATACAAACTTCTCAACCTTCCCCACATTCTTCAAGACCTGCTTCCCATTTTCCTGCTGGCCAATCTCGCTTTCCACCTTAATCTCATGAATAAGTCCGCCTAATTTCATATCATGTCGATGTTCCGACTCATCTTCTTCTGCTCCAACAGCTGTACAAGCATCCTCGGGGGACAGAAAACAGAAATGTGCTTTCTTGCGAATGTAAGCAAGGACAGCGACTCCGTCGAATGAGAGACCGGTGATGTTGAGCTTGACGGGTATACCGACGAAACTCGGCATGGGATAGTCTAGTAAGATTTCTGTGGTCAGAGATAGTCTGACGTCGCCTGAGTAGCGTACACGAAATACGGTCTGGAGATCTTCGACTCTGGGTTCTCGAAATCTTCGAGGGGGTGAGCCCGGTTCCTCATCGACTATCTCATCCGCTGGACCGTCCCGAGTTTGTGGTCGAGTCGTAGAAGTTGACGGAGCGAGGGTGGAGACACTCGCCCTTTCTCGAAGGAGTTGTTGGGCTGATGCATCTGCCGTGGGAGGAGGTGATAACGAGCTTCCACTTGCGGTATGGCGATGACCTTTGGATTTCATAGCGGACGGTAAGCCCGAATAATCTGGCCAGCCGTACGGAAGATGAGCTCCCGCGACAGCCGCGAGTGGTGTTTGTGTCCCAGACAATCCAGTGGCAAGTTGGGAATGGAAATAACTCAGATTCGAGGTACCTCCAGGGATCCCAGGCGTACTAACACCCAGGAAAGGACTTCCAACATCACCTGGTACTTGTCCCGTCCTCATTCCCGATAGTCGAGTGTCTATATAGGGCGGCAGAGGCGCGATATGCGTTGCAATATTTGCTCTTTCATCCCGATCTAACCGCCGTCTCTCCCGTAGTGTGGCAAGTTGCTCGGTTTTTGACTCCCATGCTACATCTTCCTCATCCTGTGACTCCTCATCATCATCCTCAGTCTCTTCGTAGAAATCTGGTAACGGATCACAAATGTCCTTGATTTCTATGTCGGGCCCGGTAGACCCAAATTCAAATGTGTGAACTTTTACACCCTTAATAAAACGTGGTAGTGTGATGGTTTGGAACTTGTCGTGTACAAAGTCTCGAATCCTCTCGGCAAGTTCAATTCCGTCAGGACCAGTGGTCAAGGTCTCCCAATTTAGATCAATAGACATCACAGTCAGCCGCCGAGGCTACCGAAGCAAGTGAGGCAACCGAGTTGGCGGTTCACCTATTACACCACATGAATAATGGTCGCAGACCGTTCCTTAGGAATTGTAAAAGGTAATGGAAGCGCGTTGTCCGCTCTCGAGAGCCTTAGTCCAGATATAGCCTCACTTAACCGGGCGCTTAGATATCAAATATATTGCTTTGTTGTCGACTCCACATTTGATGCAAGTAGATTAGAGATGGTGGTTGATGGAGGAGTTCGAGAAGCGTGCGAATCCTCGGCAAAAGCACCACATGCGGGGTGGTCCGAGCGTCGATTCCAACAACTACCTTCGACTTTGTTTGTAGTCGCGGCACCACGATGATTTCCCAACATCCTGCAATCCTGGGAAAACAATCGCCAACAAGGCCACTTGCAGTCTTAATGTGTCATTCCCTTCGAACTGCTGGCCATAGCTCGCAAGGAATACAAATTTGGAAGCGCGAGCCGAGAAATCTGGCAGATGATCCTCATCCTCCTGTGAGGCTGTCCACGGCGTGTTACTGACAGTTCGGGTTGCATAAGTTGGTAAAACCTTAAGGCCATGAAAGTCGATGTCTGGCACTGAGACCAGTCTGCTGCCTCTTTCTGCCTTTATCAATAGCGTCATCAGCGGAGTTACTTTTCCGAATTTAAATGGGTTCACCAGTTTGTCGTTAATCTGACGGGACACCTCATTACGGGAGAATAGCAATGCCATTCCGAACGCTATGTTTAAAAAGTTCATTTGAACGAATGAAAGATATTGTCTCTATTGTAAAGACCAAATACATAGATCACGGAAGAGGTGTTAGAAAGTCTGTTTATGAAAGCGTTATGTTTAGATAGTGTCCCGTCAGTCTTGCAATGCACTGGTGATTCCAGTTCATAAACCTTCCAGTTCATAAACCTTATTGCTTGCACTATACATACTGTCTTCTTTGAGAGCCAGATCAACGTCCATGTGTTTGATCATGTATTGTCTCGGGTTCAAGGATTCCTGCACCTTCAACAACCATCTGAATTGAAAGACTGGTGACCAGTGTAATTGCTGATGGTGCAAGACGTTTCCCTGGCATCACAAGGGATACGATATAAGCTTGCTATGATACTATCTGAACCAACGGTAAGCCGCCTGTTAAAGTTCTGCTTTTGTTGGATTTATTTGACATCATGTGTTCCGTCTTTGAAAACTCAAATCACTAATGAGGCTGCTCCTACCACACTACTAACAAGATATGTGCTAACTTCCAGAGTCGATGGACTGGGGTATTGGGGCTTTTTGGCTCTACTAGTTTATACGTTTAAGATCATCCACATATAAGTTGCGGTAGTTCCTCTGTCCATACAACAGCGTCACTTCAACCAACAAACCCTTGTTTAAGCCACAGACCAGGAACAGTCCGCCATGCAGATGTCTGAGACACAACTGCCATCTGCAGAATAGAGGGTTCTCGCATTTTACTTGAGAGGGTGTGCGCTAATGTTGTTGGCATCACAATCCCTTGACCTACCAGATTTTAGCCGCAAGGCGGCTGAGACTGTGGATGGCCCGCCATGTCGGATATGCCTAGGCGTCTAGGGCGTGCGGTTCCACAGCAGCAGTGGTACTACCAGGGACGATTCTGAGGTATGCAGCTGTCACGCAACATTTACCGAAGAACTTTAGCCAGACCACCAAAAGCGATATTGTTGTGAAAGGTTTGCTCAGAACTGGGACAGAAGCTCGTCGAAATCCAGTACTGTACTAGCTTTCATTTTCCACACCAGATAATGACAGTCATAGATAGAGATCCAAATAATGTTCAAAAGACGGTCTTTCATTTAAGTTTGATTGTAAGACAAGCCAACATCCTTCATCGTTTGATGCAAGCACTCGATAAAGGGTGAAGAAAGCTTGGCCTGCAACAACTTCTTCCATTTCATACATATCTTACTAGTATAGACGCCGAAGAGGTCATCCGCAAATACACAAATGGAAGAACCAGAAAAGACTTGGTATCCAGCAAGCCTGACAAAAAACCTCCCAAGCTACATCCCTCGCACATGTCGGAAGAAAACTCCAATTAAACTTCCAGTTCTCCGAATTATAGGTTCCTAGACATTGTCAGACTACAGAGCATAAAAGAACATGCCTACACTTACTCGTTATTGTGTATGAACATCACAGGCTTGTGCCCTGTTATCAACAATTACTTTCTTGATGCATGGACCGCCGGCCCTTTCTGTGGCGGAGGGAACCCATTCGCCTAGCACTAAGCATCCACACAATGTGTATTTGATGTCGTAACGGGTACACATCTTGAGTCTAGTGTTAAATATTTCTCAACCGCTTTCTTGTCCCTGTTCTGAAGGATTATCATAAGCGGATTGATCCTTTATTTGCGGTGATCAACGCTAGGAATTTAGACTTACCTAGATTGGTTGATAGACGTCTCTAGTGGCACTTTTTGGTACTTGAAGGTACTCAATGTGAAGTGATAACGATAAGTGTTGATTGAAGTTGAGTACAATGTACTTTTGAGGTTCGACTTAAAATTTCGAAAAGACGAAAGATGATGAAAATTGAAGGTGCGAGGTTCAAACCTCAACAGCAACGGGAGCTTGTTTTATACTTCTTCTACCATACCGAGTATACGGTTCAGTCCTCTCTAGTTAGATTGAGCAGTCGTTGCTCGCCATTCGGACAACAAGGTAATATTCCAGACGTAGTGTGCCTGCCTGCTCCAATCCGGATGCTGCCGTTGGTCGTCGACTGTTCCGCGGGAGAAGGGCTGAGCTGTTGAATCTAAGTCTCAGCCATTCAAGACTCATCGGACAAATTCTAGTCGTCTTTTCCAACAACCAACGCCAACAAGTCCAACAGCTACCCGCGTCAGTATGTGGGAAGGTGAGTAGGATGAAAGAAAGGATCGATGAGTAGGGATATACGAAATATCGGTAGGGAAGGCACAGTCTTAGTCTGCTCGATATTATGCTGGCAAGGTTTTCTTCTCGCTTGCGAAAATGTCAGAATCTCACATGGGCGCCGGGCAGCATCAGCCAGATTGGCTCGAGTGGTAGTTGATGTGGGGCGTCATGGACTGAGCACTTAGTCCAAAGTAACCACGAAGGCGGCGAGCATAAATGAGATGTGATCCACTGCGCCCATCGACTCATCAAGAGAGCCAGCAGGCGCTGTCAAAGCAGTGTAATTCCCACTTAGGATTAGCTGGTCTGCTCATGCCGTAGTGATTGTACACTACTGTACCTTTCGTACTGAGCGGAACAAACGTACGAGTGCCGGACTGAGGGGCAACCTACAGGCGGGAGCCATGCCGAGTGTGAAATTGCCAATGGCTGCCGGTCAGGTGCGAGCTGCCGACGTTGCCCTGCCCCCAGACTCGTACGGACGTGGAGTTTCGATTATATTTGATGGTTGCTGAGAGGGCCAGAGGATTCCTGGGAGGCCGCGGAAAGCAGAGGGGAGACTGGCAACGGCGTCCGGCGCAAAGGAGGAAGCACACAGGCGACGAATTGAAGGCATTCTCAGCTCAGACGCAGCCATTTGGACACTTGAGCGAGAAGGGAAGTTTACGCAGCGAAGCCGATGGGGTCCCCCTGCGGACGGACGTCGTGTGGGCGCACGCTTGGCCTGGCGTTGTGTGCAAAGGAGTGCAGGTGGTGAAGGGTGGTGGAGGTGCGAGGTGCGGTGCGTGGAGGTCGTGGTCGTGCGAAATACCGTTAGACTCGCTTGGATTGGTTAGCGTCTTGGCACTGCTGCTCCCGTTTGGCTCTGGCGCTCGAGGACGTTGCTTCGATCATTTCTTCCAGACCTTCTTCTGTTTCACAGCCGTTGTTCTCGTGCTCCCATCCACAACACCACCCCTTACGCATGTACACACACATCACCACGCAGCACCTTCAGAGAAGACACCTGGGCACGAACGGCCAATCTACAACTGGACCTGCGCCGCAGCCGTACAAAGCCGGGGGTTGACGCGTCCGTGCCAAATGGCGACTGCATCCGATCGAAGACCAATCATGGCAGCAACTCGGATTGGCTCCGCGGCCCAAACCAGACCTCCATATCCTAATCGTTTAACATGGGAAGGGTGCCACGCCGGCCGAATTTAATCTCAGCAACGGTCGACTCGCTCTACGATTAGAGGTGGAAGCGCAGGCGCGATGATCGCCGAGGGAGGTTGCTCGCGGTGTGACTGGCGCGCGTTCCACGGCAAAACACCATCGGACAGTAACCTTAGGTTAGTACGGGATTCATATCTGGTCATCGCTTACGAGCCGTTACACCCCTTCGAATCGCTCTTCTGAGGCTGTATTTTATAAAGATGTCACCGCACTGGCGGGCTTCGCAAAGAGCTCGTTCTTCAACCCCCACTTAAGCTATCATTAGCTTCAATCAGATGTCGTGCAGCTGCCTGTCAGGCAGTGTCAGCACAAACCAACGACGGCGGTCACTACCGCGTCCCGTGCTACCTCGTCCCGCCGCCTGTCAGAAATCAGAACGACATCAAGACATCACCGCATCCTTGAATATCTCCAATCTTATAAACTCGTACCACCTTCACCAATGCCAGTGCCCGCCCAGCCACTCGTCCTTGAGAACACCAACAAACTTTCAGCAATAAGCCAGTTGTGCTCCAATATGCTGTTCGCCTCTACCTCTCGGCGAAGGGAGGAGAATCTCGATGATCCCAAATAACGATGGCGCATCATTACTGGCGTGCCTTCTTAAATGAGCAGCAGCGGAAGATCTCCCCCGCCATGCAGTTTCGCGGCGACAGAGTTTCCCTTCTTCAGAGCTGCTGCAAGAAAACAGGCGCACGATTCCATTGCTGGAGGCTAGGAGCTTGATTCCTGCAACGGCGGCCGTGGGGCGCATACGCATACTATTTTCAAGATAAGGTGGATATTTAGTCTACCATTGATGCTAGAGTGCAACACTCAGCACAAACGGGAATCTTCAGCGAGCATTCGAAATGGGAGGCTCGGGCACCCAAGGAGAGTCCGGTCAGTTTCTTGCTAGACTCATGTACACATCTTGATGTCTTTTGATTGGTCAAAAATTTCCCATTATCAAAGTCGAAAAAGAACACGACATAACATCTGCAGCCTTCCTATTTGATCATGATAAGCTCTCAAATCGGGCAATCGCCTGTGATGCTATCCAAACTCAAACAGGTCGCTATTTATCGACGCCTTGGACGGGGTGCTTAATGAACCTGATTGCGCATCTGACATATCCAATATTTATGAGATGTAGCGTTAAAATACAACAAGTACGGCGCAAATTCATCGAAAACACAAAACAACTGTTTCAAAGGCCGCTGTATAGCTAGTTCATGGTTCATAGTCTGATTGATAAATTGCTCCTGGCCCAACTGACTTGTGCGGCCGGCATTTGTCTTTATTGTTGAACTGCTTTTGCAAACCCTACAAATTACATGGATGACAACATAACATTTAATGGATCAGGCAAGACTGGTTATCTGGAAGTCTGTTCCTTCCTCAAGCCTTTGTCGGCTCGAGATATGCCCGGAATACAATGAACATGTTCGAATACGATCTCAGAACGACTCATCGCTCTTCCGGTCACACAAGTATGACTGCTTACATCAATTAGCAAGTCAAAAGATTTGCCGTTGCCGTGCTGCCGTGTAGCACACGTATATGTCCGAACCCGGTCAACCCGCCTCTATCAACCTTTTCTGTGTACGGTCAAACGGGTACGGACGGGCCCGCAGTATTACTGCGCCAAAGCGCAAGATGATATATTACAGAACCAAGTGCTGTCACTCTCAAACCTCAATTCAGTTGTTGGAGAACTTGCGATTACGATTGAAAAAGCCGAGAGCTGAGTGGTTCAATTTTGCCCTGGTGGTCATGAGACTGCGATCTAATGCGGTCCAAAAACGCACGATCCCTATGCATCTCTGGCAGGGATACTACGCCATCAGCGATACCCGGCCCCCAATCTGTTAACGTGGAAGTATGGATAACTGCTTCGTAATCTTTTACGACCTTATTCGGTGTGAACCTATTCGGTGTCACTTGTGCTTTGCCAAAAACAAGTTAATTTAAGCGTTTAAGGTCGGAGAAGAGTCAGAGATAGACTTTATTTCGCGATCAAGCAACATATCGGAACTGCCCACCAAATTTTCCTCCAGCCGAATTCGAGAGCATATCTAATTGGCATGCAAATTCAGGCTTATAGACCCCGAACGGTTTAAAACTGACGAGGATTAGAAACGCAGCCAACATCCGGTCTTTCCATCCATTGATATCCAGCTGTCTTTCTTGCTAGGCATGATTCTAGCCAATCAGCTTGCCTGTGAGTCTACGGATGCTGGTACTTACAGGTTCCTGGACGATCAGAGTTGGTGTAGCTCCATTTTCATCATTACATCAGTCTCGCTCCGCATAGAAGTGGTACGAGTTGACGCTCTGTGGCATATCATCAACACGTTTGGATTATAAACTTAGGAATGTTCGCGTCTGCTTGCGAATGCATTGCATATTAGAGTCATTCCACCTATCAAAAGCCCACGTGGAGTCTTATAGCCATCATCTTGCGAAGAGGCGAGTTGCCTCTTCACTGCTATATCTACCGATTAGTGTTACAGTAAACAGTCATCTTAAAAGGGGGCTGTTCCTCTTACGTCGTCTACGCTTTTGAATTCTCCTTCTTTCCAATCATAGCTTTCTTGCAACACCGATTATCAACTGCCTAGCAAGGGGCAGCAACACACACTGAATTACTGAAGGCCTTTCCTGGGACCTCATTTCTCTTTGCTCTGTCCAGAGGCAGCCTTCACGCAAGCCACCAACAGAGCTCGCTCGAAATCAACGACACTGGACTAGAGACATCACTTCTCTTTTTGGAGCTCGACCAAATTTAACTCTCCAAAACATCCAATATGGCCGCATCAGCACTCATCTCAAATCAATCTCGCAAAGAATTGCCAGCTGTGGAAGCCCCAAATACGACTGTATACCCTTCTACTCCCCGTATCGCTGGGGTTGAACGTCTCGGATTCGCCGTCGACCTACCAAACAAGTTTCTCTCCCTCACTCCTAGTACAGGCGCCTCATACCTAGAGCGTCGCCAGCCCTCCCCGGGTGTCGAAGCATCCAACATGCTCCTTGGAATTCGGAAGGCTGGTGGTCCGGCGAGTATCACGAACCCCAAGGCTACAGGTCATGACGTTCTCGGGGCGAGTCGAAGTAGCAGTATGAGCAGTGAGGCAAGTGCCGACACTTCTCGCAGCCAGAGCAAGTGGTTCTTACGGCTGGACCCGGTTCACGACGGGGAGCACCTAGACAAGAACGGTGATTGGAGTGAGGAGGTCATCATTTGTTAAATGCAATCGAGATTTGCTGGGTCTTTCTATCTAGTGCAGGGTGGCTCACTCATGACCATCCATGCCGATCTTAGATTGGAGTACATTTTAGACTGTCTTACCTACTTTGATCTTACCGGAGCCCCTTGGCTTTCGGAACAGTTCATCCTGCTATCATGTCTTTCTTTTTCAAAATTTTCAACTCTAGCGTATGCGATTACTACCCTATAAGCACGAAGATCTACTTGTTCAAGGTGCCAGTTCTATATTTTACATTCAAGCTATCAGCTTCGCGATTCCATCACTTCCTGGTTTAATATTATCACATTGCGCGTCTAATTACATTTGTAGTCTTCACTACCCTTGTATTGAGATTAATGGCTCAAGGCGCGCTGCAGAAATATGTCAAGCGTGAAGTTCTGAGAAACAAGCCCTAATTTGAATTTGTTGGTGGAGTTGCTCGAAACTTTTTGTCATTGACTACTCGGTAAAGTGAGCCTCCCTTAATACAGACCGAGTTCAGGTTTTCAATACAGTAGGAGCCTATAAACCAAGATCAAGTGACTGGAAACAATAGCTTTCAAAATAATTTAGTGAACGAACTGGGAAGTGTTTTGGCTCCGGTGACAAATGTGGCATCTTAAGGCGAATGGGTGAAAAACTTGAGACCCCCGCATTTATTAAGCTGGATTCCAACAAGATTACTACATGTCACCGTTTTAAACTCATTCAATGAGCCAATGACATGAATTGCGTTACAAACCTTCGTTGTAGCCTTGCTTGGTCGTTTGGTCTGCGGCCTCAGTGTGGCGCAGTAACCCAAACCCTCGATACTTTCTTTGCACTCTCAGCCTTATTTTCTGCTACTCGCAGTCCTGATCTTCCCAGAAGCTACAATATGGGTTCTCATCTGCAATGGTCAATTCATGATGTATAGGGCCCCCTTCTGTTATTCGCTTAACTCGTTTGAGGCCGCCGAATGGCCTCATTGCTGGTCGATCTTGTGGTGCACGGAACTTGGCATAGCATAACGCAAAATGTCTAGGCGGAACATCCTCTGCAAAAAGTCCACTCGGCGAGCCTCGAAAGGACTGAACACGAAAGGCAGCCGCCTAAAAAAACACAATTGTGGATCGCTCACACCCATGTGGAAAAAGAAACGTCAAACAAGTTTTGATTTGCGCTCAATCTTGTCTACTCTCGCAGATCATCCTGGGCTACTCTAGCTATCACACAGCCGCCAGGTTTCAAGAAAGAGCAGTTAATCTTGCCACATGTTGGATAAATGCAACAAATGGGTATTCCGAAACGAGAGTTCTGATGTGAATGACGACCACTCAGCAGCTGGCTTGTTCGCGTCTCTCAGTCGCGGGATATAGAATCTTGCTAGGTAGGTAAGTATTCTTGTTGGACCGCCACTACCTATACACTCCACCGGATTGAAGATAGGTTACACCCGCTGGCAAGAATTAATCTCAACTGTACGTTTACAGGCCAGAACATGGGCAAGTAGCAGCTTCTGCAGTTGGACTGAAAGAGATCAGTTCACTGGCTAGCTCCCTTGGTCTCTCTTGTTTGGCTGCACAATCATGGCGACTTCCGGGCCAGTGGGCCCGAATCAACAGCAACTAGCAAGCGCTTAACATGTGGATATAGTGGGATGATCGAATGTCACTTCACTGTAGGATTGGAATACACAGCTGCTTATTCTCTGAAGTGCATATCTGTACGCCGAGTAAGAAGTTTTTCCGAAGCATTCCAACAAAAGTCTCAGGGACGAGCCACCAAGGTTAAATGCTTACGTCCGCTGATCGAGATCAGAACGGAGAAAGCCGCAGAGAGCTGGTCTTTGTTGCGGGCAAAATTGATAGGCTTATCATTCTCCAACCCCGGTTGGAAGATTGGCGGCAGCTCACACGGCATGAAGCCTCACTAATAGCCATCCGTTGTCACCCCTAACCTATAAAAGGCGTAAAGTTTTGACCAAAGCCTTGGGATTCTGAAGGTATGTTGAATTATGGTAGTATCATGGAAGGTAGAGGCCGACGCGTGTGCTACCGTGGCAAAGAAAGAGGCTTTTCATAGTCTAACGTATTCCCACCACAAGCTCAGGAACCATCTCTTGACGAAAAGTCAGGAATTCAGATTGACATCAGACCGATTCCACTACGGCTCTAATAGAAACAGCCCAGTATCAAAAGACATCTGCCTGAGTATGGTCATGCTTATGTCAAACTTCTTCCCTCTGTTGGCAGCCATTTGGTATGCCAATCATGTCCCTGACAGTCAGACCAACGCACCTGTTGAAAAACTTAAACATTATTCACCAGTGCATTGCAAGTCTGACGTGACCCCTCTCAAATTGTCCAACTTTAATAATGTTGAGAAACTTACATCCCAACGCTCTTGCCTTAATAATTATATTTACTCTTAGACAACGAGACGACAAAGCTTATCCACTCAAAATACTAAGTAAATATAGCTTCGGGGTATAATTTATCAATACCATACTACGAGAAGGTGTTCCGTCAGAGTTGCAACACACTGGTGATTCTATGGCTCTCGCTATGTTCTCAACGAATGCTTGCTTACTTGGCCCCAAGTTCCCAACTTCATCGAAGCAAGTCAACATGAGCATTACCACTCGAAGAGATTGAGATATGCTCTGGAGTGGAAAGTATTAGGAGAGACTTCGACGCAATCTTTAACGAGAGAAGGTTACTCATGGTGACCAACTTTCAAAGAAAGAAAACACACCAGAGAACAGGCGATTCGATTCAGATAGTTGCTAGTCCTAGCCGAGTCAACGACTGCCATCAAAGCGCAGAATCTTCGACCAAACATATATGCTATGGGTCCAAGGATGTTTCTACAAGCTTAAGTGTAAGAAGATCAGCTTCAGATGGTTCGGTGCCAGCGCAACACTTGAGCCCTAAGGTATTCCCTCTTACACTCAAGTTAAGCTACAACTCCAAGTATTCCATTCAAACCAATTCAAAACGCCACAGATGATACATATATGATATATTGTGCTAACAACTATGTATCAGACCAAAACTCCTACCGCCTGCTCCTTTGCCTAAACGAGAATATCGCGAAATCATAAAACAGGAAAACAAGTGAGTTCAAGAGCAACGCCGTAAATATGGTCGTAGGACACGGAGTTATGGATTACAGATATATATCCAAGGTCTGGGCAACCGCTGAGGCGTGCTGTTTATACTGAAACATATCCTTCTACGTTATCCATCCAACGTCATTCGAAAGACAAAAATCAGCGAGACCACGTCAACGACATGTATGTCGCGTTTCACCGTCCACCATTCCATCTTTTGTTCTTCGCACATATAGAAGCCTCTCTTACGCCGAACCTATATTCCAACATCATCTCCCCCGGACCTAAACAGCGTTCCTTCTGCAAATTCATCACCTCATTTCCTAATCCAGTCACCGCACGCGTTATTGTCGCCAGAGAGATCATAAGTTTTGTCTGGGAAAGGCTAGCAAACAATTCGCATACGCCTCGTGTCTCCGCAAGTGTTGCTATAGCGACTGTTGCCGATGTCACATTGTTTGTCTTACTTCTCATGGCTGTACAGACGGATCTAGGGTTCCGGTTCATCCTCGAGACGGACGATTGGCCTTATATCGGGGCTAGATTGAATTTAACGAGGAGAGCTTGTTCGTTATCTGCGTATTTCAGCGCTCTATATACGGATCTCGGGATCCGGGTGATTTTCCAGATCATCGGTTAGCCTTATGTCGGAACTGTTTGGACCTTGCCGCGAGCAGAGTGTTTGTTGGCTGGGTTTGTCATCGCTATACAAATAACTGTCTGGATACTGATTCTTCGGGGGAATCGAGGAATTGAATAGCCCTATACCGGATGTATCTGGATCTTGCCGAGAGGATTGTGTTTGCTACCTGGTTTCAAGTCCGAGAACTCTTCATTTGAGGCTGAAGCTCATAGTCCTGTGTTTGTTCTTTCATACTGATCGGGTATTTCCTGTCAGAGACTCGTCCTATCGGATCGAGCAAATCGTGCCGTTTCAATTTCTCTTCTCGCTACCGGCTTCCAAGTGTAATAACCTTTATTTTAGGGCTGAAGCTGACAGCCCTATTTTTCGATGTTTATACTCTTCTAGTATTTCCTAGAGAGTCAACCTATCGGATCGAGTAAATAGGCTCGTTTCAAATCTGGCTTTTCTCGTCGAGTGATGTGAGCTTCGATTCTCGACATAGAGCAATAATGAAATGGCGAACAAGCAGTCCATTTAGTCACGCTTCTCGAAATAGGAGATGATCACCCCTCGTTCTCAAAATCGTCAACCCCCTCTAGGTCGACTCGGCCGTCCTATCATCATCCTCCGAAAGTTCGGATTCACGTCATCGAAAGTTTTCGAGGCTGCCGAGATACAAGTCGACACATTCGTGATCGTTGGTGTCACTGGCTCTGAAACACCCAAATCTTTGTTTCCATTGCTTTGTTGGTTTGACTTGATGATTTGTTGCAGAGAAGCCCATGAGATGAGGGTGCTGATGATGCTCAGAACGATGGTGACGGCACTCGATACTATGCTGATCTTTGTCTCGGTTGAAAGACCGGGTATTTGGTCGGCTGCGGTTGCGATGGTGATGTTGGTTGGGGTGAAAGGAGCTGTTGGATGTTAGCCCAGCTTCAAACAAGTGTAGAATCTTTGATGAGAGAAAGCTGACCCATGGGGTTTGAATGACTCTTTTTCTGAATATCTGATGAGCTTCGAGAAGTAAGTGGTATAGTGTCTATTATATTCGACGATGTCTGATCTGGGCCTCTTGTCTGAGTGGTTGGCAGTAGTTTAAGATGCTTGTTTCTTTCCCTCGAGGTGAAGTGTTCGAAGATATTTCAGAAGCAATCGTCTTAAACTTCAAGGGCTGATGGGCACTATTTATCTGTAGTGTCAGTACCTGCGCAGGAACCCTGTATTCTGCATGATAGGTTTTCAAAACTGTTTGGAAGTTCGCAATTCTGCGGACCATCGATCCTAAACGCCACCGGACGGAGAGAAGCAGTCTGATTACCGCTTAAGCTGCAGTGGCCGATAATTTGAGGCTGCGGACGCTGGACTGATGCTACAGGAATTCGACCAACGGGCACGTTCTACTGCAGATACTGGTCGTTAGGGTCGATCACTTGAACCGGTTTCTTGAATGTTGGAGTATGTACAATTCGCCTTTGAACCCTCTTTGGGCCTCGTTCATACGAGTCAGGTTCTTCCACAAAAGTTCTCAAATTCTGCAGTTTTTCGCTGCGCCTTCTGAGTTCTCCCAGACTTGCTAGGGGAGAATAGATACCTAGGCATGTCGCTTAGGTCTGAAATTCATGATCATCAACGAGGAGCTTTGAGACAGAAGCTATTCGCAATTCAAGGGGGTGTGTTGCTTTACTGCCGAGTGTGCAACGGACAGTGATTCCGTGTTACACTGAGTCGTCTCAAAGAAACACTCGAGATGTTCGATCCTGGCTATTTCTCCCAGTATCGACAGCCCAGGTTACCAAACACGCGTCGTACCGTGTTGGCACAAGGACTGTGGCAACCAAAGTGCAAAGCTGGTGACTGCGGACGGGTACCTAAATCTATTAGCTAGTCGAAGTGAAATCAGCGGTCTGTGAGCAAGACGGTCATTGGAACTTCTTCCTCATTTGGATGTTAACAGGATGTTAACAGCTGGTGATACTTTGTATCTCGAGAAGCCTTCGGAGAAAGAGGCGTGGACTTTTCGTTCCCGATAGAAGCTTAAGCTCGCGTTCGTACCACTCTTTCGTGATTTGCTTCGGCAGCCGGCGTTGTGTGAGGTGCGATCGAACGTGGCTTCCAGCTCCGAAGATTTTGGGGAAAGTCATGCTGGTAATTTTCTATCTTTCAAACGCCAATGGTGCATATGATGAGTGTGGCTGCCACTTGCTCCCAAATTTCTTATTCATTTTAAGACATTTCAGATAAGACAGGAATGATTAAAATGGCATGAAAAGAAAGGGAACTGACAATCCGCTCAGTGATATGACTCGGTAAAAATTCATGTTAGTAGCATAATGCGTTTCTGACTTGAAGATGTCGGAAGTTAGGCTTGGATGACGGACTTGATAATGCTCCAATTGTGACGTAGGTAGGTACGTTAACAAATTATTTGTTGTGTCTATCCTTCATCCGGTGTCGGTACTCTGTGAAATTCAGAGCGTGCTAAAATCCCCGTTGTTGTGTAACATAGTAGTCTTCATTCGCCTTCCGCTCTTTGCTTTCAGTTGGCGGAAAATGTTGAGCGATCACTCTAGAGACAATTGAACTCGAGAGGATTGACGATATCTTAACGAGTTTTTCTTGCTGTCAGCCTTGAATAGTGGCTCATCATCTCCAGATTTGTCTGCACTCGGCAACCTGCATTCTTTCTTCCGGGTTTGTCGCTCCCTTCAAGCCCCTCTAAGTAAACGGTCAAACCCTCGGAGTAGTCCCCTCATTGGATGCTATCCATTGAGACCCTACCACATTTCCCTTGTCTAGGTAGGGAGGGAGACAGTTTTCATTGCGGATGAACCAATTCGACCGTCGGTTAGTACGGAGTGCTGTGTCCGGATACCCCTATCCGCTCGCGTACCTACGTATGTTCACTGCCCCAAAATGCCTAGCTGGAACGTGTTTTGTCACTCATCTGCTCACTGCATTACAATACAACAGCTTCAGATGGACGGTACTGACATCGTTTCTCCCTGTCCACCTAGCAGCCTATTCACACCGTCACCTCAGACGTACTAAGCCTCTTGTACCATGGTTGGTGCATTCTGGTTCACAGGCAAACAGTAATTTTTACATACCTATATGCAGCCATCCTCGTTACCACAAGCAAATGCTGTCGCCATATCTTGCACATCCATCGTTCGTGGTTCTGATTTGCCAACTGCCACGTGTGGCCAGGAAATCTGGAGGGCTTGACCAGCTATGAATCTGGTGGCGTAGCGGACACGTTCTGGCGCCCACATATCGAGGTCTCTGAGGTAATACAAGTGCTCACATACCTTCGATTGTTGTTACCTCGTATGCCCTGTACTACCGCATATGCCAACTCGGGAGTTCTGACAGGTAAAGTGAGTTCACTTTCGGAACCTCGCGTACAAAATCCTTGCACTGTACGACCACAACTATAGGCTGATAAGAAGCTTGACACTGCCGTTGAAAATTTTCGACAAGTTCATTGTGGGATTTATCGCTACAAGCCAAACATCCAAACACAAGGCTTTCTCAGGGGTTATTCAATTCTCCTAAGTTTCTACGCTAGTTCGTATCGCCATTCTCCCACACCAGACACATGCTGTCGTCGTAACGCCGACATATTGAACGACGAATCTTGCAAGATGTTAATTCAAAATCCCGTGGTCACAGAGAAGATGATTTTGGTATCACCCACCTTCACCAACCTCGCTTGACTGCCGTCGCTCGTAAGCGAGTTTCCAGACGGCCCAGGACAACAAGACACTCAATACACCTGTAACGATGGTGAAGATTCCGACAATTAAGCTAATATTGGATTCTGGGGAGAGATCGCGAGTAAAGAGCTTGCTCGTCAGGTGGCTTGACATGGCGAGTGTAGTTGAACGTAGTCCGGTTGTGCAGTGGGTAAAGAGTGACCTCAGGGGGTTTGAAGGAAGGAGATGAGTTTGAGTCAAATACTTGCTGAAAGATTTGGTGGGAAGCTTGTTCAAATAATAACTTAAGTGAGTTCGGATACTCGATCTTAAAAGGGGAATTCTATCTATTTTGTATCTTTCATCGATGCGGCTCAACTGTGGATGGATCTTAGGTTATGCGGCTCCAAACATGGTTTTGAGGCTCAAAATCTCAAAACATTCAACCGAGCTGCATTGTCGCCAAAGTTGAAGAGGTATTGAGCAGAGGATACGTTCGAGTATCCGAGGATGTAATTGTATATAAGAATCCCTAGGTAGGTACCTAGGTGAAAAGCAGTGCCTCAAATTAAGCACTGATTTTCTGGAACATGCTTCGTTACTGTAATCCAGAAATATGCGTGATAACAGTTGGAAAGTTCAAGGTAAATAGCCTACCTTAAGTAGGCCTCCAAGGAGCCCTCTTCTGATAGAATTGTAGTCGTTCGAAAGCTCCTGGTCGCTAAATGGAGGTACAGAAAGTGGGTCGGTTCACTGCTTCTCGAGTATAAACCCCCCCCTCGGATGCTCGATTTCTTCAGCATATCAACTTCAGACACCTCCCGCACAATCTGCTTCTACAAGCTTTATGTGATTTTAATGTGACTTGCTACCATAGCTTGAGGTGGTTGACTGAAAGGAGATATACCTGGGTAAAGTATCTAGGTACTTAGGTACTGACCGCGATAATATTAGTACTACAGGAGTGTGCGTCTCCCAAGAGTCTCATCATTCATAAGAGACATACATTATGATAGCTCTACCAAACTTTTGATCAGCCGAAAGTAGATACATCGAGGCATCGACAATCAAGAACATTTGAGCCTCAAGTCCATAAGCCTCAACTCTCAGAGCCTCAGAGCCTCAGAGCCTCATTCCCTACCAGCCTCCCTGCAGGTATACATTGGCGTTGCCTTACGCCCGACCAGACTCAGGGTTTCAGGTCCCATAGTCCAATGAGGAAAAGGACGGAATGTCTTTTGCGTGCAGAGCCTCATACCCTCCGGCTTGAGGATGTGAAATCTGCATATACATCGGGCGTAACTTGCTTACCTCTTGCATGATGGTATTTGCACCCTTACGTATAGATAGGTACGTGAGTAGGTAGTCCAATAAGAAGCTTAAAAAGGGAACGGGGAGGATGAGGGGTTGCGTTTTGAAGAGCCGCATAAGTACCTAGGTACGTGTGATCTGCTTGTAAAACGTACGTTGCGTACTACCTCATGATGATAAGTTGAGGTGAGCAGCTTTCCCGATCGAAATAGTAGCATTTTGAATATACCTAGGTAGGTACTTTCACCATAATCATAATTCCACGAGGCCGATAAAAATCCATAGATTTAAACTCTTCTTATAATGCCTCCACTTAAATATATCTACACTCCATACCTAGGTACCTAAGCGTAAGTCATTCATAAACATTAGAACCATGCCAACAACCTCCTCCTCCCACTTTTACCATCAAGAAAAACACACGCTCCCCGGGTATCATATCATAAACTTCTAACCTCCACGCATCTTCTGCCAACACCGCACCGAGATCGGCAGGTGTGCGCAAAACCAACACCCTCTCTCCCTTCCTCATCCAGAACAAAACCATCAACAGAGTATATTTCAATCATTCCTCGTCCCCTCAGGAGCAATAGCATTTTCCGGTCCGGTACCAGGAGCTTCAATATCCGGATCCGGCTGTTTCTGTTTCGGCGGCGTGATATGTAGTTCCGCCATCCCCATCCTATCTTCTACCTGAGGACTCTTAACCGGCGTCACATGTCTAAACAACGAATCATGCGCTCTCGGACTAACAGGAGATTTCGTCCCATCTCCCGTAGCAACAGAACTATTGCGACTCCTAGGTCGACTCCTCAACTGGTCCAGCTTCTCCAGCAGTCTTTTATCAGCCCTGTTTCTTTCAGCTTCCTCGTGTTCCAGCCTCTCCTTCTGCTCTAGATATCTGCGTTCAAGTTCCGCACTCTCGCTCTTATCACGTTCCGCCTCTAGACGTTTCTTTTCTTCTTCGGGATCTAGGAGTTTGTCGCGGTGGTGGACGAGCTTCTTGATGATTTTCTTGCCTCGACGTCGGGTTTTGACGTAGGCTTCCAGACCGACGAGTACAGCGTAAGAGCGAGAAATAGAGACGTGAGACATGTCTACGCCAGCATCTTTGAGTGAGTGGACGAAGGCACGGAAATTGGATACTATTCCATGTTAGCAAGCTTAAGACAGGTAGAAGGAGGCATACGTACCTGGTGGTCTGTAATGACCACTCAATGGGCTCAATTTCGAGAGTCTTCCATTCTTGATTTTAATGAGTCCAGCCGCGGAGATACGTGACCCATGCAAGAATGAAGAATGCTGAAAAGCGCCAGATTGTTTGATACCAACATACAAGCGAAAGCTTGTATCAGCGACGAATATCCAGGTATTCTTCTTCACCGATCCGCGCAACAACTTGTTAAATATCGTTGCTGCCGAAACATGTTTGACCTTCTTGACTCCTGTCGCACCATCGAATTCCGGACTCGCATACTTATTGGCACGAGCCGAAGTGCCAGAATCAGAGCTATCACTAGACTCATCGTCATGTTCGTGATCTTCATGAGAATGATGTGAAGCTTCCGCATGAGCTGGTGTAAATGCTGGCGTTTCGTCTGTACTCGACACAATCCCTCGTATACTATCCTTGAAATTTGCAGTCGTATCTATTAGAGCCCCGTTCTTCGCCCAACAAAGCCTTCCATCCTTGTTGATTATAACCAGATAATTCAATCGTTCTTCCTTTGACAGATACCGCACCTGCTCCCTCTCTAATCTTTCCCTTGGACAAGCCTGCATATCGATCATCCTCCCCTCTCCTTTATCGAGCCAATAAAAGAAATTCTCTTTGGTATCTGCTTTTTTCCACTCCTCGTGATACACTCGTAAATTACTCCCGTATCGATGCTTAAGATCAACCATCTCTAGAAAATATTGGAGATCCATCATCTTGGCCTTCTTTTGCCGTTCCATTTTCTTTTGAATTTGTAGCCTCCGAGCAGCTTCGCGCTCGCTTTCGGGGAGGTTCTCGTCATCAACCCAATTGTCCGAATCCGAGTCTTCGTCTCCTCCTGCCCTCCTAGCTATTCGACCAATTTTCATCCAGTTCTGCCTTGCGCTACTCGTGGCTCTGTGCCTATGCGAATCGGTTTTCTCCACCGACAGACCCTCCCCAGCCTGGCCCACCCCAACCTCTAACGAAGCGTCTTTGCTCTTCCCAATTTCTCCTCTCGCCCTGGGTTGCACCATATTTCTATACTGCGCTTCCCTGACAGCCTCCACCCACCTCGAACTCGGATCCAGACTCATCCCAGCCATCATCCTCCTCTCCCTATGCCCGCGATAATTCCTCTGAATTAAACCAGCAGCCCTCTCCCTCTCATCCTCGCTCAATTCCGGGTGTCCTTTCTGCAGTCCATCTTTGAGATGTTTCCGGATAATCTCCTCCTCCTTCCCCTCCTGCACCGCTGCGATTTTCTGCACCATCTCATGCGTTGGACATTCCAAACTGTCTAGGTATTCCTGATGCGAGCGCCAAATTCTTGTTGACGAGATCGAGCGTGAGGAAAGCGGTTTTCCGGACTGTGAAGAGGGAGAGAAGGAGGAGGTTCGTGAGGTGGGATGGGAACTGAGGGAACCATTATTGAATTGAGGGGCCATTTGGGGCGAGACAGGCGCTGCCAAGGTTCTGGGCGATTACAGCCTGCAGGTTGCAGGGCTGTCGAGTTGATTCAAGACCAAGGATTGTGCCACGCCCGAGGGTCCCGACGACGATGACGGGGGGTTGTGGGGTTGTGTTCCAATAATGTAGGTGGTGTAGAGGTTTTTTGATTGACAAAGAACGAGGACTTGAAAAGCGATGTTTGTTTCCAGACACTCCAGAATTTGAGCCACAAGGGAGGCACGAATCTGTTTGTTTGTCCAGGACTCGTTCGCCAACACTACTCGCAACTATTCCAGGGTCTTTTGGGGCGCATGCCGGGACCTTCGATTGTACAACGTAAGCTCGAACTGCTCACCGTGGCCGATGAGTCAAGGCTAAGCACTTGAGATGAGAACGTGGAAAATCCGAGGGGAGAGAATTGCAAGTTACCAGACCAAAAGAAAAACACAACCAGACAGCAGGAAAGGAAGCGGGTGTTTGTTGGACTTATGTCAATGAAAAATCATTGGCACTTCCGCTCCAACGCCACGAGGAGATGGCATGTCAGCCATTAACATCCAGGACAAGACATCTTACAATTTCAATAACCGCAGAATCCGAACAATCCCCAAGGGTTTCCCCAAAAAGTAGTGTAATCGTTCTATTCTTGGGTTTGTATCGTATTTCGTATCGGATTCAACGGCAACGGATACGTTCCCCTCTAAGTGACGTGTGAAACTAAGTTTCCCCGCTGGATGGGTATCGGCAACTGCCAGCTGCCGACCAACTGTGCCCAATTGGTCTTTGCGACCTAAAGGGAAGCCGGCTGTGCCTGGGCCTGGATTCTTGTGCTAGAGCTAGAACATTAGAGTAGTTGCAATTGTGTTAGTGATCGAGGCTGAGCGTCTTATGACAATGTTGGAATATTCCGTCGTTCAAAAAGCAATCCACGTTTTCAAATTAACAGGGTTGACTAACTATGCAGTGACTAAGAAATGCACATAGAAGATCATTACTATCAATACCAAGCCTCTATTTAATATCAATTCTCCTCAAAATGCATAGAAGTGAGCTATACAAAAATCGTCAACCGATTCCAAGCAGGTTCCTATATGCATACTACTATTCATGTTGATATGATAGAGTAGAAGAATAACGCCGTCGCCAATGCTTTTATGATTCTGAACCTCTTAGTCCCTCAAGATGATCCTTTATGAGGATAACTCTATTAAATGCTTCATGCCATAAATGCTGAAATGCGAAAGTCCTCGATTCCAAAGAGGCATAAATGCCACCCAGAACCGCTGAGGTTGCCGGTACCATTCTCCAATGGTATCCTCTTTGTCTTGTATTGTTCTCGGTCTAGATAATGAACTGGGAAATCCCAGCTCTAGTATCATCATGATCTTTGAGTTTCTCAATCAACACGTTTTCCACTGCCATGTCCATTAGCGGGTTTGGCACTCCCGTTGGTAGATTTCGAACGCGCCCGATTGGCGACCTGCTTTTCGTATGGGATGGTGAGGCAGTTGATACCCAAATAAGAGCAGATGCTGTTAATCACAAGCAATGCCCATCTGAAATAAACCACCAATGCAAAGACAAAGTAGCTTCGAAGATACCATAACTCGACGAAAGAGCTGACTGCTGGAAGACCGAATCGAGGGAGGTTTCCAAGAATAGCCCCACCAACCAAGGGCGTAAGCATAACAGTCCAGTATGGAAATGGCTGCCGAGTTAAATGGGCAAGGATGATTTTCGTTGTCATCCGGCCAAAAACAAAAGACATCGTAAGACAGAACAAAACGAGTCTATTGTCTCTCATCAAGGTGGAGTATGGGGAGTATAGCCATGCTCCAATTGAAAAGGTATAAACGGCCATAGGTGTCCATTCCAGGAAAACCGGCATGACTGGAAGGTTTTGTGCCCTCCTAGCCTTGACAACGTTGATAACACAGAACGGTACATGGGCTCCGAATAGAGTCACGCACAGAATAGGCACCCACAGATCTCGTACTGAATAAGATCCAAAGAACTCGTGGTATCCGAAGAAGTAATGATGGCCAACCAAATCTGTGATTCGATGAGCCCAGATCTCAGGTCCGTAGTATCCAGACATAATCATAATCGTGCAGGCGAGGATTAACCCCTCAGTTGGTCCGTTGAAGACGCCCAGATACAAAGTATGTGTATGATATGTCTCCCATGTCGAAAAGAACATAGGTAGACAAGGTACAAGGGCGGTAAAGATTCCAGCCTTGGATGTCCCCAGTCCCATCGCCGCAGTTTCGCAGAGACTTGCGAGAGTACAGTTCAAAGAGTCGATTCCGTGGTCGAAAAGTTCGCCGAGACCACTCGAGGTTCCTGTTCGTCGCGCTTGTTTCCCATCCACGTTGTCCATAGTTGAGTACATCCAAAGTCCAAAAGCAAAACTATAGTATAACCACGACGGGCCCTACATTCTCGATCAGCAATGTGTCTTGCCTCTTTCTGAGATATTCATCACGTACCGGTCCGACCAAATCCGGCATTACCAGCTCTAAACATATGACGTTTGACAGGATGAAGAAGAATCCCAATAGTGTAACCATATTCGGCGCCAGCCATAATGGCAATAATTCCACGAATGCATTCCACTATAACCTGTCTCAGCATGTTGTTCCTCTATTTCCGCGGTGGTATGAAGTACATACATAATGTTTGAGGATATAATTCGAGATCAAGGATTTATCGACGCTGGAGTATTTATAGCTCTTGAGATGGATGAGCGCATCTTCGGACACGCACTCATGCGCTGCCTCTTCTGTAGATAAACTACCATTAGCATATGTTCTATAACCAAAGAATCAAGAAGAATTGTACTTCTGGAGGGCGTCATTGGAGAGATGGGAGTTGTGACAGGAGACGGTAGTAAAGCCTGCGGGTCCGTCTTCACCGCAAGCAAGTTCAGGTTATTAGGACGAATTTTGCGGAGAGAAGATCGGAAGACGCTCCGACCTAGGCGAATGTTGGTGGTAAGTGACTGGAGACAAGTGAATACTTAGGCAAAAGCTAAGTTTCTTCGCGACATTGATTATTCCGTGTTACTGAGCTAAACAAAAAGTGAAGAAGGTTGAATTTCCGGGTAAAGGTTGACGACCTGTGGGTGGGTGGATTATTGGAAGATCAATTTGACTGGGGTAATTTTAGGGATCCTGGTCGTCTTTGGGCTGAACCTCCAGCTATTCGTTATCACATGTTATTAACCTTTGGCTGAAGAAATTTATAGCCAATAAATTTATATATTTTTCTAAATAAGAGACAATTCCACTCCCAGCATTTGAACTTGCATGTATTGGGGCTGTTATTCGTCTATAGACTTTACACATTCTCGATGGGCTGACACAAAGGACCGCACAACCTGCTGAATACTGGAGTAACTGTACAGGTTGAGAGGCTCAACGGCTCAGTCACCATAGCCTTAGGGTCACAAACCACGCATCGAATCGATCATTGAACCCATTCATCCGCTAAGTAACCTGTGATTGTAGTACTACAAGCTAACTACACCCTCGTTTCATCCATTAGATAGTTTCAAATGTCCTTTCATCACCATCGCTAATATATTAGTTTTGCTGATACAGCATTTTCCGTCTTCTGCTCTGCCCGACTATGCTTAAAGAATGTACCGAACCGCTAAAATGCTCGACGACGAAAACATGTTAACCAAATATCACGCTAAAACAAAGATGTATCCTTCTGCGGTTGCCAATAACCAACAATTTCAACTTTCACGCCGTATATCATTCAGTCCGCTCACATGAAGAAAGTGAATCCTGCGAATATACCAACAAAGACAGTGGCAAGACCATAGCTGCGTCCAAGATCCAAAGCTGATTGAGCTCCACTCTTGTTGTTGCTAGTGGATGCTGCGGTTGTCGCGGCTGCACCCCCCAGTCCATTATACACAGTTCCGGCAGCATTGGTGCTCGCGGCGGCGTTGCTACCAACCGTTGCCGTGGCTGAATTGGATGCGGTTGTGCTTGTCAATGTAGCATTAGGGGGAGAAGGGTCCTGAGCTCCGCATGGATGATCTGCTCTGCAAGCAGCCTGGCAAGTGTTCACTCCACCGCATCCTGCGACACATTGGGTACCGTACTGTGTACATATGAAGTATGGAAGAGTTTGGGAATATTCGGTAGCATTGGGCGATAATCCGTTGCCGCAGACGCAAGTGTAGTCAAGAGTAGCCTTGTTTTGCATTAGCTAAGTGAACAGAAGAGGGAAGGAAAGGACGGGTACGTACGGGGTCGCAGGTATTGGAAACGGTAGTGCTACTTGCACCCGGACCGAGTTGCAAACAGAGGGATGGGCAAGTTGCTTTCTGTTGACTACACCATCCTTGACGAATAGGTAACGAAACAGAATTGGGATCGATTTGATACTGAACTTGTGCGTTTGCACAGAGAGCGAGTGCAGCTACAACAAGGTTGGTTTTGAACGAAAGCATGTCGAAAAGGGGAGATTGGTTGGATTGAAGGTTTCGATTTGTTGAGATTGGGAGAATCGGTTCGAGAACGGAGCGACACAAGATAAATTAATAGTTGTAGTCGAAACTGGTATAGCGAGTGTATTTCAAAGTACCAACGAAGGACTTGATCTGAGCTGATGGCAAACTGATTGACGGGACTGGATGGCGAACGGAGAAGAGAGACATCGTCGGTTTAAATTCCAGTGACCCCCAAGTCAACAACCTTGGAGCCAGCCACTGTGACCGGGAGGTATGCGCTAAGAAGGGAGCGCCGGATATTAATTGCCCAATCACTTGATCTTCGCCGTCCAACGACCCCATAAAAACGCCTGCATCCCTTGTCGCTTGTGCAACAGTCGAGGCAACCCGAGCTTGTCGAGTCGTAAATCGTGAGCTTCTCGTTGGACCAAACCACCACGTCGTCGCTGATGGTTGGCCTCTGCTCGTATCTATGCACTCATCGCCCGTATTGCAGATGGATTGCGTATTCGGGATGCAAGTTTGATGCTCGTCTTGCCTTCTCCCCGCTCTTATCAACTGAGAAGTAACGCTTTTATCAATGGCAAACGCGCTGGTAGGGATAGGGTCCTCCTCAATGTGAGTCTAATTTAGACGAAAGGACGCACAGAACCAGGGTCTTTCTTCACCTCCACAAAGCTCCAACTTTGTGTTTAGATGGATCATGATTTAGCTGCATTGTTGAGGGTGGGGTTAGGCGGAAGATGTTTGTCTTTGCAGGCCAACGACTAAAGATCGTGATATGATATTTGCTCTCGCGGTGCTGGTGGGATATGAAGTAAATGGCAAGCCGATGCAGGTCGGAGGATGCTTTTCCTTCGTTGGAAGCACCGGACAAATTATGCCATGTAACAGTCGCACTATACAAGATTGTTGCTCTGTTCTACGAACCTTGGAACAATTAAGTATCCGGGTACGGGATGTTAGTGAAAGAGCACGATTGGAGGGTTGTGTTCTAGCCCGAAGCAGCCATAGTCGGCATCGCAAGCTGCACGATCCGAGGGTTATTTATGGTTCGGGCAGAGCCTCTAGTGGCAACGCGGCAACCTTTCTTGCTTTGTACTGCATCTCACAACACTCAATATCAAATCGCCACGAGTTCTAGATCACCACCCTCAACGCTGAACGCTGCTCTGCGTGCAGCAAAGTTGCAAATGGATGGAGGCTGTAAATCCAGGATCTAGTGCTCTCCCGACACGTCCCAAGGACTTGGACTCGACCTCTAGCGCATTGCAAAATGGATCAAACGCTCACATTATTGGCATCACGGCCGATGAGAGAGGCACGGGGAAACTACCTTCGCCAATAACATCGCCACCATACTGGGTTCAGTCTCACCAGCGCTCGTTCTCCAACATATCTGTCGAGTCGTTTTCAAATGGCGGTATCACTCTTCAAGACAACACAGATGGTACCGACTCCAAGAACGAAGCGTGTTGGGCCAAAAGCGTCCATATTGAAGGCTATGTAATAGTGAATGCCAGTCGAACAAATATCGGAGCTTTTGTGGTGTGGAATATAATGGTAGAAACATTACGGGTAAAATACTTCATCTCCTCACGACATATGTCAGCAATTCTAACATGATGTAGGGCGGCGTCATGCGCGTCCGAAAGAGATATTCCGAGTTTGATGATTTACGGCATAAACTCATTCAAACGTTTCCTTACTCAGAAGGTGCTCTACCGCCTATACCGCCAAAGAGCGTGATCTCTAAATTCCGGCCTCAGTTCCTAGAGCATAGGAGAGCTGGGCTGCAATACTTCTTGAAGTACGTAAATCGTTCTTCCCTTTCCATGGTTCTCCATGATGTCTTTTGTTGGTGAAATGCTAAAAGGAGATAGTTGTATACTTTTAAATCCCGAGTTTTCTGGCTCACCGGTCCTCAAAGAGTTTTTGTTTTCTTGAATATATTTTGGATATATTAATACTTATTTATCTGTATTTATGATGAGCGATGGAGCGTCTTATATGCTGGCATTCAAATAAAGGCCAATAATGAATAAAATCTAGTATGAGAGGGTTAGTGATTTCTAGGAGATCTCATTGCGTCTTGTGCCGATGACTGTTATAGAGCACATTGGTAGGTGCTGAGGCATTAGCACACTCACTGGCTTGAATTGCTCACATGTCAATGGAACAGCTTATTTCAACAGTAAACGATTAGTGAAAAATGTTAAAATGTAGAAGCCAGACAAATATAAAAGACTGGCTCTACGTAGACTTATTAAACTTCCTTTTACGTCGCCTTAGTACAACATCTACTTAAAAACTATCAACTATTTTACTATAGTAATAATCTTATTTATCCTCCTAGAAAGATTAAATAAAATTAGTCAGTATTAACCGTTTTATAGACTGCTGGATTAGTTATTATTGTGTTTAACGTTCTTTAGCCTTAGGCGCTGGAAAAGGAAATTTAATGTATTTTCGTAGAGCCCGAGCTCAACCCAACTTTCTTCAACAATTGTTTTGTTTTATCATCATGCTATATATTTCTTACCTTTGTCTCAAAACCTTTTGTTAATGTCGACCAGTATCAAGATTGGCCAAATATTAGAAGGGAAACTTGCAAACTACCTCGTTTCAGCGTCCATCGCTAGAAATGTCTGGACCGCCACGTAAGTCGATATTTGGCGCATTTGAACACTTCCATTATCGCGAACACATCTGCTAATTGTACATAGCCCATCCAAGTCACAAAATCAAAAGGCCGTCATCAAGGTAGCACCATTATATCGTTTGAATAATGAGCGGAATGTACTGCAACATTTCCGTGGAAAGCCACACATCCGTCAATTACTAGACGTGACTGAAGACCCGCCATCCATGGTCTTGAAGCATCTCGACGATAACCTACTATCGGTATCTTCCTCTAAAGCATTAGAAGGCATGGACGTGAAGTTTGTAGCCAAAAGGGTACTCGAGGCACTCCAAGCTTTACACGAAGACGGATATACGCACACGGGTAATCCCGATGCTGAGAAAAAATTCAGGGATAAAATTAATCGGTCAATAGATATAAAGCCAGACAATATATTAGTGAATCTTAGTAAAGGGCCTCTCCGATTTTCCGATGTAGAATTAGCAGATCTAGGAGATGTATGTCGCATCGCACCTGAGGAATATCTGAGAATTGGAGAATCTGGTCCTCATATGGGTGCAGCCATTTTCAGAAGCCCAGAGGCGATGCTCCACCTCCGTTGGGGACCCTCTACTGATATTTGGTCTTTTGGCGCTACTGTGAGTTCACCTTACATCAGTGTAAGAGGCATCATAGTATACTGACGATACTGTCTCATAGCTCATCAGTCTTATTTGGGGCCTCCATTACCACATTTTCAAGCCAGACCCAAAACATGCAGGCTTCGACGACGATGATTTTTTGATCCATATTCTGATTCGGCAGCTTGCTACTTTTGGGCCGGTACCTGCTTCTTACGCAACTCTTATTGCAGATGATGATGATTCCCGATGGGACGTACTGGGCAATGCTATTCAATTTATTCAGGAATATAATATGATTAAACCATTCGCCTTGGCGAAGGATAAGTGCTTGACCGAAGAGGACAAAGAGTTGTTCCTTAAGGTGATGAAAATAGATCCAAGAGATAGGCCGACAGCGGGGGAGTTGTTGAGGGATCAGTGGTTTGAGGGAGTGCCATGAAGATGAGCTCACTGGTCCTCACAACAACCAAAACAGAACTGGCAATCCAATCCATCCAAAAAAGATGTTAATATGTAAAACACACCTATATACAATCCAAGCATTGTGTCTAAAGCCATTTCTGCGCGCCCGAACCCTCCAACTCATGCACCGCACTCGTACCATCCAACTCCCGTATCGGAGGCGATGAACCATCATACTCCCTCCCTTCCTCCAACTCCCGTGTAGAAGGCAATGGGCCATTATATTCTAGTCCTCCCTCAAATGATTTCCTGTCCCTTGTCGCAACAGCTACCGGATTGACCCTATGCAACTCCTGTGCGGGACTCGCAGTGTTATCAGCTGGAGTGTAGCCACCGTCCATGTCGTCAACGAGGCGGCCACCTTTGCGCGTATTCTTTTTGCGATGTCTCCATGCTAGAAATGCGATCAATCCAAGGGCGATTGCGCCGACTGGCACGCCAACGCCAGCACCGATCGCAGCCGTGTTGGTGCTTTTGCCGTCGTCCGTTTGTGTGCTGGTAGGTGGGGGAGTTTCAGAAGTGCTCTGTGAGGGCGCGGAGACGAGGGTTGTGCTAGCTGTGGCTGTGGAAGCACTCGACGAGCTGGAAGTGGTAGTGGTGGAAAAGGAAGAAGTCGATGAAGTCGAAGATTGTTGACGGGCTGGCATCTGGGCCAATACAGTCGCAATCGGATTGATCACAAAGATAGATGATTGGTCTTTACAGCATTCGAAAGACCCAACACCGGAAGAGCCATCGTCACAACAGCTAGACTAGAGTAAGCATTGTCGTGAGCGCAAATTTAGTGATGACCAACTATTGATTTGTAGATGTAATTGCGCCATTACAGAACCGGATTCCTGCTTCTCTGTTTCTCGCAACTACCCCAGATTAGACCAGTCTCCTATATATCACCATCAGGTGTCCGTGTAAACTCACATGTGTGCATTGTTCCAAACAAGCTGGGTCTTTCCATGTCTTATCCGTACATCCTACCCTCAGGTAATCCTGCACAGGTCCATTACTCTGCTGACAGACACCATTGGAATAACATATCGCTCCCGCGGCACAGCAAGTACTATGACCGGTAGTAGTATTGTCGCATCGAAACCCAGAATCAAGGCCACTGGAACCGTCAATTGAATAGCATGTTGTCGGGACGTTCTGCGCGCATAGGAGGGGAAGGGCAGAAAGCAGGAAAATGTTCGCAAGACTTTCAGCCACTGAGAACATGATAGATTAACGTCGCTATGAGTCTTGCACCAAAGAGAACAGTGACAAAATCAGAGAGCAAGACGCCTGCGACGAGGGGAAAATGGTTTGCGAACAATCATCAACAGCGCGAAAGTTTGAGCAGCATACGGTTTACATTGCGATTGGCATTCGACTACTGTATCCGAGCACACCTGGAATTACATTCAAGTTATGGAGCCAAACTGAACGACAATGCCACATTGGTTGTCCGAAGATAAAACTGGGGGAAAAGAGGCTATGGCCGTGTTAGCGGTAACTAGCAAGGTCCACTTGCTCTGCAATACCAGCCCAAACGCAGGGATGGAATAATAGCGCGATGATGGAGTAGAGTGGAGTGAACGAGGCAGAAAACTTGCTTAGCTTGCCTAAATAGTAATGGAATATATTTGGTTGCTGGAGATGTCATTTGTTGGCGGGCAAATCCTCCAATAACCGTATACTTTGAAGAGAAGGGCTCGAGGTCGCTCTCAGAGAAGTGATGCGAGTACGTGGATGGCGTGAACAGCAGGATTTTGGTCAAGGGACCGCAGCTAGAAGGAGGGGCAATGCCACGTCTAAACTTAGTCCTAAGAAGCTTGAAGACATGTATGAAAGTTAATTCCTAAAACATTGACCGGAACTTACAATTTTACTGACACAAAATGCATGCTACGCAACTCTGAACTCCTGCTGTCGACATATCATGGCATGATGTCCCCACTTCCCAATTGCAGCCCGGACGCCAGAAAACCATTTAGCTACCTTCTGCATCCCTTCCTCACGCAACATTCTTTTCCAACCATTCCGCCCACTGGTCACCAGTAAAGCTGGAACTGATGCTATTTTCTACAACCCCGTCAAAGAGAACCGTCGGCGTGACATGAACACCGACCAGCCTATTCATCTTTACCAAAACCTTCAAGTCGTTCGTAACCGCATTGCCAGTGTTGAGACTGCCGTCTTCAGCTGGTTTATCGTTGATCCATAGTAGTTTCAGCATCTCCTTCTCGTCGAGGCCGACCGTAGCTCCTAGTTTTGAGAGACGCTCGTATGTTTGGTTTCGGGTCTCGTTGACGAGGTTTACATCGTAATAAGATTTAGCGTCGTCGAAAAGAGCCTTGGGACAATGTTAGCTGTATGTTTGTGATCTCTGAATGGCTGATACAAGGTGATGGTATACTTGCCTTGCTGAACTCCCAGAATTTGTCAGGTTTGGATTTTAGAACTGCGACGCCGGCTTCATGGACCAGTGTCGAGGACGGGTGCCATGGTTGGATCTGCCAAATCGATCCTCAGTGCAAATAGTTCAATTGGTTCATTTCTACCCACCTGTTGCCTGAATAATATTTGAACCTTGCTGGGATACTTCTGCTTGATCAATGGTATGACAGAAGTATAAATCGTGTCAAACATCTTGGCCGAAAAGGGACAGACATAATCGAGGTACAGCTCGAGAGTGTGTAGGGTCGGAGTGGCTGCGGCCGAAAACTTTTGGCCTGCGAATTTTGGTGCCAGCGCCATGTTGATGGATCAATTGAAGTAAAGTTGGGAGTTTGGTGTCGCAAGTTTTGAGGTTTGTCTAGAGGACCGTTCCGTAAATGAGGGGTGTGGAGGGGTAATTTTGCTGTATCTCTGGTCGATGCTGATTTGATGACGCAAGAAGATTACTGTGCAACTAGCACGTGCTAAGGACTAGATTGAGCCTTCTACGTTTGATTATTAACCTATACCAAACGACGGGAAACCTCGGGCTAGCTTATTTTCACTATCGAAATGCCATTTGTTGGTTGTTAGTTGCTGGGCGAGAGCAGGCATTCAACCTTACAATGAATTAAAGACTAACCTACAGTGGGGTGCAATAAGTTTGCATCCCTTGTCGATTTTATGAAAATAATCTAACCAATAATAAGCAAGAAACCTTATTTAAAATATCCTATTGGATCGCTTGTTTGCATAAAACAGACAAGGGGTGCAAACTTATTGCACCCCACTGTACCAGTAGTCTTGTTATATTTACCCATATCGATTTTTGTAATACTAGAGTTAGGTGTTATATAGATGTCCCAGAAGAATTTTAAGTTTAAGAGCGTTGATTCCCTCTCTTCCCACCACGATCATAACATGTTGCTGTCGACAGTAACTGATCAACCGAAGTACGTAAGATTGGTGGCTTGGGGCGTACATGCCTTCGCGGTGGAAAAAATCCAGTTGGATATGTGGGAGTCGAAACACGATATTTCTTCGATTAAGTTGACGAACTATCGTATATTTAGTGGATTAATTTGGAACAATATGACATATTCCGTCAATTATTTTGAGTAAACAAGACACTTCAAACTCTATTCAAAGTTGACTTATCTAGTCTCGAGGTTGTGGGCAGGGTAATTGACAATTATTTTGTCCTCCACGAGATGCCCTGCACAATGACCAGACTGGGTCAACATTGTTTAATAACATCATGATGTATTCATAAAGCTCGAGTAGAAAAACGGTGAATAATTACTTTAGTAATCACTCCTCCTCCTCCTATTCTCATGATACGTCTTTATGTCATCTGTTGATTTGTATCCTACTGCACTGATCCAACAACTACTCTTGTCTTCTCATGATTTGGCATTCTTTGACAAGATATTTGAGATGAAGTAAATACGCGGAGAAGGACCCTTTCGCCTAATTTACCACTCAAGCCACTGCGTCATCAGATTCAAGGGGTTCATGCGTACCCGGTACCTACCAAAGAAGCATTTTGACCGAACATGTCGCAACCCAACAAACATAAATCTGTAAAACTGAAGATATAATCCGATGGAAATACTCCGGCTGATGCCCATCATGTGACTTGAAGTGCCGTGTTCCTGGTCCTAAAATAAATCATTTCGAACTTCGAGCCAGCCCGAGAGACTTGACGTTGTTGGCGTGTGGCTTGCTGTTCCAGGCGCTCGGCATGACGGAGACACCCAATGAGCAACACATGCATCTTCCCCTCTATCTGGCGGCTCATCTTGACGCGGCCGGTACCTCCTCGATTGTACCTCGCGCACTCTGAGCGACAACTAATTATTGTTCGCACTTGCAACGGTACAAGCGTTCTAGCTCGATTTCGAGACTGCCTACCTATATTCTGGGTATGACAACTACTTCTCTGCTCTCTCTTTTTCAGCATCGCTTCTTGTACTCCATACCTGCTCCATACCTAGGTAGCTTCCCGAACGCACCCTCCATCCAAGCTCCGGTACGTCGTACGAGTACGTCAAAAAAGCGGAGCGGCATCTGACAGGCATCTGGGCGGTCAACCTGGTCAACATTTGCAGGAAAAGCGTGGAACTCAAGCTGAAAAACCGCAAACCAGAACGAGATCTTCCAGCCTCTCAGCCGCCCCACAGCAGCTGCCCCTCTGACCTGTCCCAATTGGATTCTTCTCGCTGTCCTGCAGACGAAACCTGAGGGGGCTTGTTGTCCGTAAGGATAACCACGGCGGAGAAGTACCATAGCATAGCCAATGAGCATTAGTCGAGACACAGACGGTCCACGCAGATCCAGGAAAAGATCCAAAGCCGGCCCCTTTGCTGCTTCTTTATCGCGGTTTGGCAAGCTGATCTCTAACCGACGCGTGCGTGTATCATCCACGGATATCGCAAGAACTAACGATCCTCCTGCCAACCCACGAGCCACCCATCTCGTCCAAACTGGCGAACAAGCGCCTCCCTGTTCTTTCTCCTCTACATGAATCCCGAACCCAAGTCCATCTTCACATCCCAGAAAGATTTCGGTAACCAATCAGAGTCTGTACGGCTGAGTCTTCCGAGAAGACATTCTTTTCAAACCACGTCCCATGCCGCTGGCGCACTCTTTTCTCCGGTAGCCACCGCCCAAGAAAAAGAAGCAGATGAAACGTCGCTAGGGAGAACGCATTTTGTTGATGTTGGCAGTGGACAAGATAACGAAACTTACGGAGCGACTCTTGCAAGAACTAGAAATCCCAGTGTTGGCTGCGAGCTCACGCGCGTCGCACAGGATGGTGTTGTTTTGAATACACTGCAAGCAATAGTTGAGAATTCCCACAACAATCGATACGATATCCAAATACCAGATATACTCCCTACCCACCAACCTCGAGAACCCCCAATACTCTCCACAACACCGCATGCCTCGAAGCGCCCCCCAGGAGAGAACGCGACCCGAACTGATTCCCTTTTAGAAAGGCCCGCAAAGAGGGTGAGACCACGGCTCAAATCCCGACACACGCTTGATCCAGTTGCTTTCCAAGCTGTAAATTTCACTCCTCAGCCGGAGGTTCCAACTTCGCCTCTTTTCTTTTCCGCCCACAGCTCGAGGCATCGTCCTCTTATAAAGCCACCATATTATAACCCTGTCGCAGTCACCAAGATGTTGAACAGAGCGAGGGACGAGTCTGGGCCCATCACAACACTCAAGCTTGCGCGTGGAAGCATGAGTAGTGTGTCGAGCCCACCACGTTCAATAGCCAACTCCGGTAGCATGAGTTCTGCATTCGATAGAAAAAGCAGCCATCAGAGTCCAGATTTAAAAGGAAAATCTCCTGGGCTGCAGATCCTTGGCTCGGTCGGAATCACTGAATTACTCGAACAAGATGAGAGACCAACATTCATAATAGATGTTGCCAATCCTGCCAATTTCAGTCCAGGTGGGCCGCTGATCATTATATTTGCAAATGCATCGCTACGTGGTTACGATTCGATTCTGGGGATGGTCACAGGTAAAGAAGTCTATGATAATCCAGGTATCGTGCACGATTTCCCTGAATTCAAAGCGTGGGCACTGAGCTTCGTGAAAAACAACGAATCCATGGATGTTTGCTTACCTTCATTCGCGTATGGTGGACTTAGTTGGACATGTAGCACATTGAGGAGGCGGCTACGACTTATCAGTGGTAGTGGGAACAGCATTGCCTCTGGTGGAGGATCATCAACTTCCAATAATGGTGCTGCTGGCTCTACAAGTTCGCCAAATATTATCGAACGAAGTCGCGCCCCTAGTAGTCTACCCATTGGCCGTTCCCCACTCATACAATTATCAGAGCCTTTTGATTACTTTGGGGATATCTCAAATGAAGACGAGAACATTACTCGCGTGACCTCTCAAGAACCAGTTTCGAGTCCAATGAGCACAGACGAGGTGCCTTCTCCTCGACAGGCTATGATAGCTGCCCAAAAACCAAGTTTGACACGCGAAATGCTCAATACTAGGTACCCTGAGAACTCATCTTTTGACTGGACAAGAATACCACTTTCAGCTGCGCTTCCTAAACATATACAATTTGCCCGGAGTATTGACTGGGCATCGACCGCATTAGGACCAATTGAGGATTGGAGTTTCGACTTAAGAGCCATGTGCAATCTGATTATGGGTAGTCCTCATCCCGCAGCGATGTACTGGGGGCCTGAATACATCGCCATATATAATGAAGCGTATATAATGTTGGCGGGTAAAAAGCACCCTCAACTGATGGGCCAGAGTTACAAAGTAGCCTGGGCAGAGATCTGGGATGAGATTGAAGATGTATTCCTCAATGCAAGACTGTCCGGACAGTCCACGATGAAAGACGACGACTGCCTGTTTATCAAAAGAAACGAGTACTACGAAGAATCATACTTTTCTTGGTCGATCATCCCTCTAATCGGCGAAGATGGCTCTGTCGTCGGACTCTATAATCCTGCGTTCGACAAAACTCGTCGAAAAATAGCTGAGCGAAGAATGCTTACGTTGCGAGAGATTGGCGATAAGACAGCTGCTGCGCGCGAAGTTAAGGGTTTTTGGAATCAAGTAATAAAAGGGCTTGAATACAATGGTAAGAACCCAGCATTTCTCGAGACAGCTTCCTTGCCTAAAGACTAGTTGTAACTAACATTATGTAGAACACGATGTGCCGTTTGCGATTATATACTCCGTTTCCGACGACTCTGATAGCGAGATGAGCAGTATACACAGCGGATCTCTCTCCCAAGCGCCCCAATGCGTATTAGAAGGCGCACTTGGAGTTCCCCAGGGACACAAGTCTCGCGTAAGCCCCTTGGACTTGAAAACCAGTGACGAGGGCTTTGCACCTTATTTAAGAGAATCAATGAAGACTGGTAGGACGGTTCTTTTGACTGTGGACGATGGAACCCTCTCAGGGGATTTATTAGAAGGCATTGAGTGTCGAGGTTGGGGAGACGCCTGCCGTGCGGTCGTCGTCTGCCCAATTCATCCCACCACTGGGGAGTCCATACTTGGATTCTTGGTCATGGGAACCAATCCTAGGCGGCCATTCGACGATGACTACAGCCTTTTTATCCAACTCATCAGTCGTCAGCTTGCCACATCGATGGCCTCGGTTGTGTTATTCGAAGAAGAGATCAGACGCGGACAAAGGGCTGCTAGACTCGCTGCTCTGGATCGACAAGAGCTTTCTAAACAACTAGACTTGCGGACTAAGGAGAAGGTGGAAAGTGAAACGAAGTTCACACGAATGGCAGAATTTGCTCCAGTTGGCATGTTCATTGCTAGTTCGACGGGCCAGATCACTTACAGTAATGACACTTGGTGGGAAATATCTAGGCATCCAAGGTCGCTTAACAGCGCAAATAGTTGGAGTATGCGACTTTTTTCCTTCGTTTCACCTTCTCAGCTCTCTAAGTGGCCACGAGAAAGTTTCATCCTTAGACACTTTCTCTTTCCTCTTGAAACATTCATATGCTAACTTCTTGAAGTGGACAGCATCATGGATGAAGACCGCTCAAAAGTTGAGACCGTATGGGATACTCTAGTGGACAGCAAGACCGCGGTTACTCATGAATTCCGATTCAAAACGCCCTGGCAAGACCCGAATGGTAACATGACAGATACTTGGGTTCTGATGAGCGCATATCCCGAGAAGGACGAGAATGGAGGCTTGAAGAGTGTTTTTGGTAGTATCACTAATATTTCCGCCCAAAAATCTGCCGAGGACTTCCAGAAAAGGCGAATGGAGGAGGCCATGGAGCTCAAGAGGCAACAAGAGAATTTCATTGATATGACATCGTGCGTTGTATACACTTTGCCGGATGTAGTTTATACTGACCACAAGCAGGCACGAAATGAGGAATCCACTATCAGCAATCCTCCAATGTAGTGACGAGATATCCACATCTTTGGCTGCGTACAAAGCTGTGAGACCCGAGAGTCGCTCCGAGGAACAACTATTGGAGATTCTCGATGACAGCATTGATGCTAGTCAAACCATTGCCCTCTGTGCCCAGCATCAAAAGCGTAAGATATTGCTCTTATTCCGAATATGTGTCTCAATGTGCTGACTGGTTGCAAAGGTATCGTCGATGATATTCTTACCCTTTCAAAGCTGGACTCCGCGCTTCTGGTTGTTACGCCAGTCGATGTATATCCTGTTGAGGTCGTCCAGCGGGCACTGAAAATGTTCGAGGGAGAGCTTGAGACTAACGATATTTCTATGCGCTTTCAGATTGAGCAGTCCTATCTGGACTTGCAAGTAGGACGTGTAAAGTTGGATCCTTCTCGTTTGCTCCAGGTATTGATAAACCTCACCACAAATGCTATCAAATTCAGCGCGGGAGCGGAAAAGAGAACCATAGTTGTCAGTATTGGAGCTACATCTGAGCGTCCAAGTGGCACAGAGTCTGGCGTCACGTACTTTCCCAGCCGGTCGAAGACCAAGGATGTCACGACAGATGATGCTGAATGGGGAAGGGGTGACAACATTTTTCTTCTATTCGCAGTTGAAGATACTGGACGAGGTTTAGATGAAAAAGAGAAAGTGTTGTTGTTCCAGAGATTCCGACAAGCAAGTCCTCGAACTCATGTGCAATATGGCGGTAGTGGGTTGGGTCTGTTTATTTCTCGAGAGCTCACCGAATTACAAGGAGGTGAGATTGGAGTCGCTTCAGAGAGGGGCGTTGGCAGCACTTTTGCGTTTTACGTTCGAGCCCGCAAGGTTCCTAATGATCAGGCTGATGCGTCAGTTACGCAGAAAATGTCTACGTTGAGAAGGAACTCTTCAAACTCTGCCGTCATAATGGAAAGCCGGAGAGGATCTTCAGGTAAATCCGCAGGTCGGTCAAGTGGTGGCGACGTACCAACCCACAGGAGAAAATCACCAAACACATCAACCGAGAGCACAGTACTCTCGCCAGTCGAACCCCTGAGACCGGCGCTTGACTTTGGGCAAACTAGAGTCCTGATCGTGGAAGATAATCTAGTCAATCAAAAGGTGTTACAGAAACAACTTAAAAATGTTGGTTTTCTGGTGGAAGTTGCAAATCATGGCGGTGAAGCACTGGATATTATCAAATCTTCGAGCTTTTGGAACGGCAACGAAAAGGAAGGCGCTGATCTTGCTGTCATCTTGATGGATCTGGAAATGCCTATCATGGACGGTCTCACTGCGACTATGAAGATTCGAGAATTGGAAACTGAGGGGACAATCGTTAAACATGTTCCTATTATCGCCGTTACTGCAAACGCACGGCTCGAGCAAATTGAGACGGCCATGTCGGCTGGCATGGACGATGTCGTCTCTAAACCTTTCAGGATACCGGAACTTGTTCCTAAAATTGAAGAGCTGGTTGCGAAGAGCAAATCAGCTACCTCACCTGCTAGTTTACCTTTGCGAAAATGAGGTATTTCATCCTCGTTCAGGGTTCACAAGGGCTTACGAAGTATATATATAACTTGCGCTTTTTAGAGAGCTGTTAGAAAGACGACTGCACATATGGCGATTAAGAACCAAGGGCCGAGCATGCAACACATAAATGGTCGAGGAGTAGATGGGCATACATGGGAGGTGCGCGATTTGGGAATCGGCTGCCAATCGCGTGGATCGTGTGAAAATGGCATTATCGTGGGACTGGCGTTTTGGAATTAGGTGCATATTTATCGGGGGTTTGGGAATACCTATTTAGAGACCGGGAAGTTGGTATATGGTGTTACATGGCGTTTGGCGAATTGGAGCCAATTTGGTGGACAGAACAAGGATGGAGCAATGGAAAGGAGCCGGGGAGGAAGTATAGATGGATCAAGATGGGACGGAGTAGCGATGGAACAGACAGGATGTATTATTCGTCGTTGTATACACTAGATACTCACTCCAGTAAGGGATTTAAAAATCCATGCATCAAGAAGTGTCCTCGCGGACGACATAATAAGTGTCAGTGACCTATCCACTAATCTTAAACTGATTAGTAACTCGACTTCGAATAGAGCTTAAAAATGCCTTATTTACTTAAAACAATTGGCGAAATAGTAATAATGTCTAAGTTGATCCACTAAATACATGATATTTCGTTAACTTAATCGAAGATATTGTTTTTCGACGCTACTTATTTTGTCCTCCGCGAGGTGCCTTCTAATTCAGTACATGCGTCTGGAATGCAACTGCCCGATAGGATAGTACTTGTATGTGCAAACAGAAAATCTGCTCAATTGCTGCAATTGGGGATTTATCCAAACAGAGTGTAGATATCTGAGTGTGAAACGAATAATCTTGGGTACGGGTATGGAAAATTACTTGCAAAAGGTGGGAGATGGATTTGTCGACATTAAATAATTCACGCGACAGGTCGACCTGTGCATGAAAACTTTTAATGGTTCGTCTGACTTATGAGTTATGAGGCATCCTTCTCGAACATTGTAAACAAAAATGAAGTTCGGGGGCTATCCATGCTCTATCCCCCGTGCCTTGTCTGCTCTTCAAACTCGCAGTTGCTGTCGCTAAAAACATTGACTGAAGAGCGGAGACAGACGACACTACCCAAGACCTGCGAAGGGCCAACCTGAAGACCATATGAAGCCTTTCGATTTCACAATAATATGCGCGCCGATTCCGATGTCCACGGTTCCGATGGCATCAATCCACACTCGATCTTCTAGAAAGTCCGACTCCTTTACGACACGATCTAGCACCAGGAGCAACGTCGCGCCACCTCCGAGCAGCAACAACGACGCTCACAACCGACTCCGCCAATCTAACATTGGCAGAAGGAAACGATCGCGTGAGGACGATAGCGAAGATGAAGATACGATCAAGAACAAGAAAGCAAAGATCACCGTCCAGTTCAAACCTAGATCGCAGGCCCAGTCGAAGACCAGATCTCTCGTCATCAAGGACAGCGCGACGTCGGACGTGCTTTGCACGCCCGCTTCACCACCTCCAGAAACCCAGGAAGACGCAACACCACTGACGAAACCACCACCACCTCTACGAGATCCACCAATACACCACCAGAAAGTTTCAAATGGCCTTAAACACGAATTAGATCGTTTGCAACCCAATGCCGCGGACCTTAAGGATGACAAGAGGAAGCTACGATCGACGGAGGGGACGAGATTCAAGAGTGAATTGTCGGCATACTTTCCAGAATATGACGAGGTGATTGGGAATGAACCCAAGGATGACTGTGAGTTTTACAAAATGTCCATCCCTATGACTGCAAATCAGACGTGACTGACGCTCAATCAAGATATCTTAACCATCGATACCCCCATAATCATAATCGACAGCGCTACCAAGAATGCTCCAAAACACCCCTCACCACGAAAAGCACAACTTAAAGAAGAACCTCTAAGAGTCAAAGAATTTCCCTCGAGTTTGTTTGACGACGTAAACGACGCGCAGAGGGTGGATTATAGTTTCCTGGCGAGGAGCTATGTGGAGGATAATGCGGTCGACCCATTGAGTGATGAATACTTCGAGAAGTTACACAAGAAACCCGAAAGGCAGGAGAAGGCTATTAGAAATTCGGACAAGGGCCGCGCACAGCATGAGAAGGATCAGATCGTTAGGCTGCTGGAAGGGCTACAAGGTCATGATTGGTTAAAGCTAATGGGTGTCAATGGGGTCACAGATTCGAGGAGGAGGGAGTATGAACCCGCAAGAGAACATTTCATCAAAGGATGTGAAGCCATATTGGAGAAGTTTCGGAATTGGAAGGACGAGGAAAAGCGGAGGAAGCTAGAGAAGGAGCAAGCTGTGGCAGAAGCGGATGCCGACTCGGATATGGACGATTCGAGGAGTAATGGTGATCCACCGGACTTTAGTGACACTGATGCTTCTGCTGCAAGGCAGCTGCATGAGGAAAACATTGCACGATCAGCTCCTCGAAGAGATAGAAGGAAGACGAACACTGTTGTTGTATACAACGAACCGGAACCAGAGAGGGAATTCAAGTCATTCTTCTCAAAACCATATCTTCGGACCGCGGCACTAGGAAAGCATCGTCGAAGTAATCGAAGCGTGTCTGCCTGGGGTCATCCAATTCCAGAGGTCCCAGATCAAGATTTTGATTTGCCAGAAGAATATCGAGACGAAGAAACCCTCCGAACCCACGCACGGAGAAAACGTCTTAATAGACGGGTTAGCAAGAATTGATGGAGTCATGATTATAGTAAGAGTGAAGTAAAGTGATGCTAAATTCCTACTGAGCCAAATCGAAAGTGCTTCGTTTGGTTTGTACGTTAGAGCATTGATTGCAGCGTTGCGTTGAGTGTGGGGGCTGGTTCGGCATTGGTGTTGATACGGTAGTTTATGGGTTAGGGAGGCAAAGGATTACTTCTAGTCACAGACTCTACTCAGGAGATATTAGAGTGTATTAGGTATAACATGACTACTTATTAGGTAGCTTGCCTAAATGTGAGGCTGTTAGCCCAAGAATATTACAAGCATGAAGATAATTCTAGCGTCCGTTACTGGGTGACTAGAAATACGTTGCGATAGAATTACTAATTTGATTTACAAAGCAGTAAATACAAGTGATTATATGAAGGGCGCACTATATGAATCATAAAGTACTTTGAGGCTTGTAAACAACCATTACATGTGAATGGATGCTGAACCTCATTGCGAATTGAGCACGTGACAATATTTTGGCAGGGTCATGCGAATTCGTCCATCTCTTATTCATCTTTGTCTTGACAAGCGGATCGAGGCTGCAACGCGTCCTATACGACTCAATACATTATTTCAAATCGTAAGGAAACTCTTAGGTCATCGTAGCAAATCTTCTCCGGATCGATAAACATTTGGGGAGCAGAATTTTAGTTGTGGTGGAAACCCTCATTAAACGCGTCTCTGAGCTTGGCCTGAGAGCGGGTGAGGCATTGCGGATCTCGAGAAAGTTGTCTCCCCTCATAGCTCTACCCAGCGTCCAAAAACCATCTCAAAACCGGGCGCACGTAATCAACAGACTCTGAATCACAAATCGCATGCAGTAAGCGCACTGCCGACCATCACATCGAGTCGTCGATTAGCATTTGACCCCAGAAACGACATCATCACCTTTGAGCCATACCGAGCTCGCACGAACTGCGCGCAAGCTTTCGAGCTGCAAACACGAACGCACTATACCCAGGCGAACACGAAACTGAGCTGGGCGCTCTTTGGGACTTCATGAGAGAGTCATAGAAGGGCGAATTCGCGCTGCGGAGTGGGTGGAGGTAGAAGGTATCAGAGACCTTTGACGACCATGCCTGGTGTGCTTCTCGACGAGATGGAGCAGCCAGTGCTCCCGGAAATCGCAAAGGATCCCCAGTACGGATTTGTGGTGGCACATCAGAATCTGGACTTGGAGATTGACTTTTCGACTCAGAGCTTGACGGGGCGCACTGAAATTACGATTCTGCCGCAGACGGGAGATTTGGAGACGATCAGAATCGACGCGCGGCAATGTATCATCGAGCAAGGGAAGGTATGGGTGGAGGGTGTCGAGGCGGAATTTGATTATGAGGATCCTGTGAAGAGAATGGATATACCGAAGCATGTGGATTGGTGCGCGGATCAGTATGAGCTACAACGAGACAGACTGAAGCCCCTGACGAGCGACACTAGAGGGAAGGGCGCACTGGATATCTTAGTACCCAGCAATATTCGCATTCAGGAGGTTGATCCATTCTCCGAAAAAGCTGCTACGCCAGTCACTCAGAAGGCTGCTATAGGTGTCATTCGCGCAGGTGTTGAGAATACAAATGTACCTTTATCTGCGACGCCTACTTTGACTCCGAAAACAGCGGCTGAGCAAGTTGGACGTTGGCAACCCTTGAAGATTACAATCGAGTTCACCATCAAGAATTGGCGAGATGGTTTACATTTCATTGGGCTGGGTGAAGGCGATGCTCGGTATCCATATGTCTACTCGAAACACTCTATGGACTCTGGAACTGCGTCTTCCATCTTCCCATGTATAGACGATTCAGCTATGAGAATTACATGGCAGATCAATATCAAAACCTCCCGTACACTGGGTGACGCTTTGAGGCGAAAGGCACCAACTGCGCGTCCAAGATCACATGCTGGGAAGAAGGACATTTCTCACATCCACTCACATTCGAATCAAGAGGAGTATGAGGTCCCTCTAAGTGACGACGAGAAAATCCTGGAGATGGTTGTCGTCTGCTCGGGCGACCAGACTAAAGAGAATGTCGATCCTAATGACAGCACCAAAAAGATCTTGACATTTGATATCAGTCGACCAGTAGCCCCTCAACATGTTGGGTTTGCCATCGGGCCTTTCGAGTCTGTTGATCTTGCAGAGACTCGAGAGGAGGATGATGCTGAGAAACTAGGACAATCCCAAGCGCTACAGGTGACCGCTTATTGTCTACCTGGTCGTTCGGAAGAAGTCATGTATACTTGCGCTCCAGTTGCACATGCTGTCGATGACTTTACACTTAAGTTTGGTGCTTATCCTTTCACACAGTACTCTTTGGTGTTCGTTGATGATCAACTACGAGATACGGAACATACCTGCTCAATGTCCCTGTGCAGCACACGGTTACTTCTAAGTGAAGATATCATCGACCCTGAAATTGAGAGCATTCGAACAATTATCCATGCCGCAGCTACTCAGTGGTTTGGCGTCGGTATCGTTCCAAACGAGAGATCGGATAGATGGATAACCATTGGACTTTCCCACTATATGGCCGGTCTTTTTATGAAGACCCTTTGCGGCAACAATGCCTATGCATTCAGACAGAAGACTCTGATGGATAAGCTTGTTGAGCAAGACATTGATCGGCCGTCTATATATGCACTTGGTGAGACCCTCAGCCTAGGTGCTTTCGAGATGGACTTTATGAAGCTTAAGGCGCCTCTTGTTCTTTTCATTCTTGATAGACGGATTCTGAAGAACTCGAGTGGTATTTCTGGTCTTCCTAGAATCATCTCGAAGCTCATTATCTCGGGTAATACTGGACTCCCGGAAGAGAGTGTCATGACCACCAAAGACTTCCGTCGACTGGTGGAAAAGGTCACCAAATACCGAGCAACTGAGTCCTTCTGGAATCAATGGATTTATGGTGCCGGATGTCCACGACTTAATATCACTCAAAGATTTAACAAGAAGAGGTTATGTGTGGAGATGACTATCAATCAGTCGCAAAGCACATTACCTACCACTAGACCTCTCAAGAAGGAAAATTTCCCCAGAGAGTTGAAAGAAGAACTTCATGGAATCTATGCTGGAGAGATACAACCACTCTTCACTGGACCACTTACGATTCGAATTCACGAGGCGGATGGCACGCCTTACGAGCACATCGTGGAAATCAGAGAACAGAATCAGAAAATCGAGATTCCTTATAATACAAAGTATAAGCGGCTGAAGCGAAATCGTCGCCAAAAAGAGCGTTTGAATCCTGGAGCTAACGTGGACGGTGAGACTGGGGACACCCTTTACTACTGTCTAGGTGATGTTCTCCAAGGAGAGCAAGATGTGGCCGAATGGGGTCTAAAAGACTGGGACAAGGAGACGGAAGCAAGAATGGATTCTGAGTCGTACGAATGGTTAAGAATCGACGCTGATTTCGAATGGATTTGCGGGACAACCCTCAATGTCCCGGCGTATATGTGGATATCTCAGCTCCAGCAAGATCGAGATGTGGTTGCTCAGCAGCAATCGATGCAATTTCTAGCCCTTGCCACCCCTCACGGTTTAGTGGCTACATTCTGTCTCAGGACACTTATGGACACACGGTATTATCACGAGATACGAACAATGGCGGCCAACATTCTCAAAAAGCATGCCTGTGAAGCGGCACACTGGAGTGGGTTACGGCATCTCACGCGAGCATACCAGGAATTCTTTTGTTATGAGGGTACGAAGATGCCTCGATCGAATGATTTCTCGGATAAGCGTAGTTACTGGGTTGAGCAAGCTATTCCGACTGCGTTGTCTCAATCCCGTACGAAAGCTGGAAAGTGTCCTAAGGCTGCTCGGGAGTTCATTCTCGATACTCTTCAGTTCAATGACAACAGAGCCAATCCGTTCTCAGATAACCATAAAGTAGCCAACCTGCTAACTGCTCTGGCGGAGTCTCTGATGTCTTCGGATCCTGGGACATACAAAGAACCAGCTAATTACACCGGTAACGGTCCTTCAGAGCCGGAAGTCGAAGATCCTGATGAGATTGCTCAATTCAGGGATAAGGTACTTGTGGAGCTGGATCGATATCGTCGTATGGATGAGTGGATCAATTCGTATCAGAATATCTACACAACCACGGTCCTAGAAGCATACCGGAAACTCATGAAGGCCGGTGTTATTCCGAAGGAACCTTTAGATTTCGTGCAATATCTACATGATGGTACCTCAGATCTTGTAAGAATCAAGGCGTTCGAGTCGTTGATCGACCTCGGATACATCACCCATGAAGGCATCTGTGGTCTTCTCCTGAACGTCCTAAGTACCGACATCTCTCCATACACGAGAAACCAACTATTCGAGATTTTCTGCTGTGGGCTGGCAACGGTGGCCTTCGGCGAAGCCAAGACTGAAGGACAAGACGATAAACCTGATGGACCTCTGCCTCTCAAGGTCAACGGTGACGCGGACCTAGATATCGAAATGCCTATCGACCACGGAGGACTCATTGAAGAAGTTGGTGAGACGGCTGAGCGTGCCCTGAAGGCGGCTCGAACTACTTCAATCGAAGGTGCTCTGGTGGCTCTCAAGGAAGAGCTCAAGAACAATACGGCTCTCAAGGAGGACCTGTGGAAGGCTATATGCTCTCCGACTATTGGGGTTCCCGAGCAGTGGGACTTATTAGATATTTGTGGAATCCTTTATGATGCTGTGGAGTCTATGGTTGTTAAGATCAGGATGCCACGGTACTGGAGGGTGAAGAATCGTGGAAAGGTATGTTTGATTTGATTCTTCATGACTTGCTTTTAGATGTTAACATTGATTCAGGGTCAACTTGTCTTCAAACATACGAAGAAAGTGCGATGGCTTCCAAGAAAGCCACTCATACAGCCGCCAAAGCCAACACCGCCACCTCCCCAACCACAGAGCATCCCTGCACCCGCACAGTCAATTCGTTTAAGTATCTCGAATGGTGGACTAGGCTCAATGAAGCCACCTCTAAAGCGACCACTTGCAGTTGAAAGAACTCCAAGCTTCGATGAGAGACCGGCCAAGAGACAGAAGATCGTCGCTTTGAAGGTCGATTCTCGGAAGCTGGCAGAGATACAAAATAAAGTCCCACGACCAGACAAGTGGCGTACTAAGTCAACACCCTCTGCGACAAGTTCGCCTTCCATCACCCTAAAGCATCCTCTAAAGACGACCGTACTACCATCCACTGAAACAAATGGATCGACAGTCCCTCGCGTATCCTCTTCACCCGCACCATCTGCTTCTGGCAGCATCAAAGTGCGAAGGCCTTTGCCAGATGCAACCCGGAGACCACTGCCAGAATCTACAGAGAGAAAGGCACTCCCGTCAGCAGCGTCGACCTCTCCAGCCGCAGAAAGAAAGCCACTTCCGGATACCTCAGCTCGGATTCCTCTTCCTGAAGTTGTCCGAAGTCCATTGCCTGAGACCAAGGGCAATCATCCACCAGACTCTGCACGAAAGCCGCTCCCTGGGACTGGCCGAAAGCCACTCCCAGACAAATCACCTTCGCAACAACCCGAAACACCCACACCACCAGTCGAGAAGAAGAGTCTGAAAATCATGCTCAGGATCCCGAAAAAGATCCCACGACCACCTACTCCCCCTCCAACTGATACCTCATAAACAAGATACTTGCCCTCTTTGACTCTCTATATAATAATCTGGTTTGCATTTAGCGACAAAATGGCGTTCTTTCCCTTTCCTTCCCCTCACCAGTCGGCGTTTTTGGGGGCACGCAGGCACGTTGAATCATCTTTACGCTGGCGCATTGCGTGTGTATATCTTAGGCGGGGTGGAAGATGTTTGGGATAGTGTATATGAAGCGCACGTTTTTTGGTGGGGTAGAAAGTGGTTGAATTTGGTAATACCCAAGGTGGTGGAAGATTATCTATGCCAGGCATAAAGTAGGCCTTGAGATTAGAATGCCAAATGTTCTGAAATTCGTGTTTGTAAATGTCATATGAAGTATTCCATCCATCTAATGCCGCGATCCTCCGCCCACCAATCCTAATCGTTCTTCTCGCGTTTTCACTCTGTTCCTATCACCAACGGGTAATGGTCGTAGTTCATCGCCTGGATCTCGCATATTCTGGTTCTTGTTTTGGGGCGTGCCGGCCGCGGCGGCTTGTTGTTGGGCAAGTAGTCGCGCTTGGTATTCTGCTTGTTCGCGTAGGTGGGCTTCGCGGGCGCGTTGGTCTTCGTAGGTTGCTATATCTTCTGTCGTCAATGTAATCGCTGTTGGCTTGCGGCGGAGCATTTTGTAATGTTTTGTTTTGTGTTCGGGGTTGCAATGCTGATGTTCAGTTGGAGGGGTTGTCTTGGGGAAATATTGATGTTGCGACAATCTCAGGCTGCAAGGCATCAGCTATTTTTCTAACCCCCATGTCAGTGTACAGCTTCAATTTGTGCCTTTCCACGACAACCTTATACACCACACATCATGTATAATCGGCATGCGCGAACGCTTGGGCGGGGAGGGCCTGTTACTCGTGAGATGATGAGAGCAACGGATGGGATTGCGGCTTCCTTGAGGCAGTTTTCTAGCAGTGCTTCTTGGGGTGCTGAGGGTGGAGGTTCGTGTTTCCACTTGATCCGCGCTGGATTGAAATCAATTGGTGGTATAGAACTAATTGGAGACTTAGCAGATGGAGCTCCTCCGCCGTCAAGGACAGAAAGGTCGCAAGAGGCATTTAAACAGGTCTCATCTCTGGCAAGACCAACACGCGGTATTGATGCTCGTTCTTTGGCTGCTAAACCTCCTGGATCCTTCACGATTTCAAGAACGCCTGTAGACGGTCCAAGGCAAGGACCACCAGGGGGCGCACGACCTCAATTTCAGATCCAGACAAATCGAGATGGAGCTCGGGGTCCACCGCGACAGAATATGAGGGGAGGAGGAGCAGCTGGAAGAGGCAGGGGAGGAGCTGGGAGAGGTGGAATGGCTAGTAGAGGTGGGAGAGCTAGTGCTGCTGCGACTAGGAGGTTGAATAATAGGCAGAGGAAAGAGGAAGAGGAAAGCATGATTGAAGAACCGTATAACGAAGAGGAAAAAGCATACCTGAAGCAATCTGAGTGTGGATTCGAGTCACCATACCAGCCTATCACTTCTGCAGAAGATCTACAGCTTCTAGCAACGCCTACAATTTCAAGTTCCCAAGGTCTCAACTCAACATTACAATACAAGCTTGCTGTAGCTTCTGGAAACCCTCTAGGAAACTACTCACATGCCTCGAAACATCTGGCTACCATGTACAAAGGAACCGGCCTTACATTCTTCGAAGATCCAGAGCAGAAGGGTATCGCACAAGCGTTTGCGAAGCAGAAGAAGGTTGAGTATAATGGCATGTATGCTCATAGACATGGAAAACACATTGAGAGTTTGAACGAGGAAACGAGGACGAAGCTTGCAAATGTATGGATAGCGGGACATTATGAGAAGCCCGTGGCGCCGAAGACTGAGGGAGATGTTTTGGGTCAGGTTGGGAATTTTTTGAGGAGGAATGAGACGTATCTCCCTGAGGATGTGAGGAAGTTGGAGGCTAAACTTGGGGCGTTGCTGCCTCCGGGACAGAAAGCTCAGAGTCAGCCTTCAGTGTAGGGATTTGGGGTGTTGTACGTTTAGATCATGGATGTTTGTACAAATTGTATGGATATATAGATGGATGGTTCATACTGTATCATGGACGGAAAAGGTCTATTCTGATTACATTAAAATTTGACTACTGGATAATATTTGGTGTTGCACCGTGATGTATAATTTCTCCTTATGATGTTTTATTACCATATTCATAAGCACATATTCCCAAGCATCCGATCCTAGAAATTTGCCATATTTGGATTTTAATTCCAGCATGTTCGCTTCTATCATACAATACATATCTGAGAGTAAAAGCTACATCTCGTCAACAATTCCAGGGTATAAACACACAGATACCACCATATATCCCATCCAGTCCAACATTCAAGCCTGCTCCATCCCCTTCTTAGCAACCTCAACCATCTTCTTAACATCCACAACCCCCTTCTCAACAATCCCCTCCATCTTCTTCCCCGCCTTCTTCAAATCATCCGGCCTCACCACCTTCTTAACCTCCATTCCCCTCAACCTCTTCTGACAAACCGCTCTCGCACTCTGAACCCCCGTCTTAGCCACCTCTCCCGTCTCTGCAGCTTTCTTCAGCGCCGCATCCCTTGACTCCTTTGTCGGCGGCGGAATCGGCACATTCAACTGCACTGGATTCTCGGCATCAATCTGCGGCTGCAGATTCAATTCTGGGTTTGCCTGGATCGCAGATACGATCGCGTGGACATGATCTTTCTCGCCAACCAAAATCGCCAGGGAACGTCCTGTTTTGGGTAGGACTTGCGCGAGATCCCCTAGTCGCTCTGTCTTCTTGGACTTCTTATCGAGTTGTACCCGTACGTTTTCTAGGGCTTCTGGGTTGAAACGACCGCCGGTGCGGAGTTTTGAGAGGTTGTCTTTTAGTTTGTCAAGGGTCTTGGTGATTGAGTTCTCGAGGATGGAGAAATCGAAAGGGTCTTCGGTTTCAGTTGTCGGTGCTGCGGCTTCGGCTTCGCGGTCTGCTTTTGTCTTTTTCTTGTAGAGGGAGGATGATTCGGAGAAACTTCTGTAAGATGTTGGAGCTCGGGGGCCAATGGTACGTTGTGAGGTGTTTTGACTGATAGGGAGTGTTTTGAAGCTTCGTGGTTTATTGGAATGCGCCAATTGAGCAACGCATTTGGTTCCTCCCACAATTGATAGTTCAAGCCTCGATCCAGCCCTAGCTATCAAACATCTAGCCGTATGAGAACGCATGGAAAGCGTTAATGACATGGTTGTGTTTTGTTGCTAGGAAGAAGTTCTAGTTCCACTCAAAACTTCGGAACCTGTGCATCAGCCTCGTTTCGTTTAATAGCCTTACTCTACGTGGACATATTAAACTTCCTTTTACGTCGCCTTTGCACACTCTCTGCTTAAAAACTCCGACTTTTCCTCTTAGCTGTACTATTATGATTAGGAGTACGTCAAGGACCTTGTTTACTCTCCTCGGAAGAATAAATATAACTTTACTGTTATTAATTGTGTAATAGGAAAGTAGTATGATGTTTAACGTTGTTTAGCCTTAGGCGCCGTAGAAGGAAGTTTATTACGTCGCCGCAGAGCGTTGCTTCCCCTCAACATCTTACATCTCATTCAGACTTAAAGCTACATTACTTTTAAACTCAATATATTCCATCCAGACCATTCCCTCCGTCTCTAATAGACAAAGTCTCATTCCACATCCACGATCAAATGTCACGACCATTTCGCTTCCTAGACCTTCCTCCCGAGATACGAGAAGCAATCTATACTTTGATGGTTTCATCTCCATTACCGTACATCTCATTGAATCCCAATTATTCGCACCTGGATGATGGCGAATCTCTATGGGCGAATCCCCTTGCAAATTGGTTCCCATTCTCTCTGCTTGTTTCTTGCCACCAGATTTATCAGGAAGTTCGTCCTCTTTTCTTCAGGATAAATCCGATTTCTCTGACCATCAGGCGTCAGAGTGTGTATGAGTAAGCATTCTTTCTTCTTTATGCCTTGTTTCCATGCCATATGTTAAGATTTTAATCACGCAACATTTTTCGATCCCAAGGAAAATGGGGCAAAAATGGTGTCACTGATCTCACTTCTTACCTATGCCAGACCTAAGTTGCCTTTGCTCAATCGATGTGACGAATTTAAGATCTAGCTGCTTCAATTCTGCCCACAATTCGTAATGACTGGCTTGTTAGTATGGCAGAAAGTTCAAGAAATGCGGAGTAACAGCATTTCTCTTATTCTATGGGATGGCTAACGAAGCTCACTAGATTGTCATTCTTCCTACTTGACTCATTCCAGGACCAACGACGTCAATGTCGCCATCTACGACTCAAAATCGAACGTTGGGGAACCAAAGACTTCTTCCGTGTCAAGTTAGCTCCTGTAATAGAAGACATGATTCTCAACGGTAGTCTCCGAAAATTAGATATCGTCCTTCGAGAGAGTTTCATTACACATTCCCGAAAGAGGACGGGCGAGGAGGATAAACTTTGGGTTTACTTAAAGCAATTATGCAAAGATCCTTATTTGGAAAGTGTCACTTTGAAAACGAGGAGTGAGGGCTGGTATGACTTACTTCCTTCGGAAAGGATGAAGCACGAGAAGGATGTCTCTTTTCTTCTCAATAACTGAGAGAGTATAAATAACACAAGTCTACGCTTATCGTCAATTCAAATATCTGATAAAACTCCTTGGCCAGACCAAATCCCAATAGATCTCAGAAAAATTGAAAGACTTGCAAATATTTTCCGAGCGATAGCGCGGCCATGTATGCCATACAGTGTCGTATGAATTGGACTACTCTATTTCCTGAAAGCAATTGACGAAATGTATGATTTCGTCAACCTCATCGAGGAATTATGCTGGAACACCTTACACTAGAGATCTGATCCGGGCAAGGCGCCCATGGTATCTTGCACCATAATGATAGAAGAACCACATTCCCTGGAAACAATTGACGAAATATACGATTTCGTCTACCTGGCAGAGGAAATATCATTCAAGATGTGTCATGTATTGGATCAAGTTGGACTCTAGTCAGGATAAGCAAGGTCGTCCGACGTGTGACATGCCATGTCGATGAAACGTCCCTATTTCCTGAGAACAATTGACGAAATTGTGATATTTTGTCTATTAACATGAATAACTGTTATACAAGATGTATCGGGTCGCGCTAGAGTCTAATCAAGACCGGGGACCAATACTGACTATGTGCCATGTCGATGAAACTGCCCTATTTCCTGAAAACAATTGACGAAATTGTGATATTTTGTCAACTTGTTCGAGGAAATATCATGCAAGATGGTCCGGAACACGCCACGATCGAATTTGTTCAAACTTGGAAGGTGCCAGCATGTGTGCTATCTTACGGACTTGTGCCATCCGATAGAAAGACCATATTTCCTGAAAACCATTGACGAAATGGAGATATTTCGTCAACCTGATCGAAGAAATACCGTGATCGACCGCCGCTTCTGTTGTCCACCACGATCAAGCCATTGACCTAGTCTCAACGAAAGGTTATGGCTTCCAAAAATTTAAAATCTTCTCACGGCTTACATACATACTTCATCGGAAGAAGAACAATGATAGTGTTTCATGATTTGTTTCATTTTGATTAATATTCCCTTCTACCTGTTCTACAAGCGCGCTTTATAGCCCGTAGATGTGGAAGGAAATATTCCCGGATCAAACTAGCAAGACAAACATCGCAAATTGACTTTTTATGAACCCAGTGAAAAGAGCCAGAAAACAAATGGTCCAATCCATGCCATAAATCATGCATCACATCCTCCACCCATCATACTCCTTGAGAACAAATCTATCGGGTGGACATGGCCTTGGTGACAACTCTCTTCAACGCAAGCTCCTTCTTCTTCAAATCATCAGAGGTGGAGTCCTCAACCTCGAGCTGAGCCATGGCATCGCTAAGTGCAGTCTCAATCTTGTCCTTGGTTCCCCGCTTGAGCTTGAGGGACATTGTTGGGTCGGAGACAATCTCCTCAACTCTTGAAATGTATGATTCAAGTTGTTGTCTGGCCTCAAACTTCTTGCTGAAAGCATCATCACTGTTCTTGAATTTCTCGGCATCTAGACATAATTAGCCATCAGAAGGGAAATGTGCTAACTTGAAGGCTTACCGTTGATCATGTTCTCGATCTCACTCGATGAGAGCTTCCCGACAGAGTTTGAGATTGTGATGTTTGCGGAACGACCAGAGGTCTTTTCGGTGGCGGTGACCTTGAGGATACCATTGACATCGACTTCGAAGACGACCTCGAGGACGGCCTCACCGGCTCTCATTGGAGGGATTGGAGCAAGAGTGAACTCTCCGAGGGAGGTGTTGTCCTCGCAGTTCACACGCTCACCCTGGAAGACTGGAAATTGAACAGTTTGCTGGTTATCACTGACGGTCGTGAAGGTTCTATTGATCTAATTAGCATACGGTCATGATGTTGGTGTTGTTGGGCTATGTTTGGATGTGGCCAAAGTAGGAGGAAAGGTTTGGGAGACTGTCAAGCACTTTGATGAATGCCCCAAATCAATTGACTGAATATCGGATATTTAGTCCATTGCTCTGAAGCATTCAACCAGCCATAATGTGATTTCATGATAGAGGTAGTGATCCAAAGTTGTGTTGGTCGTTTGAGCGGGTGAAAAAAAAAATGGGGCGTTGTGAATTGCCTCAACACCAGGCAAAAAAATTCGTACCCTGCCAAAAAATTAGTCAACATCGAGATAGAAGGGAACGGGACCTGGGACTTTTTTTGATTGTGGGCACAGTCTGTCCGCGAGAAACTACGGGCGCAAAGATATTTCCCTCCATGGCGACACCGAGGGAGAGTGGGACGACATCCAAGAGGAGGAGGTCGGCGGTATCGGCGGAGGTGGCCTTTCCAGAGAGGATACCGGCCTGGACAGCGGCACCGTATGCAACAGCCTCATCAGGATTGATGCTCTTCTCAAGCTTCTTTCCGTCAAAGAAATCGCTGAGGAGCTTTTGTATCCGAGGAATACGGGTGGATCCACCAACCAAGACAATTTCGTCAACCTTGCTCTTATCGATGTTAGCATCCTTCAGGACCTGGGCAACCGGGTCCAAAGTGCCGTTGAAAGCCTTGGAGTTCAAGTCTTCGAAACGAGCACGGGTGATCTGGGCGTTGAAATCCTCGCCATCAAAGAGGGAGTCGATCTCGACAGTTGTCTGGGCACCGTTGGAGAGGGTTCTCTTCGCACGCTCGCAAGCGGTTCTAAGACGTCTGAGAGCACGGGCATCGCCAGACATATCCTTCTTGGTCTTTCTTGTGAACTCCTTCTTGAAGTGATCGAGTAGGTTGGTATCGAAATCTTGACCTCCTAAGTGAGTATCACCAGCAGTAGCCTTGACGGTGAAAACACCACCCTGGATGTTAAGAAGGGAAACATCGAAAGTTCCTCCACCGAGATCGTAGATCAAGACATTTCGCTCCTTGTTGGACTTTCCAGCACCAAGACCGTATGCGATAGCAGCGGCGGTAGGCTCGTTGATGATTCGGAGGACGTTGAGACCGGCAATGGCACCAGCATCCTTGGTAGCTTGACGTTGATTGTCGTTGAAGTAGGCTGGGACAGTGATGACAGCCTTGGAGACCTTCTTGCCCAATTTTACTTCGGCGACCTCCTTCATCTAGAAGCAAAAAATATTAGCGGAAAGTTCCATCATTTGCATCATTGCTTGATTTACCTTGCCGAGAACCATAGCAGAAACTTCCTGTGGCGAGAAAATCTTGTTCTCGCCGAGATACTCAACCTCAACCATAGGGCTTCCATCTTGATCAATGACCTTGAAGGGCCATGATTCAATATCCTTCTTTACGGTTGGATCATCAAATCTTCGTCCGACCAATCGCCTGCAAAATTGTATCAGCATGTATACTAGCGGTGTATAATGCCCAGAGAAAGGAGTACTCACTTGATGTCGAAGATGGTGTTTTTTGGGTTCATAGCAGCCTGGTTCTTAGCAGACTCTCCGATCAAGCGCTCCTTGTCGGTGAAGGAAACGAATGAGGGAGTGGTAAAGCTACCCTGCTCGTTGGCGATGATCTCAACATTGGTTCCCTCATAGTTGGCAACTACAAATCATCAGTTTCAGTCTTGCGAGACGTCGAGTTCGCGCTGATGCGATTGCGTCGATTTACATACCGCAGGAATATGTGGTGCCTGATAAAGAAAATTAATTAGCATCATAATCGCAAAGATGACAGCTTATTTCGGCAAAGCCATCACTCAAGTAGGCAACATACCAAGATCGATACCGATCGCTCCGTCGTAAACCTCGTCTGCCATTTTGATGTTATGTGGGTGGGTTAATTGTAGAAATTTAAGGTCTCTGGCGGGGAGTTGAGCCTTTTTCTTCGGTTTGTGAACTTTTTAATCTTTAGCTCGCCCGAAATTTGATCTTCGGTTACTACCCCACGTGATCGAGCGGTGAGCAGGCTCCACTTGACTTGATTGATTGACACTGATCCACTTTCAATCCCTGCTGAACTTTGATTTTCTTGCAGGTTCTGTCAACAATATCAATATACAGACACAGTGAGATTTTATGTGAAGCATTTGAAAAGAAGAACATTTGAGGGCAACAGTCCAACCAATTATCCTGTGAGGTTATCTCTCGAGATATCTACATAATTATTAGGTCATGTTGGGCTTTTAGCACCAACTGTTGGCACCTATCGGGTTCATATCATCCCATATCTAAAGGCACCAAGTGAATTGTTTTATTCCACAATCAATATTTGACAGTTCAACACTTTTGCGACCATTACTGAGTTCCAAAGTGTAGTATTTGATTACAGTTTATGCCTGTCATATTGCCCTCCAAAGCACCCAAAACCTGACGAAACTTTGCACTACTTGTCGGCATGTTCTATTCCCCAACTATCTCCCATTTCAACACACTTGACATAGACCAGACAACGCTGTGGTGTTGTTGTAAATTCCACAATCCGACAACACACAACGCCTTTTCGCCGGAACGACTCATTACTCCGTCCTCGACGATCGTGTCCAGTACCGACAAATTCCAACCGATGCCAAATGCGCCACAAAATATGCAATTACTAATACATGTTATCTTTGCTGAGGATCTTTCAAAAGATTGGCAAAAACCGTGATCTTCTCCAACTCTACATCCTGTCCATTTGCTGTTTTGCTAGCTCCCTTTGGGAGAGCGGCAATCAACTCTATTTCGATTCTATTAACCCCTGGAAGTAAGCGAGCTTCAAATAGGGGTCGCTGTTGTTCCAACTGATGGCCAGGCAACAAGGGCATCGCATGCAGTCTTTGCGAGCCGGATGTGACAAACAATTTGTATTGACGATCTAGAATAGATGGAGAAATCGTAGGCTTGATTTGTAAATAATAGTGAGTATGTGGGAGATTTATCGTAAAGGACTGTTGAGCCATCGTAGGAGAGGGTGGCAAGTCCATATGGAAATGTTTGGAGATATTGAGTCCTTTATGTGTTGCCAGGGTAACGTTCGTAATCATAGCATCAGCAGCGGCTTTAACCTGTTAGTTATGACTTCAAAAATATACGAATACTGAGCTTACTCTTTCCTGGTTGTCTCCATTTCGATTCAAAAGACGAGTGTTGTGGTTGGAATTGAGGTTGATGAGGAAACGACTGCGCGTATCCGCTAGTATAGTTACTATTACCATTATTGGTCATTCCATTGTTCGATAAGCCTGGTGTTGATGGTGGTGGCATGCCCGCCGATGGAGTTGGTAAACCAGGAGTCGATACTGCCTGACTGCCACCGCGATTGCTGGGGTATCCTACAGCAGCTACCGCAGGAGAATTGCGAGCGCTTTCTTCATTCTTCACTGGAGCCACAGCAGAGGGTGTTGGTGACGACACGGAAACAGATGCACTTTTTACCCTTTCTAGTTGATCCAAATTTGGTGCCGTAGTGACAACAGAGGAAGAACCCCCAAATGGGTTCCGCCGAGCACCATTTGCAGGTAATGCATTTGACCCATTCGTTTGTGGGGCGGGCGACTCAGCAGGATTACCCTTTCCTGCAAGTTTGAGAGTAATTTTCGGTGTCGCTTGAGGCTGAGGCTGCTCTGGCATCTTCAACTTAATTTTAGGGCCTGCAGGTTCTGGCACAGCTTGTTTGGCCTCTTTAAAAAGCTTGTAAAATGACGCCTAGCAAGGTCAGAATTGCGTTGATAAACACACATACAATGCTCACCTGGAGATTTTTAGCGAGAATTGAGATTTCGCTGCCATCTTCGTTATATTTCCATGCGTTGTTCCATATGTACTTCATTTCCTTTTCGAACGTTGCCCATGACTTGAATTCGGACACATTCTCCTTTCCGCCCTTCACTTTCTTCTGCACCGAGTCAAGACTCGCGGGATTCGTGATTAGTTTGTAGTAATCCCGTAGGCTTCGAGGTGGTAAATCGACGAAAACTTCATATATCCTGAATTGCTCACTTCAAGCGAATTAGAATGATTCGCCATCAACAGTTGGAATTACTCACTCTGGCGATTCCTTCTGCGTGATCAACTCCTCGAGTATCTTCTCTTGAGCTTGCTGGAAAGTCAATTTCGAGAATGGTACTTTCGAATAAAGACCATCTTGCACTGACGGCGTGATGCTTTTTTTAGGTGGTGGCTGTGTCCTGATCTGGATCTTCGTCCTACCTCTGGGTGTCTTCTTCACTGGCGCAGCAGTCTCTACCTCAGAATCCGGTTCCCCTTCAGCATCCTCGAGATCACTTTCGCCCGGTTCTGCTGGGAATGGTGTTGGAGCTGCCACATATCCTGGAATGAGCTTATATGCAGGATTATGTTTGGTCATGTAATTGCTTAAAGCCTTTCGTAATCTTTCTGCATCGTCATAAACTTCCGATCCTTTTGTGTTGTACTCTTTCGCGTTTGATATCATGCGCTTGAAGTAGCTTTCCAAATCGGTCAGGTTTGCGAACTCTCGACGAACCAACTTCTCTCTGATGTTATCAAGCGCGATTGGCATCCGAATTACTTTATAGTATTCGGGGAATTGGCGGGGATTAGGTAGGGTCAGGAAGCTCGTAGATATTACTCGTCCACTACGAATTAGTTTTAGTTATGGTTCAATTGTTCGTAAAGGAGCGTCTTGAAAATGAAGAACAAGCGACAAAAAACACGAGGCAGGAACTAGGAATTTAGGTAGGTTGCAGGTAGTGTTGCAGAGCGGTTCGCGCCCACCTGGTTACAAGGCTGAGAAGATAAAGTCCTGTCGCAAACATTGATCTAAAGAAACGGAGCCTACCTTTTGTCCTCGGTCTTCTTCAATATGTCGACCAACTTCAATCCTTGTTGAGTCGTTCCTTCAGCGGTTTCGGGTTGAGAGAGGTCGATGGAATCCTGTCATTGTCAGCCTTGTCCTCGTCTATACCACCGTTGGCGGTCGTTGCTGAATTCAAAGATAGTAGATAGCTCGATGCGACCCCCAGCTATCTTAGACCAACATCCGAGACCGCGAGATAGAGAGCAGCATGGTCGTAGAAATCGATATGCGCACTAAATCCAAATGTTCAATTTAGACTTACACTCGGCATCTTTCTCTTCTTCGTTGCATGGTCGTCCGCATCTTCGTCTCCCCCCTTGGATTTTCTTTTCTTGTCCATCGCTTCTTCGCGGAGCTTAGTTGTCAATAGCCAGAGTGTAGCTGCGCGATGCGTCGTTTTCTGCTGAGTTGCGCCTCTGTCGCAAAGCTCAATGCCTTCTCGGGCGCGTTAACGTGAATCTGTGATGCGCGTCGTGGAAGGGCTGTTGGTTCAAGAGCTAGGATTTGGTAAGTAGGCCTGCGGGTGGAGAAAACGACAGAATTGAGACCAAAGTTTTGGTGAATTTATGTGCTGTTGTAAAGTGGCCTTTTCAATGAGAAATGATTATTTCGACTCGCGATGCCATTCGTTCTGCGACTCTTAACAATGAGTGCGCCAGCAATTACTCATAAGTTGCGACTCAGTTGGTATTGCGATCGTTCTCAGCAACGAAACGAGGGAGGAGCTGAGCACGTGATAAAAGGGACCAAAAATGTCTAGACCGTGCGCGCTTCGGTTGGAGGAGCTGTTTATTGATCAACAACCCATGCTTGGAAAACCTTCACTTTCTTCAGCTTCTACGCTTTCAATTCATTACGGCCTCTTGTCCTTTTATGTTGCCTGGTTTTGTGATTCATTGTGTCTCCGTCCCCTCGTATCCACTCGCTCTAGTCTCGACCTTCGAATACGCAAATCATCTGAATACCATCCTTGCACCACTTTTCCCCTCTCCGACACTTGACGATTTCCACTCCGCGTACTGTCGCAACATAGTTTGACTTTACACTTCTCGCTACAAGCTTCGAGCCGCGCGGGGAGCAGTACGTCGCGTTATTCGGGCTACATTCGACATCCGATCTCAATTCGTATTCTCTGGCACCGCAATGTCCGGCAATGACTATAACAGGAGGAATAAAGTTCCCAGGCCGTTGTCTGACCACGAGAAGGCGCGCTTAGATGAATTCATCGATTCCATACACTATTCAGCGAGGTAAGTCGGGCTTATTTATGCGGTAATTATTGGCCGGAAAAAAGAGCACCGAAATGCTAATAAGTATCAGATATTCAGACGATGAGTATGAATACCGGCACGTACAACTGCCTAAGAATATGCTGAAGGCAATTCCCAAGGACTATCATGATCAACAGAAGGGCACATTGAAATTATTGTGGGAAGAAGAATGGCGAGCATTGGGTATTACCCAGGTAGGCAGCAACATATACATGCCTACTGGCTGAAATGTGCTAACGACGCAACGCAGAGTCTTGGATGGGAGCATTACGAAGTACACGAGCCTGAACCACACATCCTTCTATTCAAGTACTACAGTTCCTCGATCTGGAAATATAGCATAAGCTAACCCTTTTGGCAGGCGGCCTATTAATTACGTGCCTCCCGGACAGTAGCCTCTACACATACCCCTCATATACGTGATTTTCTAGGACGGTTCTTTGATGCAGCAGAACACTTTTTGAGCAATGGCGTTTGCTTTTTGACGATGCCATGTCTTGTCGATACGTACACTTTCTTACGGCCTTTTTTAACGGCTCCTTCGATGTATAAGAATTAGGGTCAATGGATATCCTCTACTCCGAGGTTATGGTCTCATGGGTGGTGTGAGCACTACGGGGTGTATGATATATCGAACGCAAATTAATGAGGACAAAGTATTTTGGCCATCGAGGCATAGCGCGGTTGGTTGCGATTATTAAGAATAGACCATGGTTGTGCGTTTAGTTATCTGCTTTTATGTGAACCTTAGGGTGATACAAGATGTAGATTGAAGCCAGTCAGCATCCCGAGTAAGTTTCGAGTGAAAGGCCGCTTGCTTATTTGTGAGCTAGGATTCCACTTGAGGTGGTCTGGTATCGTCCCGAAAAGCAACGAACAAACGACCCCGCCAGCTGATGTGGGAGATATCCGTGTGCTTCAGATTTTGTGTGCTCCTGTCATCAGAGTCTTCCTTTATATACCCGAGAGCTTCACTTATCATCCAGAATGTTATGTTATTCGTAAAAATTGAGGATGTTGAAAGGAAGAGGATGAGGCTCAACTAAGAATCTCAATCTAAAAATAATAAGTTGGGGAAGCCGATAGATCGTACGGTTAAATACGCCACATTCCGCATTTTTTGGGCTTGGCAAGGTTGCTCCAATTCTCTCAAGTCGAGTAATCGAACGAGCAGAGGACAGATCATCCAACCTCATCATGACGAACCCGCTCCGAGCTCACGCTTTGAAATCAAGTTTTGCTTAATTAAAATGCCAGAAAGGTTTCCTGTATTCACATTTGCATTGCATGCAATTTGATTTGATCTCTATCTACAAGAACTTTCGACATCTGCCTTTTTTGGCCGGCGCATTTGACAAATCGGGGAGTCAATAGAACGAAACTCTTTCAACCATTAATCGTCACAAGACCCCCACCCAAGATCCTGCTCCTACAATCGCCTCCACTGGCTAATTAGGTCAATAAATCAACGGCAAAATGAAGACTGCGGCCAACGTCTTTTATCTTGCGGTGTTCGCTCTGCTGAACTCATGCCACGCAGCAGACCCAAAGGGCCCATCCAAATCCAAAGCATCGAGTCCCGATGTCTGCGCGGTACGCTATACTCCTCTTTGTTCAGGCATATATGTCTAATGCCTTTTCTCAGATCTCTCCTAAAGCAATTGTCTCCGATGCATGCGCCTCCTACTCCACGCTCGATGACCTCAACAGAAACCTACGCCCTTCCCTTCTCGACGTTACTCAGAACACGGATTTTTTTTCATACTACCGATTAAATTTATTCGGTAAGGAATGCCCTTTTTGGAACGATTCGAATGGGATGTGTGGCAACATCGCGTGCGCGGTAAATACCTTGGACAATGAAGAAGATATTCCTGAGATATGGAGGGCGGAGGAACTGGGTAAATTAGAAGGACCAAAAGCGACTCATCCAGGCAAAAAGTTGCAGCGAGAACGACCGCAGAAACCGCTACAGGGTATGCTTGGAGAGGATGTGGGCGAGAGTTGTGTGGTGGAATATGACGATGAGTGCGATGAGCGAGACTATTGCGTGCCGGATGATGAAGGAACAAGTGGAAAAGGAGTTTATGTGAGCTTGGTGGATAATCCAGAACGTTTTACTGGATATGGAGGTGAAGGTGCTCAGCAGGTCTGGAATACGATATATAAGGAGAATTGCTTTTCCAAAGCGTCATTTCCCAAATCCGCATCTTACGGAACCCAGCGGTTCCCACTTCAGGGAGAGGCCGCAACTCAACTGCAATCCGTCATCAGAGAAAGGGGTCGCCAGCAAGCTCTCGCAGCACAACAGAAACTGGCTCCCGAGACACCGTTCGTTGCGGAAACCGGCCTCGAGTTCGAAGGGGAATGTCTTGAAAAGCGAGTCTTTTATCGAGTCGTCTCTGGGATGCACAGTTCTATCAGCACTCATTTATGTTTCGATTACCTAAACCAGACCACTGGTGAATGGGGACCGAACCTCCAGTGTTACAAGGATCGTCTCCACAAGTTCCCTGAGCGAGTTTCGAATCTGTACTTCAACTACGCTTTAGTGTTGAGAGCTATTACAAAATTAGGACCATACTTGCAAGATTATACATTTTGCTCTGGAGACCCTTGTCAAGATGCCACCACCAAGGCCAAGGTACAGGCTCTAACAACACAAGCCGGAGAAGTGCCTCAAATATTTGATGAAAGCCTCATGTTCGTCAACGGAGAGGGTCCCAGCTTGAAAGAAGATTTCAAAAATCGGTTCCGAAACATCAGCCGTATTATGGATTGTGTTGGTTGCGATAAATGCAGACTCTGGGGCAAACTTCAAACTGCTGGGTATGGCGCGGCCCTGAAAGTTCTTTTTGAGTTTGATAATAGCTCTGAAGATGTACCTGTCCTAAAGAGAACTGAGCTGGTAGCACTTTTTAATACCCTTGCTCGTATTTCGAGCTCTTTGGAAGCCATAAACCAGTTCAGAGTCATGGTGGAATCTGAGGAGAGCACCGCAGAGAGCATCGGCCATCATCATGTACTGCCACATCGCGTCACCAAGCCTCATAATGTCATACCTCGGGAGAGAACTCAAGGTGGTGTAGCAGATGACTATGATAGCCATGACAAAGAGGAGGCGAAGCACCACGCTCCACAGGAAGGGTCGTTCTCGGAAGATTTCTATGGCGAGTTGTCACTTGTGTGGAGAGCATTCAAGTACATCATGCGCGGCTGGTTCACATTTCCAAAGTCCATGTAAGTTACGACGCTTTTCCTCAAGTACAAAACTAATCTTGATCAAGGTGGGATATCATTGTCCTGGAAGCCTCTCGAGCCTGGGAGTATTACATTGGATTGCCGGTCAGTCCTCGGAAGTGGTATATTAAGAGACCAAATTTGGACGAATTGTGATCTTTTTATGAATTTTGAGGGGCAGTCAACATTTGCATTAGCGAAAGGCGTTAAGGATAGATTGAAGATAGAGCAATTCAGGCTTCGACTTTCGGGCATTTACTCCTAGGCATAAAGAATTGACTATCTATAGAAACAACAAGACGTATTCCTATATGCTCTACCTGAACATTATCTAAACCTTGATTAGTGACACACCAGACGCGATATCATTCTTCCTCGAAATATATGCAGAATTGAGGACCTTCCGATTTCCGTCCTTCGTTATTCGAGTTCACCTTCGAAAAGAGCTCCAACATCATACGTGCAAAGTGGTTTACGGGTATTGAGATTCCGGGAATACACTCACCTTTGCGGAATTTGACTATTCCGAATCCCAACATCTCAAATCCCAACAGTTTATGAGCCATCAGGGTCGCGCCGGTTGCAGTTCGTCGTCATGATAAGCGAGGCAGCGGATATGGAGGTCAACATATCCGATGATATTCACTCTGTGTGGTTGCGAAATATTCACCATCTGATCCGCCGGATCCAAGAAGGCCGAGAAAACTTGTAAACTCGAGACCTACGCTTATTCACAAAATTTGTATAAAGGAGCGTCTCTGCCCCCTCTGCTCGAACGATATTCTGGTCTCATTAACAGCATCAAGGAACCTTCCAATAACACGATATTCGTTGCAATGAAGGCCTCACTTCTGGTCATTGCTGGACTTGCTCTGTCGGTCTTTGGACGACGTCCTATTGTATGCGGAGAGGATGCTGGAGTTTGCCAAGCTGTCTACCGTGGACTGCGAAATGACAAACTCAAAATCGAGAAATACGTTGGCATCCCTTACGCGCAGCCTCCAGTTGGCAAACTCCGTTTACAACCTCCGAAGCCACTCGCTCACATGGCCGCGCCCCCGACTGTCGATGCGTCCAAACCTACCAGCAAACAATGCTATAGCCTTGCAAACCTCAACTCGGCTACTGCCTCCGAGGACTGTCTAACTCTTGACCTTGTTATGCCGGTTGGTACTTTTGATCACTTGTTGCCGGTCTATGTCTTTCTTCATGGGTAAGTGAATGATATTGCCTCTTCTACTTTGACTAATTGTTCTCTTTAGCGGTGATTTCAACGGAGGAGACAAGTCAGACGTCGATGGCAGTGAGCTAGTCAGCTACGCAGCCAGCATCAACCAACCCTTCATTTTCATATCAGTCAACTACCGGCTCTCTTTTCTTGGATTTCCTGGCGGATCAGAGGCTGGAAAATCCAACGCTTACAATCTTGGTCTGAAAGATCAAAGATTAGCTCTTCAATGGGTGAAGGATAACATCAAAGGTTTCGGTGGTAACAAAGATCATGTAAGCTCTGTTCCTAACATTTTGATTTTCTTCCTCATGTTGATTCTTTAGGTTGTGCTTGGTGGTCAAGCAAGTGGTGCCGATACCGCAACATACCAAATGCTGGCTAACGGCGGCAACAATGAGTATCTCTTTCGTGGAATGTTGCTCGAAAGCGGAGCTGCCACAGGCGCGACACCGATTCCTCTACCAACATACCCACACTGGCAAATGAACTATGACAGTTTGGCTTCCAAGACCAAGTAAGTATCAAGCAGACCCAAACTAAAAGTCATCAGCTAATTGAAGCAGTTGTTCAAGCGCTTCTTCTTTCTCCTGCCTTCAAAATGTCCCTATCGAAAAACTCACCAGTGCTATGTACGCTGTGTTTACAGAAGCATATTCGATTCCTCATCACGTGTAAGCCTTCCAAACCATTCTCTCATTTTTCTCGAATTCTGACTGATCTTTTAGTTACGCTGTTGTCTCGGATGGCGTCTTCATGCAAGACTACCCCTCAGTAGCAATGGCTCAGAGCAAGTTCGCAAGTCTACCAACACTCACTGGACAAACTACCGACGAACTCACTGATCGCATTCCCACATTTGCCAATTTCACAACTGATGAAGGCATTCTTGGTTTCGCTCAAGTATTTTTGAATTACGTTGATCCGGCAGTTCTCGCAGAGGAAGTAGGAATGTACAAGTCTTCAGACTATCAAGACATTGGGCCTCCTGGATCTGGAACTCAGTGGAGTCGTGTGGTTGATATTGACAATGATTTGCAAGCCTTTTGTCCAGTTTACCAGGCTGCATTACAGATTTCTGAAAAAGCTGCTGTTTGGAAATGTAAGAAGCCCCACATTAATGTTTTCTAAATCATCTAACCTCTCGCTCAGATCGCTTCAATGCCCGTCATTCTACCTCAACCACTCCAGCGTATCTCAAGATCAATCAAGGATCAGATCTTCCATTCCTTTTTGGACCCACGTAAGCAAATCATCCCGCTCTTTCTCATTCCATTTCTCTGTACTTCCATGTTCTGACTCCGTCTAGCCCTCTCAACCCAACAACGCAGGAAGACATCCTCGCCGAATCCTACAAACGCTACATCATATCCTTCATCAACCACCTCGACCCAAACAAAGCTGTCAACTCCACCATGGCTCCACTCAGTCAATGGGACAACTTCCGCAACTCCTCTCAAAACCAGCTTTTGTTTGACCTTGCCCAAATCAACATGGAGTACGATCCCGTTAACCGAGAACGTTGCCTCTGGGTTGAAGAACATCACAAGGACTTTTTGAGATAGGAGGAATTTTGTAAATGGCGTTTGGTTTAGTAGAATTTTTTAGTAGATCAGATTGAAAAGGGATAATAGTGTTTTCAATACATCCTGTAGGGACTGTATGTAGAACGCATCTCGAAGTTGCTTGATACTTGAATTGAACTCATTTCACCACATGTTTTGTTTGCTCTTTCTGGTGATAGCTTCATTCAATACGCAGATGATACTTCTGATTAATTGTACAAATTTGAAGTGAATGAAAATTAATGTTGTTGAGAAAATGTACTGCGTGGCTTTCAACGCGGAAGGTTTAAACGGTGTTGTGGTCACACAACCACCTTTCTTAGTATCATCTAGGCCCATCACAAGATTGACATGAAGATCAGATGAAAGGCCATCCATTCACAAGCATTCTAATTTTATGACTCTTACGATAGCAACTTTATTTTTGCATTATGTGGCTAGTGCGATTTATTGACCATCAGCAAGTCATTCTCGCTTAGCTTCTTAAACGCCCGATACCAACAGAGAAATATTCCTTTTACACTGTGATTCTGACACTTGAATATCTCTACATGCTTCGTCCAAATCTAAATGCTAATTCATAGCCGAGACTGTCGTGGCGGCGTAGTGGCTCAGTGTTGAGCCCACTTTGATCAGGAGGAGGAGTGTCTGAAGAAGTCAGCATTATTTCAAGCCCAATAAAAATCATTGTCAAAGACGTTACAGAACGCAATAAAACATGACAATCTTTGGAAAGTTAACGAGTATCTAGAACACTATTTAATTTACCTTCCAAACGCCGTCCCCTAAACCTTCTTTCACGAGTCAATTTCCATGTAGCCCAGGCAAGAAGTGCACTGAGCACTCCAGTTACAATAGTAAAGACCCCGATGATCAAGTTGACCTTTGTATCAACTGAGAAACTCCGAGCCTGCAACGAGGCTGTGGATGATACTGAAGTGTAGGTTTGTATTAGTCAGCAGCAACGGCGGTGGTGGCATAGGTATGTCACTTACACATTGTGTAAGATGCGAATATTTTTTGGTCGATTGACTGCTTAGAAAGACTTAAAAGCTATGAATGAGAGTAGTGAAGAACGTGTGTAAAGAAGACTGCTCTTCAGAATGAAGCAGAAGTAGAAATTGAACGCAGAGGCCCTTTCCACAAAAGCCAACACCCTTTCTTATACACATATCTACCCTTCAAGGATCATTACTGCTTCCCATCCAATAGACAAATTCCCTTTGAAATTCCACGCTAATTTCGAATATATAGTATTCCCCCGGCCCATCAGCAGACCCCCTGAGTGGGAAATGCCCTCATTTGGCAATTTCCACGAACTAAATGCCAAATTGGGCGAGTTCTGAATTTTCTCATTGGCTGTAAATTATATTATTACAACATGCAGCTCGGGTGGGCAATGCCCGGTGGTTGATGCAAGCCTCTGGCTCAGTCTGTCACAACTGAGGCCTCGTCAGCTCAAGCGTCGGTTGAGGGTGTCGTCGTCGGCTTTTCCTGTTGTTCAGGATGGTCAGTGTTATTAGAGTCCCTGGAACTGCAAGAATGCGAGTTTGACTGTCCAGGAGTCTCTCTAAGCATCCTTTTCTGTCATCACCATGGCAGGTTAGGAGATCGAAGAGTGGTGAAGGCGCTGATGGCTGCCACACTTGAACGGAAGGAGGCCTTAGCGAGAGCAGAACATACAGGGCTCAGCCCTTTGGCATTTGCTCACCGATTGATGGATTGCTTTTGCTGTCCAACAAGGGGACGTCTAGATCGTGCGGCTCCATGGATCTAAGCTTGATTTGGGATGCCTGGTGGAGGCTATGGGACCTAGCCATTTCCCCGAGTTTGTAGCCGCTACTTTTATCTCGTGTGATTCTGTGTGCTTGGTCAACGAACTGTTTACATAGAGATAAGACATATGATTCTCTTACCTGTCAGAACTCTAGGATAGGGAATAGATCAGAAAACCTCAAATAGCAAAGATTTATCACTGCTCTAGCAATTTTGTGGAACTATCCCGGAGCTAACCCATGAGATGAACAAGGGTCTGTAGTACTTGCGCGCAAAATACTGCTTGCTTTGTTTTAGACCTGCGCTTTTCTGCTCGCTCAAATTCCGGTATTTACACAATGTGAATAACCTCAAAGAGCTCAATCAGAAAGCCTACTCACTTGAGAAAAATAGAACCCTCGTAGTGCCAAGACGCCCAACTGAAGGTCACGACCTCCAGGGAAATAGTCGTCCAACAATCAGACCTTGTCAGTGGCCCATACGAGCAGTATATTAAAGGAATAACAAACCTACTCAAATGACTCAACGACTACTGGGAGTAGAGTAGAGTAATGGATTCTCTTAAGTAGTGTAGAGTGGTGAGTATCACGCCTCATGATAAGTTAGATTGGTTTGAGTTGTTGCCCTAGGCAAGGAGGGGTGAATCAGCTGATATTCTAGGTAGATGGGAGAAAGGGGAGCGGGCCGATGCAATTGTGACCCTCCCAATGGCTAGATGTCAGGTGAGTGATGCTACTCGCATCTTCAAACTACTCATGTCTAGTCTAAGTAGAACAGAGTAGACCACTACTCATAATTTGCTCTACTCTACTCATTAAATACACTGCATACGAACAAGTCATACATGGCAGTAAAGATATCCCAACGCGAAAAGCACCTCGCCCACAACCAACCAATCTCGCCGTGACACAAACTCGCTAAACTACAAACAGTAAAATCACACGCAGTAAAGAAAATTCAGCTAACCAATGATTCAGCTAACCAATGAGACAATTCAATCCTATTTGAATCTCTATAATTCTGTAAATAGAAACACAAATCAACAAAGCATCATTCATCATGCAAGAAAAAGATACGTATCCATCTGCCGCGCCAGATAATTGAGAAATCACATACCTGGTCTAAAGCTGAAGAATCGATGCCGCAAAGTTCAGTAGTCTACACTTCCGATTTCGCATAAACATATGCGGTCGGTCTTCTGAAGTAATCCCTTGGAATTGCAACGATTCAACGAAGGCCTAAGGAAGCGCGCTAGCGAGGAGTACCTCAAACGAGGGAACTTTAGCTCATTTGTTCGCCGACACAAATATAAAATCCATGAGGAATACCAGGGACATTCAAAGACACATCTTGAAGAAAATTTACTCCCAAACACAGAAAGCAGATTTCCACAAGGCAGCAAGATACAAGACACGCTTTTCAATTCCTAGGAATCCTAGACTACACTATAATTTAGTGGTACTCGCTATCCGAACCTCTAATAGTTGAACAATATCAATTGTCTTTATCATCGGTATCAGTAGTCTCCGCTTCACTCCGATCAACATCCAAACTCTCTCGTCCCTTTCCCTTCTTAATCCCAAGTCTACCCCAGGCAACGCTCATCCGACCTTCCTTGGGCGTAGTCGGATGCGCGTCTTTTTTATTCCACTCCCCAGATGCCATGCCTCCCAACATAGGAGAGCTCGTGACACTGTCAAAACTCTTGCCAAAAGGAGTGTCGTCACCAAGATCCATGCTTCCATCGCGGTCCGAGTTTGCGGCACTGTTCACACCTTTTTTGGAACCGAACAAGCCTGCTTTTTCTCCGCGTCTGGACGAGAGACTGAACTTGCTTGAACTACCTTTCCGAAGGAGTCGAGCGATTGAGCTTTCCTTGTCTTTGCTAGTAGCCCCAGATGGATTCGCATCAGACGGTGTGTTGCTCGAGATTCGGTCCAGGCTCTCGGTCGATTCGGCCACGCTGTTCTGGGTGTGGACAGAATGAGTATCTCTGGATTTACGTGACTCGGAAGGAGATGAAACTGGAGGAATGGCTACATCGAAGGCAGTGCTATCAATGCTGCGTTCTTTGCCTTTGGACCTATCCTTATCTTTGTCTTTGCTGGAAGAGAAACTGAACATTGCCTTGAAAGTCGGCGCAGCAGGGTTCAGTCTGGGAGTGACTTGTTTTTGTGATGATGCCGGCCGTGTTCCAATGACACCCACTGCAGCAGGACTGGTCTGACCCAGCATAGAATCTGATGGCAGAAACTCGTCATCATCGCTGGCGACACCAGACGTGAAAAGAGAAGTAGAGCCATGTTGTATGCTAGGTCTTCTAGAGGGATTTCTGGACCACGTTGTGGTTGTGGTGGCGTTGTGAGACCAATTGGTTGCCAGTGGACTGTTCCGGTTGATGATGCTACCTTCAGCGGCTGGCCAACCGAAAGGGGCACTGTCTGTAGATGGTCGAGGCAGGTCGGAAGATGCAATGGACACTGGGCGCGGACTACTAGGATCGCGGTCCGAAAAGTTTGCTGGATCATCCACACTCGAACCAAACATGTTAAATGGACGGCGTCGTCTTGCAGTCGAATTTCGCGCAGGTGCAGGAGCATTGCCTTCAACGGCATCGTTGCCGCTTATCCCCTTGAGAACATGCCAACCCGAAGAGAAGCTCACACGACGATGTCTACTGCTGTTGGTATCTGGGTCATCTGTTGATCGCGGGAATGATTGGCTTTGTCCTGTTTTTAAACTCCCCAAAGCAGGACTTTGTTGAGAGTCTGTCTTGGCACGAGATTTGGGGAAGAAAAAGCTACTGATTTTCTGTACAGATGTGGAATCTGAGGAGCTTGGACCTCCAATAGCACCAAAAGCTTCTCCAGGAGCTCTAACTGGTTTCTTGTCCTGATCAGCAACATAATCATGACTTGCAACTCCGTACATTGCTAGGTTATGAGACGAATCTCGTGGACTAGATAGCAAGCTTGCAGATCGGCTTGAAGAAGAAGGTGATTGGGGATCGTTGTCTTGTGAAGGTTGACCAATAGCTCCATGAAATGGAAGAAGAGAAGGTAGCCTTGGGCTTGGAGGGTCATCATCTGAGAACAGGGTGGAAGGGAGCAACGACGTTGCACCAGGGCTCAGAGGAGCACCGGCGGTGAGTGAGTGGATTTCGGACTCGCTCATGTTTGCCATATTTTCTGACAAAGGCACCATTGCCGTGTCGTTGAGGTCTATGTAAGGACCTGGAAAATAAGTAGGGGACATTACATTCGTCGAATTGCTGAATGCGAGAGTGTTTGGAAACGGCGGATCGCTACTCGTCGCGTAGCCCGGGGAAGACGCAGTTCCATTGCGTACGCTCTTGCGATGATGTCGACTACGACGAGATTTGGCTTTCCCTTGACTTGCGGGGTCAAAGTCAACTCCAGAGGAGTTTGCATGGTACATAATTGGATTGTTAGCGATTCGAGTATTGATGGCGTTGTAGGTGATTTGCGCAGAATGTAATTGACCCTCAAGCTGTCGAATATGCATGGCTTGAGCATTGAGCTGCTGCCTCAGATCTAATTCTCTTGCTGTCCATTCATCGTCGCGCTGTTTGGTCGCGGCGTCTCTCTCTCTAGACTCGTCATCTTCGTGGTCGCCTTGAAGCTTCTTACGCTCTTCCTCCAACTCCAGTAGCAGCTTTCCTTTCAGATTGACCTCTTGATCTAGGCCATGCAGCGAGTTTTGTCGTTTTCGGATGACATCACGGAGTTCCTCGGCTTTCTTCTCCTTGTCGTTGAGGAGGTCCTGTTTATCTCTCTGCCACTCTTCTCGTTCAGCCTTCATTTGCTCTATTTCATTTCTCCATCTTTCTAGGTCTGTATGCATCTTAGCCCGTTCGTTTTGCTTTTCCCGCAAGACCTTTTCTTTTTGTTGTTTTCGCGTTTGCGTTTGTCTATTGGCTCTCTCTGAGTGGTTGACCTCCCTTTTCAGCTTCTCGCTCGCCTCTTCTTTCTCTTTCAGCACCTTTCTATTATCGTCTCGTTCCTTAACCAGGTTTCGGCTGTGCACCTTGAATTCTTCGGCATCCTTCACGATCTGTGCTCCTATTTCTGCCATCTCTTTTTGCAAGCCTTCAAACTTTTCCTCCAACTGAGAGAGCGACTCATGGGTATAGTTCGAGGCGATATTTGCCAACGCAGAGTGATCAGTGATTGGATTCGACGGGGAATGCTTTCGACCTCCAGTATTTCGTCGCTGGCCGGGATGAGTAAGACTCGACTCTCGCACCATGGGCTGCGACCCCTCCGCAACTACAAGCTCTATGGCCGCACCATGTGTACGCAGTGTAGGCTCTTCCTCTCCACTATCGCTCTGATGCTCGTCGTCGACAGCATTCGACGGCACAGCCCCGTTTTCCAGTTGAGGGTGACCATCTCGACCGTAAGTACGCGCGCGTATAACCCGACTGCCAGCTTGGAAATTGTTCGATCCCAGCGCGATAACCCTAACATTGTAAAAGTGACCCGGCTTGAGACCAGTGACTTCGATCACTACTGTTTCCCTCTGAGGTAATTCTCCCACTTTGGCGCATCAGCTAAACATCTACGCACGTCCATGACTGCACCTACCATTGACCCCATTGACCTGAATCAGATATTTCAGCACAGGTTTATTCGCATTCGGTCGCTCCAGATGAACTGTAATTGAACCCTTTGTTATGCCGGCAAGAGAGACCTCGGGCGTATCTGGGACCTCGACACCAAGAATGCTGATGAGTTCGGGAACGGGCTTCCAAAGGGTCAGCCATGCTCGGTGTAGTAACCTGTATATTCACATCAGTAGTTGATCTCGGTGTTCTGATGGAAGAGTCTGCGCAAACCAGAAGAGCGCGCTGCACGTCACCAGGGACTGGACAAAGAACATATTTCTTTCGGTAGCATGTTTATATAGCCACTGCCAGGTTTCGAGCCAGAAGGTTTGAGCGTTCATCCACAAGGAATGTTCAACAGAGACGACACAAGCTCGGCCGGTGCTCTGCCTCGTGCGTGCTTGGAAGCAGAAGTGTAGTGACCAGATGGCAGACGAGGACGCTGAAACAAAGAGGGGCGGGGATTGAAGCACGGGAATATCTTAAAAAGATTCAAAAAGTAAAAATGTGGAGGTGTAATGGGTGGCTCAATGAGGCTCACGTTGGTGTTGTCTCTCGGTTGTTCTTCTCATGTTTGCTTGTGCTCCGCCGCATCCTTTTCTGCCAAGACCGCCTTTCCACTTCGAAGACCCTCCACTCCTGGTAGCCAATCAGAAGTAGCCTTGAATGCTGCCGGTAGAGAGTGCCGGGCCGGTGCCGGGGGCAGCTCCCGAGGTCTGGTTTCGGATCTGTTTTCCTCATAAGAAGCAAGCTTTTCGCTTGAGTCTCAGTCCTAGTACTAATCGCAGACCTCATGATAACTGCAATTCGACTCAAAACGCGTCAGAGCTCAGGATCACGATGGTACCTCCGCTATTGTATTAAGAACGTTGTCAATCCAATGATATTGTCAAGTCAGGAGACAGCGCTCTGCTGCTTCATTAGAGAGTTCTGCCCTCATACCTTGGCTTAGGCATCGATCAACGCAGTCTATATGAACAGCCACTGGTCCCGCTGTTGATAGCTCAACTTTCATGGCCTTGTCTGCTAAATACACCGGAGCAAGTCTCATGGGCTAGCTTGCCAGGTCATTAATCTGCTATAAAACCACCTCGGTTGTACTTCTGCATACTATCCATGGGTCAAAAGAACCAGAGGAATTGGCACATTTCTATTGACTGTCCTAAAAGTTCCTCGTCTCGCAGGCCGAAATACGCTTGTGCAGCAGTCCATTATCCCAGATTACCAAGTGTCATTCATGTACCTACGTACCTAAGGACTGATATACTCAGAATATGGCATGACACGGATGTGGGAAGTGTTGCACTAATAGGATGCAAGCTAACTAGTCTTTCTCTATTCCGTGTCACACAGTTCATGGTAGGCTCGCAGGTTATTTCATTTCAATTGTATTGGGGCGGTGCAATCCGCCAATCAAGTCACTTCAAGGCTTGTTTCCTTTGCAGCTGGGCTTTTCTCAGCCTTGTCAACGAACAATCTCACTTCACAAAACGACTCCATTTTTCCCTGTTCATTATAGTATAGACACGGAAGTAACGACATGAAACGCCTAGTAGACAGCAATGGATGCTATTGCAGTGGCCAGCCGTCAGAACAACACTGCCAATCCACTCAGTCTCGCGATTCGCGAATTCCAAGGGAGTCTGAGCAGAGAGGAGAACGCAGCACTACTCACTCACAGCTCCACCGGTTTGGATGCCACTGGTATTCTATCTTTCACGGCAGAAATTGATCGAGTAAACGCCAATCGACGCAGCCGTTGTGTATCATCTCGCCTGTTCGGAGTTCTCGAATCTGTACAGGCGTTTTCTGGTATCGCCGACACCTTCATATCCTCTCATTCAGAAATCGCAGCTTTGGTTTGGGGATCTGTAAAGTTTGCTCTCTTGGTAAACCCCTTTGCTGCAGAGATCTTTCTACGAGAGTTATTGATATGGAACAGGCTATTAATAATGTCGTCTCCTTCTTTGACAAGCTTTCTGAGACCTTTCTAAGACTCGGCAGCTGTTGCCCTAGGTTCAGTGAGTACAGGCTTCTTTTTCCAGAATCGACAAAACTTCAAAACTTGCTATGTTCTTTCTATGCTAGCATTGTGAAGTTCTGCACCAAAGCTATGAACGCAATTGGCAATCCTGGTGAGTTGCCAAAACCAATCTCAACATATCGACGAGTAACGCTGTTGCCCGAGGCTTATTCTAACAGGAACAACACTTACTCGTGCGGTCTGGAAACCATTTGAAAAGGAATTTGCTGTATTCGAGTGTGATCTAAAGAAACAGGGCGCTGAATTGAAGGAGGAGATCACACTCGCAGCAGAGCAAGCCGCATCCAGAGAACGGGCTTTTGGGAGGAGTTTCCGTACAGAAATAAGAAAGGTGAATCAGGCCAAAACAGAAAGACAGCTCAAGAAGGATAGAGCAAGATCCTGTGAGTTTATGTCACAATCTGCAATCAGCTTATCAGAATACCTCTATTGACAAGCAACAGTGGCTGTCAAAGCGAAGCTACTCGAACGGCTTCCTGCCTATGACTATGTAGGGTCGTTGAAGCGTATGCGTAAGAAGCGATATGGAAGCACGGGATCCTGGCTCTACAATACCAAGGACTTCAACGCGTGGATTACAGAAGACTGTTCCAGCCTCTTTTGTTTCACAGGTATTCGTCAGTTATTTACCTACTACCCATTTCTACAGTCCACAATTAACATTATCACTAGTTGGGTCAGGAAAGTCGATAGTTACGTGAGTCGTGAAAAGGCCTATATACAAGTGTAACACGTATACTGACATATCAAAGTTCTGCTACTGTTGACCAACTTCTATGCAATCCACGAAGTCTAGACACGCGACTAGTATTTTTCTTTTGCGAACCAGACTTCGCAAGTTCCATGATTGCACCCGTTATCTTGGGTTCTCTAATTCGACAGCTCGTCAATATTGAAACACTCGACAACGATCTTGAACAGCGCTTCAAAGACGTGCTCGAAAATGGTTACCCCGACGCTACCGATCTTGAACCACTTTTGCAGCTTGCTGTTAACAAAAATTCAGTGGTCACCTTCATAATAGATGGTATTGATGCGTGCGAGTCCACTGACAGGAAGTTAATCTTTGGAATACTGTCTCGTATCAGTATCGGAGCGACATCTATGGTGAAGCTACTTATATCAGGCCGTGAGAGCTTGATAAATGATATTTCAAAATTCTTTGATACATGTCGACATATTACTACTACATGTCCAGAGGGTCAGACCGATATTCCTTGGTACATTGACAGCATTATGAAGGAGAGAATCGAGGGATCGGATCTCGTCTTAGGCGACGAACACCTTGAGCAAGAAATCAAAGATACCCTGATACAAGGTGCGAACGGAATGTGAGTCGCTTTTTTATACGCCAAGGGGGTTTCCACAAGATCTTCATAAGCCGAGTGATCCTTGACATGAGTTGTTTTGATTTCTGTGTATACAATGATACACGCAATCCCCAACCCTCGCTAGCTTTATGTTCTGACAAAAGCCATCTGCTCTGTCACCGGATAGAGATGTATAAGACTAACGTTGCTAGGTTCTTATGGGTCACACTACAGATCAATGACCTCTGTCGTCAAGTTTCTGATGGTGACATTCGGTCATGCCTAGCGTCATTACCGAGAGGTCTTCCGGAAACTTATCAACGAATATTGGACCGCATCGAATTAGAGATGACCGCAAAGACCGTCCTCAAAATCTTTCGGTGGTAGCAGTTGCCTCACGGCCGATGCATCTGGAAGAGCTACGAGAAGCCATCGCTATTGAACCGAAAGACGAATTTCTTCGAACCGACCGTCTCGTAAACCAGATGGAGCGCCTGGTATTGTGGTGTGGTGATTTAGTAACCCTTGACGAAGATGAGCTCCTAGTATAATTCGCTCATCATACTGTCAAAGACTTCCTGATTTCTCCTCCTCTTCGAGAATCAAAATTTCACTTCCGTTTGAATATGGAAGAATATGCTGCTGGATTGGCTTGTCTAACTTATCTTAATTTCAACAATTTTAACCGACAACTGGAGACGCCTCAGAGGGCATCTACGGATACGCTCTCCACCATTCAGGCTCATGATCTCGTCAAAACGACCGCTGCTTCAAGTGGAGATATTCTGTTTAAGTTTGGAGCACGATTATCTGGTAGTCTCCGAAGGCAAAAGACAAATTTCGATTCTTTGGGACGTCTTTTGGATCTCCGCGGGAGAAAATTGACACCAGCGTCAAGCATTCTTCGTGCTAATCACCCCTTCTTAGCATATGCTGCTGAGAATTGGCTGAGACACACTAGGCAATTTTCAAACTACGAGCTCTCTGATTATGATCATATTCCACCTGACACGCCCGATAGACGCCTGTGGATGTCATCTGTGATTGAACGGCGTCCCTGGGCAAACCTCTTTAACGATTCGGAGGACAGAAAGACAAATGCCACTATTATGCAGAATATTGTGCTTGACTACAACTATACCGCACTTCTGGGATGCATTGATAGCGGCAACACGGTTGAAGATGGTAGTGTTGCTGCCATTTTGAGGAATGACGTTGACTTGTTCGCCTTAGCTTTTGAAGCATTAAAACGAGATCTCGGAGAACTTTTCTTGACGTTGTCGCAGAACAGGAGCGAAATTTTTGTGACAGAGGCTACCCGAAGATTGAGTGCTGCAGCTGAAAATGGGAACGTTCGAGAAATTGAATTACTACGAAAGATGGGAGCTGACTTTGGGGCTCCAACAAGCCTGTCGCAACCGTACACACCTCTCTACCTCGCCGCACGGCATGGTCATAAGGATGCCCTGTGAACGTTAATCGAAGCTGGTGCAAATTTGTACGAGACCGTCAAATCTGAAAGTAGACTTCCGCGGTGGATGGCAATCCATGCTGCCGTCAGTCATAATCACTCAGCTGCTGTTAGCTACCTAATTGAGTGTCATTTAAAAGTGCCTGGCGAGATATGTAAGCCGTCACTGCTTGAATTGCACTGCATCAAAGGAGATCATGTATCAAAGGAGATCAATACATTACACGGCTGATTTTCGAACTCGGGGTGGATCTCGAAGAAATTTTGCCTCAAGGAGGAGAGTTTAAAGCCCTGGAAATGGCTAGAAACGAGACAAAAATTAACTATTGGAATAAAGATATTAGTAGGCTTCTTACGGATCTTTTCGAGGAAGTCAGCTCCGCAGTTTATCTAGGAGATGCAAAGAATGCAAGGTACAAAATGGTTTCCGGAACATAAATATTCGCTTTACCAATATCGATAGGCCCTCCTCTGGGCAAAAGGCCACAGGCAGTTCAGTCAGCAGTCGCATTCGCATCCGCATTTCTCCTGTTACGACACACCCGCAAATTATTACTCAAACACGACTGCCCGGTTTACTCTCTGTACCCCAGAGCTCCGAATTCAGAAGACACGTGACTCAGAAGTCCATGGGCATGAAATCGAAATCTTCCTCTATCCGACTAGCAGATCGTAAAGACGCCAATGCTTGGAATATATACCGACCAAATACTGTCAATGACGGTCTTCAATCAAGTGTTCATGTGATTCCACATGATACATCTGAAGATCGTATCAAGCAAGTGAAAGAATTGAAATTGAATTCGGGAAGGTCAACGCCGTGTTTGACTACGCTAGACGATTGGATAAAGGAGGGGTGAGAGCAGAAAGGTCGAAAGCCATTTAGAAACGAAATATCTCAGTGAGAAGTTCATCAGGTCGGGCAACATGTGGTATGGAGAGACCGGGGTATCCCCTCCAACAGCTGATGGTACCCAAAATCGTTGCAACCTTGATGAGGATTTACTAGCAAATCACCCGTTTCGATTTAAAGCATACTACTCCCATGCTCTCTAAGAATATTTTGAAACCTCTAGAGAAAATGGATCACAAGGTGCTATTAGCGGATGGGGAGAGTAGATGAGCCTGTTCATTTTGATGATTGATTTGCGGTATTTTGTAATGAAATTAGGCGTTTGAGATTTTGATAAACTTATGTAGTAGCAAGCTCGAATGTAAGCCGCTCTGCTTTTGATATGTGATTTTTATTATCATATAAATGGAACAGTACACTATGCATTTCTTGACTTGCAAACTATGTAACGCCTGCGTTCGAACAGGGCAAGATCAGATACTCATCATAATACTATATTGTGTAGTAGATATGATAGTTAGGGATCATACAACTCCGTACGCTCGACCGGAAGAAAGAGTTTCGGATAGATGATGTAAGGGGTGCATAGACGAGCCAAGTCGAGACGAGTTTCACGCTGGGAAGTGGAATTTGGTATGTAAAGATGAGGGAAGCGCCGTTATAGTTAAGATACGGAAACAGCGTTCATTTTTTAAGCCAAGTAGTGAGGCTCTTGTCAAGTCTAAAAAGGACCTGTTGTGGTTTTTTTCTTCCTATACAATTGTTTCTTCCTAACTTGCTGGAGATTATAAATAAGAAGAAACTATCCGAAAGAATATGGCTTATGACTACTTGCAACACGAAGGACGTGATAAGCTGTGCCATGTAACGCTTCTATCTCCACTCCTGTCAAAATCGCCTTGAGACGTTTAAGTGTAGCCTTCGTTCCTGTTTTGTGACATTCATGTTATACCACAAATTACTACTTCCCACAGACAAAGTAACATGGCACAGTCACCTAAGTCAAGTTACCAAAATAACAAACACAATACATGATTCCATCAACTGCGTTAGCCGAATCAGGTCTAGATTCGCGATGGAGTTAAGAGTAGAGAATAGATGTCTCGACAAGCCGATAAGTTATTCCTTTAAACACTTCAAATGAGATTAATCACACACTTTATAGGCTGCTACAGCTCCCATCTGCTTTTGGGGCACCTCTTTCTTTGGCGTTTCTAGTCCTACCAATCAGATTACTCAATCGCGGAACTGGCTTAATCTCGAAAACGTTTCTTACCACCTACCAGATTCACTATGCTCGCTAAATATATACGGTTTCTTGGCTCTAACTGTTTCGGACTCACATATCTCTCTACTTCACCCAATGGTATTTATCATGACTAAACTAGCATAAGTCTACACTCTTAGGTGGTATATACGCAAATTCGAACCCGAAAATTGCGGCAGTGAATGCACCTGATGGTGAATTAGGACGTTTCTCTTATAGAAACTCCAGATCCGTCAAAAAGAGGACGATACTGTTCATGGATAATGGGAGGAGCATTGCAAGCGCATGGAGTGGCCGACTGCATTGCTTTTTATCTAGAACCACCCCTAAATCGAACAGTTGATCTTTTGGCAAACAGCCGCCCTGCAACAAGCAGTATGGGGTATGCCGTTAGTGATGTTCGTTTAGTCTAAGTGGAACTAAAGGTGGTTTAGGCCCTCGCTGAAATTGATTTCCTCTCAGTACCATTTCAAGCAAGAGTGAGCGACCATCAAAACGCACTCCATTTAGGATCCAAGAAAGAACCTCCTCTGAATCCACCTCTCCTTTGTAATGAAGAGAGATGCCCTCGCCGGTTTTTGGACAGGTGTCTCGAAAGATGAGTTGATAACCCGGTAGTGAAGATGATCCGACGCTAACTTCAAAGTTGACCTTATTGTGGTCATCCACAATTTCAGGCGCATTATTGTAAACCTCTGCAAGGCTTTTCGTATAATCAATTTCCAGTACATCTTGCGTTAGCCCTAGGAGCGCGTATACCCTGTCGAGAGGATTCGTCGCCGCGCTAGATCTGAAAAGCAGCATGAATAACCACAGTTGCCGGAAGTACGAATTAGTCTGGCCTTCTCTCAGATCCCGGAGGTGAAGTAGTTTCCCCATCGGAGTCTTGATAAGGAACTCCAACTGGTTTTCAGCTTGCTGAGATTGAGTTCTTTTCAACAACATGACGTCGTTGGAAGGTTGAGCAAATGCCATCAAATGCTCTAACCAACTCCCATTAAAGCATAGTTCGCCCCAGAATACCAGAAAGTGAGAAGCCAAAACCACTTCTTGGATCATCCACACTCGTCCCCAATAAGCGAGATTTGACAACTTTCCAATGTCAGAAATGACAGATCCATCAAGTGGGGCGCCCTGCTCCTCAGCATCCACGAACGAGTCTATTTGGCGTAAAGAGGAGCCGATAGCTTGGCCAGAACTCTCACTAAGCTCACCCAACCATATATAAACCGACTCTGCTCTGGTGAATATGCTTTTCATCAAACCCACTTGAGAGCTTTTCTCCTTTGCGTCCTCTTGATTGATACAGATGCTATCTATCCAGAGATAGAACTGTGTGCTAGTGCTCGAATCCCACAGCACCCGTGGCCGCTCCTGCAGACGTACTAGAAAGTGCTTGAGAGAAGGCCGGATCTTGAATATTTTCCCGCCGACCAGAATATTCTCCGTTGGGAGACATGTTCCCCACATGTAGGATGCTGCAATATAATTTGGGGTTGAACCTAGTGAGAAAACTGAGAAATGCTGAATGCTCGCATCAATACTATCTCGGTTCTCGGTGGGATGGAGACGGAGGAGTCGTATTTGCAATTTCGGCATATCGAGAGGCTTGTATTGAAAGGTGGACATGGGGAAATAATGTTTGAAATGCAAATATTGTGCAAGGTTGGGGTAAATAATTGAGAAAGGCAATTAGGAGTCGAGAAGAGAGTCCCAGCGGATTTAATGAATTCGACTGTTCCAGGAAATGAGTAGGCCGCGGACAAAAACCACTACCGACGTGCATTTCGAGAAGAGAAAAATGGTAAGGATTCGCACACAACAAATGTCAGCCGACATCCTCAGCCTTGGCCCTCTTTACAACAAATCCATCCCGTGTACAGTACCAAGTTTAGTCTAATACTAATGGTTTTATAATTTACTGTATTACATGTTCAGAAAGCTGCTTTCCAACTGGTTTTTGTCAAAAGAATATGTGTCTTTATTAGTTTTGTAAGCAAAGTAGTGTAATTTCGTAACAACATTGAGGTTGAAGATTGTTATAAAGCTCAATTACTTTGAGTATCATCCAGACGTTTTGTAAATTACGGTATCAAAGATTATATTCCCTCAATATCCTCCTTCAGTTACTATACTTATTTTAAAGTAGGAAGCAAAATGATTTCAGGCAAATAGCTCAAAGCAAATTCACGAAGCCGAACACTAGAAAAACATCAAATCAAGCTCATCAAATTTAAGGAAAGTATCATTCAATCTATCAATCATCTAAAAAACCCAACCCAACCTCCAAAGGAATGGCAGAAATCTCAAATCCCAAGCCCCATCCCCTCATCCTATGGCCTGCCCCCGAAAATTCAATTTTCGATCCAATTCAAATCCAATTCCAGATCAAGACATTACTAAAAGACAAAAAAGAGAGACCCCATAATATTTTCCGTCCATGCGTAAGATTATGTACAGCTAGCCATGATATTCCGCACCATTTAGTTGGCGAGGGAGCGAGCGAAGCGGCGCTTGCTGAGGTTGTACTCAACAGCACGCTTCTTTCCAGCAGCTGACTGGGTGAAAGCGACGGATCCACCAAATGGTCCAGCGAGCGCAGCGTTCTGGAGCTTAGCGACACAGACGTTCTCAGCGCCTCCGACGGAGCCAGAGCAGGTCATACCGGCTGGCATCTGGATAGCGACTGGGAAATCCATGGTCTGGGCGGCCGAGAGACCACCGATACCGATACCTGGGACGTTCTGGGTGACTTCGGCGGTCTTGAAGGCTGCTGGGTCGGTTCCACCGGAGGTGGCGTCGACCATGGCGGTGAGGGGACCGGCACCGTCCTGGTTGACTTGGTGGAAGGTCATGGTGACTGTTCCGTCGTCAGAGGCGGTTGGGAGACCATCTGAGGCTCCTGCACCGGCGGCGGCTTTGACGGCGGTTTCTTTGGTGCCCTTTGGTGTCTTGGTACCACCGTTGGCGGCACGCTCACCGAGAGATCGCTTTTGCATCATGGCGAAGTGGACTTCGCGGGCGGCGATGGCTTCGGTGCTGTTGGCGTCGCCTCCCATGAAGAGGGAGACCATCTTGGAGGCGTCGACTGGACCGGTTGCTGTGCGTCCGAGAGCAGATGCCTTGCTGGTTCCGATCTCTTTTTCACGGATGATGGAGGTATCTGCCTCAGATCCACAGCCTGGGGTTGGGCAATCACGAGGAGTTCCATCAGCAACTATGAAGTATTAGTGTTGCTCAAAGTGATGATGTTGTGTAGAAGACATACCGGAAAGACCTGGCATGGTTACTGAGTTGGCACCCTTGACAGAGTCAATGACACCGTGGGCGAAAACGTTGGTGGCAGCGAAGGCCAAGACGAGGATTGCTGATGAGTATTGCATTTTGATGGATTGAGTTGACTAAGTCTGGAAGGTTGAAATATTAAGAAGTAATTGAAAAGATTGGAAAGATTGGAAAATTGAATGCGACCGGCGCCGGGCTGGAAAGATAGTAGAGATGAAAGAAGAAGCTGAAGAGATGAGATGCTGATGATGAGAGAAAAGAATATCTCTGGGCGGGATGATATGAAGTCTTTATAGAAAGACGTTTCCAAGAGATTTCGTAAAGCTTGGTTCGATTAGCCCGCTCTTGGTACAAACTAAACCGCACGAAAGACCGGATGCCACGGCTTGGTACGCATTGCCATGGCTTCTGACATGATGAGAATGGCTAGTCTGTGCTTGAGAAACTTCCGTTCCGTACCCGTGTTGGTGATACTGAGCTCGGGAATCGAGATAGATATTTTCTAACCTCAACCCACTGTTTGCGGGAGGCTGTGTTGAGGGAAGCTGAGGAGTTGAGGGGTTTGTGCAACGGGACATTGCGATTGGGCAATGAGAGTTTGTTTGGCCCATACGCATTTGACTTGAGAAAAGAAATGGATACCAGTGAGCAGCAAGGTAATACTCCGAATTCTCGAAGAGAGTTGAAATGGCCAATAGAAAACTGTTATCCTTCAGGAGAGCCTTTACTTTCCTTGCGCTGATCTACATCTAGCCTCTAGGCCGCCGATCGTACGGGTTTAAGCTTCCATGGGTACAGACTCATAGTGAGGCTCTGTTTGTTTGGATCTTGTCCGTTGGATGACGATGAAGGATCAAGCTTTCAATAGCTCATGGCCAATTCATGCCAATGTTGGGGTAAGGATTTGAGTCGAAACAGAACTACACCAATCGTATCTGAATGTACAGAAAGACTACTTCGGAATGAGCAACCGAAAACAAAAAGTATTTGACGCAAGTGGCCACCAGTTACCAGTACTGGCCTAAAACCAAACATAAGGGGGTGGACTAAAACATCCACAGACCAGAAACCATAAACGAAAAGACCCTGTTGATGATCCAACGAATCATCATGGATTTCTGTACATCATCGCCCCTAGAATTCTGGGGAAAATGCAGGTACACTGGTACCGGGCCCATAGAGTCACTAGTTTGGGACTTTGACCTCGAATCGAAACAAGCCTAAACAAAACTCGCAACGAGAAACAGTACACAGCCACGGTAGACCTTTTGCGGAGCCTCGACAAAAGAGATCAAAGATGCGAGTCACTCAGCTGTGAGTAGATCGGAGTTTGGAGGGAACAAATGTATGGCTCTAGTCGTCTTTAAATAGTCGTACCTTTTGGTCTACGTCTCACACCATCGTCAACGACCAGAAGCTGTGCAGCACGTATCGTAACTACACATATAAGGCGTCATCAAGGAGGAGTCTGTCAAACATTTGTTTCCTGGATTGTTGAGCAGTCGGTGAGGGAACAACATCATGGTTTGCTCATGTTGTTGCCGTGCTGATAGTTTCATGTCGTTGAAATTTGCCGAGCGAGACAAAGTCCGAGGGCAGTCATGTGATCGGAGTTAATGATGTTCGCGTTCGATTCGATTTCATCACCAAACCTTCAATAATACTTTTCGCAACATTGTTTTCCCCCAACGATATTATTTGGACTGTACCTGCGTACAGCTTCCTCTGATTACCCTCATGTTTGACAAAACTTTTCACAATGTACTGGCTTTCCCTTAGACATTCCCATGCCGCACCGCGGAGAGGCTCGGACGCTGGGTCTAGAACCAATGTGAGAACAAGTACTCATCGTCGATTCTTGTGCGCTTACGTGGGGACTGACTAGAGGCAAGGTTTCTCTCTGATTTGGACACGTCAATGGATGCCTAGGACTGTGTTGTATCAGCATCTGATAAGAGATCCAAAAACTACCCTTGGCAGTGGAAGGAAGCTGCCGTGAGTGCCAACACCGGTCTTCCACATCAGCATTCAAAGCGGAAGTCGCATCTTTTGTCATTCATGTCCTCGCCGCTTACCACGAAACCTCGTATTATGTCCAGTCCGAGAATGCCAATTCGAACGTTGTTGATGTTGCAATCCATGCCCAAGGTATGCGGAAGGCAAAACGTTATATTTACCACCTCCCGGCAGTACAAAACAATATAGAGTTTGTATCAACCTGCAGATTTGCATCAAGCAGGAGCGCGGCTCTGCGAGGTTCTCAGACAGCTATTGGAGGGACTACGAAAGGCAAACAACGCGAGCATGTCAGCACTCTAAAGACATTGATGCAGTCATCTCTCGTCTTCGCACTTGACGCACGCCGTTAGATCTTTCGTCAGATCGACGTACCAGAGCTTTCAGACCTGGGGCAGAATTAATAGTGTGCAACCCACGACGAGATGGCCCTTTCTTATAGGACTTCCGAGAGGGTTGGTACAGAACGTTGTCGCAGGTCAACCAATCTCTGCTCTTGGGTCTGATTAGATTCATGGGATCAGCCATATTTGGTACCGGTATTCGATGCACAATTCGGCAGGTGGGAATTTCTTCAAGGGACCTCATCGACAAGAACGTAACCCTTTGCTGTTGGAAACAGCTTGTTTCTGTGCCGAAGTCGGACCAGAAGATCAGCTGTGCTTGTATCCATGGTAAGACCATGCCCATATTCTTCTGTTGCACAGAAACATCGTTTTGCAAGTCTTGGACCCCATATCTTATCCTTTGAAGCCAGCGGATCGTGGGGTAGATGCCGACGCACGACTGCCATCAACCCATACGCCGATCATCTTGGATGGAATTCTTCACAACCAATACATAGCATATTGATACTCCGAGGGAGAAGACAAGCTTGGTGGAAGGTTCTCTCACGCCTCATGACCCTCGTCTGCTTCAAGGTCAGCTTCGCCAGGTACTGCGTACTGCTCGATCGAGGTTTCTTAGGCGAATGTGAGGTCACCCTCTAGCCAGGGCGAAAAGTCGATTTCCTGCATGCAATCTAGACTCATGCTCCTCCGAGTGTTCGACAGGTGAAATAGACGCGACCTCGCGTGGCGTTGAATGGCATTTTCGCCCGTTGATGTTCGAGGTCGTGTTGTGCACACTTCGGCGGACAGCAACAGCTGAAAAAACGCACTGCATCGTCGCTTTATTTCCCCGATGGTGCCGACCCTCCAATCAAGGGCCCCTGAACGCCACTACTGCGGGCAACCGAGGGCACTTGGAGTTGTCAACAGGCTTTTTGCTTCTCACCTCAGCTGAACATCCATTATTGCAACCAGACCGACCAGACCGTCTCGCATGACAAAGGAGGCACCCAACGGACCATGGATCTAGCACCCAAGGAGCATCCTGAAATCTGCCATCACGAGCCGTTGAAGCTGGGATTCCTTGTTCGTGCCGCTGTCGCGGTGCAGCGCCGACTATGGAACTGGTTGCCAGCGACTCAGGATCAACACCAAACACCCCTCTAATGTAAAGTATCGGAGCCAACTGACGACTGGAGGCCGAGTTGGCCTGGACAGCGTCAAACTGTTGGGAATCACTCGATTATGGCGATCCTCCGCCGGATATCGAGCTAATCATCCTGTACGTACAACAACAACAGCCGAACGACGACTGGAATCATTGGAATGAAATACGGCGGCACTTCAACAGGAGTCGAGATACTGCGGGGCATCTCAGGCCCCGATTACCATCGGGCGAACTCGCCCGTCCGTACGAGATGCGGTGAAGGCTGGAATGTGAGACGTACTCGCACAGTACACGGCGTGAATAGCCTCGTCGGCAATAGTGGAGTTTTAGAAGAGGAAAATGGCCAATATTCTGGGCGTTGGCGTTCCGAGTACCTACTTATGGGCAGTTTCTGGGTGCTACAGCTTGTACCTGCAACGCCCCAGCATAGGTCTCGTTACTCCAGACTCCGTCACGACCCTTCTGAGCCTGCCTAGTGCAGCCCTACAGCGATGATGCGCGCGCGACACGGCGGCACGGCGCCAACCAACCTGCTGAACTTGCAGCGTCGGCTGACCAGTGGCGCTGGGTTGGGACATTTTCCACTTGCGACACGCCTGTGAGAGGTGGAAATGTTACCCTGTCAGGGTGCTGGCCTGCCCTAAACCCGCAGTGGGCATAGTTGTGATCCACCGAACAGGGTCTGACGAAGCTTACCCTGAACACGCAGCGCACCCTGTCGCTCTCCGTTCTTTTTCCTCGTCCAGGCAATAATGGAACCGTGAAGCACGTATGGAAGATGAGAATACCATGAACGAGGTACCACGAACCGTATTTGACTTCCTAGGTGGGCTGAACCCGACGAATGACCTTTTATCCTCACTCCAGTTCCGCCTTTTCCCGCCATCAAGCCAGGGATCAAAGCTGTCAAATATGCGCCGTGCGAGTCCCAGAGTACTGTAAGGCGGTCCTGATATGAGGAAGAAGTCCCCGCTTTGCGGTCGGCATGAGACATCTTTTCTCTGTTCTTAGTAACTATAACAGAGGTCGCCGAGAAGCCATTGGGAACTAGTAGAGCCACGGCTCCGAGTCATGTCATGTTACTGAACCGTTGCCCATTTAGCCCTCTTTGCTTACTTTCTCAATTTGTCGTTGCCTTCAATACTCCAAGAAGAGGTTAAGATGAGATGAGGAAGCTGTCTACATAAGGCCATCGTTTCGCACCTTTCGTCAACAACCTAGTCCCGAGACATTACACAATCGTGTTTCGACCGCTCAGCTTTCAACGCTTCCGATCTCATACCTTACCCATCCAGGCACGCCTGTGCTCATTTCCACCCCCAACCCCTCCAACTCCGCCACCATCCTACAGCGCTCGTCGTCTTAAGGTCAAAATGCCAGCTCTATCCCCCAACAACGTCGACGATCACACTTTCTTTCCTGGCACAGAAACCACGGTACTTTTCATCATTCTTTTCGTGTGTCTAGGAGGAATTTTGATTCGCAGGAGAATTTTATATGGCTCTGTTACGACATCGACCACGGAATATCAGCCTCTGAAGATGTCGACTAGTGAAGTTTCCGAAACGGAGAAGACTCAGCCTCACTACACAGATGATGAGGGTGAGCCGAAAAGACAAGATGAAAATTTACCACATCTGAAAGTATCTGGTCACTCACGATCATTATCGTCAACATTACCACCACCTACGCTTAAGCCATATCTCTCTCCTATCTCATCTGCTTCGAACGCGGAATACTTTTCCAGCTCACCCATGACCGACACGCCGAGCACTTTCTCACCAACAACAAATTTCTCGTCACCGACAGCGTCATACTCACAATCAACCTCCTACTCAGAATCTCAGGAGCAACCAACCACAGATGGTCCGACCCGTCGACGCTCATACACCAAGACTCTCTCGCTTCCATCACCCAATCAACCCATTGCTCACCCGTCAGCACAAACAATATTTCCCGCTTCAACGTCTCGAGCAGCGCCAGATGCCTATGTCCAGCCCGGAGGAGTGCCATTATATTATACGGCTTCGGACAACATGATTGAAGTCGAAGTCCAAGGAGAGATTATTGTTGCCGAGGGATGGAGACGACATACCAGAGTATTTGGCGGCGGAGTGTGCAAGGCCTGCGAGGAGAGCAAGGAAAAAGAGATTGAAAGACGAGGAACAGCCTGATGAATTCTTGATTGGCCACACACTGACCGTATCACTGAACATATCACCCCACGTCAAGCGCCGGTAGGGATAGGATGTTGTAGGAAATTGAAAGACCGCAGACCATCCGAGCATTGTTTTCCCTTCGGCCCGTCTCACGGAACCTCCCCGTTATATCCTACGTCTCGAGACACACCAATGTTCCAAAAGAAACGTTGCACGAAACCTCAAGTCGCAATCTCCAACATCACGTGAGTCACCCCCCTTTGGGACACCCGTGTGGCTTGACGGGCGGGCCGAATGGGAGCTCCCCTTATGCATGCATTGCCGGATGACGAACCATCACCGTGGGACGTTCGCGATGGTACATTGTTGTTCGTGGAGATACGAAAGGCGGGGGTGGGGTGATTCCGTGGGATTTCACATATCGTGTTTTTACGTCAAGGTTTGCAGGAGGATTGGAAGCTTAATTTTTCTTTTGGCTGGCGGATGAAGGATCCGAAACGAGAGAGATCGTGGCGAGGAGTACTATGTTCGGCATCAAGAAGGAGGCCTCGGTACTCGGTCTCCTTCGTTATGGCTTCCTAATGTTTGTTAAACTTATTCGCCCTTAGTCGCCTCACTCGCTTGCCGTCTCGACAACAACCGCCTCTCAACCGACTTCTCGGTCATCTCCATACCGTCTATACGTTACTGTCCTCTCGTTCCGAGACTTCAGCTGGGATGCTTCTTCCCGGGGCCTGTCATCAACTTACAGTGTCCACTTAATTCGCGTTTTTCCTTTTCTACTACATTTCTTTTGGGGCTCATATGGTGGATAGTCATTTTTTTTCATATTCAAAACGTTCGCAAACAGCTTTCTTTTCTTTCCTTTGCAAAAATAGGGCGGAAAAGGGGCTTCTTGGGATTGGCATGGGTTGATGGTTGGGTTTTATATGGGCTTGAGCAATCAGCAATACGGTTTTTCTTTGGGCTTATTGGCATGGTAACGGGAATTGAGATGAGAGATGAGATGAGATAGATGATTGAAGATTTAAAATCATATGAAGAACATTTCAACAATATATATATGACTATTGGATACATTCAACTCGAATCACAATGAGAGTCAGCTTTTCTGGCAAGCTAACGGTCCCTTGCCCCTGTGCAATGCTCTCCTGGAACATATCAGGAATGTGCATAATCCTCGAATATCACTAAATCAACCACATAGCTCTTGCTGCGAATCAGCTATTGTGGCAAGCGACTAATTCACTTTCCTTTCGCACAAACACACCGTCTACCAAGATCATCACATTACCGTAAGCATCTGCAATTTCCCGGAAAACCACTCGTATCTTGAAACCACCACATCAATCTCAGACTTAACGGTTGCACACAGAAGTCGCACGCAAACCTCATTTTGTAGGTAGGTCCAACCCTCACCCTACGACTCAAGCGAGGGGTTTGGATTGTTGAGAGTTTCTTCACACAACCTTACGATAAATAGTCTCATCGTTCGACGTGTGATGGGTTATAGGTTGAAGGAAGTATTTATCTGGTATACTGGATGGGCTGTTATGAAGACATTTAAAGTGCGGAGTCGATCGCCAGTTCTTCTCGCACAGTGGAAGATTTTGCTAGTGAGGAAGGGGGAATAAATCTGTGCAACTTCCAAATAGCTTTTCGAGAGTAGGAGAGGTGGCGAGAGAGAAATCGGTTGAACTAAGCATTGATACTGAAATCTCCGATGTGAATAGTTCAATCAAAGGTTCTCTAAACCCCATTTCTGTGAAGCCAACTCACATGAAACTCACTTTACATGCTTTATCAAATTAAATAGCACAGCGAAGATGTTCCAAAGCCCTGACGATGACATCTCTAATCGTGACAGTCTAAGTTCATCCAAAAGCACGCTTATAAACTGATCACATCATACTAGCTTTCATAGAGAGTTATAAAATGGTATAGTATACTTCGTGACCGACGTCGACATCTCCAAATACAATTCATGTGAACCATGTCCATTTCATCACCCTCGCTAAATACATTTCATTCCTCTCCCAGGAGTCAGCATCTCAATTCCCTAAGATTCAAGTTCCAGTTCCAACCTTCACGTCATGTTATAATGTACAACTCTCACCCCGGGGCCTCTCACAACCCAACAACCCTCCCCGACAAACCCTTCACACATACACTAGAAAAAAAGCAAAAGATATAAAAGGTATACTGATATCATCTCAAAACGCTCAGCGTCTCCAAAGAAAAAAACCTATAAACAGATAATACCCCACTAATCCACCACCGCACTACTACTAACAGCATGTCCCTCATGCACATGTCCCACCTGCAAACTCCGATTCCTCTCCGCCGCCTGCTGCGCTTCCACAAACTTCTCCCACGCCTCGGGATCCTGGGCTTTAAGTTCCTGTTTCAGGAGCTTCGCTTCGTTGCTCATGTCATTCAGGAGCGCCTCATGCCCATGAGTATGAAAGCGGTCGCGGATCTCCTCGCCACCGAGGCCATCGACGAACGCTCGCAGGATCTGTATGTGATGCGGCTCCGTCTCTTTGCCGGTCGCGTTTTCGGCGTCAGGCTTGATGATTTCCCGACGGAATTGCTGGCCAAATCTGTGCATTCGGCCTTCTTCCTCGTTTAGGGCCCGGGAGGCAAGTGACACGTCTGAGTTGTGCCTTGAGAGAGCTGGTCGAAGCGTTTCACCTTCATCGTCTGACATTGGGACCTCGAGGTGTGCTGGCTCGGTATCTGAACCATGTCCATCGTGATTATTAGGGAAATCGACACTTCCTGTGAGGCTGCCTAGTGGGCTTTCCTGGGTGTCCTCTTTGCTTTCTGAAGTTGGTTGTATGGGTATGGGTGGTCCTACGCGTGTCTCTGGATACTCATCCTCGAATCGGTTGATCATTCCCTCCAGGGTCTGGTCAAGGAACAGTAGGCGTTCTACACATGTCAGCATTTTGGGTTCATAAGCCTCGGCCAGGCGATACTTACGATAGTTGACTCTATCTTTCGCCCGCGATTCCTTAACCAGAGCAGGTTGTAACCGTGCTCGTATTTTACGAGCACTTCCAAGAAGATTCTTAGACATATCCTTGGCCTTGCCACCATGAACAGGGGGCCTCGGCGATGCCGTTCCACTGCGAGACTGAGAACGATGTTCTGAACCTGGTCCTCTAGAATCATTTCCTCTGTTCTGCAAGCAAATTCCCAATGCTTTCACCACACCGCTTCCACCGATCACATAGTCATCGTCTGGAGCTGGATCATCTTCGTCATGACTAACGCTACCGCCTTCGTCATGCCCGACAAGATGCAGCAATACATCAGGAACGATAACCTCTTTGGTAGAATCGGACGCTATTGGTGCAGCGGCTTGACTGATTTCAGCGACTGGGCCACGCTCCATATTGCGCAAGCAGTACGCAACCACTTGCTTGGCTAATGCTTTCACTATTTCGCTCGATTCATTGGATGGTACCTCAATATCAATACACATTAGTGTATTGGAAACCCGTACTGCGGCCATGAGCGATGCATATAAGGCACATGCCTCCTCCTGACTGGCTTCCTCCCTCGCGTCAGCTAATGCAGCAATCTTGGGATTCTCCATTATTGTCAGGTGAGCAAGACTAGGACTTTCGGGTAAAATCTCTGCCAATGCAATTGCTTGGTCAGGGTCCATTGACACATCTGTAAGATGTATGCGCCGGAGGATGGGCATTTTCGGTATGTACCTAACCATAATCAGTAAACTTTTCCACCCAAGTAGCATCAAGAAAGCAGGGAATTGAATGCTGCACTATCGCTAGTAGTATATTGACCAATTATATGGCCAAGACCATGTATTCCACAGTTTACACTTGCAGGGCTGAAAATAGATGGTTGGTGATCTGACATGACGCTTGTTTTGAGCCTCATCTCAGCCGCAGAATATCAATTTAGTCGCAAACAACCGAGGATGTCCATCCGAAATGCGGACAGACACACAGAAGAAATATGCCCATACCTCCTAAGAAGAGAAATTGCACTTGGCTGCGTCTCGAATAGTGCATGGTTCTGGGATAAATCGATGAAGCGAAAGTTCTTCAGCTTGGTCAGAGCTGGGAAAAGCGTCCACAATGAGTCAGGTGTGAGGTTGCAATCAGCCAGGCTGAGGGCGTAGAGGCCATTCCCGGAATCCAAGACGTCGGCAATGGCACCCAGTTCATTCTTCAAGTCATTACCTCCCAAGTCAAGACCTTCACATGTGCCGTTTTGCAGGTAGCGTGCGATATGCTGCATACCTTCATGTGTGATGTGGTTCCCCGCAACACCAAGTCGACGTAAGCCTGACTTAATAGCGCCATCTATGAGACTTCCAAGCTGATCAGTCGTCAAACCACACTCCGCGACGTTCAATAATTCAAACTCTTTTCCAGCTAGACGCTCGCCCAAAGCTTTTGAAAGAAGACAGGATACTTCTGGATTGGACGTCGTACTCGACGTCCTCTGTAGGTGAGACCCGGAAGTCGATGTCGTCGTTTGCGACGACTGTGGAAATGGTACATTCGAAAGATCTAACGATTTAAGTGACCGACACATGTTTATGAATAAACACATATGCCGCCATCCATCTTTCCCAATCTTGACGTTGTTCTTGAAGACGAGGCGTTCAACAACACCACCCTGGTGCACTTCACCGTCCTTGAACTTTCTGGATCGTCTTCTGCTATAGTTGGGGCACTTGGCGGCTAGTAAGCCTGCGAGGATGACACGAAGACCTTCGTCAGTGAGCCCGCAATTCTCCATGATAAGTTCCTTGACCGGAACAACAGCCAAATAATCACCAAGCGTCACAAGGTCAGGCAGTTGAAGCCAGTATCCCGTAAGATCTAACGAGTTGACAATGCCGGGTACTGCCATATTAGTTGCCGCTGCTGTCAGCTGCTCCGTGATCTTCTTCAAGATAGGTGTTTCTCGAAGCTGGCAACATCGTCGGTATATCCTTACAGGGTCGGTTGTAGGCGATATCTGCGTCACTGGTGTTCCAGTACCGGTTCCAGTTCCAGTCAACGAACTTCCCAAAGAATCATCACTAGCATTCCTGACAAGTTCCACTGGAATAGAGCCATTGGCTTCAGCCAGCTTTCTCTTCTTTTCTTTTCGAGCCTTTCTCTCCTCTTCACTACGTTTCTTCTTTTCCTTCTTCTTGCTATCCTTTTCATCGTGGTGCAAATCTTCCTTTGCCTCTTTAGTGAATTCTAAGGCGCCCTTTTCTGTTTCTTTCCCTACTTTCTCTCCAGTAGCACTAATAACTCCATCCTCTTCTTTTTCAATCCTAGTTGCTTCGGGGTGCTTCAGGGCTTCCGCCTCTCCTTTCTCACCCTTCTCTACCCTCTTCTTACCCTCCACCTTTTTCTCATCTTCCATCTCATCATGGTACTTGGGCCCACTCGCAATCTCTACATCAACGCAAAACGCAACTCTTCGAAGTTTCGACTGGTCTAAGTCTGATATCGGACATCGTTCTCTGTTGCGATCCACATTCAGTATCTTCCTTTCACATAGTCCATGCTGCATTGCCCTCGGTTGATGAGATAATTGGCCACTCGAGGAGGATAATCTGCGCAATGCGCTCTGTAGAAAGCTGGGTTGTGTGGATTTGGGTGGAGCGGGCGTGTAGGGAGCATCGCCAACCGCCTTCACCGCGTGGGGTAGAACTGCGTTCTTAGGCGAAAGGGGCCCAGGAGGTATGGTTGATTCCGTGGATGAGGAGATTGTGGGTAGCGGTGATGGTGGCGTGGTCGTTTGCGTATTGTTCGTTGCTGGAGAAGAGGAGAATTTCGAGGAAATGCTGGAAAGCCATGAGTTTCGCCGTGAGCCAGGAGATGGCGGCTGCTTTCCAACGCTTCCATTCAGTGTTGCCGTTTTCTCGGATGATGCACTTCGTGCAAAACTTGGCCTTGGAGTAGGTATTGGCTTAGGCTTAGACGGCGCTTCAACCGGACTCCCACTGCCATTGCCATTCGCATTTCCATTTCCACTTGTATTTCCATTTTGTGCCAACTTCGGTTCCTTATCCGGCTTTGTGACAACAGTCGGAGACGGTGGCTTGGAATTGTGATCTCCTAATAAAAATGACATTAGCAAAGACTTTCAAAGAGGAATATCAGACGGTTCCGTGTTACGAAACATCTGGCAAGCATAGCCCGAACCATATCGGGGAGCCGAACGACGTCTGAGTGAGAAATAACGTACCTTTGCTGGAGCTATGCGTAGTCATCCAAGAGATATCGACTCCTTGAACGCTCTCCATTGTGAAATACTGGCAAAATATTTCACTCCTCTGGAGAATCGAAGGCTTCGTAGGGAGACCGTTATCGTGTACAGCGATGGCGACAACGTCGGCTCACCTCATCAGCATCGGCCATTCCACGACAGTTCACTGCTCAATTGCCATGTTGCGCCACTGCGAGGATGTGTTTGTAAGTTGCGCTTTTTAGATGCCTTGTGACATGAGTACCCTCGTGGCCGTCGGAATGGTGATTGTATTAGTAACGGACGGAAAAGGGAAATGGACGGGAGGAGCAGCAGTCGGTATCGTGACTTTTCTGCGACTCTGGGGGTTGACGCTCAGCAGTGACCTCAGAGGCTCCGAGTGCTCGAGCCGTGCTGTCGAAGTGGAGTGAAGCCCGGAAGTGGAGCTTTTTGGGGTCTTTCGCAGGGAGACCGGATGGCGGACAGGCTGGGACAGCTTTGCGGTACTGCACTATTCGGGCGTGGTAGAACCGAGTGATTCTGGGGTTTCTCGAGAACAAGCCAGGAGTCCAGGACTGAACCGAGGGTGTACCAACACTGTTTTTGTTGGATTCAAACAGGTCTGTTACACATCTCTGTTCCAATGCAAAAAGCTGCAACACAACACAGAAAGTGTTAACCACAAGCGCTCTGTAATTGGACTGTCGGAAATGATTTTGTGAGTTGGACGTCCGGTACCCGGAGCTTAGGGCTCCCACTGCCCCTCATTGACAGTAGTAATCAAGCAGCGGCCGCCGTCTGCGAATAATAATTTGTCAATTAGTCTAGCGAGACCCTGATTAACTATACTTACTCGTGCTGTAGCAATCATGATGCCCTGTCAGCGAGGATCGCAATTGAAGTTTTAGGCCAGATTTATTCGGATAAGTCACTCAGTAGGAAAGTATTCTATACAAGAAAAGGAATTGCTCAACAGCCCTCAAGAAGTGGGTTGTAATGTCATTGTATTTTTTTATTTTGCCCACAAACGCCGCGTGACGGTCATGCCCTCTAAAAGGCGGCTATTCGCAACATAAGCAAAATCCCAATACCAAAGGGTATCTAAGCGGCAGCCTCCTTGATCTCTGCAATTCTGGTCTTGACTCTCTCCATCTTCTCGTCCTTGGTCAACTTGCGGCCCTTGAACTTGAGAGACTCCTTCTTGTACTCGTCCTTTGACTTGGACTCAGCAGCACCGTCGACCTTCTTGAAAGGATCTTCACGGATCTGCTTGTGAGCATCCTGGTACAGTTCCTCCAAACCATCGGCCTCTATCTCATCATCGATGTAGCCCTGGAACTGGGACTTGTATCGTTCCTCATCATCATCGGCGAGGGTCTCCATGTACTCGGCAACGTGGCCAGCGTAGATGTATTTGCGGAGGGTCTCAGCGTCGAGCTCCTTGGTCTCAATATCGTAACCTGGGAAACGGTTCTCAGAGTGAGGAATGAGAATACCTCCATCTGAAGCACCCTTCATGGCACCGAAGATACGGGCACCAGTGGATGTGCGGTGAAGACCAACATCGAGGAAAGCCTTGAATGGACGGCGAGACTCGTCACCCTCGGTAGCCTCAGTAAGTGTGTACTCTCCGTCAGCCTCCTCAACACCAGTGAAATCCTCATCCATGCCGAGCTTCTTGAGGACACGACGAGCGATCAGGAGACCAGTGCAGTATGCGGCGGCCCAGTTGGTAAGACCGTGCTCAATACCGTATGCCTTCAACTCGTGAGAGTATGCGGCGCAGAAGACTTTGTCGCCAGTGATTTCTGAGGTGACAATTTGCATGACAATGTCACGGTTGGTGAATCGAACAACGAGACGGTATTTTGGCGCATTGTACTTGTTCTTGGCCTGGGTGATGAGACGCTTTCGTGCGTAGTAATCGGTCTTTCCGGAACGACGGCGCTTGTACTTGGTTTGATAGCGACTGAAGACAGTTAGAAAATGTTAGGAATTGGATTTTGTGAGTAAAAGACTTACCTATAGTACGCAGAGTTCTTGACCAGCTTGGTGAAAGGCTGTTTTCATTCTCGAGTCAGCAATTGGCATTTCAGATACAAGATCCGAACATTTTGCAGGGACTTAAAGCATTTCTGCTCATGACGAGAAATCTTTCATCTTTTGCTGAGATCAAGGGACCTGTCGCCATACGACAGGTTATCGGGTGAGTTCAACTTACCATCTTGACAGATTTACCGCACTGTTGCTGGATTGTCGAGTGGTGGTTGTCGAGGATTGATCGAAACAAAAACTTATCTCGAATTCAAAATTGATGATCTGTGTGCGGGACCGCGACTAGCGGCATTCGTTAGCGCATGGCCCCTGCTACCTGATGCCTCAGGTACCATAATTCTGTACATCGGCCTTTCGGTTTCGGTCTCGGAATCGCAGTAATCGGGCCGGCTTATGTCTGGTAGCGACTCCAGACCGAGCTATGTACGGAGCTTCGTTCCTAACCTGTCTCGAGCTCTTGATTTCTATAGACACTTCAATCCGATATACAGAATTCTAGGCTTCTTTCCTAGTCATCGGGTTCATCATGACGACGCATCAACCTCGTCCGCCATATTCCCAAGAGGAACTCAAGACTCTCTACCCCAGTGGTCTCGAGTTACAACTCGTCCAAGTTTTATTGCGTCACGGAGAACGAAGCCCAGTATCTGCTCGTTTTCAAAATGCTGGACTCGCTCCATTTGTACGTCTTACCTTTCTCCTCACCTTTCTCGTGTTTTCTTCAAAGATTCTGCTCTCGGATCAGTTATGACCTGTCGAATTATAACTTTCACTAAAGATATGCTGTACAACCCGAACTCAAGACTAACAGCTTTATGTGTAGTGGCCGTATTGTGGTGTCGCAAAGCAGATGCTGAGCGCAACTCAGGATTCTGCGGAATGGTCCCCCCTTACCTGGCGTCGACGAATCGAAACATTTGGATCCGATGATGGTCCTACGATTGCGACTGGGCCTCGGGGAGAAGCAGATGCTATTTGCAATCTAGGAGAGTTAACGGACAAGGGACGAGAAACTACATATGCACTTGGGAGAAGATTGAGGCATCTTTATGTGGATCAATTGGGGTTTATGCCGGAAAAAATACAAGATGCGGACATGATCTATCTTCGAGCGACACCTATGCCCCGAGCTCTTGAGTCATTGCAACAGACCTTTTGGGGACTATACCCGGCTCAACATCGATCAGCAAACCTTCCTCCTGTTACTATAATCACAAGAGCACCAGCAGACGAGACCCTCTTTCCCAATGACTCCAACTGCCGAAGGTTTGCTCAATTGAGCCGTGCCTTTGCCCAGCGGACGTCTGATCGTTGGAATCACACGAGTGAAATGGAATATCTGAACAAATTGATCAGCAAATGGATGCCGGAAACGAGCAAAAGAGTCGCTGTGGACTCTCATCCAAGACTATCGGGTATCATGGATACAATCAACTCTACTTTAGCACATGGCCCTGAAGTATGTTCTCCATTCGTATCCTTCGGCTAGGGTACACTCGTGGCAGGTGCTGCAAGCCAGTTACGCTATCCTAACCAAGACGTTGCTAACTATAATATTAAAGACCAGACTACCCAAGGAGTTCTACGACGAAAAGGGTAGAGCTATAATCGATAAAATTGGCGTTGAGGAATGGTTCAGTGGATATCAAGAGTAAGTATTGTTTGATTCTTCCAAGTCACGTTTTCGTCTCAAGATATTAATCTTGGTGGTAATTCGGTATCTTCATGTGTAGTAGAGGGAAACTCACATGAAGCAAGCCTTTAGTCAGTACATGCTAACCTTGATCATAGATCGGAAGAGTACCGAGCGTTAGGCATTGGTGGTTTGATGGGAGATGTTGTCTCTCGAATGGCAGGTAATATCGAAGGGGGAGGTAATGATGGCGCACTTGCTATTGGTGGGAAAGACGGTTCTCTCGGAACAGGTAGAGGCGGCGAGAAGTCTATTAAACTTGCGCTCTCTGGCTGTCATGACACGACATTGGCAGCCGTACTGGCGAGTCTAGGTGCTTTCGAAAACGAAAAGTGGCCGCCTTACACGTCACACATTGCCATCGAGATGTTTAAAAAACAAACCTCGCAAGCTCAAACAACAGACAAAGTTCTTGCTACAACTACTCAGAAAGGCTGGTGGGCCAGCATTTTTGGAGGGTCTGCCGCCGTTAAGGCCGACGCGGGAATTGCTCGACGGAAGATACACGAGCTCAATGAGACCGAACGCGCAAGACTTGAAGACTACTATGTTAGAGTCAGATACAACGACAAAGTCATGAAGCTTCCAGGATGTAAGCCAACTGGCAAGCATCTTGAAGGCGATGATTCTTTCTGTACATTGTAAGCTATATTCTCTGTCAAAATCTACCACGAGATTAATGTAGAAATAGGACTGAATTCAAGACCATCGTTGACAAGTTCACTCCCGAGCACTGGAAGCTAGGATGTGTCAGCAATCTTGATAAATCTCCCTTCCCTGAGAAGGATGAGCCTGCTGGTTACTAGGTGTGCTATGAAGCTCGAATATAGAGAGGTTGTCAGCGTTTGCATGGAGCGTTGGCGTTATAAGAATGTAGATATGGGTTGAACTTCTCACAATTTGCATGAAAGGTACAGCCAGAATCTGCATGGGGGAATTCTGAAGCATTAGGATTTGATCTTATTATATATTCCAGCATTGATTTACAGTTATTGCATGTTATATGGACGATCTCTCGGCATACGAGCTACACATTTCGATTACAAAGCTGCCTTTTTTTATCAATAACCTTAATTGGAGGCAACCTCGAAAGCTTTGTCTGAATCATTATCATCAAGTACAATTCCGCTAGACACTAAGTCTGCGACTAAATATCATCAACATTATTTCGGCGATAAGATAAGATAAGCACATTGCGGGACAATCAGCTACATCATCAATACCTTCATACAACATACAGAAATTACACAACCCTCAAACATCTGTTTGCCATCACCATATCCAAACCATACCATTAACACACTTTCTAATATAACCCTCACTCTCGCCAAGTCTCACAATCATACCGCCACCCTCCGAGTCCCTCCCTCGATGGATTCCTCCCCCAATGAAGCCTGCGCAACATGCGCCCGCTACCTCATCTCCATCCCCCCGACCTACGACGAGAAAACCGAGAAACCAATACACAACAACTCGAACCGGCGATTAGACTGTTGTGGTCGGGTGATTTGTGGTGATTGTATTGCTGTACGTTCTTTTCTTTGGTGGTGGCAAACACAATACCCTCAACCTATCCATAGTATAAGGAAATCCATGCTAATGTATGTATAATAAATAGGAAAACTCACGTTTCGCAGCATACTGCCCATTCTGTCAAATCTCCCTCCATCCCACGTCACTCCCGCAAGGTCTTCGCGATCCCCCAGCCTATACCCCCGAATCCGCCTCAAAACCAAACAAGCTGTCCACACCACTACACTCCGACGACGAACTCCCCTCCTATACCCCCAACGCCACTCCCGTACCGAGCGAAAAACAAGAACAGCCCACAGAAGACACCCTCCACTTCCTCAACCACGCCCACGAGACACTCCCGGGTCTCGCCCTTGCGTATTCCGTTCCCCTCTCCGTGCTGCGAAAGGCGAATAACCTGCATTCAGACCACCTACTACAGGCGCGTCGCTCAATAGTGATACCTGGGGAGTACTATAAAGGAGGGAGTTTGTCGCCCAGGCCCGTGGAAGGAGAGGAGGAGGAGCGGCGGAAGGGCGTGATTAGGCGGTGGATGGTTGGGTGTAAGGTATCTGAGTAAGTGAAATCCAAAGGACATTGGAAAGGGAAAGAGAAAAAGGAAATTGAAATGAAGGGGATGAGGCTAATAAAACGGATGTAGTTACGATGTCGCGTTGCTATATATGAAACAGTCGGATTACAATCTGGAAGAGGCGATGACGGCTTATAAAGAGGATGAGCAGTGGGAAAAGGAACATCCCATCGAAGCGAATGTGAGGGGTAAAGGGAAGATGAAACATGATCTGGGGAAAAGGAGATTCACAGGACAGAGATCATAAAAATGTTTGATGTAAGATTCCGATTTGATAGATCTTCTATTTTTTGGGACGTGACCTCGTAGATAGTGTAAGAGCACACCCTGTATAATACATATAAAACGGGCTTTCAGTACGCTGAGCGCGTTCGAATGTCCTGTGGAATTGTTAGCAAAAGAATTTGTCATATTAAGAGGACTTTAAACTTACCGAAATCTTCCTTTCAATTTCTCGCACCGATCGGTCGAGCTCTCCAGCAATCATTTGTTTCTTGTCCGTGGGCAAGAGGGTATATCTTTCACACAAATCCCCATCAATCATCCCTTTCACTGGGACATAATAACTCCGGTAAATCAAATGGTCTCTGCCCGCAAGAGGAGCATCCTCATTCCGCATATGCTGTTCCAGGGTTTGGAAAAAGTCCACGTCCTCACGCCCAACGAATGGGATTAGGATACCTAGTGTTCCCTGAAGGCCGGCCCACAGTAGACAATCTGGTCCACCAACCACCAAATTAGTCTTTTGAATACTCATCGGAATGTCTTGCGAATAAAAGTGCGCCATAAGTGTTAATCTGTGCGGCGCTCCTTGGAGGTATTGGCGTTCATGAAGTAAGTGTGCACCAGAACCTTCCTCGTCGGCTTCTTCACTCGCTTTTGCGGGACACCGGAGTAGCCAAAGATTCCCAAACTTGTCACCACCAGCAACTGTCTCGTAATCAACCATTGTAGAACACGAAGTCCAACGTGCGATTGTATCGTCGACGAAGGGTATAAGCCTGTTCTCCTGGAATTTATAGACAACCATCACAACACTTTCTTGGACATCGCTAACGATGATTCGGCTTCCTTGGGTTCGTAAACCCACAATAAGATTGGGCACCACCTCTGCTTGCGACTTCCGGAGTAATTGTTTCATTCCGAGGTCGTAAATCCGAAGATCCTTGCCGACACCAGCCAGAAGTCTTCCTTGAAAGCCAAGGAGTGCCATGGGTGGTTCTTCAACCTTTGTTTCATGGATATGCTCGAGTTCTTTACCATCTTCGTGAAATCTATAAACATGAATGAAGCCTGCAGTCGACGAACGCGGTGTCGCAATCATATCTTTACCTGTTCCAACAACAAGAAATACTTCGTCTTCTTGGCTGGCGAAGGATACAGTCGCGACACTCACAGCGGCCTCATTTCCCTCAAAATGTATTGTGTGTAGTACTTTCTTCTCCGTGACGGGGTCAACAACAGAAATGCAAGATGCCCAGTGACCCCTTCCCCGGGGATAGCCAAACTCTTCGGGTGGCAACACAGCAGCATCGCCGTTGACCACTGAGGGATCTTCGAGCAGTTTCTGCTTAGTGGCTGGTGATAGAACATTATTATCGGACTCAATGGTATAGAATAAAGGTTGTTCAGGATGCCGCACGAATCGTCGAGGTGTGTATGTTAAAGGTATCGACTCCTGGAGAAGATTGTCGGTGAGCTTCTCAATAGAGAAGATTCTGGAGCCAATTGATTAGCGATGATCTTGTTTGATGGGAGAGTTTAGCTAGAATTGGTTGGAGATGTCTCAGAAGGAACAATTGGAATAATAATAAATCCTCATAGCCACATTTGGGCATAAGCAAGTTTAACGAATAAGAAAATCATCATAGTATCTCGAAAGGAAGTTAGATTAAAGTTCGCGTACCTGAGATTTTGGCCTTGGATGCCAACCATGCCCTCTGTACATTGTTCACTACTAAAATTCCATCCCCACTCGAGAGCTGGGTAGTTGAGAGGTGTCAACATAAACGCCTTGGTGACAGGATCCGTATATCCAAGCCACGGCCTGGAACTTAGAGCAAGCACTGCTGTCTGGCCCTGTACAGAAACCTTGAAAAGCTTCGCTGGTTTGGGGCCAAGAAAACGAAGTCTAGTATCAGTAAGCTCTCCAGTAACCTCGTCCAAAACCGTTCGAAGATATACACCGGAGTAGAGACCAATATGAAGGTAGAGAGTGGAACCCCCAGAAGAAGAGTCTGCCATAGCCATAATTGACAGCGCAGAAGGTGCTGATGTTAATGCTTGTACCGATTTGTTTTCCAGCGTTGAATCGGGATCGAGACTAAGAATACGGACAGTAGAGTCGTCACATCCTACTGCAAGATATGGACTTCGGACCCTACCTTCAGGTACGTCACCGAGACTCAGACATGTGACCGTGCCACTCATCTCTTTCTTCTCGTCATACTCTGCCAATGATCCATCAGAGTCCATTTCGAAGTAGACGATTTCACCAGAGCTGAGGGCTACGGCCACCTGTCGTTCGTTGGTGGTTGCAGCTACGATAGACCTGTGCTGGGGTGCAGCCCACTCGTTGACGCGGCGATCTGCACGAATGTGTCGAATTCCCTTCGGATGGACCTGAATCAATCCGTCTTCGCCAAGTTGTTGGACGGCTAGGGTTGACGCAGTAGATAAAAAGCCAGTATCTGTAACTTCTTCTACAGTCTCGCCAATGCTCAGAACCAGAGTACCATTAGAGAACGACAGGATAATGTAGGCATCATAAGTGTCGCCTTGAGTTAGCTTGGTAGTCCATACTGCAGAAGGTACTCCAGGCAGTTCTGACTCTACGATTTCGCTAACCTCCAGACCATGCTTCAGAGATCGGAATGTGCTTCGGGCTCCGGTTCCGCATATCGAGTAGATTTGCGGGGCATCTGCATTGGTGAGATTTGCGACTTTGCAGTCCATGAGCGGATTCATCGAGTCTATACTCTCGACTAAACTCAAATTTTCAGCCTGTCGAGGGTGGAAATAAACAGGCGTGTATGGTTCGGTAGGGTCGGTTGGAAAATCGTCGCTTACGAACTCGGTCTCTTCATCGTCATCACCAAGCTTCTCAAATTGGTAGAATTGATGGTCGCCGAATTCGCTAGCTACGAAGAGAAATCCGCTCTTTAAAATGCATAAGCTGGATGCGACAGGAACGGTGTCAAAGTACTTGATCTTCAGCCTTTTGACTTCGCCTGTTGGCTGGCCCTGGTCATCTTCAACCATCTCTATTGTAATCTTAAACAAGTCTCCATCCTCGGTTTGCAGGAGGAAGAAGAAAGCACCAGCTGCACCTTTCAATTTGTGCATAACACCGGCGACAATTGATCGCTTTCTTTGGGGATCCTCTGTGGCACCTCTTCGCCTAGGAATGGCAACCCGGAAGGCTTCTTGATTTGAATGGCGATAGGTTATGTTGTCGTCTCCGCAGACCAGAACACCACTAGGGCCATCGGTTCCTCCTGGAACCTGGAAAAGCACTGATGCGGTTCGATCAACTGCATCCGCCCATTTGCGCACCACATGATTTAGACCCAAATCGAGCTCGTAATACACCAGAGTCTTCTCGATTTCCTCATACGCTTGTCCAGTAGGGTCTTGATCAGAATCCCCATAATCAACTTCCAGCATTGCGAAAACCGGATTGGCATAACCCACATCGAGGGCAACCAAGGCGAAAACCAACGTCTGGGCTTTGTGAGCTTCCAACGGTGATGAGATGGTAAGCTCAGCTTGTGAATTGCGATTCAGCACATACACAAGTTTATTTTTTTCCACCGAGGCGGTCAGGCAAGCGCGTCCTTTCGGATCAACAGCAAGATATTGACCTGGGATGACTCTTCGCACACCTGATTTTCCAAATGTCTCTAAATGTAATCGATTGAAGCGGTTTTGTGCAGGAACAAACTCCACTATCGTGATGCGGCCCGAGTCGGATGTTATGATGATATAATCTAAAATCTCTTTAGCTTAAATTCCCACACGCCAGCTAGCAGGCATTTCGTACAGTCGATCGCGACAGTTCATGGTGATGATCCGCTTGCTGCCCGCCATGCTTGTATCACTAAGTGGAGTTCAAAAGGACTTGATTGAGGAAAATACCTTTGCTGCTACCAGCCAGCCTGAAGGCGGCTATAGCTCTGATGATACCAAAGACATCATGGGAAAGAGCCGTGACAATTTTTCCCTGCGAAGGATCCGGACGATGTAATGTGAGGCGAGATCCGGAAGCAGTGACAATCTGTTGCTCTTTCGTCCCTGCGAATTGTCCCAGGATAGCTTGAGTGACGGCCGTTGGAGGTTGGACTGTCAAGCTATACATAAACATAGACGAGGTCGTAGCCATGATGGCGGACGCTCCTAGAGCTGAGATGGTCCCCTAAGAATCCAAAGCGTACCCGATTCGGACCTTTTGCGATACCGATCCCTTGATGTTGGTCGTAGCTGGCAGCGCAGCTGATTGTTACTGCTCACATGGAGGTTAAAGGTGAGGTTGAAATATGGGAAGCTCTTTAGCGCGCCTTGCTCCGAGCTTGAAAATTTTGAGGATTGCGCTTAGTGGCGTCTACCGCGTGTAACATGGCACCTGAGCCCGCCTCCTCAAGATCTCCCACTCAATTGATTGTGCTCCACTCATAATACTTTTATACACAATATAACAATGAGTAACATAGTACGGGCTAAAGCTAATCTTCGAAGGTATAAGCAGATGGGCTCATGTTATCGATAGTCACGTGTATAGATTTTGCATCTCGCCATCTACGGATTTTTTCCACCATCATGCTTTTAGTTCTACCGGAGCTGAGGGTCCAGAACATCAAGACGACCATGACTAGACTAGACAAGTTCACGGCAGCTAAATATCTCAAGAGGCTAAAATATGTCCAAAATAGGTCTCAAACAAGACGAATCTTTATATCTTTATCTGCAATTCAACACTCGCCTATGCACCTAGACTCACACAACATCCGAGCCTCATCTTCTGCATCTGAACTTGCACCATTGTCAGCTCTGCCGACAGCTGCATATGGCATTACGAAGTCTTCGGAGGGCAAACTATTCTAGATTACGTCTACGAATACTCCTAATTCTCCTAACATAGGTAGCTAAAAGAGGACAATCCAAGTCCCAGGTCATTGGAAAATTCAACTTCCCATCCTTATGCGCTTCACGTGGGCGCATTTCGTTCGACTCGCTTCTGGATGGAAACCCCTCCTTTTGAGGGTCTCAGGTAGGGCTATTGCTTTTTGTCTGTGTGTCCCTAGTTGAACATTACAGCACACGCCATCGTCCAATTTCTAGTTGGATTCGTGGATTATTCGTGGCCCCTTATCAATTGTTACTACTTACTCCGTGACAGCGGCGTCTCCCATGCTCCCAAGTTTTGCGGTGCGCTACAAAGTACAACGCGGGATGGACCACATGCCCTCCGATAGTACAGCAGTAGCGTCGATTGAACCCCTTTTCTGTAGGGAAAATCCCCTGAAATAAATCTGTGAATGAAATCCACAACACCATGATTTGAAAACGGCACCACTCGTACGACTGCCATTTTTAGACAATTCTCCATTAGATCAGACCATAGATAGATATCAACACGAGATGATGCCTAATCCTCCGTATTCTGCTGACCCAGTCCAGTCAGTGCAATCAATGCGTTTACGAAGAGCCAAGACTCCCTTGTCCAGCTCCAGCTCTAATCCACCCCCCTTTTCCGTCTCCGTCCATCGCCAATCACGCCGTCCAATGCCCGCCGCTCCTGCCGCAAGCTGACCCGGCACGCCCCTAAGCTCCATAAATTTTCTAATCTTAATTCTTTTCGCTTTCCACTCCACCCTCCTGAGTTCTTGACCGCCTCAGCTATTATTTACTGGCATACTCTACCCAAGTGGCATCAGCATCCTCAGCTCTCTCTTGGACCGCGAAACCAACTTCACCAAAATCCATTCTTCTTGCAAATCATAGCATATCATTCCCTTCACCGCAATTATGGCTGCCAACGGTACCAATGGAACCCACAGTAAGTGCCAGACTTTTCCCCACCTTTCCTACCCCTCGATCAGAGTTAACACGTTTGCGACAGAAGATGCGAGCGCAAACAAATTCTTCGAGGACTTTGGCATTTGGAAAGAGGCGCCAGTCTTGACTGGAAGCACCAAATATGAGCCTCTCCCAGATGTCAAGAACATCATGATCACTGGTGGTGCTGGATTCATGTAAGCCATATGTCAAATTTCTGCGAAGAACAAATCTGACCGCTATCCATCACAGTGCTTGCTGGCTGGTTCGACATCTTACCTTAACATACCCAGACGCCTACAACATTGTCTCTTTCGATAAGCTCGACTACTGCGCTTCTTTGAACAACACACGAGCACTCAACGACAAGCGAAACTTCACCTTCTACCATGGAGATATCACAAACCCATCCGAGGTTATGGACTGCTTGGAGAGACACAACATTGATACCATTTTCCATTTCGCTGCTCAATCTCACGTAGATTTGAGTTTCGGAAACTCCTATCAATTCACCCACACAAACGTGTACGGCACACACGTTATCTTGGAGAGTGCCAAGAAGGTTGGAATCAAGAAGTTCATCCACATCTCCACCGATGAGGTTTACGGTGAGGTCAGAGACGATGCCGATGATCTGCTCGAGACCAGCATTCTGGCGCCAACCAACCCATATGCTGCTTCCAAGGCGGCAGCTGAAATGTTGGTACACTCCTACCAAAAATCCTTCAAATTGCCAGTTATCATTGTCCGAAGCAACAATGTCTACGGTCCTCACCAATTCCCTGAGAGTAAGTTTGCAGTCACTTCAAATCTGGGTCAGAATCTAATTTGCTGCAGAAATCATTCCAAAATTCTCTCTTCTCCTCCACAGAGGGCAACCAGTCGTCCTGCACGGAGATGGTACCCCAACCAGAAGATATCTTTTCGCTGGAGATGCCGCTGATGCTTTCGACACCATTCTTCACAAGGGACAGATGGATCAGGTCTACAACGTCGGATCTTATGATGAGATCTCCAACTTGACCCTCTGCTCGAAACTTCTTACATACTTGAACATCCCCCACAGCACACAGGAGGAACTCCACAAGTGGGTCAAGCACACAATCGATCGTCCTTTCAACGATCACAGATACGCTGTCGATGGTACCAAGCTTAGACAACTTGGTTGGGAACAGAAGACCAGCTTTTCTGATGGAATGGCCATTACCGTCGATTGGTATAAGCGATTCGGTGAGAAGTGGTGGGGTGATATTACCAAGGTTCTCACACCTTTCCCAACTGTTGAAGGTAAGGATGTCGTTGCTGGCAACGAGCCAGTAGAGGAGATTGCCGAGGCTATGATTGTAGATTCAGATGACAAGACCACTCTTGCCAAGAAGAGGAAGATTGACGGTACAGAGCAGGCTGTCCAGGCTTAGAGAAAAGTTGTTTTGGAGCATTTTAAGGTTACTGGCGATGGCGCGACTTTTTACACCGAGTTTTTTTGATGGATGCTATTCCATGGTTATTCCAGCGATTGGGATATTTAATAGACTATAAAATGAAGCGATACATACTTTTTTTTGATAAGAATTTACATACCACATAATCTCCTGACCAATGCGCTTGTGGAACATGATAAATCTGAAGCTCATCGATAGAGACATTTAAAGAGTGTGATCCTACACTAAAACTACAATATAGTATCTGCGTATTTTCTTTATCAAAATACCAATTTTCTTTCCACCTGTGCTGCCGCCAAACATATCGGGGGGGCACGGGCCAGGTAGGAGACAGCAACAGCATAATAATTAGCCGAGCAACCTCACAGTCCATCTCATCTTATTTTCTCTCCCACTCTTTTCAGACTAAATAATACAATCGCTTGCGACGACAGAAATAGCAGACTTTTCAAGGGGATGACTTAAAGTACATCAGCCGTCAAGTCGTCAAGGCTTCCGTCATCTCGCCCATAGTCACCTGAACGACCGGCACAAGCAAATGCTTTCCGCCTCAGAACTCCCGTCATTATGGAATCGTTAAAAGACCAGCAGAGCGCTCTCCACATTCTCCCTTTGGAACTCCAGCTGTGCATTCTGAATCTGCTACCAGATGTCGAAACATTGGCTTGTGCTGCTCTAACTTGCCGCCACCTCTATACCCTCCTCAAGCCAAACGAGGAGCAGATCGTCAAAAGGCTACTCATTAACTGTATTGGCTGGAATGTTCTCCCTGAAGCTTTGAAGGTCTATCGTTGCACCCCACCATACTTGAGTACTAACGTCGAGAGACGCCTTGAGTTATTAGACGGTGAACAAGCAGATGAGCAGCACTCCTACGTGACGGATTTCCTCCAGCAGCTCGATCGACCCGAGGTACCGGTTTGGTGTATGCGTGATGCTTTTGTTCTCAGCAAATTTCATATGAACGTGGTGTCCAGTCTCACGGACAAATTCATTCATGCTTGCTCGAGAACCACACACGTTCCTCTTGGAGCCAGCTTGAAAATACGACCTGCCTCTCGGACAGAGAGAGAGAGGATCTCGCGTAGCTTCTATCGCTTTGAAATCTTTCAGAGACTGTTTAGCTGCGGTCGCAGAGGTCATCATCGTCATTTGCGAAATTCTTTTCTCTCCAAATTTGCTCAATGGGAAAATGTGCAATTAGGTCGTATTCATGACTTCTTGGCACGTGAAACGATGATAGGTGAGTAGACTGTATACTGAGAAATCATTTTGCCACTCGTTAGCTTATTAGTATTCGACGATGTTGCAGAACACGACGCTGTCTGGGGCAAGCATTGGATCAATTTTGACACAGATATATATATTCCGCAACAGTTCAGCATCTTCTCACACTAGGGTTGGAAAAAGTTCATCTACTCACTGCGTGTGAAATATACGTGGAGCGAGAAAAAGCGCTTAAGGTCGACGAAATGCCACCAGCAGAACATTGGAATTTCTTGGTTAGAGCGTTGCAACTGATCGAGACTGCTAGCAACAGCGATACATTCCGCGAGACTCCCGCCTTCTTTAGAGACAGCTCTGCAGGCTCAGAAAAGATGTGGCAGCTATCGACACAGGGTTCACCGGTTGCTATATACGACAGTATGGCGTGGCCTTATCGAAAATGGGGATACGTTTTGTGGGATCTTGACCGTCTTCGAGGCGATGTAGATGGGCCATGGAGGCCTGCTACAGAGCTGGAGCAAAGACTCACCTCACATAATATGTTATCTAAGCGCGCTTCATGGTCTGCAAGAGCTAGTATCTATCGCCAGGGAGGGCGCGGGTGGTTTCATCCTTCCGATACGACACGAATTATATGGCCGCCAGGCAGAGGAAATCGCGAGGTGTGTTGGTGAGCAGCAGCGGCGACGTTGGTTCGTGGAGGGGCAAGAACTTGTGCAGAGGTCTCGTTACCTTTTAGTAACTTTGTTCTTAGTGATCCTTACAGCTATCCCAGGTGCGGTCTCATCGGGCGCGGTTGTTAGTATCTTTCGTCTATGATTACTGAGATCTGCCTTGCCTCAGCAACCGCTCGCATTTCTAGGACTTTGTGAAATCTTGGCTTTTGATTACAGGAGGATTATGAAGATGGGATGCGTTATATCAATGAAGTGAGCTCGGGTTGTATACATGGAACACTTCCTATGTTTAGCGACAGGAACTTTTTGCTTTTTGAGATTTAATGCCGAGGATCATAAGAGGGCACTACTTTGCAGCGAGATGGAGATTTATAATCATAGTGCTGTTCAACTAGTTGGGTGGAGTAAAAGGTAGGATGAAATCGGGTGCAAGATGATGTATTGGACGATTCACGAATATACGAGGAGTTGGGCTTTGTGTTTGGTGCAGACTACTTCAGGCCGACCAATCCGTAATATAGCGAATTGATTTATAATTTCCTGTTCGTCCTTCCTATCAAGAATTAGGAGACATAGAGGGGAGTAAAACGGGAGGCGGTAGTAAGAGCATAAGCGAGAAATACTTCGCGCTGATTGGATAAAAAACCTCTCACACTCATCTAGCATCTCGTCTTCATCTCAATAGTGACGCGCTTCTCCTTCTCTCTCCCAACCCCAACCAGATCCCCCAAAACAAAAAACCTACCACCAAAATTTCCTATCTCATGTCGATTCTTCTCACAGCCTTATAACTAAAACGCAGATCAATTCTGACGCCGTATTGCACCCCAATTTCGCGCTTCAAAGTCAAGGGCGTTTTGTGGTTCGGAGAATGGCGGACTCCCTCATAAATCATCAAAATGCGCGGGATTATTGGCAGAACATCGATGCGGATGTTAGTGGCATGCTAGGGGGCGGCTTTCCGTATGTGAGTAAGGTGGATTTGTTGGGGAGTAGGGCATTTTTGAGGAAGATTGGTGTGGTGGGGGGCAGTGTTAAGGAGGTCGGGAGGGCCGTTGATTGTGGTGCTGGGTGAGTGGGAGGTTTTTCTCTTTTGAGTTTTGATTTCCAGGTCTCTGATTGGGGTTGAGATGGTTCGTACTCGGTGCGGGCTCAGAAGTCTCTTGAGTGAAATATCGATGGATGAGAGGTTCAGCGATTGCTTGGAATGTTTCAATCGTCTGAGCCGTCCAGAAGACTCATCTCTTGATTTTTTTCTCCCATCACATTCTAACTTCTTATACGTTTAATGAAAAAGCAAAGGAAAAGGCTAAAATATCACAGCATCGGCCGCATAACCAGCGGTCTTCTGCTCTCCATCGCCAAAACAGTCGACATAGTCGAACCCATCTCCAAATTCACTGACGCCCTCTCCGGCACCCCGGGCATCGGTCAAATCTTCAACACAGGTCTTGAATCTTGGACGCCATCACCAGAACCCGGCTACGATATCGTCTGGAACCAATGGTGTCTAGGTCATCTAACTGATGACCAGCTCGTTAATTATCTGAACAAGTGCAGAAGTGCACTTACTGAGCGAGGTCTTGTGATTGTGAAGGAGAATTTGAGTTCGTCAGGGCATGATCTTTTTGATGAGGTTGATAGTAGTGTTACTAGGTAAGTGAGATCTGGGGACAGGGGTAGGGGAGGCTAATTACTGGGTAGGACGGATGAGAACTTGAGAGTTATTTTTGAGAGGGCGGGTCTGAAGGTTGTGCAGAGTCAACTTCAGAATGGGTTGCCAAAGAAGTTGTTTGCTGTGAGGATGTATGCTCTGAAGCCGAAGACTCCATGAACCGCAGAAGTTGCTGGAAACATAGGACCACAGCAGGTACATTCAAGACGAAGTGTCATCACAATATCGAAGCTAAATACGCCGTCTTCTACTACCTTGGTTCACATCTCGGTCAGGCCTCATTGAGCAGCAAAACATCCCTCGTCTCTGCTGAGACCAAGCTCCAGGGCTAAATCTCTACGAATCATCTATGTGGAAAAGAGGACATAAGGCAATCCAAAGACTTGTTGCTCTTCTTCAAAGGACGGCAATAACCTCGATTAGGTACAAAAATCTAGTACATATTTGTCATGGATCGACGAGGCTAGAGAGCTTGGAATGGATGTGAAACATTTCCGCCATACAACTGAAGGAACTGACGTTGAAAAGGGAATTGCTACGACTCGAATTGATAAAACGTGGAATAAGTTCGCATCTCACTCAATTGATCTGTTGAGCGGCATTTTCACGATGGCAAAACGCATCGATGCTCGAATTACACCAGAATGTTCTTACACAAGACGTCGGTTGTGTTCCCCTTATTCAGTCCTTTTCTATCAACCATTGTACCGGTAAGTGAGGTAAACATATTTGGTCGATGGGGACAACACTCGTCACATGATACTCCCACTCTTCGATTCATATCGGCCTACGGGCAACACAAGGCGGGGGAGACTAGTTTGCTCCATCGGAACAACGAAATGCTTATCGAGAATGATAATGCAAGTAAGTTCTATATCTCTTCTTTTCATTGGATTCGGCAGATGGCAAACAGCTTATCGTGCTGTGAAGTCAATGAGGAGACCCGCGGCCTTGGACAGTTACCAGGATACAGCTTGACCACGCATAGCTGTTCCTGGATTCTGATAAACGCTTGCTTTATGTGATGAAGATGACATAGCTTCTACGACAATCTGCTATTTATATTGTTTCCTGTGTCTTTCTTTCTTCTTCCTTTCTCTCTTATCGCTAGCAAGCTCGAATTTTCCAGTTACACAAAAGCAACCTCAAGCACTTCAAAATGTCTACACCTTATGATCTCCCAACGGATCTGTCAAAGGTCAAAAAGTTCGAATGGGATGATAAATATGACTTCCCTCGAGACCTTGTTGGTTATGGCGAGAACTCCTTTAACCCTCAGTGGCCTAACGGAGCTAAAATTGCTGTTTCATTTGTTATCAATTATGAAGAAGTAAGTATTCTTACCTTCTTACAGGCAATGTATCTGACAACTCATCAGGGAGCCGAACACACAGTTCTAAACGGGGACTTACACTCCGAAACCCATCTATGGGAAGCACCAGGTGGAAGTCCCAAAATCCAAGAACGTGCCGTAAACATCGAATCAGAATATGACTACGGCTCCCGCACAGGCGTCTGGCGTCTCCTCCGTCTCTTCAACAAACACAACTACAAATACACCCTCTACGCCGTCGGTAAAGCTCTCGAAGACAATCCTGCAGTCGGAATCTCCTCTGTGAAAAACGGACACGATGTCGCAAGTCACGCTTACCGGTGGATTGATTACGCGAATATGAGTCCTGAGAAGGAAAAAGCTTATATCAAGAAAGAAATCGAGACTATTCAGAAGATCTGCGGAAGTCCGCCAAAGGGATGGTATTACGGGCGGTTGTCGAGTCGGAGTCAAGCTCTGGTTTGGGAGGTGTATAAGGAGATGGGTATTGAATTACTTTGGGACAGTGATAGTTACGCTGATGACTTACCTTACTGGGTTGACGTCCCCGCCGAAAAAGACGAACCCAATCCCAAGGGCATGCTAATGGTTCCCTACTCCTACGGTAGTCCCCCTCCCCTTTCTCTCTAAAACCTCATTCTAACCCACACAGACTGCAACGACTACAAATTCAACGTCCCCACCGGCTTCGGCTCACCCACACATTTCTACGACCACGTCAAAAACGCCTTCGACACGCTCTATGAAGAAGGCGAGGAAGGGTCTCCCAAGATGATGACTATCGCGCTGCACTGTCGTTGTATCGGGAAACCGGGACGGTTCATGGCATTAAAGAGGATTGTCGAGTATATTGCGAGTAAACAGGATGTGTGGGTAGCGACACGCACGCAGATTGCGGAGCATTTTAGAGAGAAATTTCCGTATGAGAAGGGATGTTTGGCGCCGGGTGTTAAGAGGGCGGAGGCGCCTAAGATGCAGATGGCGTGGCCGGCGCATTTGGATGTTCCTGAGAGTTAGATAGGGGGGTGGTAATGAAGATTTTTGTATTTTGTTAACGAATTATGCTTGCCTGGACTTGTATTTTGAACTTGTGCTTACCATCAAATCTTCTACCTGATGAGCATTTTGTTGTGATTTGATCTTGTGGCAGCTACTAGTTGAAAGTCGAAGCACTTCACGGCCAACACTATCCCATACTCGAAAATCAAATTGAGATGACTTTTCACGAATTTCACTCTAGTCTGAAGTGATTGATGTTTTCAACCAACTATTCCCTCATCACTCTCTCCAGTTGAATCTACAACTCACTCCTCCCCACCTTCGGCAAACACCACCCCTTCCCCTTATGCTCCTCCACCCCCCTTTGACACCCCACCGGACAATCCGCCTTCCCATCAAACTGCCAACTATACAACGGATCCGTCTCCTCGGTCAGCACGCCCCCAATCAACCTAGTCTTCCCAGGCAACAGCCCCGACTCATCGAATAACTCCTGGGACGTAATGGAGATCTGCTTCCACCCTTTTTTGATCAACGTAGGGATCGTGGTGCCGAATATGCATTCCGCGAAGTTGGAGTAGCGGATGGCGGATGCGCACTAAAAATTTCATTAACACAATTCGTCTACAGGAATCATAATGATGGGGGGAATATACCATAGGACAAGGCTCCCCGTTAGTATACAAACTCAACCCCTCCCACGCCCCCTTGATCTCCTCCGCGCTCCACCCCCTCTCCCCAAGCACCTTCACACACTCATTAATCGCCGCCACCTCACCATGCAACGTCGGGTTCCCCGTCTCCCTGATCTGGTTCTGGGAGCTGCAGACGAGCTCGCCGTGCGGGGAGTTGGAGGTGTCGCTGTGGTTTACGATTACGCAGCCGAAGGCCTCGAAGGGACAGGGCGAGTTGAGCGCGCTGTTTGCGGCGCGCATCCAGTGTTCACGGGTGGAATGGGGGATGGTGTCGGGAGGGGAGAGAGTGGTGGATGAGAGGTGGATTAGGAGGAGGAGGAGGAGGGAGAGGGTTGTTAGGGGTGGGAACATGATGGTTTGTGGTTGAAGAGTTTGCAATTGAGAGGGTATTTTTTTCAATTGAGTTGTGAGGGAAACATATCTCTGAAATTTTGGGAGATAGATAATATTTCTTGAGTTATTATCAATGTATTGATGTCATCCCACCTATCTGGTAGCCTTGCAGCTGCCCCTCGTCGCGGCGAATGGTAATAGGTGATGGTCAGAGGATGAGATTTATTCAATTTGAATGACCAAATATGATATATTTGTCTAGGTTTGATTAAATTAAACCTCTTAAAGATTTTCCGTTCATAAGTTTCAAATAAGACTCAAAGAGGGGTATTTATTTCATCCCCTCAACCCCACCCTACCTCCCCCATCAGCCTTACACCATGAATTCACTCCTCCCACAACTCACGTGTTAGCCGAACCATATTCATATCTCATCCTTATTTTGTCCCAACCTTTTTCACCATAAATCCAAAACCACAATAACCCAATACCATGACTCGAACCAATCTACTCGAGTCGGAACACCTCCGATCATCCCATCGGAGCGTATCCACATATCAACGATAAGACCCTTATCACCCCTCCACCCCTCCACTCTTCCACAAAAATATATGCTATGATGGCAACATGTCGGATACGTGTGTTTGTAATGAAGCTCTGAAGTTCCGGGACAGGGAAGTTTATTATTGGTTTCTTTTGTCTAATAACACCAGAGGTGTTGCTTCCTCATAATAAATGTTAAGACCGTTCGTCCCTTCTTACTATTTTTTGCTTGCCATGTTGTGAATACCTTCACCTTTCCACTCTTCACTTTTCCACTTCGGACAGCTTCAATTGAATCCTCAAACCATCCACGATGGGTTCCATAGCCACCACATCCGAAGAAAAGCTGCCCGGCAACGGCAAGTTCTCCAGTTCTGACGCACCCCGAGGCAGCTCCTCCAAAATCTTCACTCCCCTCACCATAGGAAACGGCACACTCCAACTATACCACCGTATAATCCTCGCCCCTCTAACCCGCAACCGCGGCAGCCCATTAAATCCAAATTCAACTCCCTCAGATCCAAACAGAATATGGATCCCCAACGCCCTCATCAAGGAATACTACCTCCAACGAACCACACCGGGCGGGCTGCTCATAAGCGAAGGCATCCCCCCGAACCTCGAAGGAAACGGCATGCCAGGCGTCCCCGGGCTCTTTCATCCAGCGCAGATAGCAGGGTGGAAAGACGTTGTCGAGGCGGTACATGAGAAGGGTGGATACATGTACGCGCAGTTGTGGAATGCAGGACGGGCTTGTATTCCGCAGCATACAGGAAGTCCTACTATTTCAGCGAGTGCGACAGCGTTTGAAGGGGAGGATAGGTATTCACATCCGCCGCCAGGGACGAGTAAAACGGTGCGGTATGCTGATTTTCCGCCGAAGGAGTTGGATGAGGAGGGGATTAGGCGCCAGATTGCGGATTATGTGAGGGCTGCGAAGGCTGCGGTGGAGGAGTGTGGGTTTGATGGTGTGGAGGTGCATGGTGGGAATGGGTATTTGCCTGAGCAGTTTCTGTCTTCGAATATTAATGTGAGGACCGATGCGTACGGTGGGTCGCCTGAGAAACGGTGTAAGTTCGTGTTGGAGCTTATGGATGCGTTGGTAGCGACTATTGGACAGGAGAAGCTTGCTATACGATTGACGCCGTTTGGAATGTTCAATCAGGCGAGAGGAACGCAGAGATTGGAGACTTGGGGATATCTGTGTAAGGAATTGAAGAGGAGGTATGCATTGAGTTATGTGCATTTCGTGGAACCTAGATATGAGCAGGTTTTCAGTTTGGAAGAAAAGAATAAATGTAAGAATCCCTTTCCGATCCAGAGAAATTATGACTGATTTGCATCATAGATCTTGAGTCTTGGGGCTTCCCAGATATTGATCTCAAGCTATTCCGTGACATCTTCGGATCGACTCCTTTTGTAAGCGCAGGAGGATGGAATGATAAGAACTGCTGGGGCGTTTTAGAGGAAGACACATACGATGCTTTCGCTATCGGAAGACTTTTCCTAAGCACACCTGACATGATTGAGAGATTGAAGAACGGACTGCCGCTCAATGAGTATAACCGGCCAAGATTCTATGGCCCTTTCCCGGATCCAGAAGTTGGATACACGGATTATCCCACTTGGGAAGAGAAACAGAAAAAGGCAAAGCAGATCAAAGTTTAGATTCGAATAAATTTGGACGACAAACGTGGATGAATATGTTTTTTAGCTGTGACTTCGGAAGAACACCATAGATTTTGAAATCTTCGATATGCAATTCCTTCTAGCATGACTGGGTTTCTCCCGGGTATCTGTTGTACATTATTGCCCCGCCGGCTACGTATCAAAACACTGGCTGAAAAGCGCAGAAAGCTCACCCTGATTATGATTGATCACCCTCGGGTGCACTATTGGCTTCTGGACCGACGCCCTCGGCCATTTCGACATCTTTCGACGAGCCATTCGAATCTTCCTTTGAATGTTCCTTTGCTTCAAAGAGATATGCATCCAATTTCTCAAACGTTTCGTCGAGATTATCATTGACGAATATGTGGTCATATGCTCCCTCAAGTTTTGATTGTTCGATTTCGTCTTTCGCAATTTTCAGTCGGCCTTCGATTTCCGTATCCGAAAGATCGCCTCTTTTTCGTACGCGTGATTCTAGTTCTGCTAGAGATTTAGGCTCGATGAAAATGAAACGTGCCACAAAGCCATTATCTCTTGTCTGTTGTATGCCCTGTATTCCAATTAGTATCTAATCAGAAACTGGGATTTGAGACGACTCACATGATGTTCCATTTCCATCACTGGTATCTTGCCTCTTGCAATGATACCTTCTACCAGCTTACGACTCGTACCATAATCATTCCCATTATAGTTATTGTACTCCAGAAATTCGTCTGCGTCTCGCATCATCGAGTGCTTCTCCTTCGTAATAAAATTGTAATGTTGACCATCAACCTCTCCCTCTCGAGGAGCCCTAGTAGTATGGGATACCTTTCTTTCCAAAAGCTTTGGATGTTTGGTCAGAAGCATCTTTATCAGAGTCGACTTGCCAACTCCCGAGGGACCTGCAATGATGATTGTACGCCGGTCTTTCAATTGTCCGACTTCGTCGTCATTGTTACCCTCTTGTGAACTAGAAACAGCTTCTTCAACCTTGACGGGATCTAGAAAGACCTCATCAATCTTATCAGCTCGCTCAATCTTATCGAAGGCCAAAATGTTAGTGGTGCTTGCAATACGTAAGGCTCTCCAGCTCTTGCTTGCTTTCGATTCCATGGCGGCATTCTTCTCTTCTTCGGTCATGGCCATTTCAATGTCCATGTCATCAAGCTCCATCTTTGACTTGAAACTCTTAACAGATGGAACTTCATAACGCGAGGGATCCTTTAAGCGTTCAAGCCCGGCTTGAGCGTTAGTTTCTGACAGAAATTTAAGATCCAAGGATCCGAGGGGATTAGGTCGGAGACGCTTGTTGAGGGCAACCTTGTGAGCAGCAGCTTTTACAGCAATGTACTCTCCGGGCGTAACGCCATCTCGAGCGATCGTTGGACAGTTTTCCATCTTCCATCTTACCCAATTTTTGTCCCTCGACAGAACCGACTCAATCATTCGATGGAAATGAGGTCCATCGAGTCCTTTCTTGATCAAGTCTAGTACAGCTGCTTTCGTTTCTTTCGCCCATGTTTCCTATCGCCGTGAGTAAAATGGAAGCAAGATAAAACTCAACGCGGGAAGGACTCACATTTTCTTCGCTCAAGAAATAATCAGCATACATGACAGACTTATTTGGGTTGCTAGGTAATGATGCCTGTGATAGTTTGGCTCTGCTGGTTGGACCCAGCGACAATAAGAAGTCAACGATGATAAGTATTTGAACTAGAATGTGCCTGCGGAACGAGAGATCACTGATCTAGTTGGGGTGTTAGAATCGACTAAAGCGTGAACATGCAGTACTTACCTCTAACTCGAAAAGATCTCTGCTTGTCAGATATTTTGGATTAAAGGCATCGGCGAGGTCATCGTCTCCATCATTTCGTTTCCGCTTGGGGCTTTTAGTCGCTTCAATTGCGGGCCTTGTCTGCCGGCCATAATTCTGCTCTTGAACGGATGTGAACATAGTCTTCGTTGCGTCCACGGCAAGTTTAAATTCAGCAAAAGCTTTTGTATCAAACAAACTTCTTGGCTGGCTCAGACTTTGCTGCAACGACCAGAAAATCGGGTAAAGTTTATCGATGCTCAAAGGCTCTGACTTTTTGGATGATGGACTTTTCGAACCCTCCGAGGGCTTGGGCGGTGCCATTGTGGTGTCATTTTTGTTTTCACTATCAATATCCATACCATCCAATGACACTTCGTCGTATGTGGTGACATTTTCTGTGTGAAACTCGCCTCGTAGATTGACGGAGCTCTTGTCACCAAGCGGAAAGCTCTGGAATAGAAATATAAAAACTCGGCCACAAAACTTGGTGTCTTCGGCGCGCGAAAGTCTTCGAAGAAGCTCGTTACAGCTTCGCAGGATAACCAAATGCTTTTGTCTGAAGTGCTTCGCAGTAATCCTGTCACGCCGAGACTCAAGATAATCAAAAATTGTGCGGCAACCAGCAATCGTTTGACTGTCCAAGAGGTCCTCCACCAACCAGAATAAAAGAGCTGGGTCGCATTGTTCGTCGTCGGAGAGGATTGAAATGATGTCAAACAGATGCCATATCCGAACAAACGCTGGGCTGTCAATTGTAGTAGTGGCCTACAATCCGTTAGATTGCATGGTATCTTCGCCAATTCCGCTACTCACCAGTAGATTGTGAAAGGTATCTCGAGCTGCCGTTTCGATTATGGCGTATTGGTTTCGCTTCTTCACATCCCTCTTCTTTTCCTCAGTCGACCTCTGCTCCTTTTCCTCCGCCGTTTCCCCCTCGTTCATTTCCGCAACATCGGATGGTGGAAATACGGAATGAAGGCGCTCGAATACATCTGCTAAATCTGATTTGTCTAATGGTGGCTCGATAGTATGCGTAGGTTTGACCTCGTCCGCCTTGTGTAATATCTGCTGGAGAAGCTCTTCGAATTGAGCAACCGCGTGTACCCCATAATCGGCCATATCCCCAGATCCGAAGATCCTACAACTTCTTGATGCGCGACAGGATCGTTTAAAAACCCTTTATTTGCCCTAATATCGGTTGTACGTTGAATTGGTTGTGGGCGTTGGGAGCTGGCCTTGCGCAACAAAGCCTCGCGTGCCTTGCCTGGCCTCGCGAGAATTTCCGGTGTGTCGCGTCAAGCTCGATCGCATGAATTTGTTCACGACTCCTGCGCGCAGAGAGGAGGAACGCTAGCACAACAAAATTTAAGATGCCACCACGGACAAGAGTGAAAGGGAAGGAGAAGGAGCAGGAGAAGCAGGAGCAAGAAGTGCAGACCGTACCCGGAGGTTTGGATGAAAGCGCTTTTGCGCAGCTGGCGCGGACACACTGGTTGAAGCCCTCGAAGAAAACAACGAAGGTCAAGGTCAAGCCTGATGTGCTGAAAACTGAGATATGGGATGTGTTAGAGAAGGACGATTTCAAATTCAGTGATCTTCTGAGTTTGGAAAATCTGCACATTCTGGAGAGGTAATTGGTAGCTTTGCGACTTTGTGACAAGAGCTAACTGTGATTATAGCTATCTCTGGCCTGGCTATACGGAAGATTCGAATAACCACCACGTTATTCTAATTGTGTTAATCACAAATGTGAAGGCTCGGGAGCATCTGCAGACGTGGGGTAAGCTCTGTCTGATTTAATTGAGGCCGGATTATGCTAACAAACACAGGTATATTCGTAGACAACGCTGTCGAATTTTCTGGCCTATTTCGTCGAATATTGTCTATGACACTGGACCTCACACTTTCTGCCAACATCCGAACACACCTACTTTCATTCATTATTAGCGCTTTCCAGTCACTCGATAATGGAATCGTAAGGAAGGAATGCGCCCCGCTGGTGTCCATCTCGATATGGCATAACCTCTCTAGCGAAGGGAAACGAGAAAGAAGGCTGGACCAGAGTGTACAATTGCGCAAAGCATGGAGAGCAGCGGCGAAAAGATACGATGCTGCGGATGATGTTGTAAAGGCAAGGTTAAGATTCGAACGCTCATGGCTCTTCACTCTAGTACTGGATTTTTTCAATCAATTGTTCAATGAGAAGAGTAAAGCAGGTATGCCATAAACTTCCAATCCATCATTTCCGCCTGCTCACGACAGAAACAGATAACGTAATTTATTGCGAACGATTTATTGAGTTCCTCTCCGATCTCCAGAGCCAATTGCCTACTCGTAGGTATGTCAATACGCTGCTCCAAGATCTGAATGTCCTCTCTGCCATTCGAATGTCGCCAGCTTTCAACGACGAAGACAATGGGTTGCTGAGAGACTTGTACTCTTTGCTGAAGCATTACACGCATTTTCCAATTGACGATTATACTGGTATCCAGCACAGTCGAACGGAAGCTTACGAAAGACATTGCGCAACCCTGGCCTCGTTGCAGCGTGTCGCGCTCAAGCACTTTAAGGACAAATTGACTGTACTTGCGTTATCGAATTATGGCTCAATTGATCGACGTTCTGAGCTGGAAGATCATCTAAGGGCCCTTACCGATGAAGAAATCTCAGAATTGTGTAATCTATTGGATCTTCGAAACTCATACCCTGCATCCACCAAAATTGTTGCAGACCGTCAGTTTCTCACGGAAGTCCTTTTATCTTCTCATGAGAAGAGGAAAACCTTTCAAGAAACCGCCCGCGATCTAAGCGTGTTACCGACGGAGCTCACACTCTTTGAACCAGCGCTACTACGAAACGACAATTATGATGGCTCTCAGCCTCTAGCCATCCCAAAACTCAACCTCCAGTATCTTACTGTAGGGGATTTTCTTTGGAGATCGTTCATACTCCATAGGTGCGAATCATTCTATGAAATTCGAAAGCATGTTGAAGATGTCATCAAACGATTGAGGCCTACGGTAGGCCGAAATGGCCAAACTGGTTTTGATGGATTCTCTAAATTGGCCTTGCCGATCTCTGGACCTGCTATAATGGAAGTAGTTCCTGCTTTAGTTGGCGACGATAAGCCATCGGCTGTCCGAGCTGAGATCACTTTAGATGTCAGTCGCTTAGCGGACAACGTTCGAGCAGAGTGGGAGTCTTTCCGTCAGGACGACGTGATTTTTCTTCTGGCAGTACAGGCTCCGGACGATCCAAAAGCTCTCGCTAATGGTGGTATCACTCCTTCTGATGCGCATAAACTAGGTATCAAATATCTACGCGCGGCCGAAGTCACCCAAGTGCTGGACGACAAGGGACGCGTACTCAAATATCAGGGCAATCTGAGTAACGGCCATGGAAGGCCACGTATAAGGCGGTTGCAAGTGAAGTTGGACGCAGCTATGTACAAAGAAGATATGGAACGGGTGGGACAGGGGAAGCCAAACATCTACGAGACTATCAACCTTGTTGTCCGACGAAGAGGTCGCGAGAACAACTTCAAACCTGTTCTAGAGTCCATTCGTAGCTTGACTTTGTCTGATGTTCCTCTTGCATCATGGCTCCATGAGGTGTTTCTGGGTTATGGCGACCCCGCTGGAGCTACATATACTCACTTGTCGAACCGAATCAAGCAAGTAGATTATCGCGATACTTTCCTTGACTGGCAGCACTTGATCGAGAGCTTGCCTGGCAAGACTGTAGAGCCCAGTGGTGATGTGGACGGCAGCTTTGGCCCTCCTTATGTACTTCAGAATGTGGAAAGGATCGCAGAAGCAGTGCCCACCAAACCGTCGAAGAAGAGACGTCGGGATGCCGAGCCCGCTGCTAAAGTAGAACCGGATGCCGTAGAAGTTGGCACATACAAATCCCCCAACAATGGTCCTTACCCAACGGATGCACCTAAGCTTAACCACGTTCGTTTCACTCCTGCTCAAGTTGACGGTATTATTTCCGGTACCCAGCCTGGTCTGACAGTCATTGTTGGCCCTCCGGGGACTGGCAAGACTGATGTTGCCACCCAAATTATTAACAACATATACCACAACTTCCCTAACCAGCGCACTCTTTTAATTGCTCACAGCAACCAGGCACTCAACCAACTGTTCCAGAAGATTGTAGCCTTGGACATTGATGAACGCCATTTGCTTCGACTAGGTCATGGTGAGGAAGAGCTTGATACTGAGGCAAATTTCAGTAAACATGGCAGAGTCGAATCCTTTCTGGAAAACCGAGGTAGCTACCTTTATGAAGTTAACAGACTTGCAGCAAATTTTGGGGCACCAGGTGCGCATGGCGATTCTGCCGAAACGGCGGGCTATTTCAATTTAGTCTATGTCGAGCCTGCTTGGACTAGATTTGAAGAAGTAGCAAAGGCTTCAGACTCAACACCCGAATCCATCATGGAAGCCTTTCCATTCTACAACTACTTTTCAAACGCCCCTCAACCACTATTTCCACCTGACGCTGACAAGGAAACTATCATAGATATCGCCAATGGATGCTATCGACATGTCTCCAAAATTTTCACAGAGCTTGCTGATGTTAGGCCTTTCGAAATACTGCATCGTGATCGCGACCGATCCAACTTTTTGCTCACTAATGAAGCGCGGATTATCGCCATGACATCGACTCATGCAGCGATGAGACGTCAGGAGATCGCAGGTCTTGGTTTCCACTATGACAATGTCATTATGGAAGAAGCAGCCCAAATAACGGAGATTGAAAACTTCATTCCTCTCGCATTGCAGAAGCCTAAAAATGGAGAAATGCCACTACAGCGAGTAGTGCTTTGTGGAGATCATTTCCAGAATTCGCCAGTCATTCAGAATCTTGCTTTCCGACAGTACGCGAATTTAGAGCAGTCCCTTTTCTCTCGACTTGTCCGCTTGGGTGTTCCAACCATTGATCTCGATCAGCAAGGTCGTGCTAGGCCATCTATAGCGTCGCTGTATTCGTGGCGATACAAGAATTTGGGAAATTTGCCAGTCGTTTCTACTGAGATGGAATACTTGACTGCCAATGCCGGTTTCAAGTATGATTATCAATTCATACAAGTCGAGGACTATAAAAGCAAAGGAGAAAACGAACCAACCCCACACTTCATTCAGAACCTTGGTGAAGCAGAGTATGCTGTTGCCATATTCCAGTACATGCGTCTTCTTGGATATCCGGCTTCGAAGATATCCATTTTGGCTACCTATGCTGGCCAGCGTGCTCTGATAAAGGACGTATTGGCCCATCGGTGTGCCAAGAACCCCATATTTGGTCTCCCCAAAATAGTAACGACTGTGGACAAATATCAAGGAGAGCAAAATGACTGTAAGTGTGACGCTATGAGGAAACTCGGATTATGCTAACGGAATACAGATGTGATTCTCTCTTTGACCAGAACATCGCGAGTCGGTTATCTTCGTGATATTCGTCGTCTGACTGTTGCTCTTTCCAGAGCTCGACTCGGACTGTATATTCTAGGACGTCGAGAAGTCTTCGAATCATGCTATGAGCTAAAACAAGCTTTTGATATTCTCCTAGCAAGACCAGATAAACTGCAGCTTGTCACTGGTGAATTATTCCCCAGTCAGAGGCTTCTTAGTGACGAAGAAGGTGTTGAGGAACTCCCTGGCCAAGCACAAATGGAGAACGTGGAGCACCTTGGAAAATATGTATTTGACATGACGAATTCTAAAGTACAACAATTGAGGGCTGAAAGAGGCTTGCCAGAAGCAGAGCTAAGCATTATGCCTATTGAGGAAGAGGATGAGGAGGTTGGCTTTGTTGAGCAGGAAGGCGAGGTGGAAGAAGATGTGGATGAAGCAATTATGCAGGAAGACTTTGAAGCAGAGGAAGAATCGTAAATTAAGTCCGATGATCTATACGACAGGCATGTTTATGGCGTTCAACAATGGATAGTGCGTGCATGTATATTATGAGTCTGTAATTAGCGGCTTGTCTTGATACATTATGGGCTAATGGAACAGCTTCATATGGTTGTATATGAGCGACAGTCTATCTTCTTTGAACGTTGCCCGTGATTTGTCTAATCTGCTGGCTAGCACAATGACCACAAGTAGTCCAACCGACCCAAAATATTAGTCATATGCTGAGTATTACTGTGTAGATAACTTTCCGATTTTTCAACCCACCGCAGAGCTCATGTAGATGAGTGATGATACTGCCTCTATTCCTGTCAAGCCGTGTCTGTCGCTAAAGACAGTGTACGAAGTGAAAGAAATTCAAGGCGAAGTCCTAACATTTTATGTTTTGTATATCCCATACATATCGTAGACCCGGCGTATTGCCATTCCGTAATAGAAAGTTGTTTGGGGTAATTCCTTATAGCTTGTGCTTCGAACGACGTTAGACACAAAGCGTCACGGTCGGACAGAATTTCGAAAACTTTTCCCCATTCTTCACTTCGAAAAAAAATTGTACTTCATAATTCATGACACTCTAAGTTCTATCATGGAACTTTAAAAAGAGACATTTATTGGAGAAAATGAAAGTTGCTGACTTTAGACCCTGTAATATCCTATACCTCGATTGTGAGACTATTACCCATTCGCAACGCTCAAAATGTGTGAAAAAATAAATAGAAAAGGGTTTCGTCAACCCCGTGATTAGAAGAAAGATGAGTATGAAGAATAACTAAAGCTCCCGATCAACCCACAACTTTTGGACATTAGTCTGTCCAAAGAAATTATCGATTGATGCTCTGTTCCCTTGATGTGCTTGCTCGCTTCGCGAAAAAGGGGGGTCTTCAATGCATTGGCACGGGGGACTCAGGAAATGCAATAATTGCAGCAACTCATCAATTACCAATACCATCTTCAGCAATTTCACAAAATATTGGGACAATGTTTGGTTTGATTTGTCTGGCGCAGTTGCTAAACAGGCAGGCAATCTAATGTAACAACTACGCCTACCACTAGCACAATACTCGTCTTATTCTGAGGTAGTAAATGTGGCTATACATACGACTGTGCGAGCTGAATATGTTTTGTTCTAATCTTACTTTGTTACTTCAAGGATTCAGAAATGGTCGGTGTATTGGTTGATCATACCATCAAGTCATCTCTAGCGTTACTTTTGTGCATCGACTTGACAGGGCAGACTTACACAGCATTGTTAGGCCTCAGAAACTTGGGAGAAAGCTGAAATAAATCTGCACCTCTGGGGGAATACTGATCCGAATGGGTGTGGTTCGTGTGTTGAGCTGCAATAGTCCCCAGGTTGTGAGGGTTTGAGCACTCCTGGACTCCTTCAGGAGTGGGCAGATTTTGCACTACAATAAGAAAGATTTACACCTTGACTTGAAATGCGACTAGAATCTGGCAACAACAACGGAAACGCTGTGTGTACCACAATAATGTTGAGGTCGTTCCAAGGCAAGTTCCATTGCCAATACAGATGCGAACAAACCTCGGAAATCTGTGAACATTCAGCCCTCAATTGAAATTTTCAACAGCCGTTACAAGAGCTTCTACCACGACATGCATGCAGCCTCTCTTTACGTCCAGCTTAGCCGTGACATGTACCTCGTGCGTCGAAGTAGCTTGACTTGGAAGGTCGGGAAATAGGTGACCTTCCCAGATTATCACACACCTGAATCCCAGAGACGCCCACTCCGGCCGTATCCAGGAGATGTTCAGACACCACACAACAACGATCAACAACGACTCGCTTCCATTGCCAATAAACTCACCTCACACCCCACAAGCCTCGCCATTCACACCCTCAACCCCTCCCTCAGCAGCCCTCTCTGACCCAACACACATTAGCTCACGTACCACATGCTTCCACTTTCGTCCAAACCCTCACATCCAGTCATCCCAATCATCCTCGGGGAACACAAAGTAAAACTCTGACAGGCACACTTCTTATCTCCCCCATCCTCGCTACCCCTACCTGCTCACTCATACCGTACCTCCAACTTACCCACGGCAGACAAACAACACCACCCCACATACCATCTCCCGCTGTCAGTTCATGGGTATAACCCCACAGCTCCATCTATCCGGGGGAGACCTTCCCCCTCTTCACGAGAGCTTGATTGTGTAGAACGTAAGGATATGCAGGGCGGGGACGAGGGGGCCAGAACTAAGCAAAGCTTGAGGTCAAGGGAGGGCGAGTTCTGGATATGGAATAACGAGCTGAAGCAGCCCGCAGGTTCGCGTATTAATACCCAGTCGTGACACTGATTCATGGCGGCCCTATCATGATGAAGGGAGGAACTGGGGTGAGAGGTTGTGTACATTGTCTTGGTGCGGCGGCATGGCATTGTTATCATGTGTAAAGGGAGAAGTTGGTCGTTGTGGATCTGATCTCCATTTTTTGAGAGACATCACGAGCGGGCTGGGGAGTTGGAATGATAACGATAGCCAGCTCATATCCGCATCGTGTAAATCTGGAGTAAGATGGTACATACTTTAGCCATGGTCGCTACGTCCGACCAGCTCCAACGAGTGCGCTGCCAAAGGTCGCTGGGAGGCGATTCGATCTGTCGGCTTCACTTCAAAGTTCAATGGAATCTCAAGCTCGTCTGAATAAGATATAATTATTAAATTGCGTATCATGAGTCTTTCTTAACTAATGGAGTAGTAGGTGTGTAATTACTTCATGATAGTGGTTTCAGTAAGAGACGATTTCCATCAAATACTCCTTCTACAGCCATCAACATCAATAACCGACGATCTATGGCTTACTGATAGTCCATCACAGACTTACGAAGTATATTACAACCACCCACCCACTCGCATGTCCTCCCCACGGCGACGAGCTACCAAACAAGCCTCCCATGCCCCGGGACATATACTCAGTGCAACAATAGCCACGAAATATATATATTACCTCGCCTCTACGCACCACAACACCAACAAACGAGCGACAGGATGAAGAAAGCGGGGTCCGGGGAAGTTCAATCAATCTTCATGCTGGACTCGGTCAGGGGCGGCGTGCAATACGTCTCGCATCTCGGCGGTATTGTGGTACTGCGCATTCGAGATCCGACGAAAACCACAAAGTCGTTCGGTAGCTATCGACGCTCACGATATCCGGTGAAAAGGGTCTGAAGGATCTGCCCCACAGAACCCAACGAATGTTTCGCGGGCCGTATTCCGAGGAGCGAGGGGAGATTCAAGTTGCTGTCGGTTGTTTTTGACTGGTATCATGACGAAGTGACGGGTTGGGGGAGACGTCAAAGAGTGTATGACGGCATATGAAGATTTGGTACGGATAAGACATAAGATCGAGGTCCAAACATGACCCGTTGACGGTAGTGTAGATCCATCCTGGAGGGATCCTCGCGCCATCTACCAGAATCCACAGTTCCGGGTTCGGTATAAGCAATGACCTATATCAAACACGCTCAAAACCCATAATGCTAATATCTACTATAATGGGAAAGTTGGAATATGGGAATGCCTCCTGCGAAAACCTCATCTAAAAGATGTTGCTGTAGATTATCGTCGGTGATGATTTCTTAAGTCTGTTGGTGCCGGATGTGCGGTGAGATTATTGCTGTGTTATCTACCCGCCTCTGGATATTGATTGCAATATGAGGCATATAGTTGTCTCGCGTGGGAGATAGCAATTTATTTGGCGAGATTGACATGGTGGCTGGCTCGAGCCTCAGCTATAGCAGCTAGTCTCAAGCGACTTCTCGGGCTAGATTGCGGTCCTCAAAATGGCTATAGAAGTTCTTCCTTTGATTTTCTATGACTTGTCGAGGATCTAGCCTAGTTGCATCACGGTGAGCAGAAACAATGAATAGTATCGGCACTCATGTGACATCTTCGGTCTGTCACTCGAACGACCCGAGGCGCCTGAAAGTGGAACGGTACTTGATCTGTAGCCGCCTCATATTGACAGCGAGCCGCATGATAGTACAAACCCGAGATGAACGAGTCGTGTCAGTCCAGCACGTATGTATCACAGGATCTAACCACATCTGGCTGACGTTGAGGCTGTAGGTTGTTTCTGTCTGCAGCGTTCGTGCGTTATGCAGGTTCAGTATTTCGGGTGAGCGTTTTGGGATTTGCGAAGAGGCAATGTGATATGATCATTGTGGAGTAGAATTGATTGGAAGTCAGGATGAAGTTCGAACGTGAATGGCTTCTTAGCCGCAACCCCCTGGAATTCGGCTGAATTGGGTTGAGTCTTGGTACGGCGAACTCCTTGAAATCCGTCAGTACAGTAACATGCAGAGCTATGACGAAGAGGCCGCGAAGAATTGAGAATCTTTGCTAAAGTCAATATTTTTGTGTGACAAATCCAGTATACAAAAGTGGTCGAGGTACATATTTAATAGAAATTAGTCCCTGTTAAGAGTCCAAAATTGTCGCAAAATTACCACCAATACGACCCGAAAAGAACACCAAATTATGCTTTGATCATAACTGGGAAGGTATAGAAGCGAAAGCTTGCTTAGTGGGAGCGCACAGTGTGCCGTTGAACGGCAAGATAGCTTCTTCGAGCTCAAAAGTTTGTTGCCGGCAGATTAAGGACAACGACATCGACAGATCTCTCGCCTAGACAAGAAAATTCCGTAAAGCTTACAAGATAAGATATTGATGACCTGATCAGCGTTAGTGAAAAGAGAGCGAGGTACATTTTGGGGGGGGGATTGCAAACCGAACTCTGTTGCTTAAAGTACTTGGTAGAGAACAGCCTCAGTTGACCGCTTCGTGTACTGGGCCAGGTCAGGTGAAGAAAAAGAATGTATATCACCCAACTAGGGCTGTATTTGGCCTGCCCAAAGAATAAGAAATCATAAATTGTGTAGTTCTTTGCTTTGCCCCTTGGTCAGCCGCGGCGGGCGGCAGAATCTTTGACCTGACTGACCACATCACCGCCGCCG